GAACAGTCATCAGGGGCACGTGATATCTCACGTGCTGGCCGTACCCGTATAAGAGACGCCCTCGACAGCATCATCGTCAGTAGGCCAACTCAATAGAAGACCAACTGCTTTTACCTACGTTTATCAATTCATCGTTGTTTATTGCCTTGTGACCGTTTGTTTGACTTCTGCATCATTCTATTTACATCTCTGTTCTTATCACGGTTCCGACCTCTGCCTGTTGTAGCCACGTGCTAGCAGGAAGAACTGTGACAAGTGGTAGCACAACTTAATCTCGATCAATTTTTTCTCTCGATTCAACCGCGATATATCGCGGAGAATCTCGAGGGAAATACCCCACGAGCCTACTCGCTCAAAATCACAACCCATACCTCGACGTAGCCAACGTAGACTTACACGATGAGTTACGCAAATAACCCGAGGTTAAATAACGGTCATCGCGAGACAGCGAGACGTCTCCTACGATATTGGGAGACATATCCCGATGATCCCAAAACAACAAGAATTTCAGACTCCTTCCGAGCATATACGAGTGTTATAGCGTTCATCGCGTGGAATACGAATATCGGCCGAATCGACGTCAGATACGACGATAGAACCTGGACTCAGGCAACGCAACTCGAAGACAGCTGGAGGATAGAGAATTACGACTATAACGAGGCGGTAAATAGCATCGCCAGGGCGATTATCTACGCCCGAGAACTCCAGGACCTCCAAGGACAATTCGGAGAACCAAGCTCGGAAGAGTTAGACATCACGAAAGGCAAGCAACCCGTGAGAAACAACGAAACCACCGAACCAGGGCCAATTACGCCGCCAACACAGCTTCAACAGCAAGAGCAACAACCTCCTGTGGCACCACTCAAGCACGGCCAATACGAGGGGAATCACGAAGACCCCCAAAAGCCACAGTCAGCGGTATCGGATACAACTGCAAGCCAACCTCAACAAACTTTTCAGCAAGTAGGACCGTCAAATCAACAACAATATACGAAACCGCCGCAAGCCGAGGTTATTCCTCCAAAAACGGAGGCACGAGTCATGGGGACCCCATCGGAGGGAACGCAATTTATACCGAGCCAGGGATGGAATCCTCAACAGCAATATATGCCCCCCGGCACAGGAGGATACCTTCCCCCTCAGGGGCAGATGCCATACCCAATGGCAACGGGATTTCCATCCTTCCAGACTCCACCGCCCCCTCAAATGCAGCAGCAGTTCGAGGCAATGCTAATAAACGCGTTCGGAAGGCTGTTGGGCACGGCAACGCCGGGATCGGAACTACCGAACCCAGGGAGGAGATTCGCGGCCATAACGAACATTCAGCAACGATACGGAGTATTCTGGCCCGACGCCGACAGCAAGTACGGCAGGGAGCCCATATTCCACGACCGAGAGACACCATGCTACCGAGACGTAGACCTATGGCTCTCGGCGATCGAAGCCAAGATCGTTGATCCTCACGCCCGAGACGAGGTCTTCAGAGAATGGCAGAGCCTACTTAGAGGCAAAGCACTCAGCTGGTGGGAATATCACCTCGGGCCCGTGGAAAGGAACCAGTACAAGGCCCAGGGATGGTTCGGCCTGCAGAAGGGACTGAGAGCCCGCTTCGGGCCAACCCAGATAGAAGCAATCCAATGGGTAGTATCCAACAAGTTCACCGTAGAAAAGATCGGTAGCAACAAGGACATCCGATTATTCGCCCAAGACTGCTTCAAATATGGCAGAGCATGGTTGGGATCGTCAACGCCCCAGCAGCAACTACTCACGATATTCTACAACGCTCTGGACCCATCTCTGCAACGATTTCTCCACGAACCAACGCTTAATGATACGGTTGAGAGCTATCTCAGACTCGCCGAGGAAAAACGCGGAGTTATTCGAAGATACCTGCAGACCCCAATCGAGGTTCTTCATACAACCGCCCCAGACAGTGAGGATAACGCTCTATGGGGAGGACCACGCCTAGCCTGGAACAACAGGAACCAAGAGAAACGCGATTTTCCCCAGCCACAACGTGACCAGCCCCAATGGCAACAAAAGAAAACGCAACTCAACTGGAAACAACAAAACTGGAAAGATCGCAAACCCTGGAACGCACAGCAGAATTTCCCGAACTCAAGGCGATTCGCCCGGTATAACCGTCCAGGTCAACCGCCTAACGACGCTAAGTTCGTGTGGGAAGACGAATCGGACGAGGACATGATCAATCACCTCGTCGATCACGGGTATATCCTCGAAGACGTCGTAGAAGTCCCAGCGGCACAACCACAAGAGGAAGAGGTAGCCCATACAGGATGGACTAATGACGTTGCCTTCCGCGCCCACGAGGCGACCACTCCCAAGGCAGAGATCCCTCCCCCATCTCCTCAAATACAAGAGGAAGTAACGGTAGTCACGACGGCGTATCAAACAGAGCCCCAGACGGAGCTGCCTAGCGACTTCGCTGGAGTAGCCGTGAAAAACCACGAAATCAGAGAGTTGCCGAAGTTAGCACCAGGCCAAATCATCGACGCTCAGACGAAACCGAATAAGCGTGGCATGCCCTCGAAAAGAACACACCTTCGACTCCACGTCAAAGCCGACGACAATAGCGAACCAGACGAGGTGTGTATCGACACAGGAGCCTCAACTATACTAGTTGAAAAGTCCTGGGTCACACGATTCGCCCGCAAATCGTCTTTTCGAGCGATCGAACCAAGGAAAATGAACGCCGTAGATTCCACCTTCCAGGTCACAGAAGAAGTGACATTTGACTTCTACGTCCCTGGTAAAATAGGCGAGACAGACGTGAACGCACACGTTATTGTCACAGCAGGGGTTGTCAACATGCTCGGAGCAAACCTATTGCTCGGCACCCCCTTCTGTGAGGAACACGGTCTCGTCGTAGACTTCAACAAGTCTGTTGTTAAGTTTCGATCCGTATTTAATATGGAGGCGCCCGTTGAGTATCGACGGCAGACGCCACCCGCCAGGCGCGTGGACAACGCCTACGCAGTAACAATTCCACGGAAGAGTCAAGTCTTCGTCCCGGGACGATACAGCCCTCTGCCAAGGGATAGTAACGACGGGAGCGAGACCTGGCACTTCCACCCAACACATGAGGCAGCGATCTACAGTACGGTAGACCTCGCGACCCCAGCGCTATTTCTCATCCATAACAAAGGAAATTCAGAAATGCGAATCCCCAAAGGCCGCCGTATCGGTCACCTCACGAAACAACCACCAGGGGACACGAGTATCCTGCTCAGCGACCTCGAAGCTGAAAATGAGCAGGACAACGCAATATTCAACATAACTAACGAGGAAAGCACCCCAGAAGGAAGTACCAAACCATGGATAGACGAGATACCAGACTACGGAATCTCTAAACCAGACGACGTGCCAATGATTCTCAGCAAGCACGGCGTCGAGATATGTGACTTCGACAAGGAATTCGCGCAACAACTGCGGAAAATCCTCGACAGGTACGATATTTATCACAACAAGGGTATCATACCACTCCCCGACGAGGAACGTATGCGAATCGACCTCGTCGACGGATGGCAGAACCAAAAAACCAACATAAAGGTATATCCACTCGGTCTCGAAGACCTCGCAGTTTTAGACGAAACCTACGGGCAACTTCACGCCGAGGGAAAGATGGATTGGGCTGACGGCAAGCCAATTCCGATTGCCTGTCCTCTTTTCATCGTATGGCGACAAACGGAGACCGCGAGAAAACCCAGAGTGGTCGCGGACTTACGCCCACTCAACCGTCTAGCGGTCCCAGACGTTTACCCCTTGCCAGACCAAGATGACATAATGAACGCGATTCGTGGCAAGAAAAGAATAACCCTCTTCGACGCCACCGGGTTTTTTCACCAACTGCCTATCCACTCGAAACACCGTAACAGGATGGCAGTGATAAGTCCCCGTGGTATCGAGATCTCGAACGTAGTACTCATGGGATTCAAGAACTCGCCGGCTTACGCCCAACGATTCATGGACCGCATCTTCCAGGACCATAAACACTTCGTTCGCGCGTACATCGACGATATCGTGATCTTCAGCGATACCGACGAAAACCACCTTAAGCATGTTGAAACAGTCCTCAACATAATCAACAACAACAGGCTCAACATAGCAGCGAAAAAGTCATTCGCTGGTTTCCCTTCCGTGAAACTTCTCGGCCATATCGTGGACGGACAAGGGATACGCAGAACGGACGATCGAATCGCTGCATTTAAGAATCTCAGGTTCCCAAAAAACCTTAGCGATCTCGAGAAATACCTCGGAATGGCAGGATGGCTTCGAAAAGACATTCCATGGTACGACGTGATCGCAGCCCCCCTTAACGAAAGGAAAACCGAGCTAGCCGCGATCCTACGCAAGGAGGACCAGTTGCCAACAGGCCTCAATAGGGCTGTAAGAACTAAACGGTTCCAACGTGCGACTTTCGAGCCAACGCTAGAAGAAACGGAAGCATGGGAAACGTTACAAAAGAATCTCTGCGACCAGGTCGTGAGATACCACCATAACCCAGAAAAACCCTTATTCTTTAAGATCGACGCTTGCAAGGGAGGATTCGGGCTTATGGTGTTCCAGATGGATATTACCTGGGACGGCGTAGGAATTCCCGGAAAAGACATCCCACAAAAGCATATCCAACCAGTGCTGTTTCTCTCAAAAGTAACATCCCCAACAGAGAAGCGATACTTCGCGACCGAGGCGGAGGTAGCAGCAGTGGTGTGGGCAGTAAGGAAACTTAGGAAACTGGTGCAATCAAACAGGAACCCAGTACAGATCCTTACGGACCACGCAGCCACAAAGGGAATTCTCACCCACACGTCGTTGAGAACGATGGATCTCAACAAAGCAAATCTTCGGTTGGCGAGTGCCGCCAACTACCTCTCTCAATTCAACCTCAACGTCACCCACGTCCCAGGGAAACTCAACGTTGTACCCGACGCTCTCTCGCGTCTACCGTTGCTGGTGGCAACAGGTAGAGCAGACCCGTTCGAAGAAAGCGACGTACTCGCAGATATCCACGACGATGAGAATATCGCAGCTTTCAACTCAGAGGACGACGAACGGCTAGGAGAACCAGGCGGGTTCACAATTGGGATAAGCAAAGACTTCGCCAGGACCATCGTTGAAAATTACGAAGCCGACCCAAAGTACGGAAAACTCATCCAGCAACTCACGAGACAACGAGAGAGTGGTGATGAGTGGTGGTCACCTAAGGAGGCAGACGACGAGGAAAATCGCGCTCGGAACGAGGGGCGCACGCCGATTCGTCGTCGAATCTCCCCGTGGCAACTATCAGAGACAGGCTTCCTATTCCACCGTGCGTATGATGGGACAAAAAGGCTGTGTATCCCACGCAAAGCCGTCGTGGAAGTTCTCAGCCTTGCCCACGATCAAAAGCACCATTTCGGCGTAGACCGCATGCTAGCAGAGCTAGCCAGCTTCCAGATACGAAACAAGCGATCGGTAGTAAAGCGATATATCGCCTACTGCCCGAGATGTAAGGAAAACCAAGTCGACCGGCAGAGACCGCCAGGCAGCCTGCAGCCGATTCCAGTCGTGGGAATCCCCTTCGATACCGTAACAATCGACTTCGTTACCGATTTACCAAAAGTAAAAGCACGAGGGAGTCCGTGGGCATTACCCGGATTCGAGTGGTTTGATACGCTTGCGCCCACAACGGACAAATTCTCGAAGAAAGTTATACTTCTACCAGGCCACACCACGTACGGAGCCAAGGAGTGGGCAATAGTCCTCATTAGGGCCTTCCAACTGGCTGACTGGGGACTTCCACGTCGTATCATCAGCGATAGAGACCCTAAGTTCATCTCAGCCGTCTGGACCGCGATATTCCGCGCTCTCGGAGTGAAACTGCTCTTGTCTACAGCCTACCACCCACAGACTGACGGCCAGAGCGAGAGAACAAACCAAACAGCGGAAATTGCAATCCGATTCCAACTTTCAGAGTACCCGGAAACCCCATGGCCAGAGGTTCTCCCAGCGCTGCAACACAACCTCAACAACTCGTACACCGCAACGATCGGGAGATCTCCCAATGAGGTCGTATACGGATTCAAGCCTCGAAGCACTCTCGACGTCATCGCGGAAAAAGACGCTCCAACCGAGTCTATCGACGTCATAAGAAAGATATACCAGGACGAGGCAGCGGCTTTGATCGATATAGCGAACTCGCTGAGAAAGGAACGCTACGACAAAAAGCACTCAGACGTCAGATTCTCCGTTGGCGACGAGGTTTGGATAAGACTAGGGAAGGGCTTCCACTTACCTGGCCAACGCCATAACAAGTGGACGTCACGACGTATGGGCCCCTTTCGAATCGTTCGAATTGTGAGCCCAACAGCTTACGAAGTCGACCTCCCGGCCCATTGGCGAATTTTTCCAATCCTATCGGTAGCGCAGCTATACAAGCCAGCCCAGGGAGACGACCCATTCAACCGTGAACAACAGCCGCCCCAACCTATCGAGGTTGACGGCAGCGAAGAATGGGAAATCGACCACATTGTGAGCCGCAGAATCAACCGGAGAAAACGCGAGCCAAGGATCGAATATCTCGTTCGCTGGAAGGGATTTACCGCAAGGTTCGACACCTGGGAGCTTCGCGAATCGCTTGAGACCAACGCAGCAGAGCTCGTCAACGAGTATGAGGCGAGATATCCCGTCGACGCGGAGGTTACACCAACCTACCGCTCCAAGCGACGCCAACAACGAAACAACTAGAACAATGTCGCTATTCTGCGATAAAACAGCTGATTCCTAATAAAGCGATATCAGCGAGATTATTCCTGTCAAAAAGGGTGGTAGGCCAGGGGCGCTGGAAGCGATGCACACGCAGAGCGCCTAGGATGCCAGGAAGGCGCTAGGAGGAATGTTTGGCCGAGGACCGCGCTAGGTGCGCTTAGTCACAGGGAACACGCCGGAAGAAGGCGCGTAAGGGATACGGACAGGTCTTAGGAAAAGAAGAAGCACAATACACATCACGATTGACCCCTGAATGTGCGCCTACGAATATTCGAACAAAACCCTCATGAGTCATGGAAGTTTCCCAGTGTAGGGATGGTGCCAGTCCATGGTCGAACGGGCGAATAGCAAACCATGTCCGTGGAGTAAAATGGAACCTAATGTAGGATTTGTTGATTATTAAAAGTTCGAATCGCACAAGGTGGATTTGAGGTATTAATTATTTCAAGGAAATATGCCCTTGAAAATTTCTCGTGTCACGAGGGGCCCAGGGATACAGGATAGCGCAATGAAATTTTAATTAAAAAGGTAACAACACCGTCTCTAGGTGGATATATGTAGGGGTGGCTGGTTGAAGGTAATACAACCTCGACTAGGACTAGGGGGTAGATGCCTTTGGTAGTCGGTGGTACTTTGTCCGATGTAAGGGGCCTTGATCCATCTTGTGTGGTTTGTTCGGCGACGCGGTTGAAGCCTGTGGTTGAAGGGCACTAGGTATGGGGAGGGTTTTGACGTAGGAGGACTGGACTGTTTGAGGGAACAGCTAACGAGGGATCGTTTAGGGTTAGAGATACTTAGTGTTAGGAATTGTTTAGTTTTGGTGAGATCAAACTCCAAGATATGAACTATATCTTTCTTCGTCCTTGGGATTAACATCTATTTTAAAAGACGGGATTATTATTACACTTTGAACAAAACCATGGCACGGTTAGATAGCCAGGCGATACTAGCGGGTTTTGCTGCTATGAGAGATGGCACTTCAGGATACGGGTTCGAAAGCGACGACTTCGAAAGCAGAGGCTCTGGAGCTGAAGATGGCGACACTGCTTCGCAGTTAGCCGACGAAGACCGCCTGGCAGCTACTCAGCCAGACGCGTTAGATAATAACGACAGCGACAGTTCCTCTGAAGGGAGTATCGGTAATGTCTCGACCATCGCGCCGTCTGTTGAGTATGGTGGTTTAGACTTTAATATCGACCGTAGTACGGTGCTGGATTGGGTCTGTGACGATAGTCTCGATGAACAGAAACGCCTAGCTCGTCGGATTATATGCATTATTCGACTTGGGCTTATTGCATGTCCCTCTCACAACAGTCGGCTATCTCATCAGGACGTTGACGCGAGGGCACAAGGCTTGTCTAGCTATACGGCGGCTACGAACAGTATAATCAGCCGACAAAAGTGTTCCAAAGTCCTGGGATTGATGCGACAAGCCCCGATTGACATGGCATTATACGGGCTTAGATCTTTGGCCAACTTGATTCCTAAAGTCGATTTGAAGAGACTAGTATGCGGCGTAGACAGAGACAACAACCATCGCTACATCAACCTAGACAATGACTACCAGGGTAGCGTCGAACTTTCACGAACGAGGTTTGACATCGATAGCTTTATTCATGTCATTCCCTGCATTGCCGACTTTAAACATCCGATTAAATACACGCCGGTCCCACAGCGAGGCAGGTTCATCCGATCAACCGTCCATATCAAGCGTCATGTCATGGTCGACGGTCAACAGAAGTTGGTTTCACTACATACCATACCACATATATTCTTCGGAGAAACACAAGACCAGCCAATCTACCTCTTCTTCCCCCAACTATTTGAAGAAGTTCAGGATCGCCAAAGTACACAGTCTGGTCATACGCAGTTGAGGGACGATGAGTATGGTTCCTTCTTTAATGATGTCATGATCCCTTGCCTACATGAGGTCTGCGCTACGTCAGAGCGAGGGCATATGCCAGCAAGTTTTGCAGATGCGGTAGAAATTGCTAGGTTTTCCAAAGGCTCGGATGACGCAGGGCATGACAGACGTCTACCAGCCTACAGCTTCAACATTACTAACAACCATTTTCACCAACTTGCTATACTACTACAGCAAAGGATACATGATCTTAGCACGAAGCAAGAAGGCTTCTACCAAGGCTTGTTCTTTGTACTCGATCAGAAGAATACAAAACTAAAGTATGGAGGTTCTCTCTCGGCGACTATATGTGTTGATGATTTCTAGAGCAAACAGTCCCAAGTTGTTGAGGAGTTGGATCAAACCGCCCTAGATGCTAACTACCCTCAACTGATTGATTTAGCGGCTGAGTGGGCACCAAGCCGAAAGTCTCTAGGGGCATATGTTCTCCTTGCACGACGATGTTGTCAACTCAACACCCTCCGCTTCCTCTACGGGCTTAACATCGAGTGGACTCTCTCTGGCACTAACGAGTCAAAACTTCCTACCCTATCGGATCAGCGCGTTCAGGGGGGTTTACATCACGAGTTCCATGTTAATCATCTGAGGGACACTTGCAGTATAACGGCTGAACCTACTGGCGATCTATTACGACAAGGGTTATACTACTACTAGAGCTATACTGTTGGTAAAGAGATCCTCCTTAGCCCTGGACAGAAGCCTTATGGTTTCTCTTATCTTATGCAAGGTGGCTTCGATGATGATAGCCTTAGCAAGATACTGAGGAAAGCAGCTAGCCCGAGAGCCGCTCGGGCAATGGTCGACGCCGGGCTTCGCCATTCAAACGAGTTCATTAGAAGAAGAACACAGCGAGCGGAGAAGACCCATTCCTGTTGGCGAGGAGAGTGGCGATGCAGCTCCCAGTTAGCTAGGCTTATTGGGGAGGCTGACGATGCATGGATGCAAGAACTTGACTTTAGTGAGCCGTCACGGTCAGAATTCTTCAAAAGACATCATGGAGGCAGAAGGGCGAAGAACTCTTGCTGTAGTGCTTTCTACTGCATTCCTTCCGAGACCTACTAGAGCTTTATCCGAGCTGTAGCTTCAACCTACGTGCTCGTTCTTGATCTCATTTCGGCGTCAACACGAAACATTAGGTCGGCAGTACCTAGGGCGGTATTACTATATGCCGTTATAGCAACATTGTTGAAGACCTTTGTTAATCCTATGAACCCGAGATTTCAGTATGTCCTTGACAACGCAACTGGAATCGGCCAACCGCCCCTAACTTTACAAAACGGTAAGCCAAAGAAGAGGGGTCTGGGAATAGCGACAACTATGGAAAACTACGGCTTTAGGTTTTTACCTAACAACCTTGTTAACTGGGGGGACTTTAAAATCCACGAGGATTTGACGTCTGGTTTGGATATTCCTGGCTTTAAGATCTCTACTGGGAAGCGGGCATATGACGAGATCGAGGATAGCCCGGGTGCCTTGTTTGCAATGCTGCGAGAGCTTCTTGAGGCGGAATGGAAACACAAGGGGAGAGTGAAGATGATCTGCCGTCTGAGTAGTTATCTCATCCTGCGCGAGTACCGCAAGTACGCCTTGAAGCGTATCTGCTATGGTAAGACATTATCTAGCCTGATGATGCAGGAGATTGAGGGAGACCATGTACCCTTTACCTTCGATAGCCTTCGGCGCTTTACGGAAGGGTGCGGCCTAGAGCTCGCGATCTCTGGAAATAACAGGACGAAATATAGGGATTTGAGCCTTTTCTGGAAGTTTACTTGGGCCGATATGCCTAGAGACCCGGAAAGGGGGAAATCGAGGAAGGATCTAGGATCAACTTTCAAGAACGAAAATTGGAGGAGCTGGTATAAGAGTATAAGCGACACAATCAGCCGCCAGATCAGACTTCACAGTCGTCGAGACGCTCCTATTACGCCCGAATCGTTTGAAGAACAGCATAAGGCACTCTTCTTTTCACAGCACTCCGCATTCCCATTTCCAGGCGAGAATGGCAGCCTCGTCAAGAGCAAAGATCACCAGACGAACACAAGATGCATCTTATGCACCGGTGTATGTTATCAAGGTCAGAAGCCTGGCGCGAAATATTTGCCTCTAGATATTGTAGGCTTGAAGGAAAGGTACTATATGCTTCATCACAACGATACGGCGAGGAAGATTGGATGGGAGATTCCAATCGGGATGAGAAACATCTAGACAGCGAGCAAGATAAGGCAGGAGGTTGAAGGCTGCGTGGCAGACGGGGTTGTATAGCATTACAAGAAAATAGGGAAGGTTAGAATCTTTCAAGGGCAGATTTCCTTGATTTATGCATGCATTGAATATCAGGGAAAGAAAACTTATGACTAGTGTATGATGGCCTAGCGTGTCTGGCTATGCCTTGTAGTTGCATTACTAGGGGGCGTATGAGCTAGGGTTAAGGGGTGGAAGAAGGCATGGGCTAGGGTAGGAGAGTGCGGGTATTAATCCATCGCTAAGGATAAATAAACGCACAATCTCCTTCATATAAAAACTTTCTTCCGTCAGTTAGAAAGAATCTATTTAAGTAGCATCCGAGATGCATAAACGCAAAAGGGTCCACTTCAACGACATTGTTGAGTCCACTCCACGGCAGGGGCAAGTCCAGGAGGGCGAGGTATTATTACCGCAATCCCCACGGCAAAGCAGACACGGTAGTAGCAACCCATCTTCTCAGCAAAAATCAACATTCCGTCAAGTTCCCCGAATGCCCTTACCAGCGTTGATTAGGGAGTACAAGAGCCTCAGTATCGCTAAACAAAAAACACATATTACAACTTATATTATAAGTATAGCAGCTATAGCTGATATTCTTCTTTGTTTAGATTATGACTGGTCTATAATCAGTAAGTTCTGCTTTTGCATATAAGGCTTTAATTACTAATACTTAGTGATTTAGGTGAGGAGGTTGAGAAGACCTTAAGAAATCGTGATTCGTCTGGGTCGACCAACGACCCAATAAGCACAACAAAGCACACGACCGAACAGGAAAGTGAAGAGCAACAAAGAAGTGAGCAGCCATTTCTTCATGGATCCGACGACATCACCGCTAGTGCCGGGGCAATCATAGATAGCGACTCGCACAGAACAAGCAATATTCAATCGAAAGAGACGGAGCCGGTCGCAGCCGACAGGAGAAAGATATTACCATCCCGAGTTAGTTCTGGTAAGACAGAACCTCAACAGCAATATGCAGCGGGCGTGAAACTAAAGAAGGCACCCCGGACTCTTGAAGGTCTCAAAAGACAGATCAACGAGAAAAATTCTTCGACAATAAGGAATGAGATGCAAGACCAGTGGAATAGGTTTACTTCTGCTGGTATAGGACTGATTGACCCATCAAGTCCACGCCTTAGGGAAGAAGACTGTTACCAAATTGGAGAGTTATTATTTTGCCGTATGTTTGGGGGTAAGATCAAAGATCAGTTGTATGACTTGTTGGTGGAGTGTAACTACTCTACTGGCAAGCCTGCAGTTGAACGGCGATTTCAGACAAAGCAACTGGCAAGCGACCTGCGACAGCATAATGCGGAAGAGCTTGCTAGGTTTGCGGAGGCCTGGGGTCGGGTTGACGGGGAGAGTCTTGGTTTGCAGGCAGCGGCTGCCAAGCTACATTTGTACGCAAAGCAGTTCGAAGTTTGGGACCAGTGGCAGACTGTTAGACGACTCTACCAAGGAGACATGCAGAAGGCTTTAGAAATGAAGGCTTTCCTTGGAGATCAAGGCATTCGGCTACGCCAGGGACAAGGTGTAGATACTGGGGTTGCTATGTATCTTGCTCGAGGTCTTGGTTTTACAAAGGAGAAGAGATTGAAGGATATGATTTACGACTATACTATTATTAGAGTTCTGGTGGAAAGGCTAGGAATAGGAGTTCTGGTGTTTATACCAAGTACTATTAGCTCTTGGTAGAAGCGTTTTAGCGGTAGGAACATTGACGGGAACAGCAAGGTTCCAAGGAGAGAAAGGATTGAGGCTGTTTTCGATTTGCTCGTATCTCAAATGCCACAGGTATATACTATCTGTAAGGCAGCTGAGAAGAGTATTGTTAAAGGATTTTTGGCTGATGGTACTATTGAGGTTACAAAAGCCTTGAGAATGATAAAAGATGGGAGACTGAAGAAGGATATTCTAGAGCTACCTTTGATTGATTTTGTATATAGTCTGGATAGGGAGGATAACACATAGGGATCAAACTATTTCTTTAGGTCGCCAGTGGCGGCTAAAAGATTTAGTTGGGGTAGTAGTTGGATGTTTGGGTCGCCAGTGGCGGCCGAAAGATTTAGTAGGGGTGGTAGTTAGATGTTTGGGTCGCCAGTGGCGGCCGAAAGATTTAGTGGGGGTGGTAGTTGGATGTTTGGGTCGCCAGTGGCGGCCGAAAGATTTGGGGTGGTAGTTAGATGTTTGGGTCGCCAGTGGCGGCCGAAAGATTTAGTGGGGGTGGTAGTTGGATGTTTGGGTCGCCAGTGGCGGCCGAAAGATTTGGGGTGGTAGTTAGATGTTTGGGTCGCCAGTGGCGGCCGAAAGATTTAGTGGGGGTGGTAGTTAGATGCAACGGCGCCCGAAACATTCATTCCTATATAGATAGTAATCTTTCAAGACCATATAACGTACATGATAAGCGAGTGAGACAGACAAGCGAGTGAGACAGTAAACCGCGACCGTCGCACCTTGACGCGACCGGCACCTTTTCCTCTACAATAAATCATGGAATCAGCTAGTATTGAAAGAAGGTTACAAATTGCCCTTCAAGCAATGAGAAATGACCCAAAACTTAGTGCTCGGGCCGCAGGTGCACTCTATACAGTCAGTCACGCAACATTAAGCCGGCGACTAAAGGGAATAGTCTCACGACGCGACAGCATGCCTAATTCACGGAATTTATCAGATTTAGAAGAGAAGACAATAGTTGAGTATATTCTCGACCTAGATGCGCGATCATTTCCTCCCCGGCTGAGTGGTGTGGAAGAAATGGCCAATCGACTTCTCGCAGAGCGCGACGCGCCTCCAGTTGGGAAGCGCTGGGCTTCTAATTTCGTCAAGCGACAACCACAGCTTAGGACGCGTTTCTTTCGCAAGTATGACTATAAGAGAGCTCAATGCGAAGATCCAGAGGTGATTCGTGGCTGGTTTTCGCTTGTGAAGAATACAATTGCGAAGTATGGTATTGCTGATGCTGATATCTACAACTTTGATGAGACCGGCTTTATGATGGGCGTTATTGCTTCTGGAATGGTTGTTACAAGTGCTGAAAGGCGTTCAAATACGAAGATGACACAGCCTGGCAATAGGGAATGGGTTACAGTTATCCAGGCTATTAATTCCCAAGGGGAGAGCATCCCGCCATACATCATCGTTGCAGGCCAGTATCACCTCTCAAGCTGGTATACAGAAACCTCTCTTCCGGGCGATTGGGCTATTGCAACGTCTGAAAATGGATGGACAACAAACGAGAGAGGTATTGACTGGATCAGACACTTCGACATTTATACAAAACCACGTACGTCTGGGAAATATCGCCTCCTCGTTGTTGATGGTCATGAAAGTCACCACTCCGCAGCCTTCGAGCTCTTTTGTCAAGAAAACAACATTATTACACTGTGCATGCCGGCTCACTCGTCTCATCTACTTCAACCCTTAGATGTTGGTTGTTTTCAGCCGTTAAAGAATGCCTACGGTCGGCAAATTGAGAATAAGATGCGGCGAGGCACAACCCATATCTCGAAGGAAGATTTCTTTGCAGCATTTCACGAAGCTTTTAAGCAGTCTTTTACGAGGAAAAATATCCAGGGAGGTTTCCGAGGAGCTGGACTTGTCCCTTTGAATGCAGAAAGTGTTCTCTCAAAGCTGGATGTAAAGTTCCGAACGCCAACGCCTGAGGAGGGGGTCCCTCAGACACCAGACCCTTGGATCTCTAGGACGCCGAGCAACCCAAGCGAAGCAAGATCACAGTCTACTTTTATTAAGAGTCGAATCTCACGCCACCGAAGCAGCTCTCCAGCATCAATTTATAGTGCTGTGAGTAAGCTAGCCAGAGGGACAGAAGGACTAGGGCATCGGGTAGCATTACTAGAGTCAGAGGTTCAAATCCTTCGAGAGGAGAATGCAATATTAAGTCGGCGTCGAAGGGCTAAGAAAACACGTCTACAGAAAGGAGGAAGTCTTACTATATCTACTGGAGAGGATATACAGTCGCAAAGAGAGGCAGACACGCAACTACAAGAGGAAACGCGACGGAGTAGTGGTCGCAAAGTGAGGTCTGAGACGACTCATCGTCGGTGTGGCGTATGCGGGAATACAGGCCACAACGCGAGAACATGTCAATTTATTGAGGAAACATCCGAAGAACAGGAATCCGAGTAGTATTAATCAATCTAAGATTTCTTGTTATAGATTTCGATATTATTGTCGCGAAGGTCTGGTTTACTGTCTCACTCGCTTGTCTGTCTCACTCGCTTATCATGTACGTTAATCTTGAAAGAAATAATAAAAAGTATTATATTATTAAGAGAACGCAGAAACTAGAGAAAATTAAAGTAATTCTTCTTTAAAAAATAAATACTAGAAAAAAGTAGTAAGTATATAAAATTATAAAATAAGAAAGTCTATCTTATTACATAATAGTCACGTGATATACCACGTGATATTAAATCTAGAGTTAATAAATTAAGTAAGGAAAAGGAAAAAGAACATTATAAAAGAAAGGATAATATAGAATAAAGTAGTTTTTATTTTAAAAGTATTTAATAAAAATATAATAGTAAAATATATAATCTATAGAATTACTTTTTCTTAACTCTAACCCTATTTACCTTAACTGATATTACCTTACCTTTAGCTATAGCTATAGCTATAGCCTAGCCTAGCCTAATCTCTCTCTAAAAAACCTACCTTACTTACTTACTTAAACTTACTTACTTCCTTTAAAACAAAATTCTTACCCCGTTTTTTAACCCTAACCTGACCCTACCGGGGCGGGGCACGCCTACTACTAGCGCTTAAATTTAGCTATATTAACTTAAACTTTATAGCTCTTGTTAGTAGTAGTAATGCTAGCTATAGTAGCGTTTAGGGGCCCTTGTTGCCTACCCCTGTCTCTACCCCCTGTATAGTGACAGGGGGTGGGGAAAAACTTTTGAAGCGCTCCTCTATACTAGTAAAGCATTGCCGAGACTGCGACATATTCTGCCTGTTTCCCCGCTCTGCCATTTACCTTCCAGAACATCTATACTAAAGAAACATCGCCTAGCATCCTCAACAGATTAAACGCATCTATTAAGGCCTCGACATCCAGTATGTGTAACCCATTGAACTACACTATAGGTTGGATATGCGCCATCACCACCGAGTACGTCGCCGCACAGCTTTTTCTTGACGAGGCTCACGACCTGCCCGAGTTCGTCTCGCCACATGATAACAACAATTATGCCCTCGGTCGCATAGGTAGACACAATGTCGTCATTGCTGTGTTGCCTGAGGGTGAATACGGCACGACTTCGGCGGCTGTTGTCGCGCGGGACTTGCTCCACTCGTTTCCCAACGTCCGGATCGGTCTTATGGTAGGCGTTGGCGGCGGGTCTCCAAGCTCAAATCACGATATTCGCCTTGGGGATGTCGTGGTTAGCTCTCCGGGCAACGGCTACGGTGGGTTGTTTCAATACGACTATGGCAAGTCTATTCAGGACCAGAAATTCCAGACTACTGGGTTCCTAAACCAGCCCCCAGGAGTACTTCGAACGGCTGTAGGTAGCCTCAAAGCTGACTTTGAACAAAATGGGAACGGCCTTCATGAGGCAGTCAATGCTACGTTGCTTAAAAAGCCTCGCCTAAAGAAAAAGTACGCTCGGCCTCCTCCTGAGACTGACATACTCTTTCGGAGCGATGTTGTTTTTGACTCAAACAAGTCAATAACGCACCTGAGCCTAGACGAAAGAAACCAGATGTTGGTTTTGCGACCAGAACGCGCTGAAGATGACGACAATCCATCGATTCATTACGGGCTGATTGCATCTGCGAATCAATTAATGAAGGATGCCATAATTCGTGACAAGCTTAGCGCAACTAAAGGGGTCCTATGCTTTGAGATGGAAGCTGCCGGGCTTATGAATCATTTCCCGTGCTTGATCATAAGAGGCATCTGTGACTATGCTGATTCACATAAAAACAAAATTTGGCAGGGTTATGCAGCCATGACTGCAGCTGCTTACGCAAAGGCTCTGATTTATCGTGTTCACCATTCTAGGCTAGAGAACGAGAAAAAAATATCGGAGCTTATCTCCCAGGGTGAGTGGAAATTATGCTGATCTTTGCGATATGTTCCTCCGCTTCTAACATAGCTAGTATTCGAGGTCAATCACAACATTCTTAAAGTTCAACATTCTATTAACTTTAGTAACCTCGACAAGTTGGTTATTGCAGCAGGTGCTGAATATGACGCCCATCATAACCAGCATGAGCCAAAGTGCCATCCAAAAACAAGAATCGAATTGCTAGACAAAATTCGGACCTGGTCTGAAGATTCAAGCGACAGACGCATTTATTGGCTGAGCGGATTAGCTGGCACTGGGAAGTCAACTATTTCTCGCACTGTTGCTCAAGGTTTTCATGATAGGAAACTCCTTGGCGCAACTTTCTTTTTCAAAAGAGGCGAAACCGACCGCAATAAGGCATCTTATCTCTTCAGCACGATTGCCCGGCAGCTGACTCGACGACGACCCGAAATTTACCCCTTCGTTGTGGATGCCGTAAAAGAGACTGATAACATTTCTTCCAAGAGTATTGCAGAGCAGTTTCGCGAACTTTTACGCACTCCTTTTGAAAAGGCATACTCTGAGCTATTCTCCGAGGCGTATGAGGAGACGTACAAGAGTGTCTATATAGACCTTATTGAAAAGACAGAGAAAGAGTCGCTCAACGCAGCCTCAAAAAAGGAAAAGATACGCAAGAATACCTCCACAGGCGCCTTGGAAAAAGCATCCAAAAAAGCTTTGGAAGAGGCTCTTACAGATTCTCTTGCAGATGCACATGGCAGGGTTCCGCGAAAAATATCCAAACACTATCAGAAACCCGACCCCAAAAGTTTTGGTGGTAGAGCTCACGAGACGGCTGACGAAAAGGCACGTAAAACGGCTGAACTCAAGATCAAAGGAACCAAGACACTATTTTTAGTCCTGGACGCGCTGGATGAATGTGCGGTAGATAAGGATATTGAGATCTTCATCCCGTTACTCTCTGACCTCGCTAAGTCAAAGGTATACAAGTTGAAAGTGTTCGTCACAAGCAGACCGGAAATTGCGATTCGGTATGCGTTTAGCCCTATCACAGAGCTTTACCAGGAGAACATACTACACCAAGTCGCAGAAAGTATTGTGTCCCAAGACATTAAAGTGTTTTTAACAGATGAGTTGGCAATAATAAGGCGTAAATGGAACACCCGGGTTCAAAGAAATCCTTCTAGCCAGTTAGGCAGCGACTGGCCGGGAGACTCTAGAATCGAAATCTTAGTTCGTACTGCGGCCCAACTCTTCATCTTTGCCGCAACAGCATGTCGATTCATTGAAGATCCGTTCAGCAACCCAGAAGAACAGCTCACACGCATCATAAAGGCCGCTAGCGAAAGCGGCGTTAACGACAAAATGGCCCCGACATATCTTCCAGTGCTATGGCAGTTCAAGGCAGATAGAACCGAACCAGAAATAAGCATGCTGCTAAAGGACTTTTCAAGGATCGTTGGCACGATAATTCTCCTTGAGCAGCCATTGCCAGTCGACACGATAGCAGCCCTAGTCGATGTCAAAGCTATTACAGTTGATCGCATTTTGGACCCTCTGAGCTCAGTAATCGACATTCCTGAGGATAGGGCATGCCCAGTGAAGCCCTTTCACTTGTCCTTCCGCGATTTTCTATTAGGCTCCGCAGCCGGGGAATTTTCAATAAACCATGCACAAGCACACAAGGAGATTGCTTCCAACTGCGTGGATTTGCTTGGAAAGAGACAACCTTTACGCTACAATATATGCAATCTGCAACCCGGATACAGATCGTCGCAGATAGACCCAGGGGTGTTGGAGGCTCGGTTGCCTCCACACGTACAGTATGCTTGTCTTCACTGGGTTTATCATTTAAGAAAAGCAAATGTTTGCCTGGAAAATGATGACATGTATCATCGGTTCTTGCGGGCTCATTTCCTTCATTGGCTGGAGGCTCTCAGCTTAATGGGGGAAATTGCGCGAGTGGGACTTATGGTGGACAGTCTACTGGTAATGGCCGAAGTAAGTTTCTGGTTACGGCTCGACAGTTCAAATGCGGTCGCGATGGTGTCGCGAGGGAGCTCAGATTATTGATTGATTATAGGATTCAAGTCTTTTTGAGTTGTGCGACTTTCTTCACGAAGCCAAGTGGTTCGTAACCAAGAAAGTATTTGCTTCAAAAAATATTTCGTTCGCAGTAAACGAGTTGGTGCACCCAGGCGCTGGCAATGAGCTTCATGAATACCCACTTCAAATTTATTGGTCGGCCCTAGCCTTTACACCAACCGCAAGCAGAATACGCATAACTTTTGTTAACCTCATGCCGAGATTAATTAGCTTCCAAACATCTCGGGAAACTTTATGGACACCTTACTTAATATGCGAACTCAAAGCGCAGCCTCGAGAGAGTTACAAAGCTGTGGCAGTTTCATCAAATTCCAAGTTCATTGCGTATGTCAACAATTTGAGCAATATCCATGTCCGATTGCTCTCTACTGGCTTAAAATTTTCTTCGTTCAATATTTCAGAGCCCTTACTTCCAGGGTCGAGGTTGTCACTGGCATTCTCGAAGGAATCAACACATCTTTTCATAGGAACTTCCTCCAACATATGCATGCATCATATTGGCAAGAAAGAGCTTATATGGACGGTTTGGATCACGGAAGCTGATGTAGATCATATTTCCGTGTCATATGAGCATGACATACTCGCTTCAGCTCATAGAAACTCCTCTGTCGTTTTATGGTTGGTCTCCAACGGCGCAAGACTGGGGTCTCTTGTGAGCAATCAGCCAAATATGGAAAGTCAAATGGATCAGACCACAAGAGCTTTTGTCTCTTTTTCGAAATCTGCAAACTATTCCCTAGTGGCAGCCTCCTTTGGGCGCAACGTTTACGTATGGAATGTTTTCACAGCAGAGTGCCTCTATACATTTACGAGTTGCGCCTCCGTTGTCTGTCCAGTGACGTTCTGTTCTGACAACAAGCTTTTAGTGGCTTGTGATATTGGTGGGGAGTTCCAAATTATGGACATCAGTTTGGACTTCTCCAAGTCTTGCTTACATGAACTTGGGCCTTCCAGTGGTCAAATCGCCGTGTCTCATAATGGCAAATTTGTGGCATCCAGCTGCTACAGCAGCCCAAACCAAAGCCCGTCAATTTTTATATGGGTTGCGGACGAAAAAATTACACATCAAATTTTGGATATCCCCGAACAATGGTTTGTTCGTACGGGAACCCCCCAGCTTATGTTTTCGCATGATGGAAGGCGTTTGATTTATTCCATGGGATCGCGCATTCTCATCTGGTTAATGCCTCCAATCGATCACCCAATATCCAAAGAAATGGGAAGAACTCTACCAGGTGCCGAAACCGTCGAAACAGGTAGATGCTTCATACACGAGTCGAAAGAGGGCCAAATCGTTGTTTCGAGCCACAGCTTTGGGAAAATAAAATTTTGGTCCGCAAAAACAGGTCGGCTTGACAAAATGGTTGATGGCTTCAAGGAGGGTTATGTTCCAAACGGTGTGGTACTACCACCTGATATGAAACACATTCTCGCAGTGACAGACAAGGGACCCCATCAATTGAGGTCGTTGAATGATCCCAATGAGATTAAGATGGTACCGAAAGCTTCTCTCGGAGTGTTAGATACCTCCGGGCCTTGGTCTGCGACGTTTTCGCAGGATTCTAGATTCATTGCCATCTGCTCCTTCCACCAGTTCAGTCTATGGACAGTGGAGGCAGAAAACTTATTTCAGGACGCTCCATTTTGCGGAGTTCCGTATGCAATATCGTCAGATGGGAAACTAGCAGCGTACAGCGTGAAGTTGCCTAGGTCAGACTCAATTGGGTTGACGAGCAAGATACGGGTTTTGGCGATTGAGCAGAAAGAACAGTTCGACTTTAGAGAACAAAGTCATAAAATCTTGGCTTTGGTCTTCTCTCCGGACTCGACATGGATAGCCTCTTTTATGTTCGACTCCAAAATCGACCAACGTAAATTGTCACTTTGGCGCGTTGACAGTGGCGCCGAGTGGGTTTTCCATGATAACCTACCGAATGACATTTTCCATCTAGCGTTCTCGGCCGACTCGACAAAGCTTGCCTCAATTGACTGGAATGGAGCGATTCGACTTTGGTCAGTTGGTTCTGGCAGATGTTTCGGCATCTTGGAGTCTGGGTTGTGGTTAAGTACGATGGCCTTTTCTCCAGACGGTTTGTTACTCAGCACGCAATATGGAACAATGCTGGTACCTAAGGCACCATCCCCATCGGAAACATTAGAGACTTCCCCATATGCTCTAGACCAGGTAGAGACAATAATAGAGCAGGAACCTCAGTGGTACGGCTATGGAATTGATAGTACTGGGCGCTGGATCACGTGGTGTGGACAAAAGCTCGTATATTTATATCCTGAAATGGCAGCCACTACAAAACCTAAGGGTCCTACTAGCGCCTTAGACCAGAGAGCTATTGGAAATTGCGTTGCTGTATGGGTTACAAGATCAAGAATGCTTAACATTATAGGCTTTTATGCTCAGCCACCCCTCGGGCGCTTCTCGTCCATGCAACAACATCTAGGGTAAGAGAGGGTTAGATTTACGATCTAATATTAATATAAAGTTCTAATGTAAAATCAATTGAAGTGGCCGTGAGCCAAGGTAATGTAATCGGGACTCTTTGAAACCTAGCGGCATGTTAAGATGTGAATATAGCGACTGGTCTCTATAGGAAGCTTGAAACCAGGCCGACATGTGGTTTGCAGGCATTAGATGATTATGCTGATTGGGATCTGAGTCCTGAAATCCAGAAGTACCCCGTCAGTCGCCGTTTAGACACGTGGAAACTGGCTGTAGGTATAGGAGGCAACATCGCGGAAGGGATACTCCTTTTTCTCGCTACTGCCAAACTAGAGAACAAAAGCTAATGATACTAGCGCCTCGTAACGTTATCCTTCCTATTTATATGTGACAGCGGACAATTTACAGTATATGTAGTGCTCGCAAGACTGACACTTACTGCTGTCTGGGTCTTTGCTTTATAATACACTTGTTTTGCTAACATGGACGTGATATTCAAGCGGATGACCTACATTCTATGACTCCCAACTAAAGCAACATAAACATCAGGCATAATCTCAAAAGACCCTACCAGATCACTTCCAACTTTGAACATATATATAGGCTCTCCAGCCGTAGTAGCATAGTTATACGTTGTAGAACTAAAGACCATAATTACACCAGAATCTACGGGTTGCGAAAAGGCTACAGGCAGGTAAGTTCGAGTCTTATGAATTTAAGGTGATGGTATTGTGTATCAAAAAGATGTCTGAAAAGAAGTCCATATTCTAGTACAAAGGAACGGAATATGCCGGATCATACCAGAGTGTTGCTCCACCGAGGATTGGCTCTAGACTTAGGGGCAGTTTAGTAACCCCGTTTGCAGGTTCGTGGCGCTGAAGTGACGTTCTAGGTAGTGCTTAGACGGCCGCATTCGGGCCGAGAATGTAAACAAGTGGACTGATAAACTAGGTAACCTGCTGCTGGTGCCTCAATCACTTCATCGAATGTATTCGTATTGCAAGATCATAAACTAATTGATTGGTTTTAATTCTCGTCTCATCATATCTGTTGGAAACAATTGAAGACTTGGATTGTATCGCTCGGCATCATCTCACATATGCCGGTCGCCCGACCTCAGAATTCTTCGACGATGAGCAATATGACTCTGTTGGCCGATGCGTTTGGCTCAAAATCTTCACAGTCCCTACCAACCGATACTAGGCAGCCTCTTGTCATTGGGATTGCGTCAATGTTCATAGTCATTACCATTTTCTTCATGGCAGTTCGAGTTTACATTAGGGGCTATGAATTGAGAGCTTGGAGGCTAGATGATTCGATGTATGTGTGGTCTTGCGTAAGTATAAAGCTTTTATCCTAATCATTACATGTAATCATGAACTAACGAAAACTAAGGTTCTTGTCCTTGCTTACAGTGCCCTGACATTAGGTAGTAAGTTGTTGACGCCCTTGTCGTTGGTCGAACATTGTACTCATATTTCTTCATTCATTAGATGCGACGCAAGGGCCCCTTGGCGTACACATCTGGAATATGACGGCGGCCCAGTTCACCGCCAATGGCCATGTAAGACACAAGTTCTTTTTCAGGAGACAGCTGTTTCTCTTATACTAATCGGAATTTAGTTCGTGGTTGCTTCCGTTCTTATGTATCAAGTTTCGTTCAATTTTGTCAAAGCGACAGTTCTCCTACAGTATCGCCGGGCCTTTGCCGTACCTTACATTAAACACTTTTGCGATATATTTCTATTATTCATCTTCTTAATCATGACCGCAATGTTGATTGCCTGCGGTTTGATCTTGCGGGTGTTCTTGCAACCTGTCTATATACTAGACGGAGATGATTCGCGATTTTTGATCTTCGGTTATGTCAATGCCGCCGTCAATCTTATTACCGACATCATTATTTTTATTCTGCCTGTGCCTTTAATAGCTCGATTGAGTCTTGGAACGATGCAGAAGGCTGGATTGATAGCAAGCTTTGGGGTCGGTATCTTGTAAGTGATTCTTTTCCCAGGCGACTACTTCAAACAATTACAGACGCTCTAACAACACTAGCACCTGCGTTATTTCTATTCTCAGAATCACTAGTCTATCTTTAGGCACAGATACCTCCGACGTTAACTATCAAGGTGTTCCTTTAGTTTTGTTAAGCGTTGCAGAACCGACCTCTGGAATCGTTTGTGCCTGTGTACCGCTGCTTCGACCGTTTCTGGTCAAGTCAGGCAGCTCTCGAATAAGGAAATGCGGCAAACGAAAAACCTCAGGAGTCACTGACGACTCAAGCGCTCGAAAGGACCTGGAAGCCAGTATGCCTCCACAGTCGCCAACGAGCTTACCAACAGCATAAGTAGTTGATGTACATGATATTTGCGGGTAAAGTAGTGGAGGTATGGCATGATGTCCCGAACCAGCAAGATAATAAGCCAAACGAAAGCTTTATGAAAGGGATACTCTTTGATTTATCTCGGAACTAAGAAGGGCTCGTTCTGCGGGGTATAACCTAGAGTAAGAACTAAGCGCTAACTCTAGAGGCTGTTGCTTAGGATCTTTAATTTCAGCTCGTGAATACCTATGTACCCTACCGCTTAGCCTCTATTCAGGGGTGACAAGCTGTCTTAATCCGTCTTGCTGTGTAATACTTTAGGTACTGTTAGGTAAACTAGGTTTCCTTGTCTAATAGGGATATGAAGATTGCGGGCTTATCGAACGTGGGATAGAAATTAAGCTAGGTATAGGGGCTACCTGCTAACAGGCTGTTATAGGCTTCTCGGGACCCATACCACCCGCTTTGCTTTCTATACTATTGAGTCGTAGTTCTTTCATTCTACTCCAGCCACAAGAAGAGTCTAAGTTACTTAGTTGCTAGCTAAGTAAAGATTGCTCTTATTACTACTGCTTGTTTTAGCAGTACCTATAGCTACGTATAATATCTTAGTTATTTAAACGACGGCAGAACCTATTTATTTATACAGGAGGTAATACGTTAAGACTATAGAGGGTAGATAAGGGGATAAGATATCTAGTATAGACTCATTAGCTAAGTTCTAGTTTTAGTTTTTAAGTATATTAAAGCCTTAACTAACTATTATAAATAAACCACCTATTCTACTTCTAGTTTTTGGGTATTTTTAGTACTGGCTCTCTAGTTCCACCCGTATATCACCAGTAACAGGATCTAGCGGAGTTCTGGACACGGAAGTCGACAGAGAGACCCGAGTCACCATGTCCACTGCAGATGCCACCAGAGCTAGTAATGAGTTAGTAACAGCTCTGAATAACAATATGGTACTAGGCAAGGCAAGCATAGAAAGATTGATGCAGGGCAAGCATAAAGTAGTAGGGTGAGGGAGGGTTAGTATACTCACCAGGATGACTTTCCAGCACAGCACATGTCCCGAACATACCCCATGCCCCATCCCACCTCCCATTCTTTAACGTGTGTGTTATCAGAAAGATACATGTTTATGGCGCAGACCTTGGCGGTACCGATGGACCATGCGTACGCGGACCAGGCAGGCAAGTAGACTAAATTTTCAGGGTTGTAGTTTTGTAGCTGTCGCTGGAGCTCGTCTGCATCGGCTTGGTTGAAGTTAGAGACGCCGCCACACGAATTGGCACGCTTCTCAAGGCCGGTCGGGGGAAGCTCGCTTTGGGGGGCTGCGGTCGGCTTGGGCCGGGTGAGAGGAAATGGGCCTTCCTGGACCATTTTAAAAGCGGAAGGAGCCGCAGAAGATTCCAAGGGGAGCGCATTGGTGGCCAAGGCTCCCAGAGTAATCGTGAATAGCGAAGAGAGATACATAATGAGAACTAGGTTTTGATGTAATGGAAATTAGGATATTTCATGGGTGGGAGTGTAGTTGATGGGAACTTGCCCTGGGATTGAGGCGGCGCGATGCAGTTATATTAGAGCCGTGGATAGTTGAAATTTTTGTCTAACATTGGTTCGCAGGACTCTCGTTTGGGCATGTTGCCGTTCGAACATATTTCCACGTCAGGCAGTTCAATAACGGGATTGACAAAGCGAAAATTTTTATCTAGCTCACCGCTCCTAATTTGAGTACCATGAAGGCAAAAAGGCCACTTTCTCAGTAAGCCGCCAAGTACTGAATGGCGGTTTCAATTTAGGGAGATTAAATGTTTCCCTGTTGCGAGCTCCGTAATGAAGAATTAGGCAGAGAGGCCAGCCGAAGAAATCCACTTGAATCCACTTCGAAACTGTTGCTGAATAAGTTTAGGTGGATAGGTGTTACGGCCAGCTAACTGACAGTGGGTTTGTGTTAACAGTAAGCCAGGGATTGAGAGTAGTAACAGTCGTTCCGTGGTCCTGGTCGAATAGATCGTAGATCTTCAAAGGTCTTGGTGATCAGTCAAGGCCTCAACAAGAGTCGTAGAGTAGTCGTCACTTAGGTATAGCTGAAAGTACCGGTTAGGGTAATCACAAAGTTGATTGCTGAAGAACTAGGAAAGGTAGGACTCGAGAGGACTCGAGTCCCAACTATATACAAGTCTGGTTCCATGCTGAACACTTCCTGATCCTGGGGGACCGACACCCAGGACGTCGGTCCATCGCCATGGACCGCCCTTGGCACCGTCGGTCCTGTCCCAGGACCGCTTATCGTCCGTCGGTCCTGCTTATCGTCACGTGACCTGTATCCTAGTTCTTCCGTTCCGTGGGGGTTGTTACGACGTAACGGCTGACGGCCGTCCCTATAACCGCTGAGCCCCTGCGGGGTCGTCGTCAGTGGTCTGTTAACTGTCGGGTCGTAACAATAGGATAGCAAGACTTCGTTCTAGCCCCCTTTAGTGATAAGCGATTGGCTAAAGTCTAAAAATAGGAATCTTAATCCTCATCATGCTTGGATAGATCGGTCCGGGCCGAGCCCACTGCAGACGAATCTGTAATCTTACTGGTTGAGTTCATATGGTTGCTTACACATTGGTGACAGTCCCATTATTATGTTATGGAAATGGACTGTAGACTTGCAGCTGCAAAACCTCGTTAAGGTTTGTTCCTGTAATGGAGTCTATGTCAACAGTCAATGTAGAAGAGAAAACCAGACCGACTGGAATGAAATACGTATATATTCGGCCAGTCGTCGATTAGTCGGAACACCTCATCACTCAAGCTTCTTTTAGTCTTACCTTCCGCTGAAACACTAAGCAAATACTTCAACATGCGTACTCAATCTTTTCTGACGGCTATTGCATCAGTCGTTTATTCTGCGGCTGCTGCACCTACTGAAGATCACCCAGGCTCTCTTTTTTCTGGCCCTTTCAATATCACTGATGCAGCGGAGACTGGGAACTCACTGCTCACTCTCACTAAGCGAGATGATTGCGGCACCTTAGGTGCCCTCTTCAGCAAGAACAGCATCAACAACCTCATGTGGGACCTCCAGAACAACAACCCGGATGAGATGACCTACGTCCCCCATAACAACTTCGTGACTTGGTCAAACGGCGACGCCCGAGTTTGCGTAAAGAATACGTATTTCACGGAAAATACGCACGTCAAACGGTAATTACCTTAGGCCTTTCGGTGGAACATCTGCTAATACACACTTTAGCTGGGAGGTTGGTTGGGCCGTTGGGTATATCCGCGACATGTGCTGTAATGCTTCAGGCAACTCGCAATGGTATGTTTATTTCTAGACACAATTAGTCTACAGCAGGCTAAACTAACCCCAAATAGTGAGGGAGGCCAGTCCTTGGCTCATGGTGACAGTGGTCTGCCGCTTGTTGTGTATCTGCGCTCTTCATCTCGTAGCTGCGGTGCGATTAATAACTAGAAAGTATTTAAACTAAATTTTTTAGAGAAATCTATTATTATCAAAGTAAAAAGAGAATAAATACATAAGCGTCTAGATAATTAAATTTACATCCTATATAAAAAAGCTTTTTGACATAAGCATGGGGCCCTATATAGCCATCCATGCTACGACGGTGCTCTCTAAACTGGCCCTTAGAGTTGTTAAGGCTGCTGCCTAACTATCAATACTAAATGCTAGCACAAACTTCCCCTTCGCATTAGCTCACAAGCAAGTCTATGGTCTCCCACAGTCCTGAGAGGAACCAGGGCTTTTGCTGGCCATTTATCATGTTGATAGTATCCTCAAGAAGTCTGGAGACTCCAGCAAACGCGGCATATATATCAAATAGATTTACACAGATCAGAAGAAGCGGGCCTCAGTACTTGATGTCTGCTTCAACATTGTTAGTCAGCATTCGTTACTAGATAACTTATCGATGCTACCTATATGCAGTAGAACCACTTACCGAAGCCCCTTTTGTCCTCTACTGGGGGTTGCTGGTAGGATATATTACTATAGTAATAACTAGACTATAGGTGGCTGCGTCTGTCTTCGCACCCGTATCTAGGCCGTTACGTGGAGGGTTAGGATCAATATCAGACGTGCTCCTTACACTAGGGCGGGGCTAAACTTCATGTATGGTATCACGTGCTTGTATTCTTGGCTCTGACCTGGTCTCATCGCGTGCTTCCATACAAATGGGGTGACGTAAACTAACTGCCGCATTCGTTAAAGGCACGACTGTGCGACTAGTAGTTGACACGGCCTACTTGAGGTATCAATTCTAGCCGTTCCCGTTGAGTAGAGCCCAAGTTAACGATTCATTTTTAGTGATTTTGCCACTATTAAGAAAGCCTTTTACTTGCTCGATGTTTGCAGTATTACGCCTGGATTCGGTGGCGCCCCAACTAAAAGGCCTATCTAGGAAAATAGCTCTATAAAGTTTATGCCAGCCTAGGCTCCTTCTTAACAAATCATGCCTTTTTCTGCCCAAGCAAGTCGACTTATAATTTGTACTTGAAGACCGCCATCTGTGACGCACACGATGTTGCCACAGCAGTCACCTAAGACTTAAGTCTTGGCATGAGACAATCATCAAATCGCTTCCCACCGACAACTGACCTCTGGAATACTTGACCCCAAAAACCTGGCTACGCAGGTTAAAAAGCCCGGATTACCACCTCCGGCTCTTTTTTGTCCTTTTTCTGCTAGTAAGGATGTGGGAAATGGATATTTCTTAGTCGACACTCCTCGGTAACCATCATTGCTGCTCTAAACGCAGTCACACAATCATAACTTGCTGTATGCATCACAAACGTTTACTTTTCGACAGAGGAGCCTTTTTAGACTCTATCGACCACAAAATGAATGGACAGGTTTCTATATCCTCAGGGGGGGCTAGTGAAGAGAAGCTTCACACTAAAAAGCCAGCCATGTCAGCCGAAGTCCGCTCCCTACATCCGCCAGAGAACTGTGGCCCACTGGATGGGCAGTTTTCGGCAGCTTCCAAAATTGTCAACGGCTGGTGGAGTCTGGAGTTGATGTCTATGGCCATTGGTCTGACATTATTCGGCCTTGTTTTGGGGCTTCTGAAGACTTATGACGGCGCGATTATAGACGACGGGTATTGGTTTCAACGAATCCACTCGCCTTTTAAAAGCTTACAGTCTGTGGTTGCGCAATTAAATACTTTATTGAAGGTCGTCATGACATTTCTCGTCGCTGCAGCAATGGGTCAACTCAAATGGCACCATTTTCTGCAGCACTCCCCGAAACCAGTTGCGTCTTTGCAAGCATTTGATGCAGCATCTCGAGGGCCGGGTGGATCTTTTAAACTACTTTTCTCGGCATACAGATTGTGAGTCTGATAGACCATTACTCAAATGTAAAGATAAAATCCGGGCGCTTTGACTAACGCAACTATGTTCAGTCACTCGCGCAACATCGCTTTAGGCTGCTTCTTCTTCCTTGGCACTCTGTATTTGTCGTCTGCGATTCAAAACACTGTTGTTCAAGGGTCAGAGGTCCGCTGGTATACGAAGAGCACTAGATTTCCAAATGCATTTTTGCGTTTCTGTAATTTTTATAACAAGACTGTACCCGTTAACTTGAAAAGCTCCGGGGTTGACTTCCCAACGGCGGACCCAAGCATGCAGGCGTCGATTTTCGCTGGATGGTCATACCACCTCACACCTCACGCACCCAACGAGACCAACCTGCTTCCGGTTGACTGTTCTACTGGAGTTTGCCTTTGGGAAAATGTCACCACACTGGAAGTCGGTTACCAGTGCCGGGATGAAATACCCTCTAGGGTTGATAACGGCTTTATCTATTCGGACCAAGCAAATATTACCAACCGCATTGAAACTCAAGGAGACGATGGATCCTCGGTCTTTAGGCCCGCATCGCTTCGCATCAAATCAAGCCCTGAGCTACCGAGAGACAGCACCTTCAATAACTCATTCGCCGAAAATCCTGGGTTAATTGTTCATTTAGCAGCGATATCCCAGAATGGCCCGGAGCGGCAACAGGAGGTAGTAGAATGCATCCTGTATTGGCAACTGAAAACGTATATCAACACAACCCACAATGCCATAAATATCTCTAGGACTCCTATTAGCGGGGGAGAAGTCCGATTCTCAAATCACACGCCAGTAATCAAGTCAGCAGAAACCGGTAATGACAATATTACTTTTCAAGGACCGTGTAATCTAAATATCAACAACACCAAGACTTCTAACGATACTTGTCTATATAATGTTTCGACTCTCGCACATAAAGGACTTCAACACTTTTTAAATCATTTTATCGTGGGCTACGTATACCAAGAACAGTCTGACAACAAAAAAGCCTTATCGACAGACAACATACATATGGAATTGTTTAAATGGGCATGGCAGAAAAAACTTCAAAGTTTGCTTCCTGATCCGTTAAACATAACGATGGACGTCTATGCGAATAACATAGCTTTATATATGACCGAACACATCGGGACTATTTCCTCAGACTGGACCTCGGGTTATGTGGGCACAAGTCAGTATTATGTTGTCAACTGGTCTTTCGTTTTGTATCCAGGCATCATGCTCATGTTGAGCATCTACCTCTGCATATTCGCTATTTGGCGGACGCGCGATCTGCCTACCTGGAAAACGTCACTCTTACCTTTTCTTTACCACGGGTTTGAGGAGCCAGTGCGTCATCAGGGAGCGGATGTCACTCACCTGGCATGGATGGAAGGGGCGAGCAAACGCCAACAAGTAGCTTTGCGGGATGACAATGACGGTTTGGGTTTAAAGCTACGGCAGATCAGTGTTTGAGGTCCTTTCATTTAAGATTTCAACAGGGTTGGAGACTCAAGGCAGCTGTGAGGTTATTGCTTTCCATAGTTTAAGCGTTGTGCTTCAAAGCACCGAAACAGGCCCGCTTCTCAGTTTGACATGAATGACCAAGGGATGGCACCATGATGCAAAATCATAACCAGTCACCACCGACGGAACGGCAGTCCATGGTCGTTTACTTTTAATATATCTCTAGGTGGGGTATATGAAAGGTCGAATACCGAGGTTTATTATCTGTAGCATTGTGACGTTTGATTTTACAGCTTGTGGATGAAACGCCACAATGCCGAGGAATATTTACGAAGAAGTCAATCCTCGGCGGCATTTATTAATCGAATTTACAGCCTTAAAATCTTCACAGAGAAAAGACTTGAATTTTCGTCTTACATTATATGTACTTGTGTCGGCTCTTTTTCAGTGAACCTTAGGTACACTTTCTCCGCGGCTGAATGAAATACTTCGTCATACGTATTCGTCAGAGCATTACATAACTTTTGGTTAGCTTTATTTTGCTTTGGGCCATTCTTCTATTTTTAAATATTCTGGCCGCCAAAATGCTCAGGTGCCCCAGGCAATAGGAGCCGCTTAGCTAGAACCGTGGGCGTTGCTGGTTAAAATACCGACCTTTTAGTCGCTTAGCTGTTAGGAAAAACTGTATAATCAACTGACTGCCTCAATATTTTCTACTTTGGTATCATGGTTTGCTAGAAATCGGTACAGCGTCTGCTCGACCGACCATACGTACCTAATCCAGCTGACTATGTGGACCCTTTCACTCACCTCGTCGAAAGTACGGTGCTTTTTGTTGGATGGCATGTGGTCTTCTAATTTCGCAAGCCGGCGAAAGTGGCCTTCGGACGGTGGCCGCAAACCTGTCGCCAACATTTTCGCTTACGCGCTGGTAGATCCATCTGTGAGTTTCGGTCAGCCACTCTGCCCAAGACCTAAGCTGAACGGGTTCCCACTTCATATAAAGCTGTGAACAGGTCAACAGCTTACATGTGTCTAACGTTACTCCGCCATAATACAGAGCATTTCTTTTCTGGATGCCCTCGTACCAGTCCCACACCTCTTTCTTCATAAGTTTGTTCTTAAGCATTTCTTTGAAACCCTAGTTAAGGTGTTTCTCCAGATTCCTCCCAAACCATGCCGAATTCTTATGACATTATCCAGAATTCAAGAGGTGGAATGAAGACTTTACATCTTAATTTGCGCCTAATTCAGGCTTTGAAAAGCTCTTCTGTTAGACGAAGGCTACACCTGGAATATGTTTACAAGTATTTAGTCATCTCAGTGTAGCCTAGATCATGTTGGAGAGGAGATTCATGCGGCACAGGTGGCTTGGACCGTGTACCAGGCATTGAACAACTAGTGCTTCTGGAAGATTTTGACCTGGAGAATAATCCAACGGCAAAGGGATACTGGATGGAGCTTTTGGCCACGCGGGAGTAACTGTCCCAAGCCCGAAAGGAAACTCAGTATTTGAACGTTGGTTTTCGAGCTGTTATCAAATGCCAATCTAGCACTAGAAGATGAAAAATGGAAGTTGGCTGCCGAAACACGCAAATTGTGCAAAGAGAATGAGAAGCTGAAAGAAGACGTCTGTGGAAATTTCAAGATGGAAAGAAAAGCATAACGGAAGCAGTTCCGATTCAACCAGCCCCCTCTAAGCAGGAGGCATGAAGAAGCGAAGGCGGACAGGACGACACAAGACATAAAGATGCGGAAGGAGCATGAGGATCATTACGAGGAGGATTAGAGAAGGCTTCATGAGCTCTTCGCAGCCGCCGAGAACAAGGATTATGATATCAGTCCTACATAAAGTAAATCAAGTGGAGGATTGCACTAGACAGAGATGAGCACTACTTTGCGTCAGAGCAGGAGAGACTAGTACATCGAAGCTTTCGCTCCTTTTATCTCTCGGCCATCTCGCCTGCTGGAAGAACCGTAGACCACGGATAAATCTTTCGCAGAAGATATATAATACAATGAACATCATCATGAATACTCCCGCAAGCGGTGTCTAGGGCGCTCTTAGTGGCCTGTTCACGAACCCAAACAAATCCTCATCGATTCAACAATATCTGCTCAAACTGTGATCCTACGTACGACGGTGAGGTAAAGTCGATCCTATCAAAAGGCCAGACACACAAACTGCTACGAAACTAGCCGATATATGTCAGAGAAGTTTTGGCGATTGCAGCTTTTCGAGTGCCGACGAGACTTGGATCCTTCGACCTTGCACTACTCTCCGACCTTACTGGCGCCCTAGGGCACCTTTTCGAAGGGGCTTAGGCCGTTTTGGCGTCGTGTTTCGAGCCGATTGATCATGGGGCAGACAAATGATAATGACCCCGAGCTTGTTCCTCTAATCCGGCGCCTGTGAACCCCGGAATCCCGGCCAAAGAACAATGTTTGGCTCCGATCCGGTTCCGGGTCTAGCGAATCCCGTGCATCATCATGCGCAAGGGCACCTCAGGCACGCCAATGACGCAGACCCAAACCGCGGCATGAATCTAAAGGGCATTGATGAAGCAATCTTATTATGGCCTCTTTTTAATCACGGCCTCTGGAGCTCTTTTGCGCTCACCTATCGCAAGTCTGGCAAGTTTATTAGTTTCCAGAAACTTATAAAGATTAGAGTCTAATGTTTTACTTACCAAAGCGTAACTCCGTATGTGGCGTTCTTGGAAAATACTCGGCCCCTTTCGCTGGTGGGAGAAACAAGGCCTAGTAATTCAAGACCCGCTATCTGTGGATGCGTTGCGCTTGGTGATGAGCGTGATATGTGTTGCATTCTTATCCTTGAAGGTCAACGCGAATTTTGCTGGAGCTGGCCATTATCGCCTGAAACGCTTCATTCCTCTGCTTCAATCAAATGCTCAACCATCCCTAGTTTATAATCCTTTATCTAATAATACTTAGAATGGCTAATTGTGTGGTTGTTTCGCTGAGCTTGACATGGGAATGTTGTAAGCCGAGACAAGCAAGGGGTAGTCGTTGTATGCCGAATCTGTGTTGAGCCTCTGAGTCATGTTTCGACGCCATGGCTCTCTAGACTCAAATCGTGTCTCATTCACAGGCAGGAGTAGGGAGGATATAAGTTCCATGAGATAATTGCCATCGCAAGTGCCCCTGGATATTTTACCCCTTTATCGCTAGGGGTCAACACACCAGAGCTATATATCGACCCGTCTCTTTTCCCTTTTTCTATCACCACGGGTTCGGCAGATTATATATTTTACCAAGTCATGGTGTCACTGTCCCCAAAAGTCGCTCCGATCGCCATACTGGTGGCGGTTTGGGTCATCGCCCTATCTGCTCGCCATGGAGCCGTTGCCCCTGAGGTTGGCGACTATGTAGGCGAGAAAGCGGCTCATTATAGAAACAAGGTATCGGATTACTTCCAACGCAGGAGGGGATGGAAAGAACCCGACTTCAAGGCCGCTTGGCTTGCGGCGGACGTTGACCTCAACACGACCCGGATCTCGCAATACTGCGCCAAGTCCACGTGGCGAGAAGACATCGTCCTGGAACTGTACATGGCCCGCGGCGGCCTCGGCAACATACGCGCCGAGATCCTCGACTTCATCCACTTGGCCGTCATCGTTGGCGCGCCCATAATTCTGCCCCAGTACTCGATGCGCCGGTCCAAAAGCTCAGGGGCTGATGCCCTCGGTTTCCCCGACGAGGACATTGGCTGGCACGACTTCGGACACATCTTCGACACGGAGTGGTTCGTCTCCACAATGCGCGAGCACTGCCCTCAGATGACTATCTACCGCACACTCGCCAACAACCCCAGCAACACGACCATCGAGAACATCTTTAGTCCGGTCCGCGCCCGCACCGACTGCAACGCCGATGAGACAGAGGCCGCTGCAGTCCAGGCCCTCAATGATTGGATCCCTCAGCAGCCCGGTTACGTCCCAGGCAGCCCGGTCCGCATAAGGGTCAAGGCCAACCTGCTCATCTACAACATGCACCTGCGCCCGAAGCTGCGGACGGCGTTAGGCCGGCTGCTGCGAATCGCGCCGACCATTCGGGAGCTGGCGGCCGAGACGTCGTTCGCATTGCACGAGCGGTACGGTGATCTGGTGCAGGTTGACCCACGAGAGCAGCTGCACCGGGGCGGATACTGCGGCGTGCACATGCGCACCGAAGAAGACGCAGTGAGGGTCGGCTGGACCGGCTATTTCAGCTTCAAGAGTCAAACAAACGAGTTCATTGAGCTGTGCGGGCGGAAGGGATTCCGCGTTATGTACGTCGCCAGCGGGCGGCAGGAAGACATTGATCGGCTTGCGACCAAAGCATGGGAGACGGCGGGAATGACGGTGATCAGCAAGTCCGACCTTCTGGACACGCAGCGACACAGGGATTTGCTCAAAGAGATGTCTTTTGACCAGTTAGGTGCGCTGGACTACGAAGTTCTTGCGCGGTCGAGCTTTTTCATTGGGCCGGAGATGAGCAGCTTCAGCTGGAACCTTGCTATTAGGAGGCATTTCAACAACCCCGAAACCTGCGACGGTTCAGCGGCCTGTGTGTATCCATATGCAATTCAAGAGGACGAGCCGCTGGTTGTGTTTGATGACAGTATTAGTCGGATCATTCTCAAGCCAAATGGTATAGGGTACTTGCAGGCGTTCGCACCAGGGGGCATGTTCCCATAGCGACGGCTCTGAGTTATGATGTCTGCCGATGGTGAAATAAGATTAGAGTTTCAAAACGTGTTGGCCATTGCGTGCCTTTTGTAAGAAAACAAAGGATAAATCATTTTATGTTGGGTCGATACATTTACTGAACCCAACACGTTCTGAATACAATATCCAAGCCTTAGTTTGCTGGATCTATTAGGCCTACTACCCTTCAAAGAAACCTTTCGTACACCGTCTCACTACCTCCGCCATTACGTTAAAAAAACCACCTTGCTTTCGAAATCAATAACAGTTCTTTTGAATGCTTTGCTCCGAAAACGTACCGTGGACCGGTCGATCAGAACAAAAAGAATTCTAGTAGTATCTTTAGTTAGTGAACTGTCTTCGACTAGGTGAATGTAACTGGTGTTAGCGCCAGGGTGGTCGATTCCCTCCTCGTATTTTTCTATTTTCCCTTACCCAGGATGCAAACCGAGCCATATCATTTCAGGTAGGTAGTAAATAATGCTAGGTGTCTCTAACCCGAATGTAGTTTAAAGACGAAAACCGACGTAAGATCGTATTACCAAATAACCTTAGCACAAGCTTTTGTTCTTAACACTACTTGGATGTGACTATTAGGTCCCATAGTTGCTTACCCGATCAAATGTGCTCCTTAATCTCCTAGATGATGAGGGTTTTGAAACGACAGGATGGCAGGATGGGCTAAAACACCCTCTCCAGCCATTGTAAACAGTTCCCACCCACGGTCAAGCCAGAAACTCGGGAGTCGGATGGCGTGACGGATGCGAGCAAGAAGAACTGAAGTTCCTGATGTGTTTCATGGAGCGATGGGTACACTGTGAGGGAAAGTTATATCAAGCAGCCGGAGTACCTATGTGAAGGGAGTCTCTGTAGGACTAATTAAATATCTCTCTTGAAGTGGTGAAGTCTTGATGTGAGCCACAAAAAGTATTGACATGAATTTGTACTTATTACTAAGAAATCAAAATTACAAGCATAAGATCGTATTTCAAGGATGTAATCTCTTGACTCTACAAGACCAAACATTTTGCCCATCAATCTTAGATAATATGTCCCTTGACTTGCTTTATGGTTCTAACGTCAATGTCTCGCCAAAATGCCACAGCAACAAAGGCGATAGCCCAAATAGCAGTTCCTGCAGCTAACATCATTGCTTGTGCGTCTCCGTAGGCGCGTTGGATTGCTGCTCTGGTAGGCGTCCCGACTGGATAAGAGAGCTGCGTTTCAATCATGCTATAAATAGTGAGCAGATTTGGCTGTTCCTCTACCGGCAAGTATTCGGCCAATTTGACTGGGAAAACGGCCTGCCAGATTGCACCGGAAACCGTAGAGCCTATGGCGCCACCGATAGAAGAGAACATAGAAACAAGCGCAACCATGACTGCAACATGTTGATGCTTGGACACGGCCATGGCAGAGAGCTGAGGTGTCTGCATTAGTATACCGGAAGAAGCAGAGAGAAAAATCTGACATATGATGATGTAGCCAATAGACATGTCTGGGTCCCTGAAGTAAATCAAGAGGCCCATAAACAGGGTGTAAATAGGCATAGCAACATATAGCGTGATTGGCTTGAAGCGACCAGTGTACCGAATGACAAGGCCCGCCACAAAAGCGAACAGGCTGCCCCCAAGTCCGTAGATCTGGACTACGTAGCTGGCATTTGTGACGCTGAGGTCGTTGACGACTTGGAGAAAAGAGCCAAACAGGCTAAACCAGCAAAAATAGCTGATAAAGAGAACCGCACCAAGTACACAACCACCAACCACGTTGCGGTCGAGCAGCAGGTCGTAGGGAATGAAAGTAACGGGTGCAAAAAATCTCTCCCATATAACAAAGAGTATCATCAGCAGTATGCCGAAGACTAACAGGCAGATTATGAGTGGAGATTTCCATCCTAGGGGTTGTAGTGCGTAGAGGTTGAACGGCGAGAGGAACATTGCGAGACCAGCAGATACCAGAATGAGTCCGACAGCGTCGAACTCGCGGAAGTAGTAGACGAGCGACTGAGTAAAGAGTCGTGTCTCCTTCTCCTTGAAGACAATACCCTGGGATTTCGCCTTGTGATAGTTGAATATCAACAAGCCAAACAAGGGCAGACACATGACTGGGACCATGATGGTAAAGAGACCCAGGCACCATTGCCAGCCTGGCCCTTTGAGAAAAGCTTCCGCAATTGGACCACCGAGCCATATAGTGATGATATTCGGAGATGATGCCAATGCCGACATAAGAGCTCGATTGCGCAGGCTACTTATATCTGCGACAAAAATACCAACGGTATAGAGAAGCCCGTTTGTACCAACAGTCCAAAAAATCTGAGCAGCGGCGTACATCTCAACGCTTGTCGTAGCGGCCATCATGATGAGACCGATGGTAGCGATAAAAAGGGCCGCGGCATACCCATGCGGTCGCCCAAAGACGTCGAGGATCTTGGCGACGGTCAAGTTACATACTCCTCCGATAACGGAACTTAGGACCGTAACCGTAGGCGTGAGGGAGTGCAACTGGAACGCTGAAGTTATATAGGGAGTCAGCGCTCCAGTAGTGCCTTGTTGCATGAGCATAACAAAGTAGACGATCCAAACGAAAGCAACTGAGAAGATGATTGAGGTTTGAGACCAGACGCTGGTGATGGCTTCAACACCTTGAACACCGGCCTGGGCTTCTTTGTCGATTGTGGTGTCGTCATCTTGTGCCGAGTGCGAGTCGAAGCCTAAATTGGTGATGACAGCACCTGCAGTCTCCTTGACTTCATCGTCGCTTTGCGTTGGTACAGGATAGTTGGCCATTTTTGTAGCAGTCGACATGAACCAGGCAACCACGTTGTCATCAAAATCAAGAAAAATGAGTATTGAGAAACCAGGAACCTGTATGTGAGCTGCTCGAGAAGCAGGCGCTTGCCTTTATCAATTAACACGGTCTTTAAAATCCAGCGAAGGATCAGAGAGTCCTGAAGAGTTGAGCAAGTATTCACACAACAGGTTAGGCTAGCTTTCGAATCCCTCTAAGAGACGCACGAGGATCCTACAAATATTGATGAGCCGAAAAGTACGACTGCCGTTTGACTGGATCCTGAATGATAGCGTTGTCCGGATTGAGTGCCACCGGCGCATCTAGACCCGCTATGCCCCGATCACAGCAGTAGCAGTACACCAATAAGAATCAGCGCAAATTAACTCATTCGTAGAATTTGATATCGCTATCGCCCCGGAGCTACTGCGTTTCTAGCAATCTTCCCCTTCTCACCTCATTTTTGACTGTGAGAAGTGTTTCATAATCACGAATCACAACCAACGCCACGGCACCGGCAAAAGCTCATTGACGGCCGTAGGCCTCACTGGCAATCACGCCGCCACCGTGCAGGTGATGCAAAGCCAGCCACGCCACCAACGACTGCCTCGTTTATATGGCCACAAAGAGTGTGAAATTATAGCCAACACCCATTCGAGTGATGAAATGTATCTCTGAGCTGATAAAAGGCGCTATCTAGCGGGTAGCGTCAGGCTTGTATGAAGTAGCCTCGCTTCTATTCCGAACTGAGAATTTGCGCATGAAACCGAGGTCCATCATTTCGGGCAGCCAACATGCTTGGAGAATAGATACAGTAGGGCCATAACTAAATACAGCGATTTGATTCTGCGTACCAACCAGGTAGGTGGCCAAGAATTATGTAGATATACTAGTAGTCAGTACGGAGCCGTATCCTTGACTATTTCGGATCCTTGGCCATTTCGGATGAAAACGTCGTTCATATATGGAAAACTTCCTTTACCAGCCCTGGCCTGCTAAGCTTTTGATACAACGAGAACAGGGACGGACGTGGCTTACCAGTAGTCCTTGGAAGACGCCCAAACCCCGGCCATTGGGTCAATGGCCCCTATCATAAGGTCGACGACTACCATCGTCAGCCTCCCTGTTACTTGGCCAACTTGCACAGTTCCAATCACGAAGCATCGCTCGTGTGTTTAAATCCGCATAGGTGGATACGCTCCATCTCAATGCATATTGGTTGCATGTAGGTTTACCCGCAGTCCTGAATTTGCCCTATTGGGTTAGATCTCCTCTTATATTTCCATATTTTCCTATTTCACACTGCCAAGCATCAAGGAGGACTCGTCCACAACCTGTAACTTCTCGCATTCCTTTCGAATCAGTAAAGAGTCCCTTGTAAACAGTGAAAGCCGCGTGTCCCCTCGACTTTGTTGCTCAGGGATGCTCGCCGAGTGTTTGGAAGCTCCAAGCCCGCAATTCTCATGCCCGCGATGTCTTTCATAGAATCGTGACTGTGTGTCTGGAGTGACTGCACTGCTCCTTGGTGCCTGCGGCTGCACCTCCGTCATGTTGGGCAACTACTCTGCTGTCTCTTTACAAATGGAAATGTGATCTGATAAGGACTCATCACGGGTGATAAGACAATGCAAAAGGGAACAGGTCTTACATGCGCTTAGTCAAACTGCTTTCATGACTGAATTAAGCTTTCGCAGGGTTTCGTTAATAAAATGTTATACGTATAAGGGCCTTTAGCAGATGCTTGATGCAAAGGTGCTACCTACTTAATCTAAGTGCAAAAAGATACCGTTGGTAACTAGCATAGAAATACCCATAAGAGCGTATACGGACAGATTTCTCTCAATGCATACTAACTAGAAGTCTTGCCTGTAGCTTAAAAGTCATGGAGGCGAACATGGAGCGCTCATCAAGCCGGGTCCGGGACTCAAATTTCTAAAGGTAAGATCCATCGGCCAAGAGTTTGGTGGTAATTACCAAGCTGGACTAAGTGGTTTTGCCGCCATCACACACTCTAGGAAAGAGATAGGAGCAGGTGGGGGCGGGCGGCAAAGTGTTTGATAATCATTGGCTAGACCTTGTATTTGTACCCCACATCGGTAAACGATCACCCGGAAGAAAGGGAGTCATGGGTGTGCCACCTAACTGTTCAGAGGCAGAAAATAAATGGTTCCTACAATACACAGCAAATTCCTGGCGTGGAATGATCTGCTTATCTAAGGCAACTTGCATACGGTGAAGAATTGATTACCTTGGCCAAAAGGTTCTCGCAGCTAACGTTCCTTCATGCAACAGGCATTGTCGAACCATGAAGACAACTCCAGATCTCGGTGGCCTGAAATGGATTCGCACCATGTGGGGGCTAGAGCCTCGGTGGTCGGTTGAACTCGACGAAGACGCGATTAAAGAGACTGTTCAGGCGGCGCTCCATCTCACCGGAATATTTGATATCGAATTTTTAGCAAAGGGGGTATTCAACAGGCTTTACACCTTAAAATCTGCCGACAAGGAGCTGGTTGCCAGGGTTACTTTACCTATCGACCCCAAATGGAAAACCCTAAGCGAGGTTGCAACGATGCAATGGGTAACCCAGAACACATCACTTCCGGTGCCTCGCGTTCTAGCCTATAACGCCGTCAGATCAAATCCTATCGGGTTTGAATGGATCGTGATGGACAAGGTCCCAGGCAAGCCGTGGGCAGATATTTGGCAATCGATCTCATTTGGCGCAAAGACCAAGATTGTCTGCCAAGTTGCTCTGTTTTGCTCAAACACCTTCCAAAAGCAAATGACAGGTATCGGCAGCTTATTCAAACACACGGACGAACTCAAATTTACATCAACTCAGCTTAATAAGACTTGGTCTCCATCAGCAAGTCTTCTGGAAGAGTCTAGTCCTCTAGACTCTTCCCACGATCGAGAACCTGATGATATAGAATCATGTACATCCTCAACTTTCCATCTTGGGAGAACGGTTTCCACGTCTTTCATCACCCGGGCAACTCACGCTAACGTATCCTATGGTCCGTTTGCTACTGGTCGAGATTGGTTGTGTGCAAGACTAGATGTTGCGGAGCGCGATTGTCGCCATCGTTTGGCCATCGTGAAGCGTTGTGCTTTGAAGACCGAAAATGAACAGCAAGAACAACCTAAGCATATGCAAACTGTAACGAAAACAATTCGAGAAGATCACAATGACGAAAATACAGATAGAGAGAGCGACCAGCCTGAACAAATCAACCAAGGTTGTGTTGAGGATGATATAGACGAAGTTGCCAAATGTTTTCAGGTTTCTATTGATCAAGGCTCTCTCAGCATCATCGAGGGCCAAGTAATCGCCGAGGATGAAGACCCAGAGCTTGGTAGTGAAAGTGATAAGGACGAAGACGACGAAGAAGAAGATCTAGAGGACCTCGAAAATTCTCTTCTCATTATCGCAAAACTGCGAAACCAGCTTGACAACTTTTTCCCCAAGGCTCAGCCTGACTCAAGTCCCGAACCCTCCATGATTTTCCACGACGACTTGAGTCGACATAACATCCTTATCGACGAGAATGGCCTCCTTTCTGCTGTTGTGGACTGGGAATGTGTTTCTACGTTACCATTGTCAATAGCCTGCCAGTATCCTTCGTTTCTTCAAGGGCACACACTTGATACTGAGCCGATTAAGAGCAAATACCAACACGATGAAGATGGAGAAGTTACGGAGCTTTACTGGGAACACCTTGAGAACTATGAGTTGACACAGTTACGGCGCGTCTTTTTGGAGGAAATGCAAAAGTTACAACCGGGATGGGTCAAAGTCTTTTACTCCAGCAAGCGGCAGAGGGATTATGTTCTCGCCCTTGAGGCATTTGATGACCTTTTCATGATTCGCAGAATTCTGAGTTGGCTTGAGGATGTGGAGTCGGAGAAATCTGTCTTTCCAGGGCTAGAGGATCGGATAGACGCAGGCACACTCTGAAACTAGTGCCTATACTCAGCTATATGTTTTCTAGTTATTATGTAGTGGCTAATTGGAGTGAAGTGAAGAGAGTACCAGGGCATTAAAGATCGGGGCTGCCTCAATGCTTCGGGAAGTTATGAACTTCTATTTCTATGTAACAGCAACCGGAAGCATATAATCCCAAATTTTGGCTTGCTTCGACTTGAACATATAACATGACTTCTTGTGGCGCTACAATCTAGTTTGTGCAGAAAAGAATAGGAAACTAGTGGGAAGATTTAAACCTGCTTGTAGTGGTAGTATGTAGCAAGACCACTCGGACTTCTGTTTTTACTCCGCGTATCTAGGGTTACAAATAACCCTAAGAACGCCATACAACCCGCGAGATAGATAGTCACAAGTGAGCATCCTCATCAAGCTCTTTCAGAAATTAGGAAAGAAATTCAATAGCTCTGAGCAAATGTAACCAGCACCAATATTGTTCTTTTCGCACAACTCACTAATTCAATATACGGTTTCTGATTGCCCAGGTAGATAGGGTCACATGCGACTGCAAAGGCAATTATCAATAGCCACAAAGTCACAAAAGTCGAGAGTACAATGGCTACTGACATATATATTGACATCACCGAGGCTGTGAGTCTCCCATCTACTAACAGCAAAATTGGTTTTATCTTGGATTGCGCCTTTCTAATCTCAACAAACAAATGACATGGAAAATTAGGTTCACCTGCGTAATTCTATCATCCATGAACAAAAGTGGCAAGTAAACTCACTTACCAGTATTGAAAGTCATTGATATATCGCATGTTGCGTTCTTGTATTTGTTACTATCACCTTGATAAACACGAGGATCTATTAAAGAATTTATAAAGAGGCGGAGATAATTGCTACAAGTTTGACATTAAGTATGCGTCTTATCTATTAACAGTTATAGAGTACATACTACTAACAGCGTTATTCTGGGATTTGTAAGAAAGATTCGTGCGACAAACATGGGACTAAACGTGATGGGAAAAATTCGTGGTAAAATTTGAGAGAGTCGGGTGGGCTTCAGCGGATAAGCAGGTTAGGTTTATCAGACCTGCGAGCATTGCTTCAGAGGAGGCTGCAGGTGTGTGGCGTAAGGTATTGACGAATTGGGCTTAGGGGGCCTAAATGCCAGAATTCTGTGGTCAGTGCTTCTTCCTTCAATCAACATTCCATTTGCCACGTCAGGTCTGCGACAGCTATGAGCGCGCTCCCAGAATTCCACCAACCCTCTACAAACTCGAGGCTAGGCAATGAATCATCCGCTGCCGTGACGAAGCGGTCCCGCGTCGTTATTTCCCAGTCGAAAGGAGGCTGTGTGACTTGCAAGTATGAGCCTTCAGCCTGCCATCTTGGCGCCATTTGACTGACTAGGCAGAACCCGCCGAGTCAAGTGTGACGAGCAAAAGCCCTTGTGTCGGCGATGCATCCAAGCAGGTCGAATATGTGGCAGTTATAACTACAAAAGCAAATCATCGTCGGCTTTGCGTCCCCCTTTGAAGGTCGGCATCGCAGTGAATAGCCATGCAGAGAGGCTTAGCTATCTGGCAGCTCACGTGCTGTCTTTGGACAACAACAGCTGTCTTCTACAAGATGACGATGTCTGGGGGCGCGTATTTTACCAGCTATCGAATCAAGTCGAATGTGTCAAGGCCGCCGCCGTCGCGTTTGGGGCTGCGTACGAATCATCGCTCAGTGACACCATCTTTAATGGGACTTGCTCGGCCTGGCATTACTACGGCTCAGCTCTGGCAAAACTCCAATCTGACTATAACAACGAGGCCGTCGGCCCAGAGTCCCTGGTTCTGGCTTCAATGATCCTAGCCTGCGTTGAGATTTTAAGCCAACATGAGCAAAATGCATTCGTGCATTTTCTTGGTGCCGTACAAACCCTGGATAAAATACATCACCGTGGCTGGCGGTCCGTATCTACTGACATTGTGAGCATAGTCAAAGACGGACTAATCCAAATGAATCTCATAATTTGCAGTTACGGCTTGTCTCGGACGCCCCAGTTTATGTATCTGGAATCCCAAGAAGGAACTGATGGAGACGATATATTCCGTGAGCCGGAGCTTGCCATTAAGGGCGCCATGCGCTGCCTCCGTCGAGTATATCAATTCGTTGAGTCGGCCGCCCGACTGCGGTACACGTATCCAAGCTGGAAAGATTATGATCTCGACATGTGTAAGAATCAATCAGACGCGGTGACCTACTGCCGTTCGGTTCTTAATGGCCTTATGGCGCTTTCTACCACACTGCAAGCTCACTATTCGTGTACAACGTCTACACTGAAAGCTTCAGAAACACTGGCAGACATTTTTGCTATTCGCACGCAACTAACGTCGGCTTTGATCTTCGCTCTGTGTGCCCACAGCCCATATGAAACAGTGTACGATGAACACCAGGACCTGTTCAGAAGCATTGTGAGTGACGCTGCGGCATCAGCGCGGCTAAGGCGACAGACCAAGTCAAGCGCTTTGAAACGCTTTTCCACACGTCCCGGCATTGTCAGCCCTCTCTTTATCGTGAGCATGAAGTGCAGAGATCCAACGCTGCGTGCTTTAGCCACGACGATGCTCAGCGAACAAAGTCGCGAGGGGCCTGCCGATGGACAAATCCTAGCGGCAATCGGTGCTCGAATGGCCAAACTTGAGACATCTGCGAGTATACCATCTTACTCCGGCGGCCCTCTAGCTGCTTCAAACATCCTCGAAGAGCACAGGATTGGCGGCTACACTGTGCCTCATCCAAGATTGGATAGCGAGGGCCGTCGCGTCGTTGACATTCTTTTCAGTCGACCAAACCCGCCTCTCGCGGAAGGTTGGGGCCATGTTAATTACTCGAGCCAAGACGGTTGGATTTACTGGTCGGAACCAGTTGAAATTTGAAGTAGCAATAACGCCGTGGCGCTACCTTTGTATACGAGTTCATCGGTATGCTGGATTATACGTCTTGCCGCCACAAGTTTTAGCATCAGCTTCGAAAGTCTTGATTTCCCTTTGAACCCCCTCTCAACCAGTTCCAACTTTGCGTGATTCTTTCTGTTGAGATCACAGGGGTACCTGTAAAGTGGGATATTCTCTGAGGGGGAAACTGGTGTATTATCTTGGGGCTGAGGTGGTCTGTAGGAGAAGTTCCAGCAGAAGTGCTGGAGGAAGTGGCCACGGAACTTACAGCCGTCTGTTGGGCTGGCAGGTCTGCCAGCGACGGAGCCACTTCAACCCGGAGTTGCGGCTATTGCAACACTTTCAATAATAAGCAGTATTTAATGCCCCGGGTTGGTTGTCAAAAAGGGAAGAATGGAAAGAGCGTATACCAAAGCCGATATACTTGCAACTTTTCACTTTACGATCGGTGCTCTCGGGAAGCAAAAAACAACTCCTTTCATTCGGAAAGCGACGTTCATGGCTGGGATGAAATTTTGTATAACTCCGAAATGTTTGGCAGGCGTGTGATACGCGAGGAGCTGTATTCAGCCGTTGGGTTCAATATCTTGAAGATGTGAACTAGTACCTGCATGGAAACTCTCGTCTCTTTCATTCTAAATCATTACCAGGCTACAATTCTTGCGCAGTATGTCAAGTTAATATGTCAAGCACGCCGTTCAACAACTCCTTATCTAAAATGTGGATGAAAAATTGCACAATGTTGACTATGGAATCACATGCCACTTAAATTCCTTCTCATAATCGTAATTGCTCTATAATTCGCTAATGTTAGTACGGTTCTTGCCTTTGTTCTGATGGTCCTGTTCCAAAAGACTTTGCTTTCGGACGTACTCCAGCACGATCTCTTCTGCTTCCTTTTCTTTCCTTGTTTTCTCTCCCTGCTGTGGCTGTTGTCGCCCCTCGAATTCCGTTCGTCTGGTGCCCGCGAAATTTCCCTGATCAACCAAAATATCTTCCTGGGTGCTTGATGGGCCATCTGTCTTAACGACCAAACCCTTCTCTGCCATCTTACATTCTTGTTCTGTTCGCTTGAGCTCTTTTCCTGCTTCGTTGCTCAAAGTCATGTCAAATGCCCATTCCCTCTGGCAACCCTTTTGTATTTCTTCCCTCAGGCTCTGCGCCATGGCTCGCTTCAAGTGTGCATTGTACTCCAGGATTTCGCTTTCATGTTGCCGAGCTTCGGCTTCGCTTGATACGATCGCCTGGCGCAAATCTTCCTGATATGCCTCATAATCTGCGAGTTCTTGTTGACGCTGGAGCTGGAAAGCGTCGTCTTCAGTCACCTGGTCGACAATAGAATTCTCTTGCGTATTTGTACGTAAACTCCCATGGGCTGACAATTGGGCGTTTTCTTTGATCACGGAAGCTACCAGCGACTCCTCAAGATCCATGTTGATAGAGCGTTGGTCAGAACTCGCGTGATCAGAGCTCGCGGTGTTTTCACAGCTGTGCCTGACTGCCCCGTGCTCTATGTTCCTCAGTCGATGGGCTCTTAAAATATCTTGCATTATCTTGTCAGGGTCGTGTTTTTCTTTCAGGCATTCTTTGATTAGTGTCCACCGATCGATGATGTCCTGCTTCTCTGCATCAGAGCTCTGCAGCCAATCCTCGTATCCTTGAGATGCCCTAGATGCGACGAGATAGTCCTCAATGTTGCTGCCGAATAGCTTCTGCACCTCTTTATGTACCCCTTTCATCGTATGACTGAGGACACCGCTGAAGCCTGCGAGCGGTTTCATTACAAATCCTCCGATGCCTTTGCCAATACCTTTAATGAATCCGCTGGGACCTTCTTTCTGGGCACCTTTCCAGGGCTGGATGACTAAACCGCTCACGCCATCGTACCAGCCAAGACCGAACTCCTTTCCTGCTGCCATGGCGCCTGATTTGAAATCTTTTATTTGTTCATGAGGGCGAACGGTATCATCTCCCCACATCTTGGGAAAATTGTGAAAGCCTTTGGTCAAACCCACTGAGATCTCCATGGGTGCCTGTACAGTTGCTTTTGCGATCCGTCCAAGGCCTTTGCTCATGTGCACGCCAGTCTGGCGCAGCAAGTCATGGTCCTTCCTGTAGTCCGATTCATTCTGATTGCGCAATTCACTTCGGCTAGAGTTATTCTGTTTGAAGCTCGAAGTGCCTTGCAATACATCGCACGTCAAGCTTGATTTAGTGTTCGATGTGGAAAATGACCGGTCGGATAGGTTGGAAGGGCCTCGAGGACGAGCGCGAGTTTCGTGGTCAGTCAAACTTGTTCGACTTTGTTCTGGCGAATTGAATGAAAGTTCTCTTTCGCTTGCATTTGAGGCCTCCGTTTTCCGTGCAGCTTTTTGAAATGCCTTTCCGGGCCGATTTCTGCTGGACCCGATCGGCATGTGCAGAGGTTTCAACGTCTCTCAAGGAAACTCAGCTACGCCCATCGCCATACTGCTGAATGCTCTAAAACATGCTGCAGCACCTCCGGATACCGGATCCCATGGACCTTCATCGGTGGAGTATTCTTGTGGTCTGAAGAGTTTCAAATCATGAAAATCTAAAAGATTTGCTTCCACCAAAGTACAAGCGGCAAAGGCACTCAACCTGACCTGGGTGCGTTTGATGCGCCACGTAGCATGCCGAGATGGTTCGAGAGTACAACGGAGTCGATCAACCTCGAGATATTGATGGAACGACTGTGCGCCCATGACGCTGCCTTGCTCTGCCGCGATTTTTCCAGCGAGTTCTTTGGCTCGTTCCAGTCTTTCGGGCCTCAAGCAGAAGTTGATGGCGTCAGCTAGTTTGTCAGCTGTGAGCTGTTTACATGGAATTGGATCGGGACCAGCCCCTGCGCGCGCAATCATGGCGCCCCAGAATGGTTGATCTCCAAAAAAGGGAACAATGACAGTCGGGCGTCCTGCGGCGATGCCTGCCGCCGTGGTTCCTGCCCCGCCATGGTGGACGACACAAGACACATGTTTGAACAGCCAGTCATGCGGCACATTGCCCAGCATAAAGACGCCGTCGGGAAGACGAAGACTGTCCAAGCCAAGGCCTCCCCAGCCCTTGGAAAGAACGACACGTTGTCCAGTCTTCCTGACAGCGTCGAAGATGAGCTCCGTCATTGCATCAGGATCATCTAACACAATGCTTCCGAATCCTATGTAGACGGGGGGAGGACCAGCGTCGAGATATGCCTGGAGCTCAGCTGCAGGAGTATAGCTAGAGGCCAAGTTGAGAAAGTAAAAGCCGGAGATGGATACATGAGGGCCCCAGTCTTTCGGCTTAGGTATGAGGGCCGGAGACCAGCAGTAGGTGTGAGGAATTTTGAGACGTTGGAGCATGCCGGGGGCCCAAATTAGACTCACGGGATCTAAACCGAGACACTTTTTGCGAAATCGGTTGATGATATCACCTAGACCCTGCCACGAAAGCAACTCAATCATGACATAACTTATGTAATTAGTAAGTTGCGGGTCGGCATTGGAGGATTGAATGTTGGCCAGCGGATGTGGGAAGGCTTGAGTTGGAGAGTATGGCATGGTGAACATGATATGGAGAGGGATGCCTAGCTTCTCTGCGCAGTGAATGTGGGCGAAGCTTGGAGGGTTGGCGATGATGCAGTCAGCTATGAATGGCCTTGCAGCAGGTTTGAAGCTAGGGTTGTCACCGGGGTCCTCTGAATTGCCATGTTCACTGTCATCAACACTCACCCCATCTCCTGTTTCGAAGCATGATCGCCAACAGCCTTGAATGTACTCGGCAACATCTCTCCTTTGTTGACCGACATCCCCACTTAGGAAACTGCGAAAGCCCGGCATCAAGCTGGGATTTTTGACCATGAAGGCCATTAGCCGGGATGGATCGCCGCCGATGTTAAAGAACTCCAAACCATTCTCCTCTACAAATTTCTTGAAGTTGAAATGAGTCGCTAGACGTACGCGATGACCGTAGGTATCTTTTAAGACTTTCCCTAAGGCAACAAAGGGTTGCACGTCTCCGCGCGAGCCCACAACCTGAATGACAATATTCAAGCTCGGGGGTGGAAGCGCCTTCTCCTCGCCTTCTAAGTGATGACTGCAGGCGAAAGGGTGTGGGAGATTGTCTTGAACACCCTGGGGCTGTTGAGATAGAGCTGGAGCAAAGAGCCCAGACAAACGCCGGTTGAGATGATTGATGCGGATGTTGACACGGCCGTCGTCAGTGACAAATGCACTAGTACTCAGGCCGTCTTTTTCGTTGCAAATTTCGCCATAGGTGTCGCCGTAAGCGGGAGGGGGAATATCATTTTCGGCCACGTCGGGAGTGACGAAGTCAGTGTTTTGCATGAGCGCCTCCTGTTTGGTTGTTCTTGGTTGATTGGTCTGAGAAGCAACAACACTTTGTGCGTGCTGAAGAATGGTTTGTTGCATTGCAGCTGCTGGGGAAGGTGGGCCCTTATCTGATGGAGGTTGGATGGCCATGGTATGAATAAGAGAAGGCAGAGGTGTTGTACCTCCGTCAGTTGGGTACTAATAGTAATTGGTGAGTGACTTTAGAATATTAAATGACGGACACATGGGAACAGCTTCGCAATTTATACTATCAAGACCAAGGCAATCTTCGTAGCTATTATCAGCAGCTCAACGGCAATGAGCACTTCTTACACTGCATCACGACCTGCATATAGAACCTATACTCGATCTAGCTTAGCTTGACAAAAGACCGAGGTGAGCTCCACTGAGAGTTGATGGCCAATTAAAGCCTTACCTGCACCCATGGCAGCACCCCTTGTAACGCCTAAGAACGATGTAAATCCTACTGCGGGACCCACCCATGGACGGGGAGGATGGGGTGTCATGGTCTTAACCAGCTTCGATCACGATTGCGGAGTCGTCGTCAGCTTTTTCCAAAAACATCATACCTTATCCAACCAGGAGGGCAGGTGAATGCTGCGGTCTTCATGTCTCCAGACGTATTTCCGTTCCTGTCCCAAATTCAATCATTCTACGGAGTACTGCACTGCAAACAAATGCCCAGGTATTTAACAACCAGCCAACCAAATCTTTTGTTTACTGGGCTCAACCCCCTGTTCTGCTTGTTCCTATGGGCCTTTTACCTTCAGCACAGGGTGGCATCGCTACTTCAAACTTCCGGCTGATTCCGAAGACATTTTGAAATGACAATACCCATGCGGAGGAGTTTAGTGCCAACTTAAAAACTCAGGTAGGAGGTATACAGCGTACTGTTGAGTTGAGACGTGGGCAGGGGATTTGAAAGAGAATACACCTAGCGCATTGGAAATACAAGAAGAGAAACATACTTTTTACCAAATATTCTTGCCCGATCGTCTTATATATCCCAGTGGCTGATAGTCTTCATCATATGCCATCCAGAAACTGGGCAACCGCAACTAGGGATGATCAGATGATCCCCTATTCTTCCTGATGAGCCCATGTCTGGTCAAAGGTTCAATGGAATACGTGGTCTACTTGTTGCTTCTCAGCGGTCTTGTTCCTCAATACTTACCCAGACCAATCGTTGTGCGAAAACTCGGATCTTTCCATTAGGTACAGTGGCAGGCCAGAGTCTGACAATCGATTGCCCCACGAGCTATTCCTCTCACAGCAATAACCGTTAGGTCGCTGGTTACAGAGCTGCTATGTGATGGACGATATTATATATCTCTGGAAAGTTAATCCAGGACTACATGCAACTTACCTACTTACGCAATCGGATCCCTTATGCTGTTGGGTTTTCTGAGTAGCCGTCAGATTGTACCAAAAGTAGACTGACTTCTGGCTCAGGTGACAACGACATCGGAGAATATCTTCCTAAGACTAACCCACAAGGGTTCCAGTCGTACAAGGTGCTTTAAAATGTGTTCCACGCGATTTTTTATTGCGTGTTATAAATAAACGTACTATCCAAGTGTGGTAACTCAGTAAGGAAAAGTGTCTTTTTGAACGGACATGTCGCCGAAGGAGTATATTTGATAGTGAAAAGGGGGAATCAGGGGTTTGAACATTTGCACCTCCTAGTACAGCTGAAGTACCACTAAGGCCTTTTCTAAATATATGCCGATAACGAATATGTCTTCGAGCAATCCCTCTCTGTTGTCTGACGGCACCATGGCCCATTCTAGACCCGGACGAACTTCACCGAGCTGGAAACCAACCGAGTGGAACAACCCACGTGGCGGCAACGACCCAGAAAGAAATCCCGCGGGATAGTACTACTTTATGAACGACACACATCAAATTTTCCATCAGTGCAATGACGCTAAAACCTTTTGAAGCGCGCCAGATAGGGGTTGTGCAGCCACGGTAGAACTAGCACGTGTACTAGAGCGGGTTCGATCGTTTTGCTAGCACGTCTAGCCGCCATGAGCAATTTCCTTGGACGAAATAAGCGCCAAATAGAGATAGCTTGTGCGCTATTGACAGGCGGTAGTTCGCTGGCTCGTCACGGCGCTGGCTCGTCACGACGCTATGGAAACAGCATGGCTGCCCAGATGGATCATTGCCGGCCACGGGTGGGGCGCCCCATGGGGCGCCCCATGAGCCACGATATACATAATCCATGAACTGCTCCTCTGACCAGCAGACTCGATACGTGTTGCAGCCTACCTATTCTCTCATTTTAACAGTCACTCATTTCGTCTCTCTCTACAACTAAAACTCGGTGTCTGTTTAGTTTGTTACGTCGCAGAGCCTCTTCTATGGCGAAGCTGGGTAAAATACAGCAGTCCCGCACTGCATACCTAGCTCTCCTTTCGACAGTGTGTAAATCTGTTGTGTCGTTGAAAGTAACAGCGCGGCTAACATGACTTGATAGGGAATTTTGGTCAATGCTGGTGTAATCGCTCCTCGTGAGCTTACGACTCCTGAAGTAGCGGGATGGACCTCCAAAGGATGCTGGATCGACAGCCTGAACGGTGTCCGAACACTTCAGGGAGGATATCGTGCAAGTGGCGACAACACGATTGAGTCCTGCCTCAAGTTTTGTTCTGACGGTAAATACAAATACGGCGGTGTTGAATACGGAGGAGAGTGCTTTTGCTCCCTCCGTATTTATGGCGATGCTACTCAGCAGGCTGATGCCGATTGCAACATGGCCTGCCCAGGAGACAACGCTCAGCCATGTGGCGGTAACAACAGGCTAACACTTTACGAGTCTACCGCTTCCGGCGCCACAATTGCAGGTGGTTCCTCTGGATACCATTATCTCGGCTGTTTCACCGATAATCCGGGTGCACGAACGCTCAACGTTCCCATGACTATAGACGGCGGCGTTACTGCTGCAAACTGCTTAGCCGCCTGCTCCAAAAACAACTATCTTTATGCTGGTGTTGAGTACTCTAGCGAGTGCTACTGCGGCAACAACCTTCTCAACGGCGGCGGTCTTGCCAGCGACGGCGAAAAGCAATGCGACATGCTTTGCGCCGGTGATAGTAAGTTCATTTGTGGAGGACCTAACAGGCTCAACATTTACACTTTGGACAATCCCCCATTGGCGACCTCGTCGAGCTCGGCTGCTCTTGCGTCAGAAACAATGCCACCCAACTGGGCAGCGGACGGCTGCTACACCGACAGCGTTGCAGCGCGTACTCTGCGATACTGGCTTCCTGTTCCTGGTGGATCGGACCAGATGACAGTCGATGCCTGCGTCACCGCCTGCAATGCTAAGGGGTATAAGGTCGCCGGTCTTGAATACTCCCAGGAATGCTGGTGCGACTTTGAATATCAGGCTAGCGGAGTGTCTGTTACGGACGGCTGTACCATGGACTGCAAAGGCAACGCCACGGAGAAATGCGGAGGTTCCGACCGTATGAACGTCTACACATCTGTTATCTCGACCATTGTCTCGAGTTCGACTTCTTCTTCGGATGCCAGCGCTACAATGATGTCTTCCTCATTCGCCACAGACTTGAGCACTATCACAGCATCGTCAACCTTTTCGACTGATACAAGCACTACAACCGAGTCTTCTTCCACCAGTACAAGCACTGCAACCGAGTCTTCATCCTTCATTGCAGAGTCAAGCAGTACCACAGCATCGTCAACCTTTTCTATTGACGCAACTATTGAAACATCTTCATCAACTATAAGTACGCTGATAACTTCAGCATCGGCGTCACCTTCGCCGATTGACACTGTGAAGGAAGCTCCGACATGCGCTACAAAGGCAGTTGGACCTAACCTTCTTCAAAACCCCGGGTTTGAGAGCGGTCAGTTTGCGCCGTGGAACATCTGGCAAAGTCAGGGTTGGGGCACGGCGACTCAGGGTGTCTCTGGCAGCGGTGCAGGTGCAAATGTCTGGTTCAGAGTTGACAATTCTCGGGACGGTGGTGGTGCTTCTGGGTACATGTCACAGACTGTCAGCGTTGAGGCTGGCAAAGAATATGATATCCAATTCTCTGTCAGCCACGAGGCGGTCTTCTATAAGGGGTCATGCAGCCTTAACTTCAATGTCGGCCAGAACGGGATTGGAAGTACGTCCGCGTACGGCGCTAGCACGATCAGTCCGTCCAATGGTTGGTTAAGGGAATCCAAGTCCTTCATTGCTACTGGGTCTTCGGTTACCTTGCAACTTTCCTACCAATGCCTCGGAACTGGATACGGTCTCACGAGGGTTGATGATTTTGTTTTGAGGGAGAGCAATGGCTGCGGAAACAAACTGTTCAACACAAAGCTAGACGACTCCTCTACCGACCCGTGGCCCTGGTACTTCAGTTCACTTTCGACCAGTACCGGAGGTCTTACTGTCGATACTAGTGGCGTCATCTCTGGCGCCAACAGCGCCAAGCTCACTCACACCTCGGCCACGCCAAATAAGTACGTGTATGCTGCGCAGAATGTGACTGGTCTGGCGACAGGATCGTATACAGCTGGGGTTTTCGTCACTGGCAGGGTTGACTCGTCCGTCACATCAGCTCAGTGTAGCGTCTATGTGGGTTACGTATTAAATGGCATTGCGAGGACACTCGGCACACCTGTCACCTTCTCCAAAACTGGTCTCGCCAAGAAGCTGGTCACCGGAAATATTCAGGTCCAGTCTGGCAGCGCGATCGTCCTTGTTGCCCTCACCTGCATGGGTACGGCGGGACAGAGGTGGATTTATATGGACGATGCCTACATGCTTGCCCCTGTTGTAGAGACTCGTCTTTAATCCTTAGGCTAAGCAAGACTTCAGACAAAGCAATACCAAATCAGTGGTTTTCTTTGGGAAGTTATTGTAAAATCAGTTTCTCTATTCATGAACAAGTATTCAAGTAAAATACTTAGTTCCAAAATAACTGGCATTATATTCCTTTCCTGTCTGACGATGACCGGTTAAAGTACATGAAAGAACTTAAATGAAGACTCAAAATCGTTCATTAAGTTCTTCTTAGTGCCAATAAATGCGCCAATGATCGTAGCCGGCCTGGTGCTGGTATGATCTCGCTTGGGCTGGGTCATCAAAGCGCTGAGGCGGAAGCTCACTTTACCAGATAAGGAAATTCGTGCTTGCTAAGGTCAACACGAGAAGTCGGGGATTTTCGCAAGAAATTGGGTGAGGTTCAACGAGGAAGAAACTCAGCCGCTAGGCCTTGAAAGCCGTTGCCATGTCTCACGATTTAAGTAGTATTCATAGTAAACATCAAGTTCCAGCATGGAGTTCGCTACCGTTTTAGGAATTGTCAGCTTGATAAGAATATATGCGTAGCAAAGGCAACTCAATGGAGTAATAGATAGAAGTTAAAGATATGCATACAAGCTGATATTACATGCTGAATGCAAAAGTAACTTACGCATAGCTCGGCGTAAGTACATAAGATTATTTGCACCAAAGACACGACAGGCTCCGCACCTAAGGCTTCCACTAATGACGATTACAAAGATAAGACTGGTTAAAAATTATCGAACGGTCCACTACCGATTTCAAAAGAGTTGGCAAGTTTACTTGTACTTTCTTATCGTTTTAGAAGCTATTTTTATTTTCCGCTTCAGCACACCTAGTTATTCTCGTCTTCTGGACAGATGTTGATTCCTTTTTCATATGTTTTTCATGCGGATTCAGATGAATTCTTTAGGCTTTGGACATATATTTACAACTTAGTTTTAGCCGCCATCCTCACCTTATAGACATCAGAAAAATTTAAATCGTTCACGAAATTTATTGGTATCGTCTAAGCACTTTAAACTCTTATACTTCGACATCAACCCCGTAAGCTTCGAGTCGTAACAAAGCCTGTCTTAGTTTGATAGTTCTCACAAAACCTTCCGTGTCTATTTACAATTCAACAGACTCTTCTACATCAACTTCATATGGGCGTCTTCATGAGATCCCAAAGTTATGCAATATTGATATTTTGGGTTGATTCGAGTTGTGCATTACCATGGCTGCTTGAGTGGCCTTCTTAATGATTTTTTGGCCTCAAGGAAGCAAGCTAGAAGTTGAATCATTCCCCCTAGTTTGTGATTAATATAACAGTACCATACTCTGAGGGTAATATCAACGAAAGTTCTAATTTAATCAGGCAATCCAGCAACTGATGGACACAAACCAAGGCCCCAATGACTGTGAAACTGCAAAGTGAGGTCATTGTCACTGTATATCAGAACATAATTATATTTCCGCCAATAATTTCACAGATTTATATAGTAGTAAAATACGAGAAAGTCGACTCAGACAGTGCAAGGTGTACATATAAGAATAGAAAGGTGGCTACGATGTCGACAACACCAAACTTCAATCAAAGGATTGTGCAGAGGGGGAAATAAACATGTAGTCTATCTAACGCGATCAGCTGATGTGTTACGGCCAGCTAGTGACAGTAGGGTTTCTGCTAACAGAAGTTGAGGCTACGATACTAACAATAGGTCTTGCGTCGTATACAGGTATGTCGTACTGGTAGATCGAGGGTTAGGGTAAGGTGATCAGTCTTACACTAGGTAACGAGGTATAGTAATATCACAAACTATGAGCTAAGCTGAAAGTCATCGAGGATGAATTACAAGTTGATTGCTGAAGAACTATCTAGAGGGCTTGAGCAGGTGCTCAAGTCCTGGTCTATATACAAGTCCCGTTTCCCAAGGCCGACGTCCGCGTCGTCGCTTGCCGATATCTCAATTGTCGGCAGCCGACATGCCAAGAGTCGTATCTCTTATTCCTTTCTTATCATCACGTGACTTGAACATAGTTCTTCCTTTTCCGGCGGGGCGACCCTTGTCCCTTCCGTCGCCTGCATATATCTTGTCTCTAGCCGCTGTCCTCGAGTGGGGCTAGTTTCTCTGTCAGGCATACTTAACGGGTCGTAATATGATGTATTTTTCGGTAGCCTATAGCTAGTTTTAAGCCATCTCAAGTTAATAATGCAAACGGAAAGCTATACTATGTAGGTATGATTAAGTACATTTATATATACCAGTTATTTCACTTCTTTGCTTTCTTTTCTGAGCTCATAGCCTTAACGGTAAACTATGTCGTAGCGACTCATAGAAGCCTAAGACAATAAAGCAGTACGTTACTTAAGCAAATTTCAGATACGTAGGAACATTTTAAGAGGCCTTGAAATATTAGAAGAGACCCCACTGTTTATTATCCTCGAAATACGGATAAGCTTTGAAACAAGTAAAGTATCTGCTGATAAACGTCTGAATTACTTGAAAAACTAGATATTAAATGCGGGATATCAGGGGTAGACCTCCCCGCGACAGTGAGCGATTTTAACCTCTAGCACTGGCCAACTTTACATTGATTGAAGTTTGCCGATAACCGTCTGACACGCTGTAGTTGCCAGGGATAATGCCCATAGTCACCTTGTTATGCTCTCTGCCGATGTCAGGCACGGGCGGAGGTGCACCCAATCCCCCGCCAATCGTCCAAAGTTCTAGGGCTAACATCAGCACAGAATATGACTGAGACAGTACAAAAGGGTGGCTTTCCAGCAAAGGCAGTTATGGGTCTTAATTTCAAGTGACTCCTAAGTGCCAACCGCTGACTCGTTCACTGCGTTCCATAACCTTCTCTACAGCCGACTGGCTTTACATTAATTGAGGTATGTGCCGAAAACCGTCTTCAGTACCTGGATTTCTGGGTCTTCGGAGTTATGTCTTAATTTCAAACAGAACCACTAGTTTCGGTGTCTGCTGTTGGTTTTATTTACCTAATTTTGACTGGTGTTTCGCTCAGTATGTTCTATCCCTGCTTCATAGCTGACCAGCTTTACATTGATTAAGGCTTGTGCCGACAACCGACTTCGTAGCCTGTGCTTTGGGTTTCAGGGGTATTGCTTTCAACTTCAGACAAGACTAGCTGCTCCGATAGCCGTGAGCGGGTTCATTTGACTAGTTGATACACTATCATCATACAGAATTCGCATCTCAATTTGTCCAATGCCATATTAATGTATGCCCGTACAGGTGTTTGTCTAGCGAAACATTGTACCTGGCAACTCCATGACGCAATTTAAAGCATTGCTTTCATGGAAACAAGTTCTTATAGACTTCGAATATAAAGAGTGTGCTTACCACCCTACTGAACTGTCCCTCGCTAGACATTGAAAACACATTTCCAAACTTTTGTTATCGTTCACCCAAGCACATGGCTGTTAAAATGCTTTTCAAACTACTTTTCATCATCGCTACCGCTTTTCCTCAGCAAATTGTTGCGGCTGGTGCTGTCAAAGGCACTCCTGAAGGGTTTGCCTCTGGCGTTACTGGTGGTGGCTCTGCCGCGCCTGTTACCCCTACCACCAATGACGAGCTGGTCCAGTACCTTGGCGACTCTCAGCCTCGTGTTATTTTATTGACCAAAACTTTTGACTTTACCAATGCTGAAGGAACAGCTACTGAACCAGGTTGTGCTCCATGGGGCAATGGCCCCAAATGTCAACTTGCCATCAACGCGAACGGCTGGTGTGATAATTACCAGAAGGGAGCGAAGGTCGCTTCAATCACCTATAACAAGGCGGGAACCAACCCTATAAAGGTTGCTTCCAACAAATCAATCATCGGTCAGAATATGGCAGGTATTCTTATAGGCAAAGGTTTGAGCATTCGCGGCTCCAAGAACGTTATTATTCAGAACATCAAGATTCAAAATATCAACCCTAAGTATGTCTGGGGAGGTGATGCCATCACCCTTGACAATACTGACAACATCTGGATAGACCATGTTACGGTATGTTACGCACTCCTACTTCATATTCCCTTGCTCGCTTCTCACTACTTTTTAAATAGACTTCAAAGATTGGCCGCCAGCACCTCGTCCTCGGAACATCCGCCTGTGGCAAAGTTACCGTCTCTAATTGCGAATTTGATGGCCAAAGCGACTTCTCCGCGAATTGCGACGGCTATCATTACTGGAACGCACTTTTTCTCGGCTCCAATGATCAAGTTACCTTCATGAATAACTACTTGCACCACTTCTCCGGTAAGTGTGTTGGTTGCGGCCCTATTATGCCAGTATTTTGACTGTTTCTAGGCCGTGCCCCTAAAGTTGAGGGCAACACCGTGTTTCACGCAGTCAATAACTACTGGTCTGATGCTAGCCCGACTGGTCATGGTTTTGAAATTGACAAGGGGGGCTATGTACTTGCTGAGGGCAACGTCTTTTCCGGTGTTAAAAATGTTGTCATAAATGGGACTGGTGCTGCCATGGCGATCACCTCATCCAACGCCTCTCAATGCAAGGCCACTCTTGGCCGCGACTGCCAAGCTAACGCGTTCTCCAATTCCGGTACCTTCACGGGTACAGACGCTAGTGTTTTATCCAAGTTCCCCAAGGCAGACTTCCCTAACGCTCTCGCTGCTTCTTCTGTCAAGAGCACTGCTGCGGGTTACGGCAAGATATGACACATCTCATCTTAATGTATATATGTGTTTGGAAATCTATCGGAATCATTTAGCTGTCACGGAGTCATCATGTCATCAGTTTAAGCTTTGTCTCTTCGAAGGGTCCCTACCCAGCACAGCTATAGCCACTAAGGGTTCAGCGCGTAAGGGAAAAAAGACATCTAAAGAAGAAGAACTTGGAAACGATATTTACAATGCAAGTTGGTTGGAATACTAAGACCCTCAACTGTAACTTCCTGATTGGCCTAGATGAACAAAAATAGGAACGAAAATGCATTTGCTCCCATACTAATTGTGTTATGAAACCACTTAGATGGCTATGAGTCGAAGACAAGTAATGTTCAGCAGTCCTGACACAACTCGAACGCAAATATACCGGGAAGAGGGTGTGTTTACCGAAAGATATGATAAAGAAAGGTGTATGAACAGATTGGAAGAGCATAAGGAGCAGATAAACCGAGAAGTCAAGGAAAGGCAAGAGAGACACTTCCAACGCCTCTACGGCGATATATAATAACGCTTCAAGTCTCGCTTCGGAAATTATCATAAGCATTAAATTAATTGACAACAGTCTGGTTTCCTCTTCAGAAGAATGACTCTACGGTGAAATAGGGACCATCAAACAAACCTGGATTGAGGCTGCTTCAGGAGGCGCTCTCATGTGTGTTGTGGTTTTCGTTCGATTGTCCTTGATACGGCTTGTCCAAGTCCTGGTCAATAGTGGTGTAGTATACGTCTACCTCAGATCATATAACAGTATGTGATCTAGGAGCTAGGCATTCGACGAGGAACGGCGCATGTAAGCGACAACATTAATTGCCTAAGAAATCAAGATAGATGACACCATATGAAAGCAGATGACAAGAGAGACAGCGGATATCGATTGTAAATAGAACCTCCGGTGCTCTGTCCAATTTGCAAACAGCATTTGGCACAGTTCATGACAAGAAAAAGTATTGCTGGTGGTAAAGTAGCAAATTTATACCCGTAAACACAACCCCAGATCAATATCATGAATAGCTATCCAAGTTTACGTTTTTAACCAATCTACAGTCAAGCGCAGGGGGAGGAGCAAAGCTAAACAGTTTACAAAGAGTTTTACCTGTGGGGCTTCTTAGGCAATCAAACTACCAGATCTTATACAAGAACTGAAACTTATCAAGATCATCCCTTCTTCCCCTTTTGTTACTACAAACGCATTTTACATATACAGCATGAGTCATAAAAGTTTACCAAAGAGCAGATTCAAACATCACGAATGAAAGAATGACGGATTTCTGACAGGCAACAGGAATTTCACTTGGTCTCTCGCACAGAGTTTAAGCTTGCACTTTAGACGGCATTTTGGGTGGTTCACCCTGAGATGAAGATTGGAATCACTGTGCGAAAATTGACTGCTGAGCCTTATAGAGATCTATTTTTTGTTTGAAAATATCCCCGGAGTGGCCCTCGCACCTTTACTACAAGTAGTAAACATCCAGGAGACGGTGAAACGGTCTCAAGCAGTTTTCCTACGCTCACACATTAGGGTGAAAGATATTAGCATTGCGGGAGCCGACATTAATGTAGAATGAAAAAAGCTATAATGGAGCTTGCAGTGTTTGGAAGTAATTTCTAGAAGAGATTTTGGTACGTCAGCACTAGTCATCAATAAAGTTGTTCGACAAGACATCAACTAGTGTAAGCGTGATTTATCTTTTATTGCAGTAAAGGACTGCATCCTCATTACCAGCCATCACGCTCTCATTGTTGGCTTGACCTGATCAGGTTTCTTGCATAAAAAAACAAATCTGTGTCGGATACGGCCTGCAGCTATCTTGGTGATGTGCATCGAATAGGCCTATTAAACCCCTGCAGTGGCTTGGGGCTGAGATTTTATCACTCAAAGCAACCAATGACAAACAGCATTGGCAATCCTTCATTGTCAGACGCGGGATGAATTTAAGCCTGCGTTAAAAGTGTCAAATACTTCTCCTTCCGCACCACGGTCAATGAACCTATGCACCGCTAAATTCACCCGACAGGAACAGCAGTACGCGATGGCCAAATTATCGCAGCTTTTTACTGGATGGCGCTTCGGTCTAGCTCGCGCCACAGGAGCTGCAGCTCTCGTAACTGTGGCTAACATTCTGTTCCTCGCCATCACAATCCCATCCATGCCGGGACTTGAGGAGCCCGGCCTTGAGGGTGCGCTATTTACGGGCGACTGCAGCAAAGCAAAACAACTCAATACTTGGTCACATCTGGTTATCAACATCTTAGGCACAGTGCTTCTGGCAGCCGGAAATTATACGCAACAAGTTTTGACGGCCCCGACCAGAGCCGAGATTGATAGAGCACATACGAAGCAGCAGTGGCTGGATATCGGTGTTTCTTCCATCCGTAATCTGAACAAGATTTCGGGCAAAAGGACTTTCGCGTGGATTATACTGGGTCTAAGCTCAATACCTGTGCACTTATTGTACATTCATCTTGAACCACAATACATCTAGGTGATGCCCACTAACGAATTCCAGTTACAACTCAATCATTTCTCTGGAATCCAACGCCCAGAGCCACAACATCTACGCCATAGAGCGTAGCAGATTCCTTGATCCAGCTACCACCTACAACAGCCCAACATCAAAGATAGTTCAGCCATATCTCCATCATTTTCAGCGAATAGAAAACAGCGATTGTATCCATATATACTCACAACCTCACCTCACCGACCACTCTGATCTCATCCTCGTCATTGATTCGTCTGGGGATTTAAATAAAACCGACTATTTTCAAATCGCCATTTCACATCCACTTGATAAGCCACTAGCCTACACATGGATATGCGAAAACTTCCCTGACTTGATCCCTGGCGCGCAGGAGCCTTGTGATGTTCCTACCATTGAGCCAGTCTCAGACACCTGGCCAGTTTGGTTAGCAGAGAGATGGTCACAAGACATATGGCTAGCTAGGATTCGCGCTAGAGTGCATTATTGCCTAAGTAGACCTATTGAGGAACGTTGCAGGCTAATATTAAACGTTCCCATGTTGTCTGCTGTTGTGGCTTTTAATGTTCTCAAGTTCATTGGGCTATTGTTGACTTGGTTTTGGCTCAAGAAGCAGTCTCTCCTGACTCTTGGAGGTACATAAGCACAGATGAAGCTTTTACACGGAGCCAGAAAGTGATGCTGACATTTTATAGATGTAATGGCCAGTTTTCTCCAATGTCCGGATTCCACCACGAGATCTCTTGGTTTGTTAACCAAGCCAACCGGGAAGCCACTTGTTTGGGCAGTCGACAACCGGACCTGGAGTTTGAAGAGGCTTCCCTGGTCGGCATCAGTTTCTAGAAGACGATACTGGACCACAGTGTTACTGTATGTGTTCAGTTTCAACCGTTATAGTACGTGATATGCTGATTCTGGGTTCTTTAGGTGTGTCATCGTTGTGATAGGCGCAGGCGTAATGCTTGCATTTGCGCTTGCCACAACATACTCCGGCACAACACTTAAACTCAGTATGGCAAGTCTTTGGCAAAGGGGATTCGGAGTAATATACTTTGATGCTCTTGTCAGTCTTGATTCTCGTGGTACCTTTAACTACGGGCCCATCAGCATGGCACTTCTGGCCAACTCACCCCAGCTCATCATTTCGCTGCTTTATATTGCCGTAAATGGCCTTTGGACCTCGATGATGGTTGGGTTGGAGTGGAATGGATATGGAACAAAGCGAAAAGGCCTTCGCACCACTGCCCCAGTCGGTCAACAACGAAAGACGTATTTTTTATCACTTCCATTAGTAAGTGCAATCACTATTCCGCCAGTCTTTTTGAGTCATGCCTGGAGCTTTAACCATTTTACTTAATTAGAAGTATGGGGTGCCATTAATGGCTGCGTCTGCAGTTCTCCACTGGCTGGTCTCACAGTCGATTTTCTTGGCCCGGTTCAAAATCTATGATAATTATAAACAGCAAGCTGTGATTACTACTTGTGGATATGCTCCAATTGGAATTGTTCTTTCAATCATCTTCGGTGCTCTAATTATACTGGTCACCATCGGAGCAAGCTTGATTCGGATGACCCCGGCTGTGCCCCCGGTGGGAACCTGTTCAGCTGTTGTTAGCGCTGCTTGCCACCCAATTTTCAGCATTGTTGTGTTACAAGTCTTCCAGTCGAGAAGCCAGAGGTGGGAAGGAGTTACAGCTAGTATTGAGAGTCACACCATTATAATAGGTGATATTAAGTGCTTTTCAAGCTTGAATATGACTTTTTACTGCTTTTACGCTTTAGTATGACACTATAACCTCATCCAGTTTATCAAATACGGCGCTTGGGCATCGCATGTACTTCCTATGGAACCCTTCCCAATGGCCTATGCAAATTGGGAAATGCTTGGTCCCTTTGACATAATACTAGACAAATTGCCCGCATTGACTGCTTTATGGCAATGTTGTATTGTGGGAGAGCATAGACGGACTGCTATCTCATACTATTTATTCACGAATTGGCCTTGTTAGATTTGTTACTGCTATGGCGCTTGGCATCCAACAGCTTTCCTGAATATTTTCTAAATCGGGTCAGGGGCTTTTGGCAGGTTTAGAGAGTCATTCTGCGGCAACTCGTGGGTGAAAGATGGTCTTGGTGTGCTTGAGCTAGTGCTGTTTCTCTGCCAAACCATCGGCCCAAAGTTGTAAAAGAATTTTCATGACAAGGGTTATTCAAGCTACTCTGGTCGCTTCGTCTACATGAAACACAAAGTGTGCTCAGCCTTTAGAAATGATAATTCTCATAGATAAAAGGTGATTTGGCTTGTACCCGAGACTGTCTCTGGTAAAGTGTGTGACAAAGATCATATGCATGTATAATTCGTGAGACAGATGTCAATTGAGATACCTGACAGTACATGATTGGCAATAATGAGACCAACCCAGATAACTGTCTATTTTATTCGAGATGTTACTTGAACCTGTCTGATAATCTCTGAAAGCACTAAATCTATGACAACAAACCATCAAATCATGGTACGTTTAAATGACAATAGGGGGTAAAACAACGGAAAATATGCCCAGCTTTTACTTAGACTTTAACCTCCCGAAAGAGTGATCTGGCACTAGTCTTGTGTAGGGATCACCACTCTCATACAGACGCTCAATAACGCTGGTAGTAAGTGAAGTCTCCCTGTTAAAACCAATGGTTGAGCTTTTAGACAGTCAAATTACAAAATTCAAATTCTGTTAATGTAGGTTTCACAGGGGGTGAAACGGAATTCCGTTCGTCAATAACAAATAACAGTAAATTGGTTCTAATCGATGGTTCATGATAGTTGAAAGTGGTGTTGTTGACTAGAAGGTGGGGATATTCCCCCTTGGCCTGTCACGTGGGTCTGGGAGGCTTGGGCCTCTCAGCCTGGCGGGCGTGTGGCTGGAAGTGCCACACGACTCCGTATTCCAACTATCGCAACAGTTAAGCATCAATTTTCCAGGTTTCATCAAGATAAACCGGAATTTTACCGGATCCAGAGATCCCCAGAAAAATGGGACAAAAATAAAAGGGACGCGCTGCTTTCGATATGCAGTGCAGACTATCGATTCAGTTCGGTAGTAGTAGTGACAGGTTTGAAATATATGCCAAATTAGCGTTGCACAAGTCACGGATAGCTTTTAGATTCATTACAGTGCAGAGCAGTGCAGAAATATGTTCAAGAGAGGAGGCGGCACTAGATCACAGACATCTCCATTTTGCGGCCAACATCCTACCTTACAGAGGGGCTTCAACGACATAATGATGAAGCGGGCCTAATGATGCGAGTATTTTGGTTTTTGTAGCGGCTTACTGCTGTTTAGTGGGATGTGGATACCATCACTTTGTCACTTGGTCAAAGAGTAGCAACGAGTCAGGCTTTGGGAGAGCATTGATACATCTCAAGCCTAATTACATACTACGTGTAGACATTTTTGGACACAAGGTGCGCCGGGCCACACGCTAGGGCACCAATTTGCTATCCAAGCTTCTGATTAACTTCCCGCTGTCGTCCAAGCTCCGCGCGGGCCGTTGTAAAATAAATGAAAATCACATGGATACAGCCTCTACCATACAACACTCGGGTCGTCTTGTATCCCGACGGCATATCATTAGAAATGAATTGGCAAGAACATGTTCGGAAGACCTCCAGAAAAAGAGTTCTCCGAAGTTACCGAGGCTCACGTCATGTTATGATGACTTTGAGCATTGCTTCATTGGTTAGACGAATGCAGAAAAAGGGGTCTGTAACGGCCCCGCTGCCACCAAGCAATCGGCACATCCCCTGATTCGGCATATACTCCACGTCGCAGCTCCCTGCAGCGGCGATCTATGGGTCGGATGCAATTTAACATCACGTATTCTGCCCTGGACTGGTTACAGTACACGGCTATTGGTACAGATGGGGAATCGCGTTACAATGATCGGTAACTCCGCGAACTGTCAGCCTCAGTGGATTTTTTTCCATAATGGGGAATGGCTTGTATCGCCTGTAAGGCCCTTATTACCCCACGATTTCCTAGCATACAGATGAGAACTTCCGTCTGTCATTGCGTCACATTCTCTTCTTCATTCTGATAATTCTGGCCCACGTCCTTTTGCCTTTCAGCCGCCGCCAAGATGCTCCTGAAGTCCATTTTCATCGTCTCTGTCGCCGTGACGGCCGACGCTTTCGCTATCGTCCGTAGAGACGGCAATGAATGGGCAGCCCCTACCGCCGCTGATCGTAAGAGCTCTTAATCAGTTGATGGATCATAGAATAGGGGTCGCTGACAAGAAGTTCAACAGGCCGCAGCCCGTGCCCTATGGTCAACACTCTTGCAAACCACGGATTCCTCCCTCGCAGCGGATTGAACGTGTCTCTGGCGGACCTTGTTGCCGGGTTCACCGCAGCAGTTAATCTTGACCCTGCTGCTAACGTCGCACACCCACTTCTCGCACACCCCCACATTTCGCACACCCATAAATTGGGTCATCATGAGGTATTCATCAACTTCATAACTATAAGTCTGATTCGTCTCCTGCAACTGTGATACTATCGCCAGTTTTAATAGGTAATTCAGGCTCGCTAGATTCATCTGAGCTATCCTCAATTTCGCCAGCCTCAATTTGGGCTTTGTGAATTGCCTCAATGTTGGCAAACTTCGAATTTGGGCTCATTTGGACCTTACGCCGCTTCCGTACCATTCCAGCCTCAACTTCTGCTTCCAACATTGCAATCTTCTTCTCTGCTGTAGCCAATTGATAGTCCTTTTCATCAAATCCCTTTTGAACCTTCCGAAACAACAGTCGCTGCGTTTGCTGATCTTTATCCAACTTGCTGAATAAGCTAAGTTGATCATATAGATCAACTGTCTTCTTGGGCGTTGACCAGGCTACTATGGATGTAGCAGATGCCCAGTTTTCGTCTTTTCCACCATCAGAGGCCCTCATAGGCGTAGAATAGCCTGGCTTTGAGGGCTTGGAAGCATTCTCAAGCAGTAGAGGGCTCATGAGCGGTCGAGCTATCGAAATGGGCCATAGTCCTGTTGCTTTCCAGCCGCTTCTGATATTCTTGCTTGAAAATGCCATCTGGCGTGCTTTTCCATAGCAGGTAAGAAAGTTCCGTTTGCCTACAACTGTAGAATCGTTGTGTTGAATGAGGTATCCAAGCTCTTTTCGATAGGTCGCCTTGAGAGGCCCAAAGACTGCTTGGTCTAGAGGTTGGAGAACGTGGGATGTATGTGGCGGTAGGAAAAGGAGATATATCTTGTGTTTATAACAGAGATACATAAATTCTGTTGTTTCATGACTGCCATGACCGTCTAGGATCAATAGTCTCTGCTCAGAGGGATGATCAGGCTTAGTCAGAGGGATAAAGATGTTCTCAAGCCATTCCACAGCTGTAGAGTCTGAAGTCCAGCCATTCTCAGTTGCTGTGAACTTCCAACCACTGTAAATATCACGTTTATGGATATCAAGAGGAAACCATTGTTGTTGAACCGATTTCCCTCGATAAATAACAAGTGGAGGAAGCGCCTGACCAGTTGCAGAGACACACTCAAGCATAGTTGTCCAAGCCCGAGACCCAGGCTGTTTTTTTCGCATTGATGAGCTTTCTGATGATCCCAGTACTAAGCCATTTGATCCTCTGCCTTCTAGGATACCAGTTTCATCCATGTTATAGCGATGATGTGGTTTGATCGCCTTGATCTCTGGAAGGGCGAGTTGTTGAAACCATTGCCTGATTACATTAGTTGAGGCCCCATTGACACGCTTAGAATCGATGGCTCTAGCTCTATGAACCTTGATTGATGGATTTCTCTTAATAAAGAACTGAATCCAGTTTCTCCCAAGTGGCTGGGTAGTGCCTCTGATGTCTAGGATTCGCTGGGCAAATTCCTTGAGTTGTTGATGTGTTGGCGGCAGCCCTAACGCCGCCTGGATACGCACCCATTCAGCTAAGTGACTTTCCTGTGCTGGAGATAGCTTCTGGAAGCTAGAGAAAGCTACATTTCTTGCCTGTGAACCCTTTAATCGAGACTGGAGGGTTGATGGTGGAATTCCAGCATCATGAGCTGCCTTTCGGACACTCTGCCCACTTGCAACTGCATTGAGAGCTTGATTGACTTCTGTTTCCGTATACTGGCCCATTAAGCGTATAAGAGTAACTATTCAAAGAATTATAATAATCGCTGTAAAAGTGGTGAAGATATTAAAGAATGTTGAAGAGGGTAAAATTCTACATGAGCGATTTATGGGTGTGCGAAATGTGGGGGTGTGCGAGAAGTGGGTGTGCGACGTTACCACACTTGTTGGACAGAAGGCCCTCCTTACCTCCACAACAGGCAACAATGCCACCTTCAACTTGGATGATCTTAACACTCATGGAAGTAAGCGCTACATACATACAAACAGCAGGCTTCTTTCGGTCATTATGCTGACAAACATACTCCAAGTCATCGAGCACGACGGTAGTCTGAGTCGTAACGACGTCTACTTCGGTGACAACCATAGCTTCAACAAAGACATCTGGGAATCAGTAGCATCGCATTTTGTGAACTCAACCATCTCCATTCCCACCGCAGCCAAGGCTAGGGCCGCACGTCTCAAGGCCGCTGCCGCCGCAAACCCGGAATTTAGCTTGACTGCGGACGGTGCCCAGTTCAGCTTCATTGAGACTGCCCTCTATCTTTCCGTCTTCGGCAACTTGGATACTGGTGATGCTAACACTGAATGGGTCAGAGTTCTTTTTGGTAAGTGCAGGCCACGACTCCCATGTAACTTGTGGTAAAATCCTAATCCCGGATATAGAGCAAGAGCGTCTGCCAATTGAGGAAGGTTTTGTCAGATCCGAGAGCCCTGTTACTGCTGCTGGTATTCTGGGTTTGGTCGGCAAGGTTGCGGCTGCAAGTGCCTAATGGGGAAAATGTAACGCTATTGATAGTACGACATGATCTTATGATTGCCAAAATTACCGCGTGACTTAATCGTAATGCAATACCATGTTAAGAGTTTTTGCGCCACTGGACTCAACCATAATAACTCTGGCTACTCTTCAGACTCAAAACTGGGAACTTTTGACACAAATGGCTTCGGCTATAACACCGTACAGCTCTCCCTTAAGTAAACAGAATGATGACCAGGGAATACTAACCGTTTATGCACATCATTCTGTCCCTCCAAATAAGACAAGGTGGTGTTTCCGTCGTTGCCTCTAAGCCAGACATCAGGTTTGTTCCGATCGCCTGCGACGATGCGGCTGCTGTTAAGTGCCTTCCGGTAGTCTTTTTGTAGCTCCAACATTCTATTTATGAACAAACTAGGAGCAACGTGTAGCGCTGTCAACTAAACCAATAGGACAGCTTATGTCGAGGGGCCTGGTGTAATTACACGCACAGATTTGAATCTGCCGTTTGTCGCAGCCAAGCGCTTGGAAAGCTCAGATCTACCTGTTCAAGTTCTGTCATGTCGATTGATGACTATAAGATAATTGTAGAACGCCTACCTGTAGACACCATTGAACTTTATGACCGAATTAGGGCTTCTTAGATTCACATGACTACCGACATCTATCAGCGTTGTCCCCGTTTCCTACACTTAGATTCGTTTAGTTTACAATGCCCAATTTGCAGCTAGTAGAGTGGCGAAGGGTAACCTCCGCTGCAAAGATTGCATCGAAGACCACTATTCTAACGGTCTTGCAAATGAGAGATGTAAGCTTTATCACTTAGTTTCTGGTAATCGGCGTTGCATGTTCTCAAATCGGGGTCAATCGCCTTATCGTGCTGGTGTTTTGTAGACTCGCTACGAATTTTGCGATTTGTAACAAACGGATTATTCACGTGGGTAGACGCAGCCGATTTCCCTCGGTACCAGTAATCTATTTTGTAAAAACCGTGAATTCAATCAATCTTGGCTGGCGTGGCTATGCGAGTGCGAGTCCCTCTACTTTGAAACGCTCACTGGTACATCCAGATTCCAAGGATCACTCCCTGACAGATTGCTCAAACAATGCGCACGGGTGGCGAAAATTCGCAAGTGAGCGCAAAAGACTGACGCATTATCCGAGCTTAAAATTGATATCGACGAAACACGTGAAGAATGACAGAACCGAGGAATGGGATCGGATGAAACTATATAATGACCCAGTGATCGTGCGGATTTAGTTGAAATCGGAGACTCGGGAGCTGCGAGTTACTTCTTATCTTTACTTCTTTACTTCTTCGTTCAAAATAGTTGTCTTTTAAACCACCTCTAACAAGTATGGACGAGAGCAAGGACCCTATGAAATCCACATGGCGCCTCCGTGACAGGCGTCTATGGAAACACCACCACTGGGTCATTGAACGATTAGGCTTACAACATGTCGACCTAAACCAAAAAGTGCCGATACATGAGAAGGGAGATCCAGTTCCCTACGTACCCCATTGGCAATTTCATCGGTGGATAATGGTTCACGCCTGCATACCGCTCGTTATGCATCAAACTTTCGTGTCTTGCACAGGATTCAACCTTCACCCAGTGGTTGCATTTATCTTCTACGCTGCAGCCATTAAACTTATCGCAATCCATCAAATCAATATGCTCCGTGATCTAGGCCATATTCACGGCTTTCTCGACGGCGACAAACACGAACGCGATGGCGTACCTGACAGAAGTGTCAAGAAAGTCCTTCGGTCCCTTGTTTCGACTTCAACATTTCGTTCGATGATGGCCGTTATTTTAGCATACAAAAGTCAAGATGCTCCGCTAACAATCGGTTGGAAACCTTTGGTTCTTGAAATTGGCCTCTACGGAGTTGTGTTGGACTTTTGGTTTTATTGGTACCACAGACTCATGCATGAGATCGACTCCTTGTGGCGGTACCACCGTACACATCACTTAACGAAACACCCGAATCCGCTTCTCACGTTATTCGCTGATTCCGAACAAGAGTTCTGGGATATAGCCGGCATACCACTCTTGACATATATTACGCTAAAAGCTATGGGATTGCCCATGGGGTTCTACGAGTGGTGGCTCTGCCAACAATACGTCATTTTCACGGAGTTGTGTGGCCATAGTGGTCTTCGCATCTACGCCACTACGCCAAACCCATTTGCTTGGCCTCTCAGACTACTCAAATCCGATCTCGTGCTAGAGGACCATGACCTCCATCACCGAAGAGGATGGAAAAAGAGTGGCAACTACGGCAAACACACTAGATTGTGGGACCGTGTTTTCGGAACTTGTTTGGATCGAATCGAATGCCCAGATAACAGCATTGACTATGTAAACACTGTGGTTCTTCCGTTGATTTGATTGAGAAAGAAGCAGGCACGTTTTGATACTTTATTAGGGCATTATGTACGTAGACCTTTTAATAAACGTCATCAATGTAGTAACCGTTAACTTATCAATGGCAAGTCAAAAGATTTAAACCACCTATATTCTCATCAGTCTGGCACTAGAAAAAGCCGATAATGGGAGACGATTGTAAACTAAAGCATAACTACGATAGGTAACTTTTCATAACAAGTTACTACACCTAATACCTTATTATAAGGTATAGTTTCTAGTACAGGTACTGTGCTTTCTTCGCAAATGTAAAGATCAATACCGCGTGGAGGCTCTCAGACATAGATAAGTAGAAAAAGTTACCTATCATTGCTATAGTTACCCCTACCTAGTAGATCCTCAAACTACAGTAGAAAAGGTCACTGTTGACGATTCAATTAGGCCCCCGTACCTAATATAGTATACCCTACTTGAACTGGGACAAGAGCGGCATCTTATTCTTATACGTTAGAAACAGAACGTAATATTGTTCGGCGAGATTCTCGAGCATGTGTATGGTTTTGTGAAAGGGGAGTCACAGAGCGCGCAATAAAATTGGAATCAAACCGAACTTAGGAAAATTATGGATTACTAGCAGCCCTATGAAAAGAAATGCACAATCGTCTAAGAAGAAACTTGGACAAAGCCTTTACAATATGGCATCACTGCCCAGACAAGACGGTTGTTAAAATGCCGTGGGAGCCACTATACCGGCAAAAACATGCCGGCGTCTTACGTGGATGGTGTTGATACCATACTCAAATGAGGGTCCTAAGAAATTTTTGGTGTGGCGTGAGTCAGTGCTACACAATTGGCCTCAACCCCTAGTGCTACCCCAAGTGAGGACTCAGTGTTCTAGAGTGCGAATCCCATTGAATTGTATGTCGAACACGTGACTGCGTTTGGGTCAGAGCTTTCATTGTTTACTCTGATCCGACTCCTCCGACTTTGTTCCTATCATATCTCCGAGAAAGCAATCCAGGGTTAGTGTTGCCTCTGATACTTGCTTGACTTATAAGTGTTATATGATCCGCACCGAAATTCGACTTGATAGAAGGGTCCTACAATTTTAAAAAGGCGAAAGGCAGATTCAACATGTCGCCCGAAAGTCAATCTTTGCTGTCAAAGCTTGCTGTCGAAAGTGGCTTCACCGTCATAGTTCAGTCTTGCCGCGACACCAAGGTGCTCTGCCTGCAGCGCTTCGTACGACTGTTTGCTTATGGCGCATCTTTTTTGATCCTCGTACACTTTCTTTCCAGCCTTGGATTCTCGGATGAGAAAATTGGCTTGTTCATGACGTTGACTCTTCTCGGAGATGTCGTCATCAGTTTCCTTCTTACCACCATTACCGATCAAGTCGGCAGGCGGAAGGTTTTGGCTGCAGGGGCTGCCTTGATGGTTATGAGCGGCATGGTCTTTGCATATTTCGGCAACTACTGGGTTCTCGTTGCTGCCAGTATTGTTGGTGTCATCAGCCCCAGCGGGAACGAGATCGGACCGTTTCGTGCGGTTGAAGAGTCCGTCCTTGCCCAACTCACTGAGAGAGAGCACCGCAGCGACATCTTCGCATGGTATACACTCTTTGGTACTGCGGGTGCTGCTTTGGGGACGCTCACTTGCGGCTGGGCTGTTCAGGCTCTCGAGGATAACGACTCCTGGACCACAAACGAGGCATACCGAGTTGTCTTTCTCATTTATGCCGGCCTAGGCCTGATCAAGTTGATGCTGATTTTCGGTCTCACTTCCGCTGTGGAAATAAATGCACCAAAAACCGACAACGACGAAACGCGGGGTCTGTTGTCTACAAACTCGAGCCACGATGAGAACGTGACTAGTCAAGAGGTTATGCCGCCGACGTTTTCCCAGCGTGTGCGGTCTCTCTTTCCATACATCTCTCCGCTGTCTCGATCAATCCTGTTCCGACTTCTCATACTATTCTGCCTCGACTCCTTTGCTTCTGGAATGGCATCGCCTTCTTGGCTTACCTACTTTTTTACCACGATTCACTCGCTCCAGCCGGGATCATTGGGTACGCTGTTTTTGGTGACGAATCTTCTCGCGACCGTTTCCAATCTAGTTGCCCTACCCCTTGCGCGCCGGTTGGGTCCCCTGAAGACGATGGTCTTCACTCATCTGCCATCGGCCGTCTTCCTGTCCCTGATACCTCTTCCTGGGCCGGGACCAACAGGGACCTGGATCGCCATGGCTTTCTTGGCCCTGAGAGCTTGTACACAGAGCATGGACCAGGCTCCAAGACAAGCCTTTTTATCTGCTGCCGTACTCCCGAACGAAAGAACCGCAGTCTTGGGTGTGGTCAACATTGTCAAGACGTTGGCACAGGCTGGTGGCATTGGTGCAGTCGGCATATTATCTGGCAAGAACCTTTGGATTGTGGTTCTAACTGGAGCTGGTGCCATGAAGGCATGCTACGACCTTTTAATGCTTGGAATGTTCTTGGGTCTCAGGGATCGGGAAGACGGCAGCGGAAAATCTAGCTCGCGCGACGAAGAAGACGCTTAATGTAGATGGATTTGGGCTTGGTAGTAGGTTTTTCTTGGGTTTAAATGTGTTAAGAGTTGCCCAATCTGTAAACCAGTGGTAGAATATACTGCGTTAGGAGAAAAAGTGAGCCGGCTCTAGTCGAGTCTTTTAACACCTTCTTTGCGAACAATGGCCTCTAACTTGGGAAGTTCAAACTTCCTGTAGGCAATCTCATCCAAGAGCAATTCACCAAACAGGAGTCGAGACAGCCAGATCGACCAAGCCATACCTCCAGCCCAGAACCAATTCCTAGCACCTCCAAACCAACCTCCGAACCAACCCTCACCTTTCAATGCCTCAGCCACGAGCTGCTGGGCAAAATCTTCCGTGCTGACAGTAGCATTGTTCTGAGAAAATTTGAGTCGTTTGGCGTACAAGTCCTTGACTCGGGTATAGAGCGAGTTGGGCGGGAGTTCGCGGTTGAGCTTAGCGATCTCACTTTTGACAGTACCAGTCATTGAAACCATGACGCGGACACCAAATGGACGCAGCTCCTGACGAAGAGTACGGCTGTAGGAGTTCAAAGCACCCTTGGTGGCTGTATACACAGAGCCAAAGACGTAAGGCGACACGGATGAGAGACTGCTAATCATGATAATCAAGCCTCGTGTCGGGATCAGGAGGGGCACAAAAGCCTGAACCATGGCCATGACGCCAAACACGTTCGTCTCGAACGTCTGGCGAACCTCATCCATGTTGATGTCTGTAGCTGGGACGGTGTGGGTGAGGCCTCTGTGAGATGGTTAGAGCTTGCATCAATTTCTAGAGTCCGTTGACAGAGCTAAGTGTCTGAATGTTTAGGCGCGCCGCTGGCAGAAATAGTCTTACGCATTGTTGACGAGAAAGTCAAGCCGACCTCCGGTCAGCTCGTTAACCCTTTGCTTGCATGCTGCGATGTTTTCGGAGCTAGTTACGTCAAGAGCAACTGTCGTCATGCCCTGCTCGCCCAAGTCCTTCAGAACCTCTGGGCGACGGGCAGTTGCAATAACATGCAGCCCTGTATTGAAACTGTTGTGAGTAATTGACCTCCATTGACAGTATTTATTTGACTTAAAAGATGCCTTAATTGGAAGACTCGATTTGAAAAGCGCCCACCTTTGGCATGAAACTCCCTAGCTAGGGCATGGCCTATGCCTCCAGGTGTGCATCTGAAATAGATGTGTCAGCAGTAATGTCCCGAGGCAATTGACTTGGCGAGTCAGGGGTGGCCACAGGTAAATGATGGCATTTACGTACCCAGTAATAAGCACCGTCTTCTTGTCCGCTGGGATACCCATCTTTACTGCTGCTTGACACGATAATGGGCGTTTGGTTGATGAAGGATGAAAGCTACGGGCATGAAGAGAAAAGTCCACACGATAAAACACGAAAAAAGGCTCTCAGACTTGCTGATCCCGAGGTTCATCAGGAAAGGGATCTTGAAAATCACGTGCGGCACCCGCAGATTCCGCTCCGGACTGTGTGGGGATTAGTCATCGCCACTGGATCCTCCTTATGGCCTTGCGCAATTCCGCAACATTTAATTCAGTATCTTATACTGGCGTTTCCAGATGGTGCCGGGCTGCACCATTTTTAACAACGTGCCGAAATCCATTATTCGAGTGGTCGATTCCCAACTTATCTGTATAACAACCTTCGGGATTTCCGAAAGGTATCCACTCGGTCGCTTGACTAGAATCAAGAATCGGTTACTTGGCGACGCAAGGAATTGGGCAACTCGCCGAGTACCTTGCTGTATATTCGCGCCAGCACGACGTATTCAGCGTATTTATCGTATTGTGCAAGTGTTATTATCGCGTCATCTGTCATCTGCTTGCATTTCCCCGCACACCTAATGCGGAGAAGCTGGGGGAGAAAGCAACCTCGGGACTGGGCTTTTCCTAACTACCGACGACAAAGAGAGAGACTCTGAGCAGCTCAGCCAATGGACGACTTCTCTCTCAGAACTGTCCGGTTCATCCCAACAGTTAATGATCGCTCCACATTTCGACTTCATACAATTTTCGTCTATACATGACTTTTGTTCTGACGACAATTTTCGTTTTTTCAGCCGAGTAACGATTTTCCATTGCATCCTTCGACTGCCGAGGAACAGCATCAGTCTAGTAAGTACATTACATTGAACAATATCAGATCAAAACCGTTGGCCGTTGTTCCCATTCATTTAAGTTGTTGGACCCGGGATTTCCGATCACGAGGTCTCAATCCCCCCCGAAGATCAATGTGCAATGCGTACTAGCCCATGGTAATCTGGGGACCCCGCAATCTAAACGGGCCGATCCCCAGATATTAGGCATAAGAGGAGTGACAAAGACAAGCAGCAAGTCCCCTCATTGGTGAATAGGCTCGTCTACGGTAGATGTTATCCCGATAGTGTCTCTCTCTCTCTCTCTCTCTCTCTCTCTCTCTGTCTAGGTGCTCTCAATGCAATGAATGTCCCCATAAGCATGACGGTAGCTTAACGGGTCAATAACGACCGAGGTGCCTCGATGCTTTGGGTGTCGCTTCATGAGAATAGGCCCATCTATAAATACCGGCTGAGTAGAAACTACATTGTATGATGTGAAATTTTCTAGTATCGCCTTTGCCTGCTATGTGTTGCTGCTGTGTCGTCCTCTGCATATAATGGCCGTCTCGATCTCTCAGTTATCTTTCGAACACCATCGCTTGGCACTCGGCATAGCTGAGGCGAAGCCTCGCATATCATGGAGGTTCGAGGGCAACGTTGTCGATTGGCAGCAAACTGCCTATGACATCGAAATCGTTCGAGCTTCGGACGGGTCACCAAGCATCCACAATGTCAACTCTTCAGACTCTCTTCTAGTCCCCTGGCCCGATCTACCACTTCAGACAGCTGAGCAAGCTACTGTGAGAGCCCGTGCACATGGGCAAGATGGCCAGCCGTCCACTCCATGGTCCGACTGGGTCACCGTTGAAACCGGTCTCTTGAACAGTACTGATTGGGCTGGCGCCGTCCCAATTGCAGCAGATAGGGACACCGAACTTGATGCTCCCAAGCGGCCCATCTACTTTAGGAGACCCTTCGAGTTGGCCGCAAATGTCTCTAGTGCGCGACTTTACATCACGGCGTTGGGTATATATGAGGTTGAGATCAACGGCAAACGAGTTGGAGATCTTGTTTTAGCCCCTGGTTGGCAATCATACAACTACCGACATGTGTATGATACGTACGACGTGACCGAACTTGTAAAGGGCGGAGACAATGCCATCGGCGCCGTTGTTGGTGAGGGTTGGTTTTCTGGGCGGTTGAATTATGGTGGTGGCGTACGCAACAACTACGGAGATACTATCGGTCTACTTTCTCTGCTTGTCGTTACTCTTGAAGATGGCAGCATCGTTAAAGTACCTACCGACACTTCCTGGAAAGCAAATACCGGCCCCATCTTGACATCCGAAATTTACGATGGCGAAAGGTACGATTCAACTCTTGAAACGAATCTGGACGGCTGGTCCTCGGCGGCGTTCAGTGCCGACAACTGGCTTGCGGTTAAAGAGTTGCCAGCACTCAAGGGAAAACTAGTTCCTCCATATGGGCCCCCTGTCCGTATAATTGAGGAAAGAAAGCCACAGGAGATATTCAAATCTCCTTCTGGAAAGACCCTTATAGATTTTGGGCAGAACCTCGTCGGCTGGCTGAGGCTTAATGTCTCCGGACCCAACGGTACCAATATCACGCTTCACCATGCCGAAGTTCTGGAGGATGGTGAATTGGCCATCAGACCACTCCGATATGCTGCCGCCTCAGACTCTCTCATTTTACATGGAAATGGGGTCCAAAATTGGGAGCCACGCTTTACTTTTCACGGTTTTCGCTACGCTCAGATTGATGGCTGGCCCGAAGAGACTCCCTTGACTACAAATTCCGTTACTGCTGCGGTGGTTCACAGCGATATGGAACAAACAGGATGGTTTGAGTGCTCGAACCCGCTTTTGAACAAATTTCATCAAAACGTTCGATGGTCCATGAAGGGCAATTTCTTGTCCATCCCAACCGACTGCCCACAACGCGACGAACGGCTTGGCTGGACTGGAGACGCACATGCATTCGCACCAACGGCTAACTACTTGTACAACGCAGCGGGCTTTTGGAAGGGGTGGCATAAGGACCTTTGGTCAGAGATGCAGCGGAACGACTCTATGGTAGTGCCTTTCACTGTTCCAACACTACCACCCGACGCTCCTGCCACGCCGGCTGCTGTCTGGGGTGACGTTGCGGTTGCTAACCCGTTCAACATCTACCAAGCCTATGGCGATCTCGGTTTGTTGGAAGAACAATACCCACAGGCACAGGCATGGATCGATAAAGGAATCAGTCGCAACGAAGTCGGTCTTTGGAACCGCAGCTCGTTCCAGTTTGCAGACTGGCTTGACCCCAAAGCTCCTGCAGACAACCCTCATGGAGCAACAACCGCACCCAATCTTGTCGCGGATGCCTACCTTATCCACATGACAGATTTTCTTTCCAACATATCAGCATCCTTAGGTCGCGATGAGGCCGCCGACGATTATCGACGCCAACGCGACAACTTGATCCAAGAGTTCCATAAAGCTTGGATTCATGACGGTGCCCTTGCTAACAAGACTCAAACTGCGTATGCCATGGCTCTTAATTTTGGCATTTATCATGACGAGGATGAGCGGTCTGCTGCCGCCAAAACTTTGCGCGAGATTGTCGCGGACAATGACTATCTCGTCGGCACTGGTTTTGCTGGCACACCGCCCTTGGGTTTTGCCCTCCGCGAAATCGGCGCCACTGAAGACTTTTATCGCATGCTACTGCAAACTCGTGTGCCATCGTGGCTGTATCAAGTTGTCCAGAACGGAACAACTACCTGGGAGCGCTGGGACAGCCTGCTCACAAATGGCAGCGTCAACCCCGGCGAGATGACCAGTTTCAATCACTATGCATTTGGCTCAGTTGCCAACTGGATGCACCAGGTGATTGGTGGCATTGCGCCTGCTGAGCCAGGTTGGAAGCGAATTACCATTGCTCCAATCCCCGGCGGTAATATTACAAGTGCAAACTCCAAGTTTATTAGTCCCTATGGAGAAGTCAAGGTTCAGTGGTGGATTGAGAACAATACCGAGGACAATGCTTCACACCGCAATGGCTTTCACTTGAATGTTCAGGTACCACCTAATACCAAAGCCGACATTACACTGCCAAACGGGGGCGAAACTACAGAAGTCGGCTCCGGGTATTACGAATTCCATGATCCTACATATAGGCTTCCTTGAATACTGCTCTTTATCCCCTCACATAACTGCAGATAGATAATCGAATCTTTTTCCAATATAAGTGGTATTAAGAAGTTGTATCTATATACGTGCCGATTATTGTTTGGATAACAGGTCAGCTGCGGCTCAAGTTGCTCTGTACAGTTTAACAGCCGGCTTTAAAAGCATCACCCCAACTTCCAGAACTGTACCACAACAGAGCTCGTACATTCACAGGATGAGAACTGAAATCACATGGAAGGACAGTTTTGTTAGCGTTAACCATACACATAAGACCGCATCAGCCAGGTGAAGTCGCACGCGCAACTTTTATAGTGAGAATCGGAAGTCGTCCTCAATTAATTCCAATATCATAGGCGAGGTAATTTGATATTCTTAGTTCCCTTGAGCGATGCCACAGATATTGAGGTAGAATCAGAGAAGCTAATCCTCGGATCCGTCGTCGCCACAGAGGACGAGGCGCCCCAGGGGTATCTAAACCAATACAGTACATAGACTGGTCAAGTGATTGGTGATAGAATGATCTTGAATTGTGTAGCTGCAGTTGAAGTAGCCAACCTGGGCGCCATGTTTCGCATTCTCGACATTGGAGTCTCCCTCACTGTTGGATTCATCAGTGAACAGGATGGAGGCGACGGCAACGGATAGGCTCAGACGCCGACAAGACTTTTCGATTAAGTAGCGACTACCGACGATAAAATCTTTTCGTTCTTGGAAGACCCGTTCGTATTTGTTTTCCAGAAGGTGAAGTTGTTTTTTGTCGGGATAGAGTCTACTAACCCTATGGCTGGCGGATACTTTTATGCCACGCACCTTCTACAAGTCGATAGTGAAGTGTAATGCTTATTCTTCTGGGACTCGTACCCTCGCACAGTTTGTGGCCTTTTGCTTTCCGCTGGAATCATTTTTATCCTTTTCTTCATAACCTTGATTCATACATGGTTGAGCTAAATTCGCCGGCCCCTTGCTCAAAGCAACGGGACGTGTGATATAAAAGACCCTCAATATAACTGATTGGTTCTGCCCAAATTTGTGATAAAAGAGCAGTACTGCCAGCTTAAACAATACTGAAGTGAACGTAAATGCTCTACATGGAATGTGTATTCACTTTTTTGAGCGGAATGCACAACTATACACAAGGTACTGATCATCTTTTCACCCTCGAATGTCTATAAGGCTTGGTAGGCTTTAGGAAACACAGCTCTTGCGACTGTTGTGTTCTAATATATGTCCTATTCCTGATGATACCATAACAGCCTCAGCCATTCGGCAAATATTTAAACATCTTGCCGATTGTCAAGTAAGCCTCATCGGCGCTAATCCTAGCACGTTACATGGGGAGGTAAGACTCGTCTGCGCTGGTTTCGGCTCTCTTCATGGGGTCGTAAGACTCGTCGGCACTGGTCTCATATCGCTTCATAGGAAGGTAGGACTCGTCGGCGCTCGTCTCGGCGCGGGCCTTCATGGGAAGGTAAGACTCATCCGCGCTCGTCTCAGCCCTCTTCATAGGGTCGTAAGACTCGTCGGCACTGGTCTCATAGCGAGCTTTCATAGGCAAGTACGATTCATCGGCACTGGTCTCAGCACGCTTCATGGGGAGGTAGGACTCGTCTGCGCTGGTTTCGGCTCTCTTCATGGGATCGTAGGATTCGTCCGCACTGGTCTCATACCTCTTCATAGGAAGGTAGGACTCATCGGCACTCGTCTCAGCGCGAGCCTTCATAGGAAGGTAAGACTCATCGGCGTTTGTCTGAGCTATCGATAGTTAGCAAAGGTTCGAATGCCATCTAAGAGACTTACTTACCATGGCCGGTGTGGGGCACTGTTGGGAGAGACACAGCGCAAGCCGTCAAGGCGGCAAGAATGACAGCGATCTTCATATTGCAGATAGTGGCTCGGTTTCCAGGTCCTGACTGAGAAATAGAACGTTGAGGCCTGAGTAGATGGCTTGTGCTTTGGGGTTAAATAGCCTAGGTATTACAAGAAACGTGCAGCAAGTTCGCTCATCCTTCTTATGATCGACGCTGGGCGAGGGCCGCAAGGCGATGGCTCATAGAGCCGACCAAACCGAAGTGATGGAATGTCAAAGAGCCAAAGATTCTTGCAGGAGCATAAACCTTGCCACCCAAATCCAACTAATAAATGAGGCAGGTGACATTGCATAGGCTTTCCGAGCTGGCGAATGGCGATTGTCAGAACATCACCAGCAGACATAGAGGAAGGGGGGATTGGCTGCAGACTCATCACCGGCGTCAACTTCTTCCAAAACCAAGGTAAAATGTGTTTTGGAGGGTCTTTCCTAGTCTCCATAAGCCATTAACAGTAGCCAGTTGAGAAGAAGTATCACATCTGTAACCATAGCTCACCTTCCGCTTTGAATTTAGCTTAACGCCCCGCAGTTGGAAGGATTCATGCACACAGGAACAGACGTGAAAGACAAGTCGTGATTATCCGGACAACGATAAAGCGCAGTTTCAGTTTTTTGCAACATTTCAGCCGGGAATAGAAGTAGCCACGAGTAAGAAACCTGTTTCTATCAAAACAGTGACGCCGTTGCAGACCTCAACAAGTGTGGTGACATCGAGAAACCCAACAAGCTGGGCGTCGGTAAACTGTGCCACAGCTGTGCAAGAGCCTAAACCTTACTCAGACCGATGCTACCGCTCCCGTATGCGTCTTCTGTACTTCCTGTGGGGGATAAAATGCTTGTTCCGGTGTTGATACCCCCCCTGCCATACCCTGACTGAGGGGGCGAAGAAACAATCGGGTGGCGAAATGTAATTGGCCCAATGAGTAGTCTTATTCCTGCTTACAGTAACTTTGATGGGCTTAGAGCTGTCGGTGGGCGGAGGAATATGCCGGCTTGGTTCGGTCTTTTCCTCAAAGGATGCGGGTGCGTCGATGCGGGACAAGTGATTTCCACTCGACTGACGTCCAGACCTTTTAGCGCAGGCAGATACAGAATGCTTTCCGAGATAAGATCGAAAGGCCGATAAAGACCTTCCAATTTGGGTCGGGTATGAACGAATTTTGGCATTGTTTCCTTAATGGTTGACGCCCGGGATCTGCCTGTGATCATACGTGGCGGGGTAGTAAGTCGACAACCCCTCGGATCCTTCTGGACGTAAGATGTTATTGCGTAAGGAGCTGTAAGACTCATATCTCTCTCATGCTGGTATAGTTTTGGTCTAGGCACAATCCATATTCTTTTCCGTTGGCCCGAAAACAAGAGAAAATAGTTGTACTTCCATTGCAAGCCTTCCTCGTCTTTTACCCACCTTGACGAACAAAAAAGTTTCTTCCCGTATTAAACCATTTTTCAAGTCTTGGCTTCAAACCCCCAAAATGGGCCGCCAGGAGAAAGGTTACACTCCTGTGTACTCGGACGAGAGGTCAGCCTCGAGTCTGGATAATGTGGAAGTTGAACTTACGGCCGCTCAGGCACGGCAATCATCACGAATTCGCAGATTTGGGGTGTGGGGACTCCATGCCGCGTTGATTGTCATTTACTCGGCAGTTTTTGTCGTTTCCATGATCAAAAACAGATCAAACTCGGGTGTCTTCAGCCTAGTTGATTGTAGGTCTGGGTGGTAACAAATCTCTGGCTCTTGACACTGACATGAGAAAGCACCTCCGAATACGATTGGTGAAGAAACTCACCTTGAAATATTTCCCATCCAAGGGCCACCACATGGCATCTACACGGGCGAGCCAAGGCCAGAGGTCGATCAGGCGTGGAAGGACCTGTTGCAATGTTTGTGCCCTAATCCATCTAAAGCCCAGTAATGCTAACATTAGCGACTCAGATAACAACATCAGAGTATCTGATGAATGGGTGCACCGATGGGGCCGAGAGCATGAAGCTGTCAAGTTGCCTGATGGTGGCTACTTGGGAATGCTCAGTGTCTTCCACGAGCTTCACTGCATTGTAAGTACAACCCATATTATGAATGCAAGGGAAGGGGCTAATCGAGAGGATTAGAAACGCCTCTACCAGACCTTGTCACCGGAGTACTACTATCCCAATGCAACCAAGGAAGAAATTGCGATAAATCGAGAGCATAACCAGCATTGCCTGGAAGTTCTTAGAATGGGAGCAGCCTGCCGCGGTGATGTTTCCATCATCACGCACATGTGGACCGACAAAGACGCTCAACCGATCGTCAACCAGACGGCGCCGCATCAGTGTGTTGACTTCAACAAGGTGATGGAATACTCGCGAGACAACGTGGTAGACGTTTACCAAGACAATTACATTGTGCACCCCAAGTTTGGTAGGCTCACAAAAAAATCCTTTTGAGTAGCAGAAACCATAGGCTGACGTTTGAATAGGCCCATCGTTCCCCCATGGACACAGCATCAAGCCCTTCAAGGAACAGGAAATGGGGCACCATCACTGATATGGTATCGCGGCTCGTATCCAAGATGGTCTTGGTAAGGAAAGTCAGAAGATTAGCTTAGAGTATATCACACAAGCCTCTGCCACGGGCTTGTTCACACATGTCGTAAACACAACAGCGGCGTCGCTCCACCGATAGTGAGGAGACCATGACCTCGACCTTTTGGTCGGCCTACAACATGGGCTAGTAAGTCGACCAAAAGTCGTCGTGACATTTCAGCGAAAAAAGACTCCAGAATAGAACATGTAAATAACATAATATTTGGTTCACAATGCAGTATGTCAGGTTGAAAGATTAACAAAAGTCCCAAATAAGTTTACTCGTTGTAGTTGGGTGTTTGAAATGAAAAAGAGCTCGGCATGACGGGGACGGATCACAGACCCGCCGCCCCACATGTCGGTGAAAATCCAATTCAATCAGACAATTGGTTGTTCACCGAGTAATCACGTGACACTGGAATATCCGCATCGCAAGAAAAAAAAAGTTCTCCGTGATAGCATCCACCTTAGCTCGACCACGCCGACCACTCAACACACACACACCCCCGTAACCCAACCCTCACCCGAACTTCAAGATGCATTTGATGTACACTCTCGATGAGGCGGGCAACCGTCTGTACACCCTCAAGAAGGTTGTCGACGGCAAGGTCACCAAGTCCGCCCACCCTGCCCGCTTCTCGCCCGATGACAAGTGGTCGCGCCAGCGTGTGACGCTCAAGCGCCGCTTCAACCTGCTTCTTACCCAGCAGAGTGAGTCTCCGCTTCATTGAAAGTCATATGATGGAAGACAATTATTCTAATCCGTTTCTCCACACAGAGACCGGGTAAATCTTTCTCAAAAGCATTACGCGATCGACATCTTCACACCATCAAAGAACCCCAGCCGACAAGACAAACCCCGCTCCGGCCAGAACCACATGACGGCAACGGCTTGTTTCGACTTGCGGGAGAGAGAGCATCAGCACTGCTTGCGCGGTTCGGGGATGGAGCAGCACAAAGTTGGTGAACAATGTTTCCAACCTACACTGTTCTGGCACATAACAACAAAAAAGGCGTTGGGGGAAAGGGCTTGTGTTCATGGGGGAAACTCGGAGTCTTTATTACACGGTCCGTATTTGCGGTAGATTACTCTGCGATTCCAAAAAATAACGTAGAGCCCACGCATCTATATAAAAGAGAAAGAATTCAACCTTGTTTTTTTTCTTCCCATCGTCCTACGAAAGAGGTCCCAATTTTTCCGTCCTTTTTTGAGGGTCTATCATGGTATCATGCAGAAACATATAAAACATCTAGTAGGCTGCCACATAGCCCACATTGTGCCTGTTTTCAATTTTTTTTTCTTGCGCTTTCTTTTCTTGCTTATCTCCTCTTGCGGCCGTTCACGTTCCTTCCGGGACCGAGACGCACCTTTCCGTTGCTGCTGGTTCGGTCTCCCGTAAGGATGCTAGGCAGGTAGTCCTCGTCCATGAGATCCCTGCGGCGAGCCCGGCGGTTATCTCCAACAGCCTTCTCGTACTCCTTTTGATCCTCGGCAAAGATCAAGTTGGTGCCCCAGTTGTTCTTGCCGCCAGCGTGCTTGGTGAGCTTACCGCTGGCTGTTCCGGCAACCGGCTTGGGGATGCTGAAGACGTTGCCTCTGTTGTTCCATTGGAAGTTGCGCTTCAAGTGGATCTTGAACGTGCCGTCCTCCTCAGTCGTGCATGAGGTGCGAGTGAGCGTCGCCTGTCCACAGCTGGGGCAGAACTGCTTGTCCATCTTCTTGCAAACCTGGAAGCAGCCGTGGCAGCGCAGGACCCAGGTCTTGAGCTGGGTGATACGCGACATGGCGGGCGACAGCAGGTTCAGACCTATTCTCAGAGCGACGTTCTGCATGGCATAATCGGAGGTGAGGATGCCGACCTTGATGTCGACCGCCGGCGCCGTCGGCTGGATCTTCTGGCTATCCTTCTCCTTGTGCTTCTTCACGTTGGATGGTGTGATCCAGCCGTCCTCGGAGTCTGATCCGTCATCCTTGGCCTCGACCGTCTCGGCGACGTCGCCGGCCGTTGCGGCAGCGGGTTCTTCAACCTGCTTATCCTCTACACCCAACTTCTCCATCTCTTGTGTAATTGCGGTCGCACCAGCATCTGCAGACTTAGTTTCTGTCGTTTCAGGCTGTTCGCTGCTTGGTGTCGCCTCAGTGCCCTCAGCGGGGGTGCTGGTTTCGGCCTTCTCGGTCGCTTCCGGAATAGCCTGCTCTTGGGCTGCGGATTTTTCCTGAGCTTCAGAGCTGGCGTCTTGATCTTGCTTGGGCTCGGTGACATCGCTGTCAGGCGCCCTGGCGGCAGGGATGCGCTGGTTGGGATCTTTCCTCAGTCGGGAGTCTCCGCCGTTCTTCTCAACCTCAAGTTCGTAGGTCAAGGCAAGGAGGTGCAAATCAGGTCTGCTGAGAACCTCGAGATCTCCGCTACGGCGTGCAAAGTTGGTAACAAATTTGATGCTCTCGGGACGAGGGTTCCTCAGCTTGACGAAGGGCATGAGGGTCGTCTGGACTCGGGTGCGGGTGTTGACGTCGCGAATTTCGTCAATGATGGAGGGGAGCATGTACAACTCATCGGCCTGGGCAAGCAATGTGCTCACGGGAGGGTCGTTCTTGATCAACGGGCCGGTATCGAGGCAGAGGGCGTGAATGGGCTTGCGCTCCTCCGGCGCAGAGGGGCTTGCAACCGCGGGCGCGGGCGCAGGCACTGAGTCGCTCGACATGGTGTCGAATTTGGTATTCGTAATAAAGACTCGGTGCGACTACGACTAGCGATCTGAAATAGATTTTCTTTTTTCAGAAAGGTGCTCTAAATGCGAATCGCAGCGTGGGCAAATGAGGAGGCGAGGCGGCGAATGATTTTGAATCAAATGGGAAATTTCTCTATCGCGGGGTTGTGGTGGGGTAGAATTTTCCTGACAAGGCCCCCTCGTTGGATCAGTACCGAGCCACACCTTGAGGGCTCACCGACCACCGGTCACCGCCAACTCGGTGAGTCTAGTCCAAGGGTGCTCACCGAGAGTCTCCCCTCGGCCTTGTGTATATGTGTATGTTCATTGAATGTGACGTTCAGCAACAATTGTTGCAGATCAATCTATTACTCACAGGGGAAGCCATGACAGTGCCAACTTACCAATGTCGACCACATTTTTTGTCCTGACAACTTCAGACTCCGGCATACGTATGACTGGTCAAAATGCAGCCAGCTGTATCCGTGCAGTCTGGTGAATGAGTGTGGTAAAAAGATGGAAGGATAACAGGTTACTGTTACGTTCCAAGTACTACGGAAGAGCAAGATGCCACCAACCAATATCGACTCAACGATGAACTTTGACTGTGCCAAGGATGCACCGTGCTGAATTTGTTGTTGTCGGCTGTCGGTGCTTGGTTGAAAATGACTCGTCTGGCAGTCAAGTCTGTTGGCCCAAACATCCCAAGATTGATGGTTGGGGGTAGAAGCGAACTACAGTCACAATATTCATGACGAGGAAGATGGCGTGATAGCATCCAACTCATATCACAAAGGCCATTGGTGCCTATCACACTGGGCTTACAAGGAATTTTGTCAAGTATGCATGTTGTAAACCTTCCTAGTGCAACGTAGGCGGCTGTCGGCCACGGCTATCGGTCGAACTGGCCGACACCCATTAAATGTGAAAATAAGAATAAAAATTGAGTCGTCCTTCTTATCGCGTGACCTAATTTTCAACTGCAAAATTTGAAATGGGACCCGTTTAGGCCAGCCTGACTTTCAGTTATGATGACGGTAGTGGTGGTGGTGGCCCAGACTGCAATCATAAAACGAAACAGCATCCTACAGTTATCTGATATGAGTGAGCTACTACATAGTATGAGATGGCTGATGAGTCCGCTGATCGCCGATAGCCGCAGGCGAGCACGTGTAAGGTAAGCTGGCTGGGCGGTGGCAGGTGGATGATGCTCCATTCCACACGGACAAACGCTCCGTTCAACAATTCATAATTGACGTGGCTCACTGATGTGGATCTCTTTTTCTTTGCAGAGCATAAATGCTCCCCGCAAGAGCCGTGGCTAGTGTCTTTGCCCACATATCCATACATGTGTGTATCCTTCTCAACGGGAATAATAGACATTGTCTCTTACTTGGAGACAGCTGCAAAAAAGGCTGTTCATACAAGGTTTCCGTTTTAAGTGGCCATATCCAGCGAACTGGTAAACGCAGGCCCCGTCCATTCCCCGGAAACTTTTCTCGGTTGGGAGGGAGTTGCGTTAGAGCAACCAGGGGGGTTAGCCAGCGACTACCCCACTAATCTTCCAGTGGAAGGGGCCCCTGTGAACCGACACCAAGACCGTTATCGCAAGGCCCCCCAAGACCAACCCACCCCGAAAATCCCGGCTACGGTGAATGACGGGATGGGATGGGACTGACAAACAGAGAAAGAGAAAGCGTGTGTGTGCCCCAGCTTGCATCGTGCCTGCATACACCGTAGTTGGCCTGGCCTGGCCTTGCCTTGCATTACCCTGCCTGCCTGCCCCCAAAAGAGAGAGGGAATAAAAAAGAAAAGGAAAAACAAAAGAAACTTAGTGTCCATACTGTGAGGCGTCTTGTCACCCTCTGCCACACACTATATCCCGTACTTGCTTACCTTACCTGCCTTGCAATTATTCCCCGGATTTTCTCCTGCAGACTTGTACCCTCTCACAATAGACACTCTCGCTCTACACACGAACCGTCCTTTTAAAATAAAGACCCACGTCGATCCTCTCCGGAAAGGGAAACCCATGAGCCCTTAGGTAGGCTGAGCCTCATCCCTCTCCATGTCTACTGCAGACACCGCAGTGTTCTGGTGAGAGAGTGAGAGTGAGGAAAAAAAGAGGGCGCGAACGCGTTTTTGTCGCTCGTGTCTGGGACAATGGCAGACTTGTTTGGTAGCAGCAGCGGCGGCAGCAACAATAACAACAACAATAGCAGCATTCCCAAGAACCAAAACAATAATCACAATAGCAACGACAGCCTGGGACGTCATCTCCGACCCGACAGACCACCGACAGCCGCGACACCAACCAACCAAGCTGATCTGTCTGCTCCCGCTGCCGCTGTCTCTTCCGCCGCCGCCACCGCCGCCGTGACAACCTCAGCCTCGTCCGTGTCTCCGAAACCGACCAAGCGGTCCTCGGCAACGACATGTGTCACCTGCCGTGCCCGTAAGGTCCGCTGCGACGGTCGCCGGGACATCTGTAGCAACTGCGAACGTCTCGGCTTCTCCTGCACTTATGAGGACCCCAACTCCGATCCCAATGGCTTATCGTCTGCCCCTTCATTCCCCTTGCCAAGACGTCGTGTCCGTCAAGCCTGTGAGAGCTGTCACTCTCGTAAGGCTCGTTGTAGCGGCGACACCCCGGCTTGCGTACGGTGCCGTGCCCAGGGCCTCGAGTGTGTTTATCGGGCATCCAAACGGGCTCGCCTGAGCATTCACCATGCTCCCCGTGTCGATGCCACCCTGAGATCGCCGACGACATCATCATCAGCAACAGCCGCCCGCGAGCAGCACACCCGCCGCTCTCATTCGAGGGAAGATGCTGCCCATGACTCAGATGCCGGCGCTGCTGAAGCCGTCGCTTCCAACACGCCGAGCACTTTTAACCAGGAGCTGTGCGTTCATATCCATCCGCCCCTTGATGATATCATCGTCACTGACCAATTCTCAGCTCCGTCTCTGATCCTCAATTTGAGTCGCTCATTAGCCGTGCTCTAGACAACTTCTTCCGTCATGTTCATCACATTCCCATGCTGTCCTTTTTGCATCGAGCCTCTCTCATGCAGCGCCATCACGCTGGTCGTCTAGACCGGCCGCTCCTGCTTGCCCTCATCGGCATAACCAGTATGCTTACCGACCTGGGCCCGGGAACCAGAGAGTATGGCGAAAAGTGCGTCGACGAATCCGAGACTCTGATCTTGAAGAGTTTGGAGAACCCTTCCACCATCAAAGTTCAAACTCTCGCTCTCATCATCAAGTACCGCATCTTGAATCGCCGCTTCTCCAGTGCCTTCGTCCTTGCGGCTACGGCAGCCAGATTCGCCATGGCCCTACGTCTTAATCATGAAAACAACGACTTGTGTTTCTTGGCCCAGGAGTCGAGACGTCGCCTCATGTGGGCCTTGTTCATGATCGACCAAGGCATGGCTGGGGGTTACAGAGATCTCACTCTGTGGACGCCCGAGCTCATTCACATTTCTCTTCCGTGCAACGAGAGAGACTTTGAGTTCGACCTGGCGCCACCATCGATGCGGAGTCTGGTTCCCAGCCCCGACGAGTCCGAAAACGATGATATCGGCAGTCTAGCATTGCACGTCCGTATTCTTTGGGTCCGCGGCAGGATCCTCAAGTTCGCCAAGAGAGCGGCGGCTTGTTCGAACGACGAGGATCTGGGTCGTTTGCGAGATCAACTACAGTCTTTCGCCAAGGAGCTCGCTGAATTCGCTGAAAGACTACCCGTGTCGTTCCGATGGTCCGATAACAGCTTGCGGCTGCGAGCATATTCACCAAGACTCTGCGTCTTCATTATGATACACATCTGGTGGCGTCAATGCCACTGCGACCTCTACCGTCTGGGCCTGGTGGGACTCCGGGACTCCCTGTCACGTTCGGCCGCAGAACGGCTGGGACCGGACTTCATCTCTGGATGCCAACGGCAGTGCTTTGAGCATGCGCTGGAGATGTCCAACATGTTCACCTCCATCAAGCAGCTCGATCATTACCCTGTTGCGGACTTGGACATGCCGGTCTGTGCCTACCAATGTGTTCGCATGTTGTATTACATCTACCACCTCAACGCGGATGAATACAGTCTCACACCAGACATCCTTCGCAAGAAGGCCTCCATCTGCCTTGAAGTGACCAAGGGCTGCTGTTCAGGGACGGCGGCGGTCTCTATTGTACGTGACACAACAACTTGATCCGCTCATTTGCTGACAATCTCTTTAGCAATCTGATCTCCAGCGTCTCATGGACCACGGCCTTTCAGTACAGGTCACACCGAGCCGACTCGCCAGCGAAGAGCCGCACGGCGCGACAAACGGCACCGGACCCAAGCGCGTATCACGGCTTGGCCGCGCGAAGCAGGTGCAGCTGGTGGACGACCCGGACAGCGGGGCGCCCGCCGCCGACGAGCTCACGAATCGGCCATTTGGTATCGGCGCCTGGGAAGACATTCAGGTTCCCGAGTCCGAGAAACCAGACGAGCCGGCACCCATGCCCCCGCAACACGCTGTGCAGGGCTCGCTCGAAGTCAACAACGCGTTCGAGGGCGCGTTGGACAGTCTCGACTTCAACATGGAACCGATGGGACTGGATTCACTGGCCTGGTTTTCCAATGAATGGGCCCAAGGCGACTTTCAGACAGAGTTTTAATCAGAGACAGCTCCTATCTATACAGCTTGTCGATTTAATCGAGCGCGTTGACCAAAAGCAGCAACCTAAACGCCAATGGTTGCTAGCGAGACAATGGCAGAAAATCTCTACCGTCGAAGACACTTTGCTGCGTTTTCGATAATGTTTTCAAACGCCGCGCAGCACCGCAGTATATTGCACATGACTCAACCCATTAGTTTACCTAATTATTTGTCGGTGTAAGTAATTTCGCGAGCAATCTGCGGCCTGCAAGCTGATCAACGATACTCAGACGAGAGGAACGTAGGCGATTGAAAAGCATGATTCATTCCACCACCACAGCTCCGCGGGGGAACAAGATGTTCATGAGCGCAATCCGGCCTTAGCGCATCCAAAGCCAATGGCGAAGGAGCCGGCGATATTATCCGGAGGTCTCGGCAGCGGCTTAGAGTTAGCAAATCTTGCTTGAACAGCAGCAAGGAATCTTGTAGAGAAAACTCAAGGGCAACACCCAGTGAAACTAATTACACACTGGAGACACATTTTAGAAGTTGGGGATGGGGATGTATATATAATCAGCAACGTACGAAACACATTGGCTTCGAGAGTAGCGTCTCTTCAATGTATAAAATTTACGCCCTACATGACATCAATCATACCGATCCACTCATCCTAATACTAGCAAGCAACCTCCCTCCCTACCTTCTCTGAATGTTGATATCCAACGCCAGAGGCTTCCTCAAGAAACCCTCGTTCGTCTCCATGTAATCCTGCCTCAGCTCGACGCGATACCTCCTCGCCCACGTAGCAACGATAAGCTTCATCTCCATCTCGGCCACGTTCCTGCCCACGCACGCTCTGGGTCCGTGGCTGAAGGGGATAAAGGCGTTCTTCTGCCTCGGCGTGACCGACTCCCATCTCTCCGGGCGGAAGTCGTCGGCGTCGGGGCCCCAGATCTCCTTGGAATGGTGCATCGTGTACGAAGGCACGCTGAGGACGGTGCCGGGAGGGAAGTAGTGGCCGCGGATGGTCACGCCGGGGGAGTCGGCGGGGATCTCGCGCGGCAGGCCGATGCCGGACGTCGAGTGGTGTCGCAGGACTTCGTTGATCACCATGCCGAGGTAGGGCAGGTCGCGGACCATTTCGTACGTCGGCACGTCGCAGGTCTGGGGGATGGCGGCGTCCAGCTCGGCCTGCAGCTTCTGGAGCACGCCGGGGGTCCTGGCGGCGTGGAAGAGCAGGGCGCACGACGAGTTGGACGTGGTGTCGCTGCCGGCGATGAGCTGCGTCAGCGCCTCCGCCGTCAGCTCCTCCCTGCCCAGCGGCTCGCCCTTGTCGTCGCGTCCCTCCATCAGACGGGCGAGGAGGTCGAGACGGTCAATGTCGGGCGGGTTGTCCAGACGGGCCTTGACGCGGGCGATGGCGATGCCGGCGAGGTTCTGCACGGCCTCCAGGCCTTGGCTGAAGAAGGGGTCGGGGAGGTACTTTGCCCAGGGCTTCAGGTCGGGATAGATACCCAAGGTGGCCGAGACCTCGCCGCGGCGGTTGAGAATCTCGATGGCGGGGGCGTAGATGGGCGGGCTGTTGGGGGACTCGCGGACCTCGGCGATGTCGGCGCCGGCCTTGAGCATTCCAAAGGGGGCGCCGAAGGCGAGGTCGCCAATGATGTCGAAGGCGAGGTAGTTGAACCACTTGAGGCAGTCGATGGTGGCGCCCTTGCCGGCAGGGCTGTTCTTGATGAGCTCGTCCCACTTCCTGACGAAGAGCTCGAGGTTCTCGTGCATGTAGGGCTCAAACTGGCTGATGGACTTGACGGAGAAGGTGTGCGAGACCATCTTGCGCTTGCGGGAGTGCTCATGGCGGTCCCGGGTGTTGAAGAGGCCCCGCCGGATGGAGACGAAGGCATCGTAGAAGTCTCTGCTGCGGTATTAGCTGTGCTATCCTGCCAAATGAAATGTCGAGTCAAGCTTGGGAGAAGCTGTGTGTGAGAGTGCGAGAGAATAAGTACGTACGACTTCAGGAAACCGTTTCCGTGGCCGTAGATGGTCTGAATGGCATCATCGTCTGCGATGCTCACATGGTTCGGCTGAATCCGCACCACGGGACCAAGCTCCTTGTGGATCTTGTCGACGGTGAGATATCTGTCTCCGCGTCGAACAACGGCCAACAACCATAAATTGGTGAACTGCGCCGGGAAAGGCGCCGGGATGCCACGCAGCTTGCCGTTTGTGACGAAGAATGGGTAGATATAGTAGGCTACCAAGCCCACCACTAAGAGGGCTGGGGCCCAGGGCGAGATGAGAAGCTCCACGACGGCCATGCTGCAGAATGTCTCCTTTGTTTGTCTTTTTCAGCCTTCCCTATCCCTCTCGAATCATGGAGTTGGAAGAGGGAAAAAAAAAACGAGGATGGGAAAGATGGCTGAAGGCGAGACTGAAATAGACGGGGACTCGATCGTGGGCCTCTACGGGAATAACGAAAAGGTGTAAAGCCTGGACGCCGGGGCCTACTTGTATTGCAGTCTTTCCATATGAGTGATATATATTTACTTCTCTTTTTTTACCCGATAGCTCCAACTTCCCCGAGACGCCCGTGTCGCCATGCGTTAAGCTTTCTTTGGGCCCTAATAAGTGGATCTCGCGGGGATGCGCGAAGACCTCCTACTACGTAGCTAGTGTTAGAGAACTGACACTGGCTGGGGCCAAGGGATGGGCCTCGCCCTGACACACGGCCAGCGAGCAAAGGAAAATTCCTATGGGTCCCCCCGCGTCCCCGCACGCGGCACTGAAGTCCGGCAGTGACGGGCGAGACGGCAATAAAAATCGGGATGGCGACTCGGGCTTTGTGAGCGTCTGAAGACGGGGGCAAGCCCATTCTTCTTCGGGACAAACCAGCCATAATGGGTTGCCTTAGGGGGGGCCCTTGTGCGTCAGACGCCGGCCGCATCATCTCGCTTCACTGTTGGCATGTGTCTTTGTATATAATTTCCATCTCGTAATTTCAACTTCACTAGTCATGGACAAAATAGTTGTATATCCATTCCGTATATGGTACAAACAACAGCTCGCCGTGCGCTACTTGAGGCACGTGCTGAGATTCCTCTTTTTCATTTTCCCAATGCCCTAAGAAACGCCAGAAAAAACAGAAGCGCTATGTCGCGTGGCTAGCTAGTATGAGAAGGAATGAAAATGTAAAACAAAAAAATGAAAAATGAATAGGCGCCCTTGATGCCATGGTTTCTACCGCGAAACAAGGCTGAAATCGCTCTCTAAAATGTGTACAAGCCTTCAATATGCCCAAAGTTCATTTCAACATGTATGATAGGTTCGGTAGATTCCGCACAATTTGCTGTACAAGGTCAGAATCTTCAATACTATTTCGGGGCTGCGCTGCCGCTGAAATTCCTAGACCCGTTGTAAGAGGGGTGGTGCCAAGCAGCTCTACCGCAGATACGCCGGGTTTACCATCTTTGTTAGAAGATGGGGCTGGCGGGTCGGTGAAGGACACGATGGAGACGTCTGCTGGAGGTTTGACCGTCGACGCTGGCGTGAAGGCGGACGTCGATTCTGGCGAGTTGATAAAACCGCCTTGGCTCTGGGGCGGCATGCCCGCAAATGCAGCTGATGTGGAGGCGGGGGCGGGGCTGATGACATTGCCAATATCTCTCATCCCTGATTTGCTCTCTTCCGCAGTCTTATTCCCGGTGCCCAGCCCTTCGGGTTTGGCATAGCCGCCGCTCCCGGTGCTATCGGAAAGCGCGAACGCCGTGCTATCGGGTAGCGGGTTCGTTGAAAACGAATCCCAGCTCGTCTTGGGAATAGACATGGAGTCTGTCGCTTCAGCCGTCGTTGGAGACACCATGTCTCCCCACTCATCATCTTCCTCGGCATCGTCTTGTTGATTAACCGACGTGTCTACCGTGGGAGTCTTGGGCACAATTGGTTTGCTGGCAGCAAAAGCAGCCGGCAAAGAAGCATGCGATTTTGGCGTATTGTCGAACCCGGCGAATCCAAGCGGAAGCGGCTTGACGAATTTTGGTCGCTCCGGCGCCTTACCCTCGGCTGACGCCTTCGTGTCGCTCGCACCAGTGCTCCAGCCGAATGATGCGAGTCCTTCCCAATTGTCCTTTGGCTGTGCCGAAGCTGGCGTGCTCTCCTTGGAGCTGGGTACCATGGGAGCCGTCGATAAAGAAGGCAGGGCGCCAATCGAGTGCGTTGGGCGGTGAAGAGGAGCTTGCCGCTTTTGCTTGCGTCCAAAAACTCTGTCCAGGTCGACTGGCGATGATTCAGTCGTTGAATCCCAACCAAAGAACTTGCCGCCTGCTTTTCCAGCCAATCCGCCCCGGAAAGCCCGTCCTCCCATCGAGTCCTCTTCCATCCAGCGGCGCACAATCTGCATCGTCTCGTCCCGCATCGTGGAATTCGACCAGCTGATCCGGACATAGTTATCGTCGTCCCCCACGTTGAACTTCCGGAGGGACTCGTGACGCGAAAGACGGTACCACATCTTGCGCTCTGATATGCCTGTAAAGCTGTCGGTGATGATTCGATCCGATACCTCACCAGCATCTTGGGGTTTTTCAATGGTAGGTTCGGGTATCAAAGAGTCGAGGACACTGAGATCCACGACAAAAGGGTCGTGATCTGGAAGTTTCGACTTTCTTGCTTCCTCCCATTCATTCGCGACATTGTCGCGGTCATCGGATAGATCTTCAGTGGCAGGCTTGGTGGTAATGAGCGAGGGCGGCGTCAAAGTCGAATCGTCGTTCTCAGCTTGGACGTCCTCTGAATCGTGAATTGATGTATCATCCGCGCTGGTATCGGCTTCTCGACTGACACTACGCCGTGGCGGAACTTGACGTTCCGGGGTAATTATTGTCCTCTTGGCTATACCATCGTACATTTCTACGAGCGACTGTACTTTGGAGGACGCCTTCTTTTTTATGCTCTTTGGTAGTGGACTGTCTTCGATCGAGGTGATGGGCGAGTCGACATGTGTGGCGTCAGGTAGTTCATCATCATCTCCATATGTCGTGGACGCTGAAGAGGTAGCTGCATCATCATGCTGTCCGGGGGCTACAGGTGAGTTGTCGGAGGCAGCAGTCGCAAATGGGTAAGGACTGGGTGTGTCTTCTGTAATAGAGTCGTCAAATTGAAGTGTCGCCGTTCCGTCTGATATTATATCGTCCTTGGGTATCTGCCTCGGTGTATCGGGTTCGAGCTCAATTTGAGGATTTTCGAGCACCGTTGGCGGTATATCGGGTATATGAGGTAGCTGCGCAATAGGCTCCGGTTCGTCGCTGTTGAAGGCCGCCCACGGGTCTGGCGATAGTCGGCCTGGAGAGTTGGCATTGGGTGTGATGGGGACCCTTAAGCCTGGGGAGGCTGAGCGGCTTCGAGGCCATTTTGGAGTACTGCTTTTGCGTCTAGGCTCGTAACTCGGGGTGAGCTGCTCGATGGGTGTAACTTCGTTGCCCCAGGCCCAGGGCGACGCGTTGGCGGCCCTCGCAGGGTCGGGAGACGCCCAATCGCCGAAGGCATCGTCTTCCAGCCATGGCGACTGGCTAGAGGGTAAGGTTAGGTTGCTAGGAGTAGATAAGAAGGCGGCGGGCGGAGGTTCGAGGATTGTCTTGGAAGGACTGGTAGACGGCGCGGTGACATTGTCGGTAGTTGCCCACGGGGAGCCCCATGGATCGTCCATAGTGTGAGACTACGGTTCATATTGTTGATGGAATGTAACTGAACGGGCTGCGCGCGTCCGCTGGCTGTGGTTGTCGGACTCCGGACTCAGTTGGCCATAGTCATTGTCTCGCGATGCGCGGCTCGAGGGTTTTCTTGGCTGGCTTTGTCCTCCGCGGAGTGGTTACAGAAAGGGAAGGAGATGGAAGCTCCGGGGAGGGGTAAGAATGTCTCAATCGACCGGCGAGCTAGTGTCAGCGAAGCAGCCGATAGTGAGGAAGGTTTCTTCAACGAAGGAATTCTGGAGAGAAAGAATGGACGGGGACGGGGAGTTCAGAAGATTGATAGTCCCAAACTAGAGACCCACGTCCAAGACAACAGCACTTGTCTCACGGATGCCGGGAGCTCGTCTAACTGGCTGTGCCAGGCCTAAGCGCTATCTCTGAGCGAAATGATGCTGAGCTAAGCAATGTGACTAAGCAGGGCCAAAATACAGCAAAGATACAGTGAATAGCGCATAACGACGACAAAAATAAGAAGCCAATTGACGAAATTACTCAGTGTATTCATTCGCGGTATCACTAAATAGTCGGTACTACTTTATCGCAGGGACGAGTATTGTAGTCGTGATGGCAACTACCACCATCGGCTTCTGTAAACCAAAATGTGGCGAGTGCTCGATGAAGGCACAGTCATTCATTGCCCAGTAAAATTCGGAACAAGCGAATGCCAGTAGCTACTAAGAATTAGACACACAAGCAGGATTAGGAACCTGATACAGAATCCCTGTATGAAGTGACCTGCAACTAACCTTACACACCTTGAAGCGACGAACTCAAATAAAGCAATCGGGCTCTATATGATCTTCAAAGCGTGATCGCTAGCGACAGGGAGATCAAATCCGTGCCAGGTCCTGAGACCATAAAAGCTAGTCAAGCATTGCACCAAGTCAGGGGAGCAACACGATGATGCAAATGCTGATCAAACTAAACCTTCATACCAGGTATGCAGGGGTTTTTGTTAGAGAGCGCAAGACACCATCCAATGCATGTCAAGTATCCAAGCATCGTGTCGGGGCCACGGGAGAAACTGTAGCGACCATCTTCACAGATAAGAGTATTCTTTACCCGATAAGATAAGAAACGATTGCGCACCCTGCGATTAGTTCAGAAGAAGTAACCGCCGATGACGGCATATGATAGGCGGGCACATGGAATACGCAGTAGCTGGAAAGATGGATGGAATCATTCTAGAACGTTATTCAAATTTGCAAGGTTTGCGAATCTCGGTGGCAAGCGCGTTGGTTTCCAACACTTGACTATTTTTGGTACTAGAAAAGGTGTATTTTGTGTTTATCATTCCCCTTTAATTCAAAGGCGAGGTACCTCATTCTGATGTCTTAGTTTTTTTTCGGTCCGCTATGAGGAGTGCTTACCAATTACCACCACTGCTTGACAGGCGCCAGAGTGGGGACGGACCATCACAGGTCTGTGATTTGAAATGAGTCGGGTTTAACTTGACTTACTCCCCAATTTCACTTTTCGATAACTTCCGCCACTCACTTAATTTTGCCGCTTGCTTCATCGAACTTCTTAGGTCCTCATTCGAATCAATATCTCATAGATCGATATCACTTTTTGGAATTTCAACGGTCGAGATGTCTCTCTCCAAAGTGAAGCACATTGTGCTGGTATTACCCCGCCATCCCACTTTCATCGCGATAACCACTAACTGACTAACTTGCGCAGGTCTTGTCAGGCAAGGGTGGTGTTGGAAAATCCTCCGTTACAACTCAACTCGCCTTGTCACTTTCCCTAGCAGGCTTTTCAGTAGGCGTCCTCGATGTTGATTTGACAGGCCCTTCGATCCCACGCATGCTATCTATCGAGGCCGAGAAAGTCACCCAGGCTCCTGGCGGTTGGCTCCCCGTTCCAGTTCATGATGCTGTGGAGGAAAAGGGCATCGGTTCATTCCGTGCCATGAGCCTTGGATTCCTTCTGCCCCAGAGAGGCGACGCCGTCGTGTGGCGAGGACCCAAGAAGACGGCCATGGTCAGACAGTTCCTCTCCGATGTCTTGTGGGATGAAACCGACTACCTCCTCATCGACACCCCTCCTGGCACCAGCGACGAGCACATTTCTCTCGCCGAGACGCTCATGCGGGACGCCCGTCCCGGCCAGGTCGCGGGCGCGGTGGTTGTGACGACTCCCCAGGCCGTAGCAACGGCAGACGTCAAGAAGGAGCTCAACTTCTGTGTCAAGACCGGCCTCAAGGTGCTTGGCGTTATCGAGAACATGAGCGGGTTCGTCTGCCCGCACTGCTCTGAATGCACCAACATTTTCAGCTCCGGCGGAGGAGCAGTCATGGCTCAAGAGTTCTCGGTGCCTTTCCTAGGCACTGTCCCGATCGACCCTCAGTTCGGTGAACTCGTCGAGTCGGGCAGGAGACCGCAGTATCCCCAGGGAACCCAGATTAACGGCCATGAGATTAGCAAGACCGCCGATGACCACCCGCTCGGCGATACACTTGTTGAAAAGTACCAGGACTGCTCATTGTCGCGCATCTTCAGTGAGATCACGACAAAGTTGACGACGACGGTTGAGAGCCAAACGCAGTCATGAAGCGTATAGAAATCACCTAAAAACGAGTCGGACGGGGTCTATCCACGTTCTCGCGGAGGTGACTCCGAGGTCAAAATAGCAGCGTCGAGACTACAACGGCTTACGTCGATGCGTCCTGCTTACGATGACCAAATCTAAAGCCTCTCTCCCCAATACGTGCCCGACTGGCACAAGACGAAGCTGACGGTTATCAATGATACGGATGACACTGCACAATGACAGATGCGGTCAGGTCATAGCGATGCAGCAGGTCGCTAGGGAGTGCCAGACCCCACCGCTATTATCAACGGCAGATGGCGTGAGATTGGCGGAATCCCTGAACTTCTCCCCCCTACAAGAGCCCCGCCCAGGTGCTGGCAGTGCCTGATTTACACGCACCCTAGATGCAAAGGCAGTAGTTCATTCACCGCATGGAAATGCACACATACAGACGGAGTGGTAATGAATTCTGAATTAGTTATATAAGGGTTTTTATATGTCAAAAACGGGTCAAATGGGTGTGCCGTGGGAGTAAAAAATTGGAAGGGGACTGCATTTGAGGCATATTATTCACAAGAGAGGGGAACAGACGAGAACAAATAAAACATGAAAAAAATAAAAATAAAAACAAAAAGGCTAAACTAGACCTGTTTACCCCTCCATGCTGCGAGTGCGAGGTAGAGGGGGGAACAAGTTGGCAAAAATGACGTCTCGGCGTATTCTTCAGTGCGGGTTGCCCAGTCTCCAGCACTTGTAAAGCCCCCTGTGACAGGTCAATTAACCACACCTTATGGGGTTATGTCTCCCCTTCTCCGTTACCTCCCGGTCAGAGCTCCCCACCAACCAGGAGATGGTATAGGCTGTCTTCGGATGCAAGACAGGGAAAAGGCGGGATGATTTGGCATTGAAGCTGGCAGTAAACCAGCAGCAGTTAGCGCCGTCTACTAACTAGAGGGGCGGGTTCTGCGCAGCAAGTGAGCAGAAAACAGTTGGAGAAAAAAAAAAGAAAGAAATGAAAAAAGTAGAAGGGGACAGAGTGAGTGATTGTGTGTATACTAATTAGTATGTGTGTGAGAGAGAAGAAAAGAAAAGAGAGGCCAGAGGCTGGTACCTCGTCCGATGTACCTTTTCTTCTCAATGCATTCGTACCTGCCTTATGCTGTGCTATGCTGTGTTGTACGACGCTTTCCCTTCTTCTTTCATGTTCTTTCTTTGACTTGTTTGGGCCGAAATTTTAGGTGGATCGGGGGGGTAGGTACGAGGGGTTGCCCCATTCCACTCACCAAACCAGCACCAAACCGCCCCGATCTCCCGATTTGCAGAAACTACTATTTTTTTTATTTTATTTTTTTTACCCACCACGACCGTCGTCCCCCTCCACTTCTACCGCAAACCCAAAACCACAACCACAACCCCAACTAGAATCCAGCTGCAAGCTTCAAAATTCCCATTTTGATTTCTTCTCCTTACAACTGCCTCTGGTTGTGCGAGTCGCAAACCCGTCTCTTCCACTGCCGAGTGCTGTCGAGAGCTTCTCTTTGACAAGTCAATCTCTGCAATTATATTCGCCTCCGGTATTGTCCTACCATCGCCGGCCGCGCAACGTCTTCCTCCGTCACGAGACCGCCTTCTACCACTTCCTCGCGTCGTCCACCTTACCAATCCCGAGCTTCTCCAACCGTACTTGACTTCTTCTCACTGAACTCCGCATACTTCAATGGTCAAATCTCAAATATAACACCATATCACGGTGACACATAAAGTCGTTGGCCTGCTTCTGCCCGCCTCCGCCATTTCGAAACCCCAGTCGATTCCTGGCCGTCTATGAACCAAGTCGACCTCCTACGTTTCCTCTCCAAGCCTGCAAAGTACGTTCTCTTGTTTCTAATCCTGTGCCTGTTGCCACCTCAAGTCTTTGCGCGAATGCGCAATTTGCCGCTTTCAAAAGAAAGTTCATCTATCAATCTGCCAGACCGTTCCACTCTTTCATCTAACTTTTCTCGTCTGCAGGCCCAGATAACACCTGCTGAAATAGCCCAAACGACTACTACCTCGACTGATAGACTAGCTTACGAGTCTTTCGCTCCTCCCGTCCACAGCTTCAAACCCCGATCGCGCAGATAACCTCGTCTGCTAGGTCCGATACTCCACCACAGGTATCGGTGTCTGCCAGAGCGAGGCCCGTCTCGAGAGCCACAATTCCGGTCCTAAGAGTCATCTTCATCCCCCTCCAGGCCCGACCTCCCTAACGTCCTTTCGAGCGACGTTACACCTCTTTTATCAACCCAATTGCTGCTGGCTCCGCCAGCCTCCACGAACGTCCACCTTCCTGTGGGCCTACTCTCTCAAACGAGCACCGCAAAGTTCGTTTGAGTGGTAGCTAGTGTCCCGCGGACTTCTAGCCCTCCCTCCGAGAACCCGATTCATCCATCCTGTTAGCAGTCTCGAGGGTCGCGCCCAACAAGCCTGCCCTGCTAAAGATGGCCAACCTCTCGGTCCCCCACGATTACACTCTCTCCCCGGCTGAGGCAACTCCCCATCTGACCATCAATCACGATGTGGCCGCCGATCTAGACTCGAGCAATGCCTTCGAGGGCCCCGAGAAGCTCCTCGAGGTCTGGTTCGCCCCTGGCCCCGAGGCCCTGCCTGCGAGTGCTCAGCCTAATGGACTGAAGGCCGTCTCCGCTGACACTTGGGTTACCATGCTCGATATGGTCAACTGCAAGATCCTGTCAGTCCTCGAGTCCGATTCTGTTGACGCCTACCTGCTGTCCGAGTCTAGCTTGTTTGTCTTCCCCCACAAGCTCATTCTCAAGACCTGTGGCACTACTACCCTGTTGCTGGGCCTGCAGCGGCTGCTCCACATCGCTGCCGAGCACGCCGGGTTCCCCTTCCACAATGCTAAGGAGGCGACCAACGTCAAAGCCGCCGCGACCCCTTACCGCGTCTTCTACAGCCGGAAGAACTTCTTGTTCCCCGACCGTCAGCAAGGTCCTCACCGCAGCTGGAAGCAGGAGGTTAAGTACTTGGATGACATGTTTGAGGGTGGCAGCGCCTACATGGTCGGCAAGATGAACGGAGACCACTGGTATCTATACATCACCTCGCCGAACCAGACTTTGACGCCCCCTCGTACTCCTGAGGAGAAGGAGGTTCCTCTTGGGTCCGCTGTTAAGATTCCCACTGGCAGCGTCGCCAGCTTCAGCAGCGGTGTCGAGGAACACAGCGACGAGACGCTGGAGATTCTCATGACCGATCTTGACCCTGAGAATGCGAAGCAATTCTATTTGTCGCACGCGAGTGCGGTCGCTAGCGACAAATCGCATTTTCAGCAAACTCAAGCTGCTCGGGACAATGCCCACCAAAGCTTGGGCGACCTTTCCAACGTTCATGAGAAGACGGATGACGAACCTGTCGATGTTTTCAGCAACATCGGCGACTCGGACCTCAACGACAACGACCGCGCCACGATTGAAGCCTTGACGACTGAGGGCCATGCCCTAGGTACCGTTGTCTCGAAAGGTTGCGGGTTGTCGGACGTTTATCCCACGAGCAAGTACCCAGGCGCTCGTGTCGATGCCTACCTTTTCAGCCCCTGTGGATTCTCCGCCAACGGTGTCGTCCCTGCTATCAATGATGAAGAGGATGCTTCTAAGAGTGAGAAGGGCGCCAACGCGGCTCACTACTTTACTGTCCATGTGACCCCTGAGCCCAACTGCTCGTTCGCTTCTTTCGAGACTAATGTGCCCGGTGGCCAGAGCGGTCGCACTACTGCGGAGATCATTGAGCATGTCGTGGAAATCTTCAAGCCCGGTCGCTTCAGCGTCACACTCTTTGAGGCCAAGGGCAAGAGTGCCAACCCTTATGGCATGGGCGACTATGTTGCTTCACGGACTACTGCTTCTCAGCGTCTTGTTGATCCTGTCCGGGGATACCGTCGCATTGACCGCATCGTCCACGACTTTGAGGATTATGACCTCGTGTTCCGTTTCTACGAGAAGGAGGACTGGGCAGGTGACCGTGAGGCCCGCCTGGGTGAGCTGATTTAGGATGGCTTCCACTACGAGGAGGACACAGTCTCTTCCTGTCTGACTGGGCATATAGGTGCACTTCCCACCTGTCAGGGGTTGCGCTTTGTGGGCATGTTCCCAACCCTTTGCCTAAGGAAACTCTCATTCCGCCCCTCCTAGGGGCCCTGCTGCGGACGGCAAGACTTCCGCTGATTGCCAAAGACTGGCCAGCAACAGATTTAATCGAGATGATCTCGATCTATCAATATATTTCTGATTTCGAGTTAAAACTGTTGAACATTCTACTAGCCACACAAAAACAATTGAAACTGCCCCTGAATTACCCCTGAATTATGTTCTGCCAGGTAGGTAACTGTCTCATCAGTTCGCCGCAAGCGGCCTTATTTCTGCCACACGTCGGCTTTCCTTGGTCAAGTTTTACAAGAGTCACATCTTCAATATTCATTGAACCACTGTCTCGTGAGGTGATGTGCCAGCCTCCCGCACTCGTTCGCACCAGCCCTGACATAAAAGAACGGTCATTGGTGGCACACCTGCCTTGAGTTGAGGTGTCAGGACTTTGCCAACCACTACTTGTCCTTCAAACCAGCCAAATGCTCTGCCCAAAAAAGCCGTGGCAAGAAATGCAGAAGAGTGATCTGCAGTTTGAAATCTAATGTCATCTTAGCCCACTCCTTGTAATGGCCTCCAACCCCCAAAGCTTGTCTCACGCTGGAATGCTCCGAGGCCCACCCGCCACAACGGCAAGTGCTGGGAGGCATTGTGAATTTTACCAGCCATCCCGCGTCAAGAGATATATGAAGCCATTCAGGAGTTTGAAGACATCGCAAGATCAATAGACAGCCGCATGCACACGCCAATTCGTATCTTTGTATCATGGCGCCTCCTCCCAAAGGAGACGACACCGTCAGCGTCGTTGAGTCGTTGGACGTGAAGTCGTCTGTGTCAGGGAGCGACACGTCCGTCAAATCTGCGCCGAAGCCACTTCCAATTCTTTTGAGCATCGCTCTTTTTCTCTTACTTCTTGCATCCGGCGGCGGCTTGACTACGTCTGCTCTTCAATTTCGACCCTCGAGATCGGGGAAGAGGGACTGTCTTACCCAAAGCTTTATGCTTTTCGCTGTTAGTGCCCCTCGTCACCCTGCCGAGCTCTCTGGAATGCGCACTAACGGGTTTTCATAAGTCTATGATTTCGCCCATGTACTTCGTGTTACACATACTCGTGTCCTTTCGCAACCTCCAGTTCGTGAAGAGGCAGCCTCTTCAGTCGCCTTTGGTGTCATGGGCCATCATCCTCGCCCGTCTGGCACTGTTGTTTTGGATCCCAGCTGTCATCTTGTCCTCCGCCGCCATCGCGCACTACCCTGGGTTTTTGGTTGAGAGCCCCATCACGGAGCTGAACTTCGCCGTAGCTGTTGTTGGCATGTAAGTTTGAGTGCCCACTTCCTAGCTGTTTCGTCAGAGACCTGATGCCCTTCTGTATAGTCTCAGCGCCATCATACTCATCCTCGCTCTGGAAGTTGCAGCGCATCCCTTCGAGTTGCCCTGCTTCCAACGCCGAAGTACCGTCACCCTTGTTATCGACGAGTCTGAGAAAAAAGATGACGAAAAGGAAGAGCAGGCTGAGGAGGAGGAGGAGGCCAAGGCTCCCAGCCAGCCACCAAGTCGCAGCCAGACTCCCCCAACATTCTACTACTTCCCTGCCAATCATAGACACACTGTCCCAACATCTGTCCGCGCCAAGCTGGTTCGCAAAGGCAGCAACTCTAGGAGGCGCATCATAACCCAGGATGGCCAGGCACTTCCCATCGTGGCGTATCCCCACCCAGACTCACTCGGCATCATGCTCCCCCTTCCCGAGCCGCTGCCACCGTTACCTGAGCTGGAACAAACGAACGTCAAACCCAAAGCCAAGGTAACCCAGGAGCATCCCGACATATTGGTTCCGGGAAAAGAGCACCCGGCGGACACAAGTAAACCGTGCCCACCTCCGCCGGGTACTGCTTGGGCTAAAGACTGGGAGCAACTAGCTGTTGACGCAGGGGTGAGACGGAACGGCTCGGTCAGCGATTACGGGACGGAGGCGACTGATGAGCGGTCAGAGGTGTCAAATGGCCCTACATTGAAGCCACCTCTGCCTTCCATCATCGTCTCGCATAGCCCCGAGCCTGTTTAAGAGGCACCTCTATTGCGTGGGTTGCAACGATGATGTGGACGCTTGGCTGTTACTACGAGCCTGGGCATGTTGATAGGTAGGCAAAGGTGAAGAGGGGACGAAGACTTCATTTTTTTTTCTCCGAGTCGCATGGGAGTATCATTGAGCATAGTGCTTTCTTGCTTTCCCTTGTCCCCATCCCTTTCGTAAGAATCATGCTATCATGTCATTTCTTCCTTGCTCGAGTCTCAGTATTAAGCAACACATATAAGTTTAAATCCCTTCTCTTGCGTGATTACGACCCTAACAAGTTCAAGTGCAAGCCGCTGACATGATGTTCTTCTTTTTTCCTCGCCCTGCAGCATTCCACAGAGTGGCTATGCCCCTCCCATGTGTTGCATTGGCTGGGGATCTCTTAATGCGCTGCTTACACTGACGCCGTTGAACACCGCCCCCGCACGCTTGTCTTGGCCTCGTTTTTCGTATCCCGCGACTCTTCCTGCACCTTCTTTTGCGCCCCGGGCAAAACAAAGACGTGATGGTACCTGCAGCAATACTAATAATTCGCCCGAAGGGTCAAGGGTCTAGTCAGACGCGCATTCCATCATGAACGTGACCGGCCAAACAGATAGCTGATTGAGCGCCACGGCTGCCTGCCGAGATTTACACTATTTAGGCTTTGATCTCCGCAGGCAAAGATACCGCAAAAGTAGGGCGAGCTCGTCCAAGTAAGGCAAGTTATCGTAGGGTGCGTACACGTCATGGTCTCGTCCACGACATGGCTTGATGGGATTCCTCGTCCGCGATATTATAAAAGGGAGGGGCCTGGAACGGCTCCGTGCTGGTGGATGAGACATTGGATCTATCTAATCGTCAGCGCTGTACATAATCTCTCTTGGTAATAATATCTGATACATAAGGTAGCTTAAAAAGCTCGAGAGATCCGGTTGACATACGGGACAAGAGCCATGCGGTTCCAGACTCTACTTCTGCTGGCGGCCTCCGGCGGCGCAACAGCCGCATCCCCGCCCACTCGGCCTACTGTGACTGTATCCTCCGGTGTCATTCATGGAGTATCGACCAACCTCCCTAAGAAAGGGGCGACGGTGAACAAATTCCTCGGTGTGCCGTACGCCGCACCTCCGGCCCGGTTCGAACGACCCACTTTCCCGGAGCCGTGGAAGAAGCCTTTCAAAGCCACCAAGTTCGGCCCTGCATGCTTACAGAACTTTGGCCTCAACGGTATTCCATTCTTGGCTGGTAAAGTAAGAGAGTAGACTTCTCCTGCTAACGATAACTAACCAGAAATCGCCCCTCGAGTTGAAGTCCTCCAAGAGCTCTTCAACACCCCCAAGCCACCCGAGAGCGAAGACTGTTTGAGCATCAACATTTTCGCACCGGTAGCAACGCTGGCAAAGGCTCCACGTGCGGTTCTAGTCTTCATCCCCGGCGGGGGCTTCCAGCTCGGATCCGGCAGGTCTGACCTATCTGCCTTTGCGGCATACGAAGACATCATCGCCGTCTCCTTCAACTACAGGACAAACGGTTAGACCTTCTCTCCACTGCATCTGACTTGAGCGAGAGACTAACATTGGGGGGAAACACCCCCCTTTTAGTCTTTGGCTTTCCTTCTTCACAAGACATCCCAATTACAGAGCGCAACCTCGGTCTCTACGACCAGCGTCTGGCTCTGGAATGGATCCAGCAAAACATCGCCTCCTTTGGCGGCGACCCAAGCAAAGTCACAATCTGGGGCGAGTCCGCGGGCGCCTTCTCCGTCGACTTCCACCTGAAGGCCTACGCAAACGACCTCCCGCTGCCATTCCGCGCAGCGATCCCGTCTAGCGGGCAGACGAGTTTCGGGTTCGCCGCTTTGACGCCGAACCCGAGAGACGACAGCGGATGGCTGGCGCTCGCGGAGGCGGTGGGATGCAAGACCGGATCCGACCTCCTGAAGTGCATGAAGAAGGCCTCCTCCAAGAAACTCGTCGACGCCATGTTCAAGCAGAAGATCAGCTTCAGCCCCCAGCTCGACGGCGTGACCGTCCTCGGGAAACCGGCCGAGCTCTGGAGGACAGGCCAGGTCGCCAGGGTCCCGATCCTCACGGGCACGATATGGGAGGAGGGCCGCGCTCTGGTGAACGACAAGGTCAACTTGACCACGTTCCTCGCCGTCTACCTCCCTTTTCCTCCGATTTACAAAGAGACCACCGACGCCATCGTAGCAGTGTACCGCTCCGACCCCCGCCTGAAAACGGACTTTGACATTGCAGCGGCTATCCTGACGGACTTCTTCTGGGCCTGCGTCCGTCCTTCCCCCTATCTTCTCTTCCGTTCTAGAATCCGTGAGCCAAAAAGAGCTAACTAACACGGTCACAGCCGCAATCCGCCCTCGCCAACGCCGCGGCTGCGAACAAGATCCCCGCGTGGCGTTACAACTTCAACGCATCCGTCCTCCACCTCCTCCCAGAAAAGTACAACTGGCTGGGCAAATTCCACGGCTCCGAGATCCTCCTGCTCTTCAGCGACCCGGGAACTACAAAACACACGCCGCAGTCGTACGCCGTGTACGAGTTCTTCCGCGGCGCCATCGGCCGGTTCGTGAGGAACCCGTCCGCGGGCCCGGGCTGGTCTGCCGTCGGGCCGAAGCACGCTCCTCTCGACACTCTCGTCATCGGGGATGTCGGGAACGACCGAGCCGTCGTCGCGGGGCTGGCGAATACTACGCTTCTGGAGACTAGGTGTGGTTTGTACAAGGATATTTATCCCATTTTCGAGTAGGTAAATTGGGTGATGGGGGTTGATATGTCGATGGCTGGGAATTGAAATCTGTTTGTACGGACTTGGTGTAGGCTTTCTTGTACACTGGTAGGTAATATCGTGAAGGATGGTCTTCATGGCTCAGGATAATGCAGTTTTGGTACTGTGGGCTTGTTGATGCAGCGCCTAACCTGAGTACCCATATGCGGTATTCCATCTGTTGCAATTGCTGACGGGGCTACCAACTCATATTTGATGACGACCATCCCGGTTTTTTGTGATGATTCGTAAACACGAACAGAAAGAAATGTTCATTCCCTGTGAGCCTTGCAATACACAGCTCTAAAGTCCAGTTGAAGGACGGAACCCAATCGTGCCTACATTATGACAGGCATCACTGATATCAAGGGAGCACCACACAATTTCACAGTAAAATGGAACCGCAACGTAAAGCCAAGTGTTTTAATTGATACCCAAGTCATTCGCTATTGTCATACAATTTGCCCGCTATACATGTACAAATCAATCCAAGCCATCCATCGTTACATCTTACTCGTCCCACTGCACACGCAGCGTCGTGGGAAGAGGCCACAACGAGCTCTGGTCGGCCGTCATGAACGCTCTCAAACCAACCCAAGGCTGCTTGTGTGCGGCGTGTCCGTTCTGGCCCTCCACAGGAAGGCCGACTTGTCCGGACCAAGGGGCGGCAGGGAAGTTCTTGAGCTTGCCACGCTCTCCTGGCGCGCGGCGCAAGTTCTTCAGACCAAAGATCTGCTTGAACAAGCTCGTCTGGCCGACGCGGCTCATCTCCTTACCCGCGCACCAGTGGGGGCCCAAGCCGAAGTGGACGTAGGAGTCCAGAGGGCGGTCAAGGCGCACCTCGTTAGGGTCCTCGAAAATGGCGGGGTCGCGGCCGGCGGTCGCAAAGTTGCACACGATGCGGTAGCCCTTGGGGATTTTGACCTCCCGCCTGCTGCTCTCGATGTCTGGGTTGGTGATGGGGTCGCGGCCTAGCGGGTCGGACTCTTTAGGCAGACAAGGGGAGTAATCAGTGATGACCTGGTCGGAGGTGGCCTCTCTGTAGACAGCGACAGGTGCGCGTAGACGGCAGCCTTCGAGCATGCTTTATCCAAAGTTAGAACATGTTGTAGAACGGAGGTATCGACGGTGAAACTTACTATTTCAACAACTTCTCATCTGCCTCCTCCGTGTTCTCATGGCAGAGGCGATACAGCTCAGGCAGGTGCTTCTGGCCCTCGTCGTCGAGGTAGTAGTCAACGCAGAGCGTCGTTACTTGAGACTGGTTCGCGACGTTGGCGGTAATGACAGGCATGATGGTGCCCCAAACAACCTCTTCGATGTCCTTGCCATCAGCGAGCATGCGCTCGATGAGATGGTTGCCAAAGGTAGGGAGCGAGGCCTCGCCTTCCCTAATCTTGGCGACAATGTCGGTGAGCAAGCCCGCCTTCTTGACCGTCTGCGCAATAAGCATCACGACTTTGCCCATGTCCTGGGCTAAGTCGCGCGCAATTGTGCGCAGCTTGAGGCTGTTGGCGATATCGGCGTCCATGAAAACGGACTGGAAGAGGGCGCCCAGCACGCTGTACAACTCCTGATCAGTATAGATGCCCCACGGCGATTCCTCGTTCTTGATAGGCATGCAGAACAAGGCGGCGTTGAACCGCGTGTTTGTGACGTTGATGACGTCGCGGACAATGTCGACTTCCCGCTTGTTTTTGGGGATCGGGAAACTGTTCAGTTGAAGCACCTTGGGTGTCACATGAGTGTACCACTTCCAAATCTCCTTCTCCCAAGGACCAGAGATGAGGGCCTTTCGAACCAACGTGCGGTTCATAGCGTTTGCCTTACCATCGCCAGAAAGGCAGAAATCCCATCCATAATCCTTTCCAGGCTGGGCAACCAGGTGGCGAATAGCGTCTCCTGTAATAACCTTGAAATCTTGAGGGCTGTACAGGATGTCGCTGATCGCCTTGTGAGATAAGATGGTAATCAACGGTGTCTTGGTCTTCGGCTCATCCCAGGTATACAGGTAAGACCGGTCAAGCTTGTCAAGGATCTTCTTGTTCTCCGAAGGTACCGTAAAAGGGAAATGTGCGTAAATGCTGTTGTGCTGGAAAGAGTTGGGGAAAGCGCGGTAAACGAGCTTGTACATGACGTGGCTCTGATCTACGTTATGATCGTAGTTGGCTTGATTGAATCTGTAAAACGTCAGAACTTTTCCCTTCATAAACCGGATTTATGAAACTCACCCCCAGTTAGTAAGGTTCTTCGGGGTGTAGTCAATCGTATAGAAACGATCGCCACGGACCAGGGCAACTGCATCGGAAAGAATAGCTCTGGTCATGGTAAAGTTACCGCAGAGACCACTGCCCGGGGCCATTGGCGGCTTAGCCTTCTCGGCAATCAGACCCGGGTACAGCTCGACTGCATCGGGCGAGCCATAGAGGAATCTGAGCTTGTCGGCCACCTCCTTATCAGGGTTAATGTCCTCAAATGTCGGGTGCCTAGTGAGTCCAAAGTGCTCTCGGAACTCGTTAAGAGTCGCACAGTTCCAGTTTCGGGAGCTCATGATACCCATCAACTCGATGGGTCGCATAACCTCTGGGATCCTGTTAGCTCCATAAGATCCAGCAACATCCTCGACGGACTCCTTGAAGATCTTGGCAAGGTCTCCCTCACGGAGGGTGCCATCAGCGTTTCGAGGCAGGTCCATAAAACCTCTCTGGGCCGGATCTTCGGGTATTCTCTTCTCCCAATCCCTCACAGCATGTCCGAATTCTTTTACAGTCATCTCCGAGGGGTCTTTTCCAAGCACCTTGGTCATGACGTCCTTGGTCCACTTTTCATCTCTAGGAGAGATGGTGTTGTGCCACCTGTAAATGAGGTTGAACTCTACGGAGACCTGATTTCCGGTGCCCTCGGGAGTCTGCTGGCTGAGAATGCTCTTGCCTTCGTTGGTGCGGGGGTCCAGTGCCCAACTGGACGAGGACCGGTTCATGCCCAGGATGGTTCGGACATAATCGCGAAGAACGATACTAACATAAAGACCGCAGGTAATCAAGCGAGCGGTTTGGAACAAGTCGTTGTCATACTTGATCCAAGCGGCGGAGTCCTGCGGCTCATTGGATGAGGGCCTTGGGAACCGGTTGTTCTCGTTGATACTGGTGACAGTTAGCAAGGATACGGACTAGTTGTCTTGTTTGCTTACGTTGCTAGTTGCGTAGCCGTGTAGTTGTGGTGGCGATTGAACATAATCAACAAAACACCAACGCCGGGAGGGAAGCCTAGTACTCTCTTGGAAGAGAAGGTATCGGGCTTAAGCAGACCGTTCTTCATTGTTCGCATTGCGTTTTGCTCATCTTGGTTGCGACCGTAAAGGGGTGCAAGGTCCAAGTAAGAAGATGTCCGATTTACGCCGCTGAAACCATCCTAGAGTGGTTGTAAGTCATTTGATATGTTGTAGATAAGAATGAGCTCTTACTGTCTGGAAAATATCATGCGTGATAATAGTAGCCAGGTAGAACATGACACTTGAGATCTTATTCGGGTGAGGCTTGAACTCGTCGCCACGGGCAAACAGCATATCAAAAACCATCTCAGGATCCGGCTGGTTAGGGTTTTGATAGCTCTTTGCTGGTGTCGACCGTGCGTAGGGTTGGTTGGCTGCACCCATCTTTGGGCTGTGAATGTTGTTACCTGAGCCATCGGCCGCGCGGTACTTGTGCTCCTCAGCGAGGGTGGTCATGGGAGGATGTTCGATTCCGTTCCAAAGCTGGTGGATCAAACCATTCTCTAGCTTTTTACCCTTTGCGCTGGTAAGGGGAAGTTTGGCAAAGAGCTGGATGAGATGTTCCAAGAGCAGCTCATTGTCGTTGATCTGGCCCTCCACCGCCGACTGGAAAAAGTCGACCAGTGTGTCAAAATCCTCGAAGCCAAGCTTCTTTACATCTTGAAGCAAATTAGTTGGCTCGCCCTGATCTGAGCTGGGACTAGGAAGCGGTTGTGGGTTGGGAGGGACTGCGGAGATGGCCTTGGAAACGAGCTGGCGAGCCGACGCCAACCTCTCGGTCAGAGGCGGCTGGTTCTTGGGGAACTGATCTTGCGAGTGTGGTTGTGAAGACATATTAAGAGATGTGCCAATTCGGAAAGAATTGTATGAGAAGAATGTGGTGAAACGCTAAGAAGAGAGGAACTGAAAGAGAAATTCGAGCACTTGGATGATGGGAAGGGTGCCTCCTTGATATAGCAGAGTCTTTGGCTAGAAGTGCAGCTACGGAACATCCGGCCCAGTTCGGGGCGAACATGGGATATAAATGTACACTCCCCCTCCATGAGTGCAATACGTAGATGGAACTCGAGGAGCAGTAGCTTCTGTGCTAGCTGGTGTTGAGGATCAGGCTCTACGATGTAGCCCCAGTTGGCGCTGAGGTCAGATGCTGAAGATCCACCAGGGGCCATGGGTTTTGCTGGGCACTAGAACAGACGATGATCCATTTCTGTCTAGTTCTGCCGGGACCCTAGGCTTCCCGTCATTAGCCTTTTCGACTTTGTAAGGCGAAGTTACTCCAAGGCATGTCAATTTCTGGTCCAGCTTGGCCAAATGCAGTCAAAGTCGACGAAGCAATGCTGTTGGTAAAACGCAGGCAGCCATTGGACAAAGTGCGAAGCGAGGGGCCGACCGAGCCCCTGTCTATCGTGCGTGGCCGAGCCAATAATGGACGATATCGCGCTGCATCTCCTGCATCGTGGGGGCTGCTAAGGCGCAGCTGAGGGTGCCCTGCGTGCCTGGCCTTCTGCCTATTTGTTTTTTGGCCGGGATTGTGAAGAAGACGAAAAATCGAGGGCTAAAGCTGCAAAGATTGTCTAGCCCATTACCAAGTTGAGAAGAACATAAACGGAGAAGACGGTACAAGACAGTTGGTACCGCCAGCTTGGGGAATGACCGAAGCCAACGAGTTCCGACAGGATACATTGAGAGCCAATCGTTGGTACCATCTCGTAGATAATGAGGTTGCCTTGCGATCACTGCCATGTCCTTCTCGTTTAATCCACTCCCGGTACCTACCACCACTACTACAACACAGCAAAGGCTCTGTCTCAGATGGAGATTTCGGTGAGCATCTTGCTCGGATGAGAAGAACTGTGGGGAGATGAGGATGCATTCGCGCGGTATGAGTCGATCTTCCCCGGCCATGAGCACATGTGATTATCTCGTCCAACAAGGGTATTGAGGCTTAGGGCCTCCTCTTCTGCCGTGGCAACAGCGATGAAGATATTTCGAGTGAGGTTTTAAGAGGGTGCCTACACCAGGCATACGCCAATTTTAATTGCACCCCAGCGACCTCTACCAAGCGGGGTTTAGCACCGCTGAATTCCGCTGAGCTTTGGGTTAGCGGGCGTCGGGCCGTTGTCGATATCTGTCGATAGCGTCCGTAGGTGAGCGTTACCGAATGCAGTGTACCGGGAGCAGCTCCGGCCAGATCACAGCATGAACAATATGAGCGAGACATGTAGCCATTTTCAGGATTTCCATCCGTTAGTCTATACTGTAGGTTTCACAAGAGGCCGGCCGGTGTGATGTGGTTTGATACATTGCACCAACATGCATATTGGTGACTCGACGTTGAAGCCGGCCATGTCCGTTACGACGGTCAGCTTGTTGTTGGGCTTGTTAGACTTGTCAGCACTCTGTGCAACATGCAGCCCACCCTCCTGGGGCTGTGCGTGCCTGTGTGTGCTGGTTGCAGAAAACGAGCACCTCTTTTCTCTTCGTCGTGTGGGGAGCCTGTTCCGTGATCCTTCCAACCCTCCCTCTAGGCCCATTTGACTGGCCGCATTTTCGTGCCGCTGGGCTGTGCTGAGGTGCTGGTGTCATTGCTGACTATCCACTCTGTTTCCAATCGCACGACCCGAGGCTTCACCTCTAGAGCCTCCACCGGATAGGGCCGCTGCCTGGCGCCGCAAGCGGCTCGACAACGTCTCGACCCCATTCTACCTCATCAAACTTGGATGCAACTCACCTTCATTGATTGGTTACCCGCGCAATTTTGCTAAGATGAGATGCATGCCTTTTCAAGATGCACGTTTTCGGTGAGCGGAGCAGGCTTCCATCGCCCCTGGATTGGACTGTGAGGTCTGAGACAGGGGCTATTGCGGCGCTCAGGGTCCCTTGGAAGTAAACCAAGACTTTGGACAAGCTTGGGGGCCAGAATTGACAGTATGAGAACGACCTTGCCGTCCGTTCCAGAGCAGAGGGCCTCCATATGGACCTCATCGGCGTGCTCCTATAGTGGTTGGGTGCAAGGCTAGCTCTGGTGACGGTGAGTGGTGGACGAGCATCAACCCCTTAGGTATTTCGGAGCGGGTGACAGTTCGGCGACGACATGGCCAATACGCGAGTCGTTTAGGTTCTTACTGGTTGGTCAGCGTGAGGTCATTCGTTTACATGTCTGTTCGTCTTCTGCATCTCAGTCTACACCGCTGAACCATGCTACTGCCGCTAAGGAACCTTTTGGAACCGTAGGGCTGAGTTGGTGCATGTTGCTAGTAGTAGTTCCCCATAGTCCTAGGGAGTTTGAGCGAGATGGCGGTACACATTGGTCCTTGCAAATTGTGGTATGCTGTATCCCTGCAGTCAGCTTACGGCGCGAATACGGGAGTCCCGCGGCGGCTTGTGCACGGCATCTGCGACCATTGGTCAATCAGTCAGTCGGTTTAAGGATTGGTCCACAGACATGAGGGCGGTGGAGCGTGTCTGTGAGACTTGGAAGTTTCTGTTCCTGAAATGTCGAGTGAGACGGGGTACATGGAGGCGGCTGAATGATGAGGGGCACCCCATAAGTCCCAGGACGGCGGGAGCCAAAGAAACCGACTTGCAATGAAGGCCAAGAAACAATTCAGGAATGCGGGAAGCAGAGATGGTCATAGTCGCATGGTTGCTGACACAGGAGGCCAAGGATGACGGTGTTGAGTCTCTGCAGTTCAAAGATGTTGCAGTTTGTAAAGTCAAGGCGGACGTCTAGTACACTTGGCGCACTGGTTGCCGTGCCGGCTTGGATATCTTGCTCTTTTAGCAATACGCATTGACTTGCGATAGCCGTGATGGGATGACGCCTTGGTTCTCAGCGAATCAAACGCATATCATTTGATGCGTCCAATATTGTTTTTTTTAGTAAGGGGACTATAAAGTTGTGGAATGACGTTGCTGGGTTGCCATTCTTGGCGATACGAAATGTTCTCGAACGACATGTGTCTGGGCAGCGTCCCAAGAGGTACTGAGGTACTCTGCAGTGATGAATTTTGTGGCGGACTCCTCCAACAGCCACCGATAGGTACGGAGTATGGTTGGGGTTCATCGTTTTCTAACAATCGAGCACTTTGGTTTTTGTGGCACCTTTTGAATTCTGCAACAAGGGAGGGAGAGCATGGCGCCGCGCGCATCTGTCTCTCAAGGTTGCCAAGGCGCTTGTTAGATTCAGCCACATGGAAAGGGGAAAAAAGGCCGACTCCGAGTCGGGAGGACTGAGACGAGGACGCGTGGTGATTGTCGTAGAAACTGAGAATATGTCGGCGTAGGGAAAATTAGTATAAGGAATGTAGCGTGGCTATTGAGAAGTGAAATCTGCATGGGGCTGGCTGTGGGAGGAGTCTAGATTTCAGGAAAAGAAGGAAAAAGAAGGATCCACTGCGTTTTTAGGTGGATTGGAGTCTCAGCTGGTGATATTCCAACATTATTGAAGACGGCAACTGTTTTATTGCGGCTGACGTTTTGAATTTTGGTGCTGAGGACTATCATCTGGCCATGTCCTCACTAAGGCCCCAGGGCCCCTGCAGCACATATCTGGCTCGGGGAGCCGTCCACCTAGCAGCTGACTCAACCAATGATGTTTATTGAAGGCCAGTGAAGTGAAATTGACCTTCCCTGAGCTGCGCTGCTAGTGGGACACGTTCAGCGCCAGACGAAATTTGGCATGTTAGGTCTGGTGTAATAACGCGATGCAATAGTAGTAGCTGGCCATGTGGAGGAAGAACAAAGAAAAAGAAAAAAAAAATCATCAGTTGGTAACTGTTGTGCCAACCCAGCGAAATAGTGGATGAAGTTCGGCCACGAAATTAGAAAAGCTTTATCCGTACAGATGTAAAACACAACTTGTCAAACGTCACATTGGCAGGCGCCACCAAGAATAATCAGGATCCGTGCTTTCATCAGGGGGGTCGTAACCTGCTAAAGCAGCTAAAGCAGTTGGCTCTTGCTTTCTAAGCATTTGTAGAGAAAGATAAAGTAGCTCAACGTGCCAATCAGAACAGGCAAGAGCGACAGTGAAGAGGGGCAAAGGAAGGACCCTTGGAAGGTGCCACCTTGGCCCAGTTGCGCAATTGGGGATTGGCAGGGAAGGAGAGCCTCGGCCAGCGGAGATATCTGGGGAAGGTATGTAGGGTCTGTAGGGTCTGCACGGAGTTAAGGAAGGAAGAGAGAAAGGGAGGACGCATCTGGAGATTAACATTGTAGAAGGACCCAACTTGGCAGTTACCTTGGGAATATTACATAAGATCAAGGCGATCGAGGAAGGCAAGCAGGGCATAAGGGAAGGAAGGAAGGCGTGGCCCCTAGAAAGAGAGGAAGACAGAAGAGGAAGGAGATGGGGGAGGAAGGATTGGAAAAAAAAAAAAAAAGGTGCAATGTGCAGCTCACTCCATTCGTGTTTTTCGCATTTGGACACTTTTGTCCATACTTTTTCTCGTATCCTGGCCACCTTGCATATCGTTATGTTCGGGTGCCCGTCTCATCTGGTCGTGATTCAGCACCAACAGCACCCCTACTACGTAAAATCAGGCGCACCCGTCGCGTATTCGTTCCTCCAACACCCGGCACGTCTCATACCTTTGCACTCTGCTGCATCTTAGCTTTCTTGCCCCTCTTGAATTACGTGGACTCCTAAAAAAGACACCAGACAGAGACGAAGACAGAGAATGAGAGAGAGTGAGATGGGAGACGCAAATCATCCATTTATTATCCATCTCCCTTGCTAAGCTTCGTCCCATTGGGAAAAATCAATATTTCCGCCACACTAGACGCACCACAGACGCCAATCATTCACCCAAAGAATCTCCCAAATAGACTCCCTGCATAGCGCCAAAAGCTTCTTAGCTCGTCGCCCCCTTTCCTTCACTCTCGAAACTAGCGCCACCTTGTTTGCGCTTTCAACCTGCAACCTGTTTGCCAGGTTCAGTCCATCCTCAAATTGGTCCTCCCATCTCCCGCATTCCTGTCCATTCTTTTGGCCCTTTGCATTTTTTCTCTCTCCTCCGCAACCATCTGCATTCCTTCCGCCGTTTTGCTTGTTGCGTTTAGGTCATCGGCTTTCCCTCGTACACAGCTTTCCGCTGTGTTGCATCGCCGACGTTACTCCCGAGCCCGTTAGCCAGCCACATCACCCTTTTGCTGCACGAATTCGGCTCGTTTTTCCTTGACAGCGAAACCAGGGAGGGTGATCTTGGACAAACAACAAACTAACAAAGGGAACATCGAGCCCTACGACGCCCCGACGCCCTGCCATTTAACCTTGGTTCGACACATTCCCAACGACCCTTGACGGGCATGCCATCGCAATGATCTCGTTAGCCATTCGCTCCATTCGTGGGGCCGTCGCTCGCTTCTCTCCAAACCCTCACTCCTACTCGGTTTTGACAAACGCGAACTCCGAGCCATCGTCGCCTGGCGGATCGAACACTTCCCCCGCCCAGTCGAAATCCTTCCTCGCCCGACTGACTGCTCTCCTCTTCTTTTTGCTGCCGTCTTTCGTCCAGCGCCGACTTCGACCCAGCGATTTCAAGCATCGACGCTTATACCCGACATCATGGCTTGATGGCCTGCGTGGTGTCGCCTCCTTGATCGTCTTCTTCTGTCACTTTACAGAGAAGCACGTGGGTTGGTATGCCCAGACGTACGGTATCAGGGAGGATGACGACCCCGTCGCCTCGTCGCCTTTGCAGTTGCCCTTCATCCGCGTCATCTACTGCGGCAGACCCATGGTCCACATCTTCTTCGTCATCTCGGGCTTCGTCCTGTCCCTCAAGTCTCTGAAGCAAGCGAGGAAACACGATTACGATGGACTGCATCGCACTCTCTCCAGCAGCACCTTCCGTCGTGGCTTTCGCCTGTTCCTCCCTACCACCGCCTCAACTTTCATCATCATGATCTTGATCCGCCTCGGTTACACAGGTAACGCACTACCCACCTTGTGGGAGCAGCTTGTCAACTGGAAGAATGCCGTGTGGGACATCACCTTTAGCTGGAGGTGGGACATTACCCAGCTGCTGCCTTACGATGTCCATCTCTGGACTATTCCAATTGAGTTTTCCAACTCGTTGCTGCTCTTTGTTGTCTTGACCGGTCTGAGTCGCATGAAGACGTACTTGCGCCTGGCATCGGTTCTGGCCATCATGATCTACTCCCTCAAGTGCGGCCACTGGGCTGCGTTCGAGTTCATCGGTGGCATGGGCCTCGCCGAGATTGGTCTGATCCAAGACGCCCGCAATGAGCGTGCTGCGGCCGACACCCAGAACAAGGAGGCGTCAGACATGGAAGCCTCCGTCACATCCCGAGTCGCATCGAAGTCCATGGGAACACTTGCCTTCAAGGCCTTCCTTCTCGGCAATCTCGTCTTCGCCCTCTTCGTTGCCGGATGGCCCAACCACCACGCCGACGTCTCGCCCGGCTTCTCTAGGCTCTGGCACAACACCATGGAGCCCTTCTTCACCATGGGCGGCGACCTGGTGTCGTTCCCCTGGTACGCCCTTGGTGCAATCCAGATCGTCTTCGCTTTGCAGCAGATCAAGACTCTGCAGAACCTCTTCGTGACGCCCCTGGCGCAGTATCTTGCCGACATTAGCTTTGCGCTTTACCTCGTCCACGGACCCGTCCTTGACGTTTTCTCTCATCGCTGGATGCCGGTCGTCTGGACCTTGGTCGGTGGTAATGGCAGTATGCTCGGCCGCCTTTTCGCCTGGCTAATCGGCATCTTTGCACTCGGAATCCCTACCATTATTTTCAGCGATATTTTCTGGCGGGCGATCGATGTGAAGAGCGTAGAGTTGGCACGCTGGATTGAAGGTCTCTGCACGCGAGACGACTAGGCCAACTAGTCAATGGTTGACAACGGCGTTGCAGGTTGCATATAGGCGTTGGCGGTTTTGAGTTGACATAGACTTATGTTTCATTTGTATGAATTAAGGTTACTTGTAGAGCCAACATTGGCATACGACAATGGAAATACTGCACCTTTAAACCTACACCTCGAGTCTGTCTGTAGTTGTCAAGTGTTGTCGAATTTCTGTGAAAAATTGAGCTGTAAAGGTATATGCAATCCGGCCGGAGGTAAAAAATACTCTAGTTTCAAGGTTAGAAAGACGGCGGAGGGGCGAGATGACAAGCCCGACGACGCACGAGATTGGCAGCACGACGTCACTTTATATTCGGCAACGACGGGATACCGGTAGGCCAACGGGGGTACGACCTCACCTCGTGGCACACAATATTATCCAATGTCTGACAAGCCGCCGGATCCGAAATGGAGGCTCTATTGGCCCTATTTCCTGGCTGCCGCCTCCCGCGGTCCCCGGTACCCTGCCAAGACCCAGATTGGCCAGCTGCAAAGACAAGGGGGCCAAAAAGGGAGCTCGTAAAGAGAAAAGGAGAGAGAAAAAAAAAGCATGGACCCGGCCGCGAGTCGATAATTAAAAGTTCGTGGGGGAATGCTAGTAGGTCGAATGAAATTTGCGGCAGTGCCAGGTGTGACGCGGGTAAAAAAAGGCTTGGGTCTCGAGTAGGTGTAATTGGGTCAGAGTGTGTATGAAACCGGGCGAGCCAAGATGGACTTGGATCACTTGGCTACATAATAGGCAGATGCGCCCAGTTTTTATTTTCCTTTTACCTCGCCAATGTGACATTTACGACGCGCCCAATTCGTGCTTTCCACATAAAAGCTTTCCGCAATTGTCTTGTCCCGCGGGGGCCTCGGAGACTTCAACCTACCCGACTCGGTTCGGGGCGCGTGTCCGGAGGCGGGGGGTTGTGCCGGGCCCTCTTCTGAATCAAGAATCACGGCAGATGCGCCGGTGATGCCAAGATGGCTGCCGGTCCGGCCTCTCTTTGGGAGCAGTCCGTGCTGTTTGGCCAGTACCGGCCGAGTCCTACTGAACCTTTTACTTTTCCTGCCTGCTTCGGGTGGAAACTCAATTCAACAAATGAAGGTTGATAGGCTACTTAATCCTTACGCCTAAGAAAAGGACTCCGGTCGTATTGAATGCCAGTAGCACGGAGCAGGTGTGCTTTTCCCCCTCCGCAGCGACTGCACATGCTACCTCACGGCATATGAACACTAATAACGGTCACTTCGGTGTTGAGCTCACGTTATTTCCAAAGTCCGGAGGCAGGGTTGCCTAGAAAATCTGTTTGTAAGCGTCTGATCATAACGAGGACCGGGCCATTGCCAAACGATCAATTCTCGAATCAAAGTCCGATGAAATAGGCTGCTGTGCCGCTCGGCGATAGGCGAATTAACGAACTTGGCATTGGCAACTGGACGTTACACTATGCGGACAGAACCGAGCACCCCTAGAATTGTCTTGAGAGCTTTCCACTTAACGCCGATCAACTGGCTTGCGTACACTCAGTCCCATTGAACCAATTAACGACGAACTCGTTGGAGCCAACTCACCGTAAATCAATCGAATGAACGGATGCCTGAAACTCCTCAGCTGGCTGTCGCCGGTTCGGAGGCTTACATCCGCCTAAAGCCGTTGCGATTTCCTCGAATTTCTTAGCCAAACAAAAGTGCAGTTGTTGTCACTGGTATCAGACACACCATCTCGCGGAGAGCTTCAAGCATACCTGGCAGCCTGTACTGGCCTTGGCGGAGGCGCCTTTGAATCCTCCAATGAAAGGTCGAATGATACTGTTGTGAATTTGCACATTGTAGGCAATAATGACGTCGCGATGGCCGCCTCGGTCTTAAACATGGATCTCTGGATAAGTCCCTGGAGGATCATTCGATATGAGTGCAAGAGCTATAGTACGATTCGTATAATCCCATGTTTGCTCCGTAAATATAAAACTCAACGCCCGGTTTCCTAGAAAAGTGCAACGACACAAGCCCATATTCACCTATCTCTTGTTAAGGTCACATCCATCTATTACCTTATCAACCCCGCAATACCCAACAACATGGCTCCTCAACTCGGCTGGGAAACCAAAGGCAGCGACCTCGCCAAGGAATACGCAGACCAAATTAAAGGCAAGACGATCCTCGTAACAGGTGTATCGCCCGGCGGACTAGGCGCGTCGTTTGCCGAAACAATCGCCGCTGGGTCCCCGAGAACCCTCATCCTCGCCGGTCGGAACCCCACAAAGGTCCAGCAGACCGCCGATGCCATCTCCGGCGCGCACTCTTCCGTGACGACCAAGACGCTTGAACTCGACCTCGGATCCTTCAAAAACGTGCGAAAGGCCGCCGAGACGGTCAACGGCTGGGATGACGTGCCGCACATCGACGTGCTGGTGAACAACGCCGGCATCATGGCCGTGCCCTTCAAGTTGACCGAAGACGGCTTCGAGAGCCAGTTTGGGACGAATCACCTCGGTCCCTTTTTGTTCACGAATCTCATCATAAATAAGGTGCTGGCCGCGCCCGAGCCGAGAATTGTGACGATTAGCAGTGACGGGCACCGACTGGGCCATATCCGGTGGACGGATTACAATTTTAACGTACGTTTGCCATTTTCAACAAAAAGATGTATGAGCTATGACGCTGACGGACGAAAAGGACGGCAAGCATTACAACCAATGGCACGCATACGGGCAGTCCAAGACGGCAAATTGCCTCATGGCACTGGCACTCGCTGAAAAGCTGGGTCGCAAGGGTCTTTTGAGCTTCAGCGCCCACCCGGGCGTCATCATGACCAATCTGTCGAACCACCTTGAGGATTTTGACTCTCTGAGTAAGTTAAAGTCGTCCTTGTATGCTTCGAAGCCAAGGATAGTTAATGACTGGTTGAATCACAGGGGAGCAAGACATCAGGATGGGAACCAAATTTATGTGGAGCGACTTCAAATTCAAGACGCCGGACCAAGGCGTCGCAACGCACATTTACGCGGCGTTCTCCCCTGACCTGAAGGGTAAGATGCCATCCATCACCAAAACAAATCTGAAGAAGGGCGCCTGCTGACAGACAGCCACAGACGTGAATGGAAAATACTTCCAGGACTGCCATGTCGCTGATCAGTACAACGAGGAGGTGTACCCGTGGGCAACTGACAAGACTGACGCTGACAGGCTGTGGAAGTTGAGCGAGAAGCTGGTTGGTGAGGAATTCAAATTTGAGTAGTAGATTCCACTGCCGTTGAGTGAGACTCATAAAGAAAAGAGAAAAAAATACATTAGATGTCGTTCATTCGTGGCATTTGAGTTTAATGCCTACATTCCTGGCATTTTCGCCTTAATCACAACTGCAAGAGAGAAAACGCCTCCAAAATATTTGGGCTTATACATGATTGATATTCAAAACACGTCCTCTAAGGGGTATGCGGAATGACCCATTCGGGCTGTGGTGGGACGCTGTAATCATTTGGCAATGTCTCTGCGAGAGGAGCCTTGGAGCACGTTAGTTCAAGCAATAGATAGGCATCGTAATGGGGGGGACTCGTACCTGGAGGTCTTCGGCCCATTGGCGAAGTTCTTCGTAGTTCTTGCACATGTGCTTCGTGTGGAAGTCGGGGAAGGGTTGGGGGGGATCGTTAGCCCAGACCTGGCCGAGGACGCCGGTATCGAAGTTGCACATGAGAACCTGGCGGACCGTGTCCAGGCAATGTGCTAGAAAGGTCAGTCTGAATATTTCCACATCGTGGTATTTAATTGCATAGTAGGCGACTCACAGACGTGGACCTTGACGATGTTGTCATCGTTCTTGAAGGCGTGGGTGCCCAGCTTCTTGTAGTAATCGTAGTTGAAGAAGAGTGCTTTCCGCACCAGGTTCTGTACCGATGATAAGCTTTTGACCAAACACTCCTCTTGAGATTCGACTTACCAGGCAATGAAGGTGGTGCATTCCCTCGACGTTGACGAAGAAGCCGGCACCGTATTTTTCTGATCTCCTCACGAACGACATGTCAAGACCGCTCTTCAACCCGTCTTCGATTGAAATCACTCCTGCGCGATCTTTTTTTTGCACATTAGAAGGTTTCTCCCATATAATGGACGTATGGAAAACTTACAATCAACGCCCAGTGCCTCCCAAGCGGCGTCGACCTCGGGAGACCCCTGCTGTCGATAAACATCCTCCTCCAAGAACGATCCATTGAAAGACTTCCAGTCATACTTGACGTCCACCTCCTTCAAGACCGGCGACCACTGCGTTGTGTGGGCGGCACAAACGCTATTCAGCTTCGCCCTGCTCGAGCCGACGTGGGCGCCGACGCGAGCTGAGATGAGGTTGGATATGATCAAGACGGCTGCCGTGCCAGCAAGCACCCAGAGCTTCTTCCTCCCTTCACTGTATTCCCATAGTCTATGCTTCGACTCAATAACCTCGAGGGACTCGAGGTCCTCCTCAGATTCGTCGACTCGCTCAGCGAGCGGCCTTGCGTACGATACTGACTCCTTTGACTGCATCATCGTCGATGAAGGGGTTTTGGCGGTGAGAACGTCTGCCAATGCAAAACAAGAAAGTCAAGAAAGGAGTCTACAACATGGGCTGATGTTTTTTTTTTCCCTTCTCACGAGAAGGGGGGGAGAGACGGACCGTTGGTATCGGCACAAAGGAAAACGCGACCGAGGAAAGGGAGCAAATGGAATCACAACCCGAATGTCTGACCTTGAGGAATGGCCCTCCGCCCGGCTTCGGGGAGAGTACACGGGTACCACGTACGATTAGTCGTTGCAAACCATGATCGTCCATCGTTGCACACGCGATTCCGCAAGCACTGGAATGCCCCAAACTCAATTTCCCGCCAACACCTGCCACCCTCCGAGATTGGCATCAGAACACGACATGCGCGGCAGGAATGTCGCAGTCAACAACCGCTCGTCTGCAGCTGATCGGCCAGCGCATGCGGCTGATGCGCAGAACGGAGGTAAAAGAAACGATACGATGCCCACTCTGGGTATTGCGCCATACAGGCACCATACACATGGGGAAGAAGTCGTTAGCACCATCGTCTGCAGTGTGCTTACAGAATATGGCAGATCGGCGCGGGGCCAAGAGTTGGAGTTACGAGCTTGGCCATCTAGTTGATGTCTGCGGGCACCAATCGTAAAGATTCCTAAGTTGGCCCCAACACGAAAGGGAGAACCCGAACGTGACCTCCGGTGGCATTCAGATTTACAGTCTGGGGTAGCAAGATCTCGTATCTGTGCAGCGCTGACAAGTTCAAAACCATCTTGGTCGGGCGGGCACTTTTGTTTGCTCTTCGTGTTGTTGTAGATTGAGAGGCATGGCGGTTACTAATGGCACCAGCGGCGCCACCACCACCACCACCACCACAGCCATGTGTTCAATCTCCCTTGTTATGACGTTAATGAAGCTGTTGGGCAGGGTGGAATTCATCGCTGGTTCATCCCAACCGGTGGCTGACTTCCAGAACCTAAATGCCATGTCACTTCTGGCTTGAAGTTGTTTGCCCCCGTTCCAGCAGCCAAACAAGTACTGCCACAGAAGCATGAGAAGCATCAAGCCACCAATCTACGGGTAGCGAGCGTTGCATGCTTAGAAGAGCCTTCAATAACAGCAGGCTGCTGAGCTCGGCTAATCACCACCAGCTCACAAGACTTGAATGCAGCGTCTCTCACGCCGAATCCGCTAAGATGGCGCCAAATGCCACTCCATCGGGGTTTTCCAGTTTCAGACCTAGCTTCGGTATCCCAAAAATAACTGGCCGTAGGACTCTACCGTCGACGTTTGCCGTGCCGCTGCTTCCAAGCGACGCCAATACGGGCTTGCCGGAAAGCCTCACTCGTCAGGGCAAACGGGATGAGTGGGCGTGCAGGCCTTTGGCGAATAGCTTCAAAATGCAGGCGGGCTGACTGACATCGGTTCTGAGCTCCCTGCGGGAAACTTGTTCAATTAATCCGATCCCCACGATGTTCTTTGATGGCGGGAATAGGAATACAGAGACAAGTCGAGGTGTTGCTTCTCACGAGGTGCCGTCGCCAATATCTCTCAGGCATGCAAGTGTTCCAGTTTTGCCAGGCTCAAGCTTCACCACCCTTCCACAAGAATAAGCAAAAGTCTTGCAGGGTTCTTTGGCGGGGTTGACGCTAATGCAACCTCAATGTTTCCGCAGCCAATTCCGCGCCAGTAGGGCTGATGTTCTCTTTCTGATATTGGACAGGGGAGCTCTGGTGTGGGAAACTTTTCCTCTCAGCGCGACTCACAGCTATCCCAAGATTGGTACCCATGCTTTATCAAGTCCCACAACATTTCCCAAGTGTACCTTGGTGTTGTAGACTTATACCCGCTGCCCACAGAGGCGGTACCATTCGTCTTACCTCTCGTCACACCATTAGCTGGCACCGGTACCCACAGTTTGGTCCAAACCATACTTGTGTGACTGGAGCACCTGCGTAGGAGCTTGTAAACGAGAAAACAAGACGAGCGATGGATTCTATCAGAACGCAAGGCGTGATGCTTTTACGGCCACTCAAGATCCTGTGCTTGCAGAGGGATGTCACCGAGGTCACCGCAGCCTGCTTCTACCTCTCTGGCCCATGACACCTTCATGTCTACAGTTCCGCCAGCGTCACCTCGTAAGAGCAAAAAGCCGATCACGCAACCGATCTGGCTACTCCCTTTGTAGATTCAAAAACTCATCCGTTATATACCATGAGCTTCGTTTGGTAGCTCCAAGACATTACGAAGCTACCCTTGCCCATCCCACGCCCGCCAGGACGCATTCATCCCAGCCCAATCCCCCCCACTTGGCCAAGTCATCTTGTATGTCTCTATTCGGGAACGCACCGCTTTCAGCAGCCATCTTTTGGTATCCCATCGTCTCTCATGGCCCTCCCTGTCACAGTTCGGCTTGAGGTCGGGGACCTTTTGGTAACAATAACATAATTTGCCAGATCCAATCAGTCCACCGCTACCGCAGGGATGCATTCTCCCAGCAAGCCCAGTGGGATATCTCCCCGGCCGGGTAGGCATCCCCCGATCCGAGTGTACTATGTAAACAGGTCTGCGTCTAATCAGCTCATCTCAACTTTTCCATAAGTACCCTCTCTGCCCGCCCACTATTTCGTCCTGTCATCATCAGCTCATCATCATCCTCCAGCTTCCCCCCCAAGAACCAGTCATCAAAGGCATCTGACCTTCCCCAAACAACCCACCTCCACTTCTATATAAACTCCTCAACACCCATCAAAATGAAGGTCAACGCCGTTCTCCTGATCGCCGCCGCCTCGGCCGTCATCGCCGCCCCCACTCCCGCCCCAGCTGCTGAGGCCGAGGCCCAGGGCTACGGCAACTACGGCGACTACAAGGTCACCTCTTACGGATCGTACGGAACCTATGGCGGTGTAACCACCCCCAACCCCAACCCCCCTGCCGGTGGCAACTACGGCGACTACGGCAAGTACGGCAGCTATGGCGCCTACAAGCGCGCTCTCGACTGGGTCAAGTCCGTCTTCGCATAAACTCTTGACGGCTACGAAAAGAATTCGCGGACTTGAGAGACTTGGAACGCCCAGCCTGATATTGTCTTTATCAGGCTCTCATGTGGGCAGAGAGACTCGGTCTGAACGACAACCATCACTTTTTACCTTAACGACTATCATTAATTCAAAACTTCAGCCATGGCTGTGGAGCCGTCAAGGGGCTTGAAGCAGCTGGATGATGTGCTCTTAATAGGGCTCGCGCTTTGGGGAGCCTCGATATACATTACTGTGACGTGGACATGCCTGGCTAGAGTGGTTTGGTGATGGCAGGTGTTTTTGGGAGCCTTGCGGGCATTATGCATGTTTTATGCTAAACGATGAATCAAAGATATCAAAACTGAGTTTTGTGCAAGTGATATATAATGTCCCATGCTAAGATTGTTGCTTAAGCTTGATGTTGGAAGGTGATTGGGGATGCCATCCACTTCATTTGTAAAGCATGATCGGAGTGAACAATGTTGAATTTTTTGTCATTGTCATCTGTGTGTGATGTTTACTAACAATCATCTACTGTTGATAAACAAGCGTATTTAAATTTTGATACATAACATGCTGGAAGAAGCTTTGCATACTTGATGTGCACTGTGTAAACACATAACTGAATCTTTCCATGTACAGAACCATGTTATTGTTATAGACTATTACGGGATATGAAATATATTTAAACTGTCCATTAGGTAGGGAACAGTTGCGCAACAATATGAGATGCGAGATTAGCTATGTAGAACGCACTTCTGATGTATCTTCCAGCTCGTGAGGTTACTAGAGACTGTAAGAAGCACATGATCATATAGAACATATATTCAAAGATTCAAGAATTTAAATTATGTAGAATTGTACAATCATGCGATGCTTGGCGTTTTAGATTGAGCAGTTCGTTAGTCAAAGACTGATAATACCAGAAAGTATACATGAAAGAACAAGTAACCAGCTCATAGTGGATCTACTTAGCAAGAGTAACACATGCTTATCTACAATGAGCTGAGAATTTATACATGACTTTATCTGTAAGGAAATATACAACTCGGAGAAAACTTGAATCATTACAGACTCAGGAGGGCCCTGATACTTGTTACCCTTAAAACATAAAGGTTGCCTAATTTATGAACTTCGACCATAGTGATGAACAATAGCACAGCATAAGCCTGGCGTAACAGCTTCGCAGAGTTGATTCTAACCTTTGTATCGTTGAGTTGAACCTCTCACAAAGGTCTTCAACCTTTTGAAAAGCTTAACGCAGTTACTCAAGGAAAAAAATTTATCTTCGTGTAATAAACAAAAACCATCTTAGTGCGACCCAAACAAAACTTGAATCATAGCACAGCAGTTGAGATGGTTTTTGAGAAGCTTGAAACGCTGTAGATATAAAAGGGCACCCAATCTTTACAGTCGGGCGTCTTTTCCATACTTCCATGCAGACGAAGGTTACGGTGTACCATAGTCCTCCACCATGGTCCTCTACTAGTTTGGCTCTCAAGGTGCAGGTCGGTTGACAGGTAGGAGGCTCTGTCTACCTCTAGAGCTATATCGGCCGTAGATGATTTTATTAGACGACAGCTTAGAAGTTCAAAGTGGTGGAGTTCAAAACAGTACTCAACAACCAGCTACGGCGAAACTGTACATCAAGGTATCTCGCATATTTAGAATTTTATTAACAGGTTTGCGTCAATCTTTTCAACACCAGCTGGATTGCAAGTAACACCGCGGGAGCACTAAATTTATAGCCCCAAAAGAAAATCCAAGATGACCATTTGTTCATGGTAGAGTAGTCACGCAGGGAAGTGAGAGGTGCAACTTTGGGCCAAAAATCTGCCCAAAGTGATTTGCCATTGGAGATCAGATTTTCAGAAAACTGTCTACGTTGTTCATGGGAATTTCAGTCTTAAGATGTTAATTTCATCATACGTATAACGTAGCGAGATGTGATTACTCTTTTGGTTGATGTAAACTGACTTCGACCTGGTATTGTACAGCAGAGACATCAAGCTCCTCCGGCTGCCGGGAAGAAATCCACAAACTCTCCAGCCATGTCCCGTTTTCAAAAGGTCATAGCTTCAGCTGAGCTCCAAGAAAACAAATCACGTTTGCACCACATTTAGTACAGTAAAGCAAACAACCCGGCTTCAGTGCCTTGCACGAATTCAGCATACCCGTTCATACCCAAGGGAGAAACCAACACAAGCTAGCCACGTGTCACGCTCATAGCACGCTCAGATACAATGAAGCCGAGCATATATTAAACAATGCATTCACTTTAACGCCCCTAGCCGGAACCAAACCAAAACCAGTTTGCCCGTGGGCCCGTCGGGCCTGCAAGGAAAAGCAGCAACTCGTCCCCGCATGGGAAAGCTGCATGCCGAAAAAAATTGTTCGCCCCTCTCTGGAGCATTTCGCGGCTGTCTCATACGTTTCGAGAAAATCAAAGAGGTTGGGAGGGTAGTACGATCCCTGTCCGGTACATGGGAAGGGAAAAAAAAAAAGGATATTTACAATCTTTTCCCAACCTCCCCAATTTTTGATAATGTGCTGATAATCTATCGGCCGAGATGTCGTCTGAAACGCCCCGACGTCCATGCACGCTGCGGCATGCCCGCTAGCCCGGAATTGACTCCACACCGTTCCCCCGATTATTCGGGCGGGGGGGGAGGACGATCATCGGGTCACAGCGGACAATAGTCAAGACGACGAAAGAAAGACAGAGCGAAAGAAAGAAAAAGAAGCAGGGAAAAAAGCAAAACGTCTTCCGTTATCGACCTCGTGTTACTCAATCCAGCCACCCCGATTATTCGTTAGCAGTGAAAATGTCTGGATACGGGACACGGGACCTATACCGGCTGTCTCAGCCAGCCGCTGTATCGTATGGTGTCGGCGCTGGGATCGAGATATCCCATGGTTTTGGGATTGGAGAACCCCCTTTGGCTTGACAGAGGCTAAACTTTATGCAGCCCGTAGAAGTGTAGTTGTGGTTATTGATCCGATTATAACTTGTACCCGCGCGGATATCTCTCAAGATGAAGCGCAGTATTCTCGATCGCTGGTAGACAGAGGGCGTCAACCACGAGGTAAAACATCAAGTTGCTTCTGACGGGCCGTTCTACTGTCCTTGCAGGTGGAACGCTTGACCTGCATCAGTCGAAACAGGCGTAATTACGACCTCTGAAGCGCTTGTCAAAGATGAAGTGGTGGCAGTATCAGGGTCGGTCAGCCAGCCACCAAGATTGCGTAGGACTGCAGGTTGCTGCAAGAAGTAGATGGCTTAAAATCACTATGGACACAACTGTCAGAGCCTTGCATGGTGAACCCATTGTGTCTGGCGTCTGCCTGATGACCTCTGTGGTACAGAGTGGGCGTGTTTCTAGGGTTGACGACGTGGCGCAATGAGCCGCCGTCCATGTCAGGGCATGCATGAACAGTGTTAGCGAGAGTGACCAGCTCAGGGTAACACATTCAATGGAGTATTAGGGCATCAAAATGATGTGTGGGATTTACAGGTGCATTCTGTACCGAGCTGGTTGGTTTCCTCAGCCAATTCAGTCAACACTGGCTGTTTTTTGTGTCAGAATATGCGAGGCAGGTATGGCAGTGCTGGCTGGGCCTATGCCTCCAGGCCATGCATGCCAGACGAGACGAAGCCTCAGACCAGCAATTAATGGCGAGTGGTCAGAAGTCACAAGTCATGTAAGACAATGTTACTATCGAAGCGTGCCAGTGGTGGCCCAACAATGGAAGTAGGACTTTGGAGCATTGACATTTGATCGTCATACTTCTCAATATCATTGTTGGCGAGTGGCGACTTACGGCCTGAGCAAGCGGCCAACAACAAGCACACAACTTCAAGCAACGAATCACTGTGCCACGATGATGGCCGCGGCCCGTTCAAGACCTAGAGATTGGGCAGAGGGGTTGATCGACCGGACAAAGCGAGGAGGTCGAGGAAAACTGGCGCCACCTCGGTAGGGCAGGACCAATGATGATGGTACTGTTGAATGAAGTCGAGGTGCGTCGATAAGCAAGTCTGAACTTTGAAGACGGCGCGGACGCCCGCCATCCAACAGACCCGGTCCACGGGAGGCGAAAGGCTTTGGACCAACTGGCCACCCGTGATGATGGGAGGCCGTTATGGGAGACCTGGCGTGCCGTTCTCACGGTGTTGGGCGGTACATGGGCGCCATAGGCACATAGGCCAGGGCATACTCTGACCAGCGATATCAAGTCGAGTCGCTTGGCTTGACTGCTTCGGGTGGGGAAGTGCTACGTACTGCGTAGTGGTAGAGGGATTGGTAGAGAGGGCGAAGTACCGATACGAAGTTTGGAGGGAAGACGACCTCCCCTGCATTCTGACAGGCTGGGCTATGGTAGGTGACGGCGGCTAAGTCACCGGGCGGAGTCCCAGCTGGCCCCGAGCTGTGAGGATTGGTACTATTGGAATGAGGGGTAAGTTGACTGTCAGATGTCTGGCACCGTATGACGGAGAGAAGACGGGAATGTGAGTATTGGTTAGCACAGTGTTGAGTAGCAGCTGGTACCTTTTTGGGTGGGTGAATAGTTATCGGGATTATGAATGCAGTATATAGATACAGGCGTGATTGCGGGAGTGATAGATACTGTTTGTTGATTAAGGAGCTGGCAGCTAAGAGAGCTTTGAAGCTGCATTGAGCCGATCGAGGGAGGAGGTGACAATAGGTGCTACTATGTATGTTCTCCTACTATAGGCATTTGTAAATGTGCTGGCAGTCGACGGTAGTGGTTGCAGGCCCGTTGACAGGTGTCAAGCCGCGACGCGACTGCCGACGGATGCGAGGGAGGAACGAACGAAGAACGAACGGGGAACGGTAGTTTTTTTATCAACGCGTATCCGTAGGGCAGGCACTAACGGGGATCTGGCGGTCTTCCCGAAAGTGCCTCTTTAAACAAAGGCGCACTTCGATTGGGAGAGAAGGTAATCTGAGAGGGGTGAACCTGGGCACTTACCAGGTTGCTTCCCTTACCCGAAATGGGAACACGTCTTGATTTTTCCCGACTCCATTCGCCAGTCGTGTCCGACGTACCCACTTAAACCTTGGACGCGTCTGATTGGACGCATGTCGCGGCAGAAGAGAAAGAAGCTGCAGTAGCACCTTCCCCGCGTCTACCAATCATAGGCAGCAACTACCCATTGCATGAAGTTCGTTTCCCAGCAGTTCCCACTTTTGACTTGGACCAGGGAAGGAAACAGGCCGCTGGCAGGCTGACCTCTCTCTATGTGTGTGTGTGTGTCTCTCTCTCTCTGTGTGCAACAGGCAGGTTGCAGCCAGCCAGCTGCTTCCCTTCCTTCTTTGGGGGTTGTCTCTCACCTGCATACATAGCTACATAGCTACATAGTAGTGTAGTATGTAGCCTGGTTTCTGGTGTCTTCTTACTTATGATTGGCCCATATCACGAAAGTCGCACGTTTTACCACGTCCTTCCCTCGCTGGCTTTCGTTGCTTCCTATTCTTTCCCCCAATTTCGCATCTGCAGCCAGGCTGCATCCCGATCCGCCATTGCTGAGTCCGTCATTATAAGTCAGTTTGAGGTTGGAGGCCCTGTGCGGCGCCTGCCTGTAATGTGTGTAATCGTAATTGCTGCTAAGACCGCGGTTTGTCCCCCTGTCCTACCTTTTCTAGTGCACCTAGTAGTAGTAGGAGTAGCTGACCCCCCCTGGCCGGCCCATCCCCTGCATCCTCTTCTCCACTGGTGGGCCTCCCTCTATTGAACCAAGTATGTTTTGGTGGTCCGTCTCTTTTAGAGCAAGGTACCCGTCATCCCGTCTCTATCTTCGCCGTTTTCCTCCAAAGAACCGCACCGTGTTTGTACCCTTCTCATCCGCGGACAAGGGCGCCTACTCAGACACGCTTCGCACACACACCACACAAACACACACCGTCATCTCGAAATACTGTCCGTCGATTTCGCTTCCTTGTCTTTACCTGCTTTAGCTCCTAAAGGGCCTCGCATTAATCGACCAACACCGCCTGCTACCCATCCACCACAGTTCCGATCAATTACTGGTCGACCAAGCCTGAACTACACCACATTACCTTGAGCCTGCCCTGGCCTGCCTACACACCCCCCCGGTTCTGTGAGCGAGCGCGCGAACGAGAGCAAGACATTCAAAGAGCTGCTAATCCCTGCTCCCTACCAATTCTCGCGACCTCTCACCCTCTTTTCTCCCTCTATCCCCCCTTCCCACCCCACGTCAGCTGTGCTTTTCGACTCCGTTTCTGTCAATCTCTCGCTCTCTTTCTCCTCCACTTGCTGCAACCATACCCGACGCACTTCGACTCCTCTGCGTGGACGAGAACAATAAACAAACAAATACGCTCGCTACCCACGCTTCACAATACCATCGCCTTCCAATCCTACAGAGGGCCTACCTACCAACGTCTGTCTGGCACCGACTTGCTTCACTGGGGAGAGGTGTTGAGGGGACACTGCAACGAGTTCGACGTCCCCATTCTCCACGAATCGAGTGCCAATCGTCGATCAGAAGAGGAGTCTGGATTCTGGCATCGACTTGACCTCGCTGGTTGCGCCTCTCACGCTGCTGACGCAAAACAACAACCACATAATCCACACCAGCACCTGCGCCTACATCCACTCGTCGCGCGCAAAACACAACCGCCGACGATCCACACGATGGCTACCATTTCACGTCAACCGTTTGCGCCTCTCGATGGAGCGAGACTTCAGAACCTGACCAGCATTAAGAATAGACAGAATGGTATGTTTGATCCATCACGACCAAACACGCCTATTCCTTTCCCTCTCTTCGCCGGTATCATGTCATACTCGCACCCATCTGCACCGCATGTTGGCTCCATGTCATTTTCCGCCTATCCATCTGAAATGCGCCCAACTTCCCCAGCTTAAGCCATACCCCAAAGCCCACACAGATGCCCACGTACCACTATATTTATTTGCTGACTTGCCGATTAGCTATTTCTCCCGTTTCTGGTGGCAAGCGCAAAGCCTCCGATGTAGACTCCGACGATTTCGAGAATGTCGACCCTGTTGTCTCTAAGCGAGCAAAGGGCCTCGACAGTTTCTACCCTTCCAAGGACTCTATCAAGCCTTCCTCATTCGTCCTCACCAAAGCCGCACCCCTTGCCGATAGCCCCTCTTTCACGAACACCAAGCCGACTCTTCCTCGACCTCGCAGTCTTCTCCAGCCCAAGTCGCCCGCCGCCAAGATCAACACCGGCATCGCCAAGTCATCCCCGCTCTCCGCTCCTGCCGGTCGCTCACCGACCCGCGGTAAGCGCTCCGGCCTTCTCTCCAGCCGTCGTCGCACTGCCGGCCCCTACACTCGTGTAGATCCTCCCTTGTTCAACCTCTCTTCCGCTGCCGCCCCATTCAGTCTTGATGCCGCCCTCAAGGGTACCATCACCAGCTATGCAGCCCGTTCGTCTGTCGCCTCATCTTCGCGTAGTGCAGTCAAGGAACTGCATGAGCCTGAGATGAAGGCCTCATGGTTCTTCGACATTCACGAGGACACTCCTGAGCAGGAGATGACCAACATGCTGCAGCACGGCACCTGTGTTCTTGACATCAGCTCCGACGAGGAGAGTGAGCGCAAGCGCAGCCTGGACCGCGCAGAAGGCCGCGATAAAGAGAACGTGCCGCCAGTTGATGACGTCAGCCAGACTTCCACCAGAAGGTCTACGCGCCGTGCAAGCGAGGACGACATGATCTTTGAGAAGGAGAGGACAGCTCTAGGCGAAATGGACGCCAGTGAGTTCTACGCTCTGGGCTGCGATGAGTCGTCAGTCATTATCGTGCCTGGTGACGAGGAGGAGGAGGGAGAGTCTTCCGCTCCGGCTGAGATCCCCGAAGCGAATGATATCCCGCCAGAAGTCAAGGTTGAGGCTCCTGAACCTATCTCTGAATCCAAGGATGTGGACGATCTCATGGGTAAATCTACCGAGCCAGCAGCTAAGGCGGCTGTCTTGAAGCCCATAGAAGGCACGGGCGAAAGCTTCGAGCTTTGGGAGAGCGGGAGCGCAAAAGACGACGCAGAAGTTGTGGCTGCCGTGGAGTGCTGATGATTCTTTGAAGGGTTGGCTGGCTCTTTTGGCTTTTCTCTTCACTTCCAACTATTCACCATCTTTTAATTATGGGATCATGATTCATGCGGCGTTTGGCTGTCGGTTTGGCGGATATTGGGTGGGACTGGATGAACAACGAAGCGATGGGAACCTGGGACACTTTTTGTGTAGGACTTACGGTTGCTGGAATTGTGTACAAAGGTGGAACTGGAGTATTGCTGTCGTTTTATCGTTGGAATTATTGATATCCTCATCAATAGAGTGCTTTGACGCTTCAAGATTCTCTCGCTACGACTCCCGGCTGCACCTGTGACCTGCGTGACTATCTATCCAACCGCATATTGCCGTGCCTCAGCCCCGTAATCTCAACTTGAACGATTTTATACGATGGCAAGTGGCGGACGTTGAGAGATACCGGCTCGTTGCTTTAACACGGGAACGCGCTAAGAGACGTTGAGAGTGTAGGCCGTTCCAACTCCACGTGACAGCGCCTTTCGCGGCCCTGGCCGGTCGCTTCAACGCGCTTCCCGGGCGGGGGGCTCCACCACTCCGTCCGCTGAAGCCACTAACACTGACAGCTGTAGTGGGCAATCTGAAGTTCCGCACCACTCACTCAAGCAACCACACTCACTCATCAGATCACCATCTCATACTCGGTTACCTGGCAATTTACGCACCCGGCTGGCACACAAACAAACAATCTCACCGAAAAGCGAAGCCCGGTTAGAATTCGAGAGGCCAATGGCGTCAATTAACGACCTGGCCACAGCGGCCATAGCCACGTCGGCCACGACGGGTAGCCCGGCCGGAGATGCCGCTCCTACCACTCCTCCCGCCGGCGTCGTCCGCGGCGCCTTCATTGCGCTCGAGGGTCTCGACCGCAGCGGAAAGACGACCCAGGTGAAGCTCCTCGAACAGCGGTTCGTAGAATTGGGGAAGAAGGTCAAGGTCATGCGATTCCCGGGTGAGTAGAAAACATCCTTTACAACTCCATCAAGCTCGCTCTGGTTACTGACATTGCCGTCATGTAGACAGAACAACACCCATCGGACAGATGATTGATGCCTACCTGAAAAGCTCAGTCGAGATGGAAGACCACGTCATTCATCTCCTCTTCAGCGCCAACAGGTGGGAAGCAGTGTAAGCACACTCCTCTGCTCACTCAAGAGTAAAAAATTATGAAAGTTACGGATTTTAACACGGGTCCAGCAAAAACATTCAAGCCCTCCTGGAGTCAGGCACGACGGTCATCTGCGACAGGTACTATCACTCCGGCATCGTCTACAGCGCCGCGAAGCAGAACCCCTCGCTGAACCTGCACTGGGCGCGGGCTCCGGAGCTGGGCCTGCCGCGGCCGGACCTCGTGCTCTTTCTCGATCTCGAGGAGCAAGTCGCGAGGGAGCGCGGAGGCTGGGGCGACGAGCTGTACGAGAAAGCCGAGTTCCAGCGGCGGGTGCGTGACCTGTTTTGGGGTTTGAGTCTTGGCCGCATCGGCGCGGATGGTGCGCTGGGGGATGAGGGCCGCGTGGATAGGGAGTTTCGTCAGGAGGAGGAGGATCTGATTGTTGTTGATGCCGGCGCGAGCGTTGAGGAGGTCGCGGAGGAGATTTGGAAAAAGGTCGAGCCTAGAGTGGACGCGGTTGAGAAGGGTGAGGTTGGGAGCACGGTGAGGAGGGTTTCATGAGATGGTATGACTTATGGTTATGCCGGCGATGGGACTGGGTATGGGCTTCGTGTATAGTGTTTATACTGAACGGAGTGATGTCCATTACATGCATGTGTGGATGGCGGCGTATTTTTAGAGAGTTGCAAGTGTGAATGTATGAGGCAATTTCTGATGGGAATGTAAGGAGAAAAAAAAAAAGAAAAGGACAGCATATAGAGCAAAGGAAATGATATTTGTACATCAAGAATGGATTTGGTTTTGGCGTCTTGCTGTGGACTTGGAAGAGGTGTCAGCAATAGACGAATTGAGAGGAGTAGCTGGTGTTGAGACGATATAGTTCATCCTGGCGCCGCTTTCTCCAACGAATTCACCAAGCGGGGCTCAGCCCCGTTACTCCCCTTGGTGTAGTTGGTTCATCACGTTCGACTGTAATGGTTCATACCAAGATTATCGAAAGGTCTCTAGTTCGATTCTGGAAGGGGAGAACATCTTTTTGACTTTTTTTTCGTACTCGCATTCCAATCTTAATCTTCTCTTGGCTTTGCCGATGCCGGCTGATCTTGTTTCTCGTCAATTGACGACAATCCTTTTTTGTTTATACATCCCAACCTCATCCTCCCATTTATTACTAGCGACATATATTAGACGAACCGCACTGGTTAGCGCTTAGCTATTTGAAGCTCATATTGACTGACTATCCATAATGGACGTTCCTGCCGCAGCCAATGCGCTCGGCACACTTGGTGCTGTAAGATAATCATCACCCAATTGAAGCCAAAACTCACACATTGCAGGTTTGCTGGTCCATTCAGGTTCGTTGCATGTTACCATCTCATTCAATTTACATGTCTTAACAGCCGCCAGCTCATCCCTCAAATCGTCATCAATTACCGCCGCCATAATGCGACCGGCCTTCAGCCCTCCATGATGATGTTGTGGGCCTGGGCGGGCGTGCCGCTCGGCGTTTACAACATCGTCGAAGACTTCAACGTCGCCCTGCGCATCCAGCCACAGATCCTGACGTTCCTAAGCCTCGTCACCTGGATTCAGTGCTACTACTATGAGCGAGTACGGAATCTCACTGCTTCTTCTTTGGGAGTTACCTAACGCGCCTAGAACTGGTCCGTCGTCCGCTCCCTCGCGGTAGTCACACCTATCGCGGCCGTCATGGCCGGAATCCAAACCGGCCTCGTCTTCGCCCTCCGCATCCCCAAATCTCAGGGCATAGAGTGGCCGATGATCGTCATGGCTATACTCTCCGCTGCCCTCCTCGCCGCCGGCGTGCTGCGCCACTACTGGGATATTTACGTCCATCGCACCGTCCGCGGCATCTCCTTCATCTTCGTCGCCATCGACGCCGCCGGTGACGTCTTCTCCCTTGTCTCCATCTTGTTCCAGCCCTCCGTCGATATCCTCGGCATCGTCATCTACGCCACCGAGTTCGTTCTCTGGTGCGGTGTGTTCGCGTGCGGCGGCTACTACAACCTTTTGCCGTGGGTCCGAAAGAAGATGCTCGCCAGGGAGGAGGCGAGACGCAACGGTTCCGCGGAGTCCGCGCCGAGCCAGGATGGAGCTGGCGCGCCGAACAACGGCATCTCCTTGCACGAAATGCCTTCCTCGACCTCCGTCTTCCGCACTGCGTCTCGCGACGGTTCTGGTCTCCGGCCTAGGACAAGGGCATCGCTACAAGGCAATCAGGAAGCCACCGACTAGGGGAACGAACGAAAAAAAATAAAATAAATCACGAAACACGCCGAGGACGAACATGACTTGAGGAGTCAAAAACCAGTTGTGGATTTCGTGGAACCAGCGAAGCAAGCTCCGGATTGTCTACCTGGACCCGTATGATACAGCGCGTCGCCATTCTCCCAGCATGCCGACGCCAAAAGAAAAATCCGCCATAGACAAATTTGAAAGTTTGTGTGAAGACATCGTCCCTATCAACCCCCCCGCTAAGAGAAAAAAAAAAACAACTCCTTCCCAAAAACTTCCCTCCACTTCCAAACCACCCCAACAGTCTAATGAAAAGAGAAAAAGATAGATCGCTCCCTTACAGCAGCAGGGAAGCAAACGCCGCCACGGCAATGGCACCGGCGCTGACGTAGAGAGAACCGGCGCCGGCCTTGGCGGGGCTGCTCGTCCTGGGCATGGTGCTGTTGCTGCCGGCGGCACCGCCGCTGCCGTTGGCGTTGTTGCACTTCCCGGGGGCGAAGTTGTCCTTGGCGTCGGTGAGGGACTTGGAGAAGGAGCCGGCGAGCTGGCTGGCGACCTGCTGGACGCTCTGGGGCACCTTCTTGACGACGGCGTCGATGAGCTTCTGGGCGCTGGCGCCGGTCTGCTCGACGTTGGTGACGATGACGCCGCAGAGGTTGGCCTTCTCGAACTCGGGCTTCTTGTCGTTGAGGCCCTTGATGAGGGCGTTGCCGTCCGTCTGCAGGCCCGTGACGAACTGCTGGAGGTTGAGGGCCTCGTTGAGCGTGATCTCCGAGGTGGCGTCGACCTGCTGCGTGCCCTGCTGCAGGGTGTTGACGAGGCCGCCGGCCGCCGTGGCGAGGCCGTTGATGTCGCCGTTGAAGCCCTGGACGGCCGTGTTGAGCGACTTGAGCTGGTTGTCGACCTGCTGGATGACGCCGGAGATGGTGGCCAGGTCGCGCTCGACGAGGCTGGGTGTGTCGCGCTGGACTCTGGTGGGTGCCTCGGCGAAGACGCCCGCGGCCATGGTGAGGAGTGTGATCTCGGTGGTGAACTTCATCGTGACTGATTATTCTGTTTCGACGGTTGGGTTCTGGAGGAGAATGGTTGTAGAATTAGGTTATGTAGGTTGAAAGGGAGGAATTGTAGATCCGAATGTTATATGTCTCTCTTTTCCGTGTTTGTCCAGCAAGCGTGGGGGGGTGAATGATCAGAAAAAGATTGCTGAAAAGAAGAGAGGGTTATAAGACGCTTATAGCCATGGCACAGACGGCATCGGAGGGGGCTCAAGATTTGGAAGGGGGGGGCAAAACAACCTTCATCGCACAGACGGCAACATTATCTGGAATCTCAACTCATCACTTTCCCAAAAGCGTAGTCTGTCTCGCATACCTCCCACGGTTCACCCTCTTGGCCCAACACCACACAACATAGTTTGGAAGATGAGGGGGGAGAGAGGTGGGGGGACACAGGGTGAAAGGGCTTGCAAGGAAGAAAGATACTACTAGAGACACAGGTATTCCTTCGACAGCGGTTCTTCGCCGGGGCAGGCCTCCCGTCAGCAGCCCGCATTGACTTGCTGTCTCCGTCTCTGTTACCTGACGTCAATGCATGGATCAGTCTGGGAACCCAGCCCGGATGGCCATTCGCTCGAGGTGGGACGCGAGCTCTGTTTGCTGAGCCACTCGCATCGCACGAATCGGAGCCTCTGTCGAGGGTCAACCTTTGAAGACTGATCATCCAGATGGGTGCCTCAACCCTGTTCAAGTTGTGTGCTTATTCCATACAAGCTCCAAGGTTAGCCAGTTGATAGACCAACTATGCCAGGAGTGTGCCCTTCCCGAGAAGCTTCCACGAAGACACAGAGCCTTCGTCCGCTTCACTTTTTTTCTGTTCCTCAATTTATTTTTTTTCCTTCCCATTATCTTTGGGTGAAGGAAAAAGTAAGATATCCGTCATGACTCTTGTGTTAAAAAGTCAAAGACTGCAGTACTAGTAAGTTCTTCCCAACAATATCGCCAAGCCTCCATTTCGTGTCGCCTGAACAACCACCACCTTGAACACAAACCCATCTACCACCGAACCGACGGAGTTATTTTAAAACATCAAACGGGAACCAGAGCCGAGCCCTGCGAGTGTATTCAATACCACCACCACCGCCCAAAAGGGCCGTCGCCCCCACCGCAGGCATGATGCGACTTGCTCGCCGAAGTGAAACGTGAAACGTGCGGACAGATCCCTGCTCAACTCTCTTCGCGAGCCCAGCGGATCTGGCGATCCCCCACCCACAGGCCACAACCAAATAGACAACCTACACACTCTGCCATGGAGTTTCCTCGCACCGAGTGCCGTTTGTGGGTTTGCGAGAGAAGAATAAAAGAACGTTTTCTTTTGGGGGGAAGGGGGGGCTCGGAATCTGGGCTTGTTTGTCAGGGTGACCCAAGAAACTCGCGGCATGATGGGCCCGAGAACAAGACCACTGACTGGTGCGAGCTTTCCCACTTCGTCTACTTCGTCCATGGCTACGACTCTTTGGAGGTGAGAATGTATGAAGGGTCTCTCGCCCAGGGGTCCTGTTAAGCGGATCAGAGGAGGATGCGCCGCTTGGCGGGGACCCAATGCATGGCGATTGTGGGTTATCGCAGGTTCTTAAACTTGGAAAAGAGGGGGGGAAGGGACACTTTCAGTTGATTGATGGGTTGGCGTAGAGTCCGAGGCTCTTTTGACGTCTCTGTCACTTGCATTCTCTGTGCGGCGCCCAATGACGGCTAAACCACAACCGGCCGACGCCTAATACTCATCAAAAACGTACATACTAATAGTGTGCATCTACTAGATAGTAGTGTGACTTGATTAAGGCTAGGCCAGCGGGAAGGTGTTTGTTTGCTTGACACGATGTTGGCGGCCAACATTCCGCAACTCAAAAGTCAGAGTTAGACTTACCTGAGTCAAGTCCAAGAAACATCTCCCAGCCGAAGTAGCCGCCCGAAGAACTTGCAGATTTCGGACTTTGTTTGATGTGTCGTATGGTATGAACTGTTCTCTGCTGTTAATGCCCCCCTCCCCCTGGCTGGTGTGTGAGAGTGTTAAGTGTGTGTGTGTGTGTGGTAAATAACAGGCCGCCGCCGCCTCCCTCCTTCGCCGTAGATGGTGGCTGAGGGTGAGAGATTTTTGATGGGAAAATAATGAGAAATGCCAACCAGTTGTCTCAGAGTCACCGTGGTGCCTGTGAAGCTTCTGGAGTGGGATTGTCGCGGGGAGTATCAGAGTCGGGGTGAAACGGGGGGGGGGGGAAGAAAGGTGCAGCTCAGGCCACCAAAGGAGACGAGAACGACCAATGTACCGTCGGAGAGCCTCAACAGCAACACTTATTGCCGACCTTTGGCCTGGGCTCTGCCGCGCAGAAACGCCAGACGGGACTGATTGGGCCGGCACTCTTGCGCCGGCGCACGGCGCGTCAAAGTGTCGCTGCAACATCGGGGTTGTCAAATCAGTTTCCAAACAGAACCGTGTGAATGCTCGACTTTTTCACACACGAGCCTCGGCTCCCATGTGTCACTTCGCATCGGTGCGGCCAAAAAGGGAACCCCATTATTTTCGAGTCGGTCTAGTAGTAGTAGTAGTAGTAGTAGTAGTAGTAGTAGTAGTAGTAGTAGTAGTAGTACTGCCAAAAAAGAGAGAGAGTCATTCAAACTTTTTCTGGTCCGTTTCTAGTTTCTCAAATCCCCGCCGGCCATCATGGGTCTTGGGTTTCGTCTTTCAAGGCTTTTTTGGATGAAAAAACCATGGGACGGCAACTCGTACGTCTTTTCTCTGCTGCAATTCGCCCGAAGCAAGTCGAAATCGCATAAAGACATACAGAGACACACACATACACACACACACACATACTCAACTCGAGACGAACTGCTTCCGAAGACTCTACATCCTGGATTAATCCTGAACACCCCGTGGAGACGAGGGGAGCTTCAAATTCAACAACTTCCCTACATCGTTGCTAAGAAAGCCCCACATGCTGCATTAATGTTTCTAGGCCGTCCATCCTGTGGCAGAACCGGCGGCATGCGCGGACTGCGCTGGGACTGTGCACAAGTGATCGCCCGCGAATATACCATAGATGCATTCCCGCATGTCCTGAGAATGGAGGACGAACACACTCGAAACATTGAACGCCAGTTTGCTGGCCACGTCAAAAAAAGAGTTGACGTGCATCTCATCCATAAAAATACTAACTCATAGGTTAGATGGGTATCATGTGTAATTCCCCAAGCCTGTCTCCTTCGTCATCGTTCGCCACTCCTTTGCGTGAAATTAAAAAATGTTAACCCTCACGCCACCAAATATTACTTGAAGATCCGTCGTCCGCCAGTGCGAACGGGGAATCTCTCAACGCCGCTGCACTGTTGCTCGTGCCACAAGCCCTGGATACCAACCCAGCCGCCGTCGCCAGACATCTTGTACCGCCTCCATGCCTCTCGGAGATGGTCAGGCCGTAGAGGACCTCTCCTATCTTCTTTGACAGCCTGGCTTATCTCGCCATTCTCGTCCTTGGTGGAAGGCGGCGGTGTCGGTAGCTCTGACTGTTTCTCGCCGGTAGCCTTGATCCATTCTCCTTGAACATCTCGTGCTCTCTCTATAAGTTCTCCGATGAAAAGCTTTGACACTGACTTGACGGCAAGGGCGACGTTCGGCGGGACAGACTGCGACACTGTTGCGTTTACAACCTATAAGTGCGTAAGTACGATGTGTAAATGGAGTGCAACAGGTCATGAACACGCTGCGCGCAATGTATGGCAACTCACTCTCTTCACCACAGACTCCGTCAGCTTAGCTGCGCGCCAGAGTTCGTATCGATCATATTGTTCGGGGTCGAAGGACTCGACAAGCATGGCACGGAGCCTTATCTCCTCTTGCTTCTGCTCTTGTGTCCTTGCCGTAGCATCCACCAGCGCCATGCGCATGTCGTTGTCGTCATCGTCGTCGTTGGCACCATCGTCCTGGCCTTCGCCCGCCGTGCCTGTGCCACTCACTGTCGTCGGTGCGCGTCCGCCTACGAGTGATGGTGTTTGCTCTCTCGCCTCCAAGTTCGTCTGGTTCTTCGGCTTCCTGCCGCGCTTCTTCTTAGGAGGGGCGCTGACTTGGCTACCACTTAGAACGCTCATTGCATCGGCCGATGGTGATCGTGGGAACGGCGATCCAGCTTCGGGAGGGAAGGAAGTCTGGCGAAGAGGGTGCGCCGAAGCTGCCGAGGTGACTGAGAGGGTCGAGGCCTTGCGGCGCTTGACGGATTGCTGGGAGCCGCCCTCAGATGCTCTTTTCTTGTTCGGGAGCTGTGCTGAGGATGGATATGGAGGAGAGAGGGCGGTTGGCGAATACGAGTACGGAGGAGATGCCATCGTGAAAGCGTCTGGAAGACTGTTGATTGGGGAAGCCAGTCAAATGGTGAATACAGCGGACTCCAATAGACACAGCCGAGTTCAGCTTATTCGGATATCGTTGAGAGCGTTTTTTTCGGGCGCTAGAATATTATGTGCTCGCGAAGAGAGTAGCTGGTTGTGTTATGTCGGGATGTTGAGAATGGAGCTTCACGATCGCCAAGCAAGATTGATGTGGAAAACGCGACTGAAGCTTGCTTCGCTCAGGAAGGAGACAGGCTGACTAAGATCACATGACTCTCGCCCAGAGAGGTACTGGAGGTAATTACCACCCTGACGTTCAAGCCACAAGCAGGCAGCCTTACTCAGCGGTGGCCCCACAGGACCCTTGTGTCGGAAACCTGGGGTGTAATGGTGCTACTATGCGATAAGATAAGACGCCCCCTGTAGCCGAATTTTCTTCTCCGATTTACCTCCAAAGCACCGAGTTCAGCGGGCCATTTATGTAGGATTTGGTTCTGGAGCTCCCCTTCCCCCCCATTTCTGACTCCCATCTCCCCTCCGCCACTACCAATTCTCATCATACTCCCAGTTCCAAAATGACTCAATTCGAGGGAGTTGAGCTCAAGAAGAGCAAAAAATCCAAACACAGCCGTCATAGTGGCAACAGTGGTTCTAGCGACGCCAGTGATGCTGAGACGGCAAGCCAGTCCAGCAGCCGGCGGGGCAAGAAGTCGAAGCGCAAGTCGCGCGACGATGACGGCGAGGTCAACGGCCACACCAAAAAGGCTCGTCGTCCAAGCCTGAGCCAGCCTGCGCGCGACCCTCGCGATACTACTACCACCAAGAAGAAGAGCAAGCCCAAGGCCGAGGGTACGGTGACGAGATCCCCGAGCCCTGTCATTGACTTTGATGGTCTGAGTCGCCCGAGTAAGATCACACCATCCCGAACCCCGCGCCGGCAATTGACTGACTCCGCGTTCCTCACCAGGTCTCGGAACTCGTGAAAGGCTTGAAGAGAACCCCGAGCAGGCTGCCGTGAGACTCGAGAAGCTCAAGGGCGCTGTTCGCACCATCCTCGAATGCGTCGGCGAGGATCCTGACCGGCCCGGCATCCTGGACACCCCCCGTCGCTATGCCGAGGCCATGCTCTTCTTCACCAAGGGCTACCAGCAAAACGTCCGCGACATTGTCAACAACGCCATCTTCCAAGAGGGTCACAACGAGATGGTCATTGTCAAGGACATTGAGATTTTCAGTCTCTGCGAACATCACCTGGTTCCCTTCACTGGCAAGGTGCGCACGGATAGGCATTGTATTGGGAGTTGCGCTAGCTAACAGAGACTACAACAGATGCACATCGCCTATATCCCCAAGAACCAGGTCATTGGTCTTTCCAAGTTGCCGCGCATCGCCGAGCTGTTCAGCAGACGTCTCCAGATCCAGGAACGCCTGACCAAGGAGGTGGCCTACGCCATCATGGAGGTGCTGAAGCCGCAGGGTGTGGCAGTCGTCATGGAGTCCAGCCACTTGTGTATGGTGATGCGCGGCGTGCAGAAGACGACGACCAGCACGATAACCAGCTGCGTGTTGGGCGCCTTCGAGAAGAAGGAGAAGACTAGGAACGAGTTCCTTAGCTTGGTGGGGTTGAAGACATAGATGCGCATTAAAACGAATCAGAGTCATCCTGATTGAGATTTTTTTAAGTCCTTCCCCGCCGGGACGGGCGGCAAAAAGGATATTGCGTCATTTACATATCTCGGCGTTTTGGCTTACACGGGCATGTATCACGAATGGTAGAGACCATCTTTTCAACATTGGGTCAAGCATTGGCGATCTTTTTGGGGGTTAGATTTCATGAGAAGGGAGCTCAACGCTCGTTCTAGGAGGGTGGTTCAAATCTGAATTTAATTAAGTACTAGTAGCGTCAAATACAAAATGAAGACGACAATTAGTTCGGGGGCTCTGGTGGCATTGGCTGCTTTTCCAGCCCACTCAGTTACAATCTGCGACTATTACATATCATTCTGTCATGGGTGCCGTGACATTTCGGAGCGGTGAGACCTCCCTGCGTATGACTAGCTGTGGGAGCTGGTACCGGTGAAACAAAGCCAATCCGAGGTGCTTTAGAAACACGAATAGAACACCAAAGGGAAAAACCAAAAAAAAAAAAAAGAGGAGGCCAAAGCGATTGAGTCGACATGATGTCACAACGAAGTCAGCAAAAGGCTGCAAAAAGAGAAGAAGAAAAAAAAAAAAAAGAGTAGTTGATCTCCCCTTCCAGAATCGAACTAGAGACCTTTCGATAATCTTGGTAGAAACCATTACAGTCGAACGTGATGAACCAACTACACCAAGGGGAGAAGTAGAGGCTAAGCCTCTCTCGGTGAGATGGTTTCCGAAGCCATTTGATCGCCTAAAGAGGGGGGATTACGGATACCCTTCCGATTCATTCTCACTGGCTGCACAATGCCCCCGTTGAGACCCGTTGTGGAGTATTTATCCCGATAGAGCGACTAACCGTGTTAGGTCCGGAGGTAAACCGAAGCTGACGCCACTAACAATCGGCTGCACAGCCGTTAGAGACTTGGCGGTTAACGTTACAATACAGTTGTTAAGTCAATAAGACGTTATTCAATGTTGTGTACTCTATAGCATCCATGTCATTTCAACCCATCACACCGGACTACCGCAACCGAAACTCGTTGCCTGTGACTTGCCGTTAAATGCCTCAATCAGGCCCTCAATAGAAGAATACATGCCTAGGGCCGTCGTCACCATCCCGCCGAGCATGTAGAAGAAATTCCAAGAATTGAACAACGGCTTCTTCATAAAACCTCTCCAGTACCGCTTGAAGCCGACATCGACGTATCCATACACCCCTGTTGCCGGATCGAACCGTTCCAGCTCGGGCAGCATCGCGTCCTTTCGGATCCAGTACCCGAGGCCCAGCAGCGCGGGGAGCGTGTAAGTGAAGGACAGGATGAACAGCGCGCCGATAAAGCCCGATACGAGAGAGAACTGCGGAACCGCGGCCCCGACGATGAAGGCGATGGCCCAGTACACCGGGATCACGGCCGCCCACAGCATCTTGCCCGCGGATTCCGTCAACGGAGGGGCGCCGAACACGCCCTGCAGGAACTCGACGTAGAGCACCTTCATCCCGATGTTGCCGTACAGCGCGGCCGCAATCAGCCCCGTGACGAGGCTCAGGACGTTCGTCGCCGTCTGCCAGGCGTATGGGCTCAGTCCCTGTATGATGGGGTTGAAGCTGTACTGCCCCTGGAAGGAGTACACGTAGATCCCGAACATGAGGTAGATGCAGTAGATGAAGACCTCGCCGCAGAGGAGAGCCTTCCAGAAGTCCATGGGGTGGCGCATCTCGGACATGAAGGCCGCGAAGATGAGGCATCCACCGTACGAATAGACTGCTTGGTTGAGTCCGTTCAAGGAGGCCGAAAACCCGGAGCCCCCGGAGGCCATTCCGTCCGGGGGTGTGCCGGCGTATGTGTGGATGGGCCCGGGGCCAAAGGCATCGCCGAATGAGGCATTTGTTGCTGCGAAGTTGGGTGGAGAGTGAGCGACGACGCCCATGCTTGTCCGGATGTTAGCGTTCACTGTTCAAAGACGAGAACGGGGGAAAAAAAAAAAATAATAATACACCCACCAGATGAAGATGATGAGTAAGTTGATCCAGACAGCCAAGTTGGCGATCCACGAGAACCTCTGCAGCGTCCGAATCTGGCCCAGAATGAAACCGGCAGCCATGAAAATAACGAGGCACGCAACGAAGCAGATCCCCGCGCCGCCGTCGGAACCCTTGGAGATCTGCGAGATGGACTGCCCGTTTCCGAGAATCAGCACAGCTACGAAGAGAAGAAGCTGCAGTCCCTGGGCGAAGTTGATGGCGTGCCGCGCCCAGGAGCCAAAGACGCGAAAGTACAGGTCGCCGTAGCCCTTTAGAGGGTAGCGATCGGAGTCGAGGCCGAGAAAGGACGTGTAGAGGATCCAGCCGGAGCTTTCTCGCATGTCAGTTTGTCTAAAGAAGAAAACAACAAGGGCTATCACACGGAGATGCTTACTAGAAAGACATGATGCCGAAGACGGTGTAGAGAGCCACGCCAGGACCGTAGCCCATCTGCGCAAAAGCCCAACTGCAACCCCCCCCCCCCCCCCCCCCCGTCAGTTACCAAGACCATCGAAACAGTGGCTTGTATACTCACGGCGTTGAAAAGGGACCAAGGATATCGGTTGTGATGAGATAGAAGATGGCGCCCCAGCCCGCCGTTCTCATCGCCCTGCTCGCTCTCTTCCACTCTTCGGGAGTAGCACTCCCAACGGTACCCTCGGCAGACGGACCTAAAGCCTTGTCGCTGCCGTTCTTTTCTCCCGCCCCAGTCTCCGAGGCGTCGCTGCTATGTCCATTCCCGTTTTCAAACCGGCCATGCTCATCTCCCTTCCTGAACCTATCCTTTATGACGCTCTTCAGCGTCACAGGTCCCCGTGATCGCACATATTTCTCATTCGCCTCCTGTTCTTCAGAGCGCGTGATACTCGCCCAGTAGAGATACTCCTCGAACGTGACGTTCGGGTCGTGGGTATTGGGCGTCGTCATGATGTCTACAGCATGCCCGGCTCCGCTCGAGTGCGAATTGGAATTGTTGGAATTCTTCTGCTCCAACTTTGAAATCTCTCCGCTGCCGTCCGTGGCCACGGGCGCGACTGCGGGTGTGACCGGGAGTCCGGGCATGGTGCTTCCCAAGTTGTCTCAGAGACGGGATGACTTCAAGCGCACGATGTCACGGGGGGGTTCAAACACTTGGGAAAACGATGACAACATACTACCATACAACAAACGAATTCACCAGAAAAGAAGGAAATGCGCGTTTGCGGGTTTTATACTTTCAATCTCTACACGGTCTGATAACAGTTCGTCCGAGTGCACCATTAAATGGGCATGTCACACACCGGCCTGCGAAGTCCCGGGGGGCACTCGAGACCTTCCCGCAACTCAAGTCGAACGTTTCGAACCCCGCGCGATATCGTCTGCTGTCCTTAAGATGATCGCACTGGATGGGAGGTCCCCTGTCTCCTCCCGAGCTAAGCTTTCATATACTAGTAATTGGGGTGGGATTTATCCTCGCTGCAACCTTGAAAAGATAGTCGCCATGCACCCGCGCCCAGAGTGACATCGTGGAGGGTATTGATTTGATAGTGCTGTGCTAAGCGAGGGGCGGTCTTCATATGCACGAAAATAGTATCGGGGACTCTACTACATGGTCGCCTTCCTCCCTCGCTAATTGCCTCGGCGAAGCTTGTCTTCTCGTCATAGACCACCTCAGTCTGAGATAAACACCCAACTGTGATACTACTTATCCAACGTGGCTGCGGGCACGATAGAAGCGGATAATCGGCATTTTATCAATACCTAGAGCGGGAAGGTTACCGCATCTTCTACAGCTAGCCGTGTAACATAGGTGCTCTAAAATGGCAGGTCCTGCGGTATAAGTTTATCGGATCCCTAAAGACCTTAGCCGCGGTAAATGAAGCCTTGCGCTTCTCTTGATGGAAACACTGTCTTCATATAACTCCTCGTTAAAGTTTACTGTTGATAGACATCCCTTCAGCAACTGGGCTTAGACAGATCGAGAGCCAATGCCGACTCCGTTTCCTTTGCGGGCTTTTCGTCGAGTTCAATCTCCCGCGCATTCAATGCCAACTTCCCCCATTTGTATAGATACGTCAGTAAAGTCACGTGAGGGACACGGTTGAAGCATTTGCCACCTACATAGGGTGGCTAGGATTGGTTGATCTTAACACCAAGGGAAAGAATCGACATAACTCCCGCAATTACCTCGTGCTAGTTTTACTCAGTATTGCGGAGTTATTGTTTTAGATATTTCCTAGTTCTTCGACGCTGGAGACCACATCTTCGCCAGTCTTACATTTTGGTATTGTACAACTGAAGTTATGCTACAGGAACGCCGCGATCCACCACATAAAGTCATGATTCATCGACGTCGTCCTTGACGGTCGTTGTTTTATTTCTCTTGACCTCCCTCTTTTTGGGCTTCAGCCACTCCTCCATGCCTTCCGGCCAGTAAACCCGTCGCACGGGGCCGCCCATTCCAAACTCTTCGGGAGGAATATCCTTTGCCTCCGCCTCGAGGGGGCCTGCCTCGCCCATTTCTTCGTCTTCGTCTTGTTGGCCTTTCTTTCTTGACCTCTTCGGCTTTCTCTTTGCAGTTCCGTTTTTTGTTGCTCGTAGCTCATCCTCTCGTTCAAATGGGACGACATCATTGAAAAGATTCCACCCAGGCAGCTTGAAAGTGCGCATAAGTTCGAATACAGCCTGTTCCTTGTCCTTGGCTTCGATCATGAGGTCCATATCTGGTGGGCAAGGCGGTAATGTCTTCACTCGAGGTGAATGCTTTCTCCGGTCGCGGGGTGTGACAGCTCCAGCACAAGATTCGCTGTAGTGCATTTTCTGAGTAATTCCCTTGCGAGTCCATGTTGCACGAATGCGGTCGAAAAGCTTCCTGATATCCTCAGTGCCCTCGCGTAGCTCATTGGCGTCAAATACTATGTTGTGGTGATGGAAATCAAGCACAAGAGGGATGTTCAACTCTTCGCATATAGGCAAAAGATCGTGGACAGACCAGGAAACGTCATCATTCTCCAGTACAAGACGCTGTTTGATGGATGGCGTCAATTTGACGTAGTTTTTCCGGAACCGATCTAGGGTTGCCTCTTTGTCGCCATAAGTGCCTCCCATGTGAAGAACCATGATAGCATCCTTGTTCTGCTGCTCGGGAAGACACAGGAGCGACAGCATTTCATCATGATACTCCAAGTCGCGAACGGCAGCGGTAATGACTTCCTTCCGGGGAGAGCCAAGCTGTGTGAATTGACCAGGGTGGGTTGTTAACCGATGTCCAAATTCTGCGGCGACCTTGCCAGCCTCAGCGAGGACGTCTGCAGCAAACGACTCAAGACGGTAGCCGTATTCCTCGTGACTGGCGAACGGAAACATTTCTGAGCTCAGACGCATGAATTTGATGCCACACTTGTCATTCCACCGCAACATTTTGACGATATCTTTAGCATTGGCCAAGCCCAGTTTCTGAACATATTCTTGGCCAAGCGCGACGTCTGCAGGTTGAGTGTCGTCTGGGCGATTCTTTGTGGCATGCTCAGGTTCGCCAGGAATGGCAAGAGGATGACGATGCTGCAATATGGAGGCGATGCGGCAAGTTCTTGAGCTGAAGACGGGGGGGTTGGCTGCACGAAGATATGTGTTGAGGCAAGCCTTGAGCATCGTTAGCACAAACCCGTAGGAAGAGTGTTATGAGGGCATCTTACATATCCTAACCTACCAGTCCACGGTAGGGGAAGATAATCGCTATTGACGGGTGGTGGTCTTGCAGCCCCCCTTTCAGGAGCTTCATCTTCGCGAATCTTGTCGTCTTCAACATCTACTATGGCGGCCTCTCCTTCGGGACCCTCAATGGGCGCAGCATCCACATCTGGGGTTCCAGAGCGTTCTTCTTCAGTCTTCCGGATACGGTCTTCCGGATCGGTTGGCTTGGGATCCACCAGTGGGGAGAATGCGCGGTCTTTGGGTCGTCTTCTCTCGGTACTAGTGATCTGACTGGCCTCTACGGCAAGCCGTTGAGTTCTGGTGGCATTTTGAAGGCGGTTCTCCATCTCGCTAAGCTCTCTCATGGCGAAGCGGACGCCATCGCGAGACTCGGTCATGGTGCGGTCTACCTGGCGGCGCTTCGCTGGTGGCTCGTCCATAGGTACCTCGGATTTGGTGGGGCGCATACAAGCACCGGGGTCGGTAACCTTCTTGACGTCGTGCAGCCGGCGACTGGATCTACGCGGAGCGGGAGGCTTGTCGTCTTCGGGTTTTACGGGCTCTTGGGGCTGTTGCGATTTGGAAGAGGCGGGCTTTCTTCGCTTGAGGGCGGCCATGGCGGTGAAGGGATTAAGTAGAGGTGTGTAGGACGTTTTGTGCAGATGAAGGGAACAGGCGAGTAATGAGCTCAGGGGCGGGACAAGTGACGATGGCACCGGGCTGGCAGCGCGAAGGCGACGCTTTCCACAATGCCGATTATTGGCCGCAGCGGACGAAAAGCTCCTTGTGCAATCACAGACCGGGGAGCAAGGGAACTGAAAAGAGTGATTGGGATGAATGAAGTGTGTTTGGACGTCAAGGATGGGTATGCCTGTGAGTGGGTGTTTTCCCTGTGGGCACTGTCCAAAGTATCTTATAGAAGCCAACATGTATATCGACTTCCCATTGACGTGGAGAGGGCAGAGCCAGGTCAAGAAGGGGAAAAAAAAAAGGCCAGATCGGTTACGTACCGGCTCACGTGGGGGGTTTAATAACCAGCCTGTAAGCAGGTAAGAGATTAATAACCAACTGAAGATATGAGGGACTGCAGAAGAAGAGGAAGAAGAATAGGAGAGAAAGGTCCAGGGGAGAGAGGAAAATGGCGTTACTTTGGCCCAAGCCGAGATGGAATGGAGCTGAAATTGGTAGCGCAGGAATCAGAATGACGGAAAGAGATGTCGTCAGTAGAGGAGGGGAAGACCGGAGACGGCGTTTATGAATATGAGGTCACAAGGGGGAAAAAGCGATGTGGTGAAAGCTCGTCGGAGACAGAGATTGGTAGAAGGCTGTAGTTGACCGACACAGAACAATTTGTTCTTATTTTTCTTTATTTCTTTTTCTTTCTAACTGTTATGTGAAAGGTGAATAAACGGATGGGCATTGACGAAGCCTTGTGTCACACGGACCACTGCATATATCGGGGCATGCATTCAACCCATGCACCCGGCTATTGTTTCCCATATAAAACTAACGGGGATGTCATTTTGTGCATGAAAACCTTCAAATCGGTAATTACCGAATAGACGGTTATATAATCAACCCAATAACCCCTAGACAGTCTCTAATGAATGGAAGCATCTTTTTTTACCCCATAAGTGGTGGGCAAATTGACTGCGTGACACCTTGCCTGCCGGAAGTGCATGTATCCATTCAGTATGGATCTAGTTGTACCTTGCACATTTATTCTGGCTCCAAAGGGGCCGATTATATCTGGGCCATACTGCTCCTCTTCTTGCCTTACCTGGGTTGATGATGAGGCGAAATAGAAAGAACAATTGTATCTAAACAAAGAATACACGAAATGAGGAAGGCAATATGGCGTAAACACCTGCTTTTTTCCTACGAATTTGGAACCCCGTTTGGTCAATGACCGGGAAAGTATCGAAGTAAAGATAGGGAAGAACAGCAGGCAAGGGTCCTTCACTTCCTTCTTTGCCTTACGGGACGGAACGTGAGGTTCCTGTCAAGGAGGAAGGAGCTCGGTCCAGATCTACTGCGTCATTGACCCCCTCAAACGAATCAGCGGCAAGAGGCCCGACGTCACCGCAGCTGTGCACCCGCCACATCCTACCTCCTATGCATGTCCTTCCGTATGTACGTAGTGCGACCATTTACTAGTGGACTAGCCCAAACCAGCCACACAATTAATTGCACGACAGGAGCACATCATGTTGGAGAGGTGAAAGACTGCCAGAAAAAGAAAGAAAAAAAAAGTACAAAAATTTGAAAATAATAAAATAGAAACAAAACGAGATATCAATTAATTCAGGCGACTAAAACTGGACTAGAATTTCTTTTTTTCTTCTTTCAAAATTGCAGGCTCGGTCACAGGGTTTATCGTTAATTGGGTATCTCGCACCTTACCATCTGCAACAGCTACGACCCCTGGAAGGCCTGGGCGGGCCTGCCACTAAAGCCACTTCAGCCTCAGTGATGTCATCGCTGTCGCTCCAACCCCCTACGCTCTTATGGCCTTTGGTGTCTACCTTAACCTAAGAACGACACAAATGCGGACATCACCCAAGAGAACTGCTTTTCTAAGGTCCCCTGGTTCTGAGCGTTGATCCGATACACACCCATTTTCTCGATATACAGCAATTACGTCTCACACCGAATTGTCTGATAGATCTCGATAATGTGTGCCTTTGCATTTGCACCCATAGTGTTGACGACCGTGGCAAAGTGGTCTGTTTTACGGGAACACGACGTCAGACAACGGTAACCACACCACAACAGTCTTAACCCACCATTTGACCATGGACACATCTGGACTTGGAATCTCATCGAATGCCTCTGTGCCATGGCTAGGAAGATAAGCTCCGCCGTTCAGCCACATGCTGCCCCTCAATCGTCTTACCAGCGCCGTTGCCATTGGCGAAGTTCACCAAACCCAGCCACGTCGCCTGCGCCTGCGTTTGCCCCTGGCCAATGTTAGAGGTACTTGTTCAACTGTCTCCGGTACTTTACTTCCCCTGACCTGCGCACAGCTCTCGTGTTGTCGGACTGTGGTCGGGCTGGCTGAATCCACTTGCAATACATACCATCTGTTACCTCATTGTCCACTTTCAATCCAGCCAATTATTGTGCTGCGGAGAAGACTCCGCCGCTCCTCAACTCCGCGGCACACAGAGACATGAATGCTACGGCCGAGACGATTCGAGAGAAAGGCGTCTGCGACATCATCCAATTCACAATCTGAAAAGCCATCTTCTCAATTGCCTTGTCATCAATATTATTTCGCCCCTTTCAACCTCTTGTAGATCACCGCTAACCCCCCGAGCCTTCACCTTTTGCGGACAGCGCACGCCTCTTTCTATCCGCTTTCGCTGAGCAAAACCTCCGATCCTGGCCGTGCTAACCTTGAGTATTAAAGATTGCTGGCGCAGCAGTATATGCCGAATAGCAAAATTCGCACCTGGCTCGTCTTCAGTTTGGGAGATAACGTTGTGAGCGGCTTGCAAGCACGACCCTTTTTCCGCGTACATGTGCCAATCATGCGCTGTTTCTGGTCAACAAGGTGAGCATTTATGGTTGACTGCAACGGCGCCTTTGCATATTTCTGTTCACCCACGAAGCCATCGGTTGTTTTGGCACATCTCATGGACCATATAGCAGGCATCCCTTTTTTTTTTTTTTTTTTTTTTTTTTTTTTTTTTTTTTTTTGGCCGCGCGCTGCAAGACGGGCGCCGTCATTGAGATTCGTTTTGATCTGGACTGTTGATGCACCTTCTTTCAGCACAGGCCGGCCATACTACAATCAATTATCACAACAGGGAGCCGCCATTTTGCCACTCTAATATCACCACATTGCGCGGAATATAAAATTATCTCACTTTCGAGGCTACAAATCGACTAATCAAGCATTGCAGTTGCTCACTTCTTATGCCCTCCATCGCTGGGGTATCTAAGGGACATAGGAAAATACAGGTTGCGGTGTCGATTAAATGATAGGTACGCTTAGTCGCCCGGCAGTCAGTCTTGTGAACCTGACCGGAGGCGGCCTTGCGATCTCGGGCCCGGCACCGAGGGCTCTACCGGGAGGGGCGGATGCCGCCCGGGCTCTCATCTCCCGCGTCAGCCAGTACTGACTCCGGCACACGGGGCAGTCGTACCGCTCAATTAGAAACCATGAAGAAAGACATTTAGCGTGGAAAGCGTGTTGACAAATTTTGAGCGTCAATATTTCGTCGTCGGGAGATTCGCTCGGAGACTTGCTTGCCTTCTCTTTCCGCAGCTGCAGCAATCTCCACTTGCTCGCCTCAACTAGCTTCTTGATGATAGCGACACCGCTGTGCGTCAGTTGCCCTCCACTTCCTTCTAGAACACTGCCATCTCCGCCCGTACCTGAAGCCTGCGAGGGCATTGCCTGCGTCGGGCCTTCAACGCTTGCGTGGCCGCTGCTTGAGACGAACAGTGGTCCGATGCAGATGGGACTGTCGGCAGTAAGAGTCAGTGACAGCGACATCCTATGTGGGCACAAATTTCTGCCTCTGAATCTCCCCGCCTGTCGCTCCTCATCTCTGTTGGGGCTGGGCGCGCCAGCCCTGCGCCTCTAAGCTACCTGCACCTATCCTCGTGGGCCTCACAGTTTGATGAGGAGAAACTTACCATTCTGGTCCCGAGTCGTGCTGGTTGAGACTCGACTCAACATCCAGCTTTTCACGGCCAATCGTTGTGCATTCGGACACAGTACTCAGCTTTTGACGAGCATCTTCAAATTGAGAAGTCCGGGGATGATACTTGCGGTGGTCCTTGACGCGCGAATACGTAATACATATTCTGCTCAGAGGGGCAAAGTCAGCTCTTATCTCCATGTCTTCTGCGGGGAAGGCTTCAGCACGGTCTATACAGGGGCCCAAGTACGAGGAGAAACAGAAAAAGCGTTAGCAAGATAATGCCGACTTCGTCCATCCGGCCGCCGGCGACGCAGCGGGGGGCATTTCAGCGTCCCCGCGCAAGACTGATAAGACGTTGATTTTGAGCTTGCCGGTGGAGTTTTACTGCGTGCGATTTGTCGCGATGCAATAGCTCGTGCCGCGTTACAAGGACAAACGTACGCCAGCGCAAAGTCTTGCGCCTCTACGAAGTGGCAGCCGTAACTATTTAAACAACCTCCCCAGAAAATTTGCAGCAAATGAAAAATTGGTCAGATGACAGCTAACATTACCTTTCAACAAGCTCCATGGTGTGGCAGAGTGCCCTGATTTCAATGGCTGGTCTGGACACCACGAAGATAATGTATGCGGCCACACGCAGTGCTTCCAACAAGCACACAGACTCTCACCCTCAATAGCCAAGCACTCACTCGCTGGTTTCCCCGCACACTCATCTACACCAAGCCTATCAAACGAAGGTCTCGTACGGCACTATCCATCCACCCCAACTCTTAGGTTCTCAGTTGTTGTAGCTGTTTTCCCACCATTCCCCTCGCTAGGGATGTACATAGTAGTCTGCTCTGAAGCTGAAATCCTGGCGATATCCCCCTCCTTTTGTCTGGGAGCCAAGACTATTGGCTGCAAATTTCAGCGACTCAGGTAGTAGTGGAAACCCAACTCACACGAATGATACAAAATGCACAAGAAAATCAGCCCCTCTCTTGTGACGTAGACTATGTGGAGGGCACAAGCCTTGGTATTCTTGGTAAGCGGGGGAGCATCTCTACACATCCTAAGATAGGTCAACCAGACCAGCCGTTCTTGACAGTTGAGAAGCTAGGATGGTCTGGATTCCTGGGCAAAGCACAGACACACGCACAGAAGGAGAAACAGAAAAAAATGAAACGAATGGAGGGGAGAGAACAAACTCGTCAGTGGATGGGCGGGGAAAAAATGCTGGGGTGGACCAGGGGTCGGCTCTTCAGGAGTTCGTCTGGGAGAGCCCCTCCATGACCCCTCCATGAATACACATTTGAAAGCGCTCAGATGGGGCCCCTCTATGGATCACCAAGGCAGGAAAAGGCGTAAACATGGAGTTCTAACCCCGGGGCTTTCGTTTTGAAGATATCACCAAGTGAGACAGGGTCATAAGGTACGTAGAAGGGCCGACCGGCGGCGCTGGAGGAGGAGAGGAAAGTGGACCTTCCGAGGAGCGGCGGCCGCGGCGCCCAGGCGAGGAATTTTGGCAACGCGCCCAAGGCCAAGAAACCGCCAAGTTTGCCCGGCATCACTTGGCTGACCATCCAAGACTAAATTGCACCCCATCCAATGCCCACTTGCAGGGTGCTTGCTCACCTCTGATCCTTGTGGCGGCCAAGAAGTCCGCCATCCAATGTCATTCTTCGTTGCAGCTTTGAACGCCGAAAGAAGCATGGCTGGCAAACTTGGTAAAGGTTGGCAGAGGGGACCTGAAGCAACCCATTTTTGGCTTTCCGCCAAAAGCATGATAGGCGCATGGCTTGGCCACGGCTGGCTGGGCAGGTTATTAACGGTCTTGGTCCTCTTGGTAAACTGCCCAAAACAAACATCGTCCTATCTGGAGACCCAACAATAAGTTCGACAAATATTCATGAGTCGAGGAAATCGTACTCCATCTCTCCGCCGCCGAGCCTCTGGGCGTCTCACTCGGGGTGGCTGTGTTTCTCGGCAGACCCGTCCTCCCCCCGCCCGTATCGCGCCCGGCACGTCGTGTGTCGGTCATACCGGGGCAGGATCCCGGTTCATGTTCGCACCTCCCTCTCCACGGGCTCGTAGCGGCAATTTGTGCACAACTCTGGGCAGTCTTTCTCGTGTGCGGGGGGGCAGAAGCAAGCCAGGCCGGCAATGAAGGGACGGGGAAACAGTGCAGCAAAGGGCAGGACTGGTGCTCTGCAGCGCAGAAATGGTGTGACAGATAGTTGATGTCGGGTAGAGGGAGACACGGAGCCCGCCGATCTGATTCGATTTCGGATTTTCACGGTCGTGGCGTTGGATGACCGGACGGATTCTTCGGATGTATCGAACGCTTTGGCGGACCCCCCGAGGCGTTGTCTTCGACGGCCGACGGCTATCGCAGAATCTACCGCCGCCACCCTTAGGGCCAGGACAAAACACGGCGCTTTATAGTTGTGCAGTGCTACCAGAGGCCTCCTAAGCACACCAGCACATGGTGCGTACGTCGTATGGTGCGTACGTCACTCGTTCATAAGTGTAACTGACTTGGGACCTTAGCATCGGCCTGGGGTTCCGGTTGTGAAATGGTGGACGGCTCGCATCAAGTCGGGCGCCGGCAACGCAGCGCAAGCAGGGGTTTAGAGATTGAGTGGGAGGGATAGGCGCCGAGACGTTGTCCATCTCCATTCTCCATGCCTCCGGGTTCCTCTCCTCCTCCTCGGCTCCATTAGGCCTTGGGCGCAGGAACTCAAGTCTCGTCGAGCGGACTCCAACCCGCGCCGCCAGGAAATGATTTCTCGGCATTATCTTGGCGGCTCACGGTCCCCTGCAACCGCCGCCATTCCGAGCACCAACTCCACAATCGCCTCTGGACGTTGAACTTGCTCGTTCCCCTGCGTCTGGGACACCCCGGGAACGACTCAAGCCTGACTGACCGGTTAGCTTGCACGCTTGATACTAACGAGATCCATCTTCCCGCGTGTCTGCTCGGCGCAGTGCATGCAGACGCAATAATCTCATACTGGCCTTAAGCCGGCGGCGCTACGGAGATCTGTCTGGTAGTAGGCCGCCATCCTATCCGTATAGACATACATCCTGCCACCGTATACGGGTACACATAGTCGCACTACTGCAGACCTGGCAGCATCCTGGTAGTCTTCTAGAAGGAGTGGTCCCCCACACTGGGCGTTTCTTGGAAGGCAGACATGGCCGTTTACTGGCTGAGGCACGGTGGGGAAGGCCCAAAGTCTCATCTTTTATCTTTCTCGGCGCAGTCAAATTCATCACCGAAAGTTATCACCACCGCATCCACCCCTCCTTTCCCTTGTCTCGGGGCGGCCCAACCTACGCCGCAGCAAAGCACACATGGAGGTGTCAATTGCGCCAGACTCACCCACAGCCTGTCAGGCTAGAAGAACGCCTAGAATGAGGCCCGCTGCCCAGACTCTCGGCGGCCCAACATGGCAGGCAGGAGCGTAGAGTTCCCACCAAGATCTGGATTGCGTGCTGGTGAGTAGCTCGCGTGTCCTCGAGTAACTTTTGGATTCCCAGCTCCAACACCGTGGGAAAGCCTGGGGTCCCCTCCGGCAGAGCCCCGCGCAGAGCCGCCAAGGCTGAAGGAACACACAGACGAGCACTCACTCGTCGAATGTTACGGCTTCAAGGTAAAGGGGGGAATGTGGGCGCTTTACGCCCCCCCTCGTTGCTCGCTCATCGTTATGAAGTCATAACGCCGAGAGTCAAGGACGCCTTTCTGGGGGCAGCACCAAGAATACATCTTCTCCATGTTCCCCGACAAATTTGGCTCTTCTTTTCCAACTCTTTCTGTCAATCAGAGATTCTTCCTCGACTCCCTCTTTGTTCTCCCCTCCTTCCTATGCTCGCCTGTTCTCTTGACCTTAAGGGGGTAGAAGTGCTTGAACCTGGATAAGAGCACCTCACACTTTTGCCCGTTCCATGCTACATCTGTCAAGAAACTAAAAATCAAACTTCCTGCCATTCCGATTGGACCCGACATCCACGTCTTGGCATCGCCCGGAGACCTGCTTTAGACGCCCGCACCACATTGCTCCGTCCCATTCTCCGCCGTCACAAATCTACGTCGTCTGAATAACCCATTTGGTTGTCCTGACAAACCACTCACCATGGGAAAGAAGGATCCCGAAGCCGAGGCGATGGCCAACCACGTCTCTGGCCAGTCTAACAAACCCATGTCGCGTCCTGCTCACGCCCTGACCACCGAAGAAGTTGTTCAGGAGCTTAGAGCCAACACCGATGATGGTCTGACTCCTGAAGAGGCCAAGGCTCGTCTTGACGAGTATGGCCGCAACGAATTCGGCGCCGACAAGGGCGTTCAGCCCCTTAAAATCTTCATCGGACAGATTGCCAATGCCATGACCTTGGTAAGAAGCTTCCTTCATCACCATCATTCATCTTAGTGGTATAGACTAACAGCTAGGGAACTAGGTTCTTATCCTGGCTATGGGTGCATCTTTTGGTATTGAATCGTGGATTGAAGGTGCCGTCGTAGCTGGCGTCATCACTCTCAACATCACAGTCGGCTTCCACCAAGAGTTCAAGGCAGCAAAGACTATGGACTCCCTCCGTTCTCTTAGCTCTCCTACTGCCCAGGCTGTTCGCGAGGGCAGAAATGTCACTGTTCCCACTGTCGAGATTGTTCCCGGCGACATGGTCGAGTTGAAGACCGGTGACACTATCCCCGCCGATGTCCGCATCGTCGAGGCCGTCAACTTCGAGACAAACGAGGCCCTCCTGACTGGAGAATCACTTCCTATCCGAAAGGAGGCTGCTCAGACTTTTGACGACGAGACCGGTCCCGGTGATCGCTTGAACGTCGCTTACAGCTCCTCAACGGTCACCAAGGGACGTGCCCGTGGTATCGTCTTCGCTACCGGAATGTACACCGAGATTGGCCAGATCGCTGCCGCCCTGAGGGGTAAGAACTCTCGCCGGCGTGATGTCAAGCGCAAGGAGGATGGCTCTGCCTCATTCGGCCGTTACCTCCAGGCCTGGACCCTGACCCTCTCTGACGCTGTTGGACGCTTCCTCGGAGTGAATGTTGGAACACCTCTCCAGAAGAAGCTGTCCAAGCTTGCTATCCTGCTCTTTGGTACCGCTGTTGTCTGCGCCATGATTGTCCTGGGAGCCAACAACTTCAACACCACGCAGGAAGTCGTCATCTATGCCGTTGCCACTGGTCTTGCCATGATTCCCGCTTCTTTGGTTGTCGTCCTGACCATCACCATGGCCGCTGGCACGAAGCGCATGGTTCAACGTCACGTAATTGTCCGCCAGCTGAGGAGTTTGGAGGCTCTTGGTGGTGTCACGAGTAAGTCCGCCCCATTCACGCCGTGTCATGTGCACGTGCTAACTGATTCTAGACATCTGTTCCGACAAGACCGGCACTCTGACCCAAGGTAAGATGGTTGTCCGTAAGGCTTGGGTTCCTGGAAAGGGTACCTTCTCAGTGAGCAACACCAAGGAGCCTTTCAACCCTACCGTCGGTGATCTCGGTCTTCAACCAGCGCAGCCCAAGGACATCGACTTCCGTAGCCAGGATGCCGAAGGAGAGGCCATCTCCAAGCCCGAAGATATGATCCTTGAGAGCAGAGTTCTGACCGACTACTTCAACATCGCCTCGCTTGCCAACTTGGCAAACGTTCACAAGACGCCTGAGGGTGAGTGGCACGCCCGTGGTGACCCCACCGAAATCGCAATCCAGGTCTTCGCCTCCCGCTTCAACTGGAACCGTCTTCGTTTCTCCGGCGACAACAGCCGGTGGAGACAACTCGCCGAGTTCCCCTTCGACTCCGACGTCAAGAAGATGTCCGTCATTTTCCAGGATACCGAGGCTGAATCCGGCAAGAACTGGCTCTTCACCAAGGGTGCCGTCGAGCGTGTCATTTCTTCCTGCCCCCAGATCCAAATGGGTGACGAGGTTGTCGAGCTTACCAAGGAAATCGAGAAGGATATCCTGTCCAACATGGAGGCCCTTGCCCGTCTCGGTCTGCGAGTGTTGGCATTTGCCAGCAAGTCTGACATTGGTACTGTTGACAACCACGAGAACCTGGACCGGATGAACTACGAGAAGGACCTTACCTTCCGCGGTTTGATTGGTCTCTATGACCCCCCTCGCCCAGAGTCTGCTCCGTCCGTTCATCAGTTCCACCAGGCCGGTGTCATGGTCCACATGTTGACTGGTGACCACCCCGAAACTGCTCGTGCCATCGCCCTGGAAGTCGGTATCCTGCCCACCCGCATGAACGAGATTTCTTCCGAAGTCGCCAAGACTATGGTCATGGCCGCTCACGACTTTGACAAGCTCACCGATGACGAAATCGACAAGTTGCCTCGCCTCCCTCTGGTTGTCGCCCGATGTGCCCCTCAAACCAAGGTCCGCATGATTGAAGCCCTGCACAGACGTGGCTGCTTCGTTGCCATGACGGGTGACGGTGTCAACGACTCCCCCAGTCTCAAGCGCGCTGATGTTGGTATTGCCATGGGTGAGAGTGGTTCAGACGTCGCAAAGGAGGCGTCTGACATTATTCTTACTGACGACAACTTTGCCTCTATCCTTAACGCCGTCGAGGAAGGTCGCCGCATGTTCGACAACATTCAGAAGTTCGTCCTGCACGTGCTTGCCTGTAACGTCGCCCAGGCTTGCACCCTGCTTATTGGTTTGGCCTTCAAGGATGACAGTGGTCTTTCCGTGTTCCCCCTGGCCCCTGTTGAGGTCATGTGGATTATTATGATCACCTCGGGTCTGCCCGATATGGCTCTCGGATTCGAAGTTGCTGCTCCTGATATCATGGACCGGCCTCCTCAGAACGTAAGTCCCCCCCCATTAGAAACCCCATTGAGCTTTTTGGTGGCATGATTCTTACAAAATAAACAGATGAAGGTTGGTGTCTTCACCTGGGAACTGATGCTCGACATGTTGGTCTATGGACTCTGGACCGCCGCTCTCTGCTTGGCGTCCTTCATCCTGGTCATGTTCGGCTGGGGCAACGGCGATTTTGGCGAAAACTGCAACAACTCTTACTCCGAACGCTGCGACACCGTCTTCCGCGCCCGTGCGACCTGCTTCGCCAGTCTGACATGGTTCGCCCTCTTCCTCGCCTGGGAGATGGTCAACATGCGCCGCTCCTTCTTCCGCATGCAGCCCAAGAGCAAGAAATACTTCACCCAGTGGTTCTGGGACACCTGGCGCAACAAGCTCCTCTTCTTCGCCATCATCGTCGGCTTCGTCACCATCTTCCCCCTCACCTACATCCCCGTCCTCAACACCTCCGTGTTCAAGCACGCGCCCATCACCTGGGAGTGGGGCATCGTCTTCGTCTGCGCGATCCTCTTCTTCGCCGGCGTCGAAGCCTGGAAGTGGGCCAAGCGTATCTACTTCCGCCGACAGGCACACAAGCAGCACGGCGGCAACCCTGACCTCGAGAGCCGCGTGTTCGGCCACTACTACACCATTGGCGGCGTCGAGCTCGAGTCCTCCCCGACGCTCGGAAGCCGCACCGTCACCAACGAGAAGGATATGCGCGAGAAGGGCGGCAACGGGTACTCCAGCGGAGGCAGCCGGTGAATGCCATGATCAGTTGTTGGGGAAAGGCGTTTTTGTCCCTTTAGTAATGAAGTGAAATGTATTTGACTTTTTACACAAGTCTGAGAATGAAGAAGGCGAGAGGAAGGAAAGAATCAACAGCATACGCGAGGCGAGAATACCCGCAATGAGCGCGATTCACAAGTTGCATTTCGACTGCATATAGAGACGGGTTACATCAACCGAGAATGAAAAGTTTCTGCTTTGTGGAGGACTGACTTGAGGGGGAAAGGGGACGGAACGGAACGGCAGCCCGTAGTAGGCAGTCGGATCAACTATGTTTAGGTGGTTAGCAGCTAATTCACTATTGAATCGCCCATTATCAGATTTTACCATGGTTTTTCTTTGCTGTGACCTCTATTCGTCAAATGTTTGCTATGTTTATGTTGGTCACCCGTGTAGGCTATTTTAGACCCGACAGATCAACCACTTGGCCATGGAAACTGTTTCCCCGCCATGCTCTTCTTTGATCGCAATAGATCCTCGGACTATCAGGATGCTTTCTATGTAGTGATGTATACGCACTACGAATGGGGGGGGTGAAGGTGGCTGGTTCATCAGGCAATCGATGCCGTTCGTCCGAGATTTCGGCAGTCTTACCCACATGTAAACTGATTCCAACACACACTACTACATAGTACAGCAGAATCCATCAGGACCCTAGCCAGTGGCTGTAAGTACCACGGAGTCGCAGAGGCATTACGGATTATGTAGAGATAATTGCGTCACTTCTATCCAACATTGCATCCATCAGCCAACTGTAAGATGTCTCCGCTGTAGACCACTTTCAACTCCACCGGGTACCCGCCTCAACTGTTCCGGCATTCCAAAGTCCCAACAGTCTCATCTGATCTGGAGTGGCCAACATGATTCCCCATCGCTTTGAGAAGTTAGACATGGCACCGAGTTCGACTCTTGGTCTCGGAATAGAAATGCATGTTCACGCCATTCCTTGGCCTTTGGCTACTAGTCTTAGAGTGAGCAACACCATTATTGTGCCTGAGCAGGACAAAAAAAAATGACATTCGTCGACGGCATCTCTCTGAAGGGTGTGAGTGGTGGCCATCTTATTCTAACATGCTATCTTAACAAATCGTCCATCCGTCCATGAGCCGAGAATCAATCTAGTAACTAACCAACCGTACGCCCGCCGGAAAAAAACATATTGCAAAAGACTTTTCAAAGCTTCGCACGACCCTTCCAAGCCTGTCCCATCTCGTCCTTGTACGTCGCGAGCTCGTTCCTCTTGCTGTCTCCGCCGTGGCTGACCTGCACCGGCTCGTCAAACACCGTCTTGTCCGCCTTTTCTCTCCTGTTCTCCGGATCGACGTACTCCCGCTCTCCCTCGCCAATGTACAGCTGCCTCGGGCGCCAGATCTTGACGCCGCCCTTTTGCAGCATCTGCTGTCTCCAGTGCGCCAGCCAACCCACGCAGCGGGGGACGGCAAACAGGACGGGGTAGAAGTCCAGGGGGAAGCCCATGGCCTGGTAGATGAGGCCGGAGTAAAAGTCGACGTTGGGGTACAGGTTCCTCTTCTTCATGAACTCGCTCTCGCGGGCGTACTTGGCGAGGGTCAGGGCGGTGTCGAGGAGCTGGTTGCGGCCCGTGACCTGGAAGACCTCCTCGGCCAGCTGGCGGATGGCGGTCGAGCGCGGGTCGACGTTCTTGTACACGCGGTGGCCGAACCCGACCAGCACGCGCTCCCTCTTCTCGACCTTCTCCATGAAGGCGGGCACGTTCTCGGGGCTGCCGATCTCCATCAGCATGCGGATCGCGCTCTCGCTCGCGCCGCCGTGGCTGGGCCCGTAGAGCGCGGCGCAGCCGGCCGAGACGACGCTGTAGGGGTCGACCAGGCTGGAGCCGACCTGGAGGACGGTGGCCGTGGAGCAGTTCACCTCGTGGTCGGCGTGGATGATGAAGAGCGCGTCGAGCGCCTTCTCGAGGACCGGGTGGGGCTGGTACTCGTGCCCGCTGAGGTGGTCAAGCAGGTACAGGAAGTTCCCCGTGTAGCTGAGACCCTGCGCGGGACGGTTGAAAGGTCTGCCCTGACGCATGCGGTAGGATGCGGCGGCCAGGGTGGGCGCCTTGCCGATGATGCGCAGGATCTGCTTGTCGAGCATCTTGAGGGCCTCCATGTCGCCCGACGCGGCGTTGGTGTAGAGCTTCTGCCCCTGCAAGCTGGGGTTCGACTCGGGCGCGAACGCGCCCAGGGCGGAGAATGAGGACTGCAACATGGCCATGGGGTGGGTGTCGTAACGGAAGGACTTGAACATGCCCTCGATGTCGCTGTGGATGTAGGTGTGGTGCATGATCTCATCCTGCCACTTATTGTACTGCGACGGCGTGGGAAGCTCGCCGTAGATGAGGAGAAAGGCGCTCTCCAGGAAATGGGACTTATTGACCAGCTGTTGGATGGGGTAGCCGCGGTACCGGAGGATGCCGTCCTGGCCGTTGATGTATGTGATTTTGCTCTGGACCACGGCGGTGTTCATGTAGGCCGGGTCGTACACGCGGAGACCCTGGTCGGTCTCATCCTCAGCGCGGTCATTGCCGCGGGCTGACTTGATCTTCTTGATATCCGTCGCCAGGACGGAGTTGTTCTGGATGGGAAGCTCATAGGACTTCCCGGTGCGGTTGTCAACCACGGTCAGCGACTGACGCGGTGCGCTGGTTGCGCCACGTGGCGCGTTCTTTACAACAGTGACCATTCTGCCGGAAGACGATTTCAGTTTGGGGATGATAGATCAGGCTTAAATATGAGACGATAAGATGAGAAGAAAAAAAATAACACAATGGCCTTTGATGAGATCTTGTACTGGACTGGGAAGGGGTAGAGACAATGCGGGATTCCCCATGTGTGTCTCCCGGACATCTGAAAGGGCCCTAGGAACAATCGGCTGGCGTCGGGGGATCGGCAGTGCTGGCCCGAGTGCCGAGGTTGTTTTGAGCTCACCCAAAACGGTAAGCTTAGGGTAGCTGTGCACATTTGCACATGCCAGGGGTCTCACAGTGTGGCATTATTTTTAAAGTTCAACTCATGATTTGTGAGGTTCTGGGGAAGAAAATTCATAGGAAATTCATACGATTTACGACTTCTGTCATGTCTCTTCAGTAGTCGACGATATGGAAGCGACTGGGTTTGCTAATGAAGTGCCATTTTCATTACCCAGACAGGGGAGTATCCCTGTATGAGTATGGCTAACCAAGATGACAGGCATCGGCCTAGGTGCTAATACCACTGGCGTCTTTGATGGGATTATTGATCTGAATGAAGGCCGACGCTTACAGCTCTGGACCCTTGCTTGAGGGGCAACACTGGCTGTAACCCATTGTGAGGAAGATGTTATTAATTCGGTTCGTCCAAAGGCATCAGCTGTCAATGTCAGACCCCACAAGGATCATCTGCAGCTCGGCATTCGAGAGTGCAACTCCCGGTTTTGACAGCTGTTGGATTTGGTCCAATGATGTTAAGATGCACCTGGCCAATAGTATCACAACTTCATTCTACTTTAAGACAATGCAGATTTGATATCTGAAGGGGCTGTTTTCGAATTATACGATTTTATTTTATTTTTCATTCTCCATTTTTGGGGACTAATTGCGAAGTTTTTCTTACTGTTCTTGAGGCTGCAACGGGATTTATGCTCATTTTTCAGAACATGCGGATGATTATGCATGGCATAATTCAAATTTCGGTATTGATTCAACCAACATTTTTGAGAGGTTTTCGTTACGACGATATGTGACTGATCGCTCTTCTGTACTGATATCTTGGGGTGAATGTCCTAGAATGATGTCCAGTACCTTACAAAAAGACGCAAGTTTGTATGTTGTGAAGCTTCCAGGCGCTAGCAGCTAGATTCGATGCCGTTTTATTGGAGAGAACTCCGTACAAGCCGGAGGTTTTATCAGCCTGTCGTACAGGTACAGGTAGTAATAGATGCAAGCAGTAAACACATCTCCCCGCAAATGACGTAAATCAGTCTGAGGGCCTAGTAAAGCGGCAACGTTGAACTATGTTTTGTGGAGCCGAGGTCCCCAAGGTCTCCCCGCATGCCTCTTGGTTATTGACATCAACCACTCGCTCATCTCAGGCTAACATCAGTCTCGTAACTTGAACTTCGTTCTACACATTCAATTAGCTCCTCGGCACTGGATTTACCGTAGAGCTTGGGCATATACCTACCGAGGCGAAGCTCTCAGGTTTCTAGCATCACAACCACACGTTCAGAGGCGGACTACGCAGTAGCAAACAAACCAGCACCCCACCCCTCGGCTACTTGGCACCTCATCATCATGGCGGCGTTGATGCCAGCTATCGTAGCCGGCTTGGCTATCTTTGGCGGCTACAATTATGGTCCATCTGTTAAACGAGCCGCGACAGTTGTTGGAGTGGCACGGACCATCAAGAACACTCCAATCGATCTCAGCACAGATCTCACCTTCATCGGCGACACGGTTCACTGCGAGGACATCCATCGCCATGAACCAAGCGGGCTCCTCTTCACGGCATGCGAGGATGACCCGGAAACCCGCAAAGTGTGGTTCCCGCCACTTGGACTTCTCAACGACCCGGTCAAGGCAAGCAAGTCGAGAGGTTCTATTCACGTCATAAACCCGGTGGTGAGTTTTGAGAATGCCACATATGAGGGCTATGAGAGAGAGCCTGGACTGACTTCAACAGGACATGACTGAGAAGCGCTTGAGGTTTGAGAACTTTGACAGCTCTTTCGTAACTCACGGCATCGATGTCGTTACAGATCCTGAGAGGCCAGAGGCGGTTTATGTGTTTGCTGTCAACCACGTCCCGCACCCCGAGTATGTTGCGGCCAAAGTTGGCGGCGGCCAAGGGGACCAAAAGATCACGCAAAAGGCCCAATCTCAGATTGAAATCTTCCATCACGTCCTGGGTTCATCCACGGTCAGGCATGTTCGCTCAGTACAGCACCCGCTCATCAAGACCCCCAACGACATCTACATCAAGGATCCCCACTCGTTTTACGTCACCAATGACCATTACTATCGCGAAGGACCTATGCGGCATGTCGAAGACTTGTGGCCTGGAACGTCTTGGACGGACACCATTCACGTCCGCATCGGCAAGCTCTCCGTCTTGAAGCCTACCGACGAAATCACCGCCGAGGTAGCCTACAAGGGGCTACGCAACAACAACGGCCTGGGACATTACAAGCCCGGCAAGATTCTCATCGACGACTGCTCCAAGGGCACGATGCACATCGGGCAGCTCTCACAAGATCCCAAGAACGCCAGCATCAGCATCGAAGACTCGGTCGAGCTAGACTCCTTCATCGACAACCCGAGCTACTTCGAAGACCCCTATCGTTCCGAGACCCAAGACGCCAGTGGATTCATTCTCCCGGGCCTGGCTCGGGCTGTGGACATACCCAAACAGATTGGCGATCCTTCCGCTGATATTGCCTCCATTGTTTGGTACGTTAAGCCTATTAAAAACTGCAAGAGCACCAACAAGGCCGACTGCTGGGAGAAGCGGGTGTTGTTCGAAGACGACGGAAGGAGGGTCCGTTCAGCTGCAGGGGCAGTCTTGGTGGCCATCGACCCAGCCAAGGAAAACTCAAAGAGAAAGGCATGGCTTTTCGTCACTGGTTTCGTTTCAAGCAGCGTCGCGGCGATCAAGGTCGATCTTTAAAGCCGTGGAAGCGTCTTTTACGTCTTGGGGTTTGGCGTGTAGTCGAGGTTAGGACTTATGCCACTTTGTACTGGTTTACAAACGGCCGAGATATTAAGGTAGTTTCGGTCTGAATCACCTGCAAAACGAGACAACAGGTCAAGACATGTAGTTTTAGCCAAAAAAAAATAGTGAGAAATCCATCTTGTAATTTTTACGGATTGGCTGGGCATCCAACAGAAGCAGGATGATCTTCTCTAGGTATGGACTGTTTAAAACTCAAAGATACAAGTCGCATGCACACAAGAGCACACTTAAGAGTGAATTCAACGACTGAAAGGAGTCCATCAGATTGTGAGGTTCTTGAATGTAGTTCAATTTCCCATCCAAAGCCAAACCGCTAGAACCAAAAATTATACCTCTATTGCAGAAAAAATCTTCGGTATCTTACCCCTCAAGTATTAATACATAATATGACACAAATACAGGCCTCCCTCCCGCTTTTGGGTATGATGACGCATGAGCGCATGAGAGGATAAAAAAAAAAAAAAAAAAAGCAAAAATTCTCCACCATTTCACTGAAGAGTCACCGCTTAATGGTTCTCCAAAACGTCAAAAATGCCCTCCATCACCGGCGGCGTCGTCTCGGCCTTGAACGGCCCATCAAAAGAGAAGGAATCCAACGAGTTGATCGGAGTACTGGCCGCGGACGTCCCCAACGAAACAGACCTCGTCCCCACCGAGGTCGACCGGACGGTTCGAGGCTCAAGCATGGCCAGCCCGATCTCTTCGGCGCCGGAGACATTGCGCTCGGCATCGAGCATCATGTCCAGCCTGGAGGAATGCCGTCGCAGAGGCCGAGACCCGGGCCAGGTGGGTGTTTGGGTCAGAGGCCTAGTAGCCGAAACTCGCGGCAGCGGGAGAGAATCTGGAGAGAGGTGGGCGGACATGGGAGAAGATGAGGGGCTGGAGTTCCTCGAGGGCGGCTGCTGCTGCTGCTGCTGCTCTTCTGCGGTCGAGGACAGGTACTCAATCTCAAGGAGCTGAAGGAGATCTGTGACCGTGACGCCGGCTGGGAGGCTGAAGTCTGGTCGGGGAATGCGTTTGTAGGCGACGGATTTCGTCCTATTTCTGCCGACCGGCGGCTGCTGGGGTGTGACGGTCTTCTCAATACTTTGTTTTCGTCTTTGCTGCTGAACCTCCGATTCGGCTGTTTGGCGGTCTTCGCTCACAACATTGGGTTTCGCGCCGACGAGCCCGAAGTCGCCGTCAAACCCAAAGTCAAACGGGGAGATGACCGGCGGTTGACTAGGGAGATTGTCGTCGACGGGAACCTTTGGCCTTTCCGGCTGAGCCGGTGGTTTTGGTGATCCACCGCTAAATCCGAAATCAAACGAGGCGAAATCAGAAGACGCGGGTTTGCCGGCCTGGGCGGGCTTCGGCTCCGGCTCCGGCGCCTCGGTCGGTGGTGTGCCGTGCTGCTTCTGGTGCTGCGCGTCATGGCTTTCCTGGAGGGTCCTTTGCCGTAGAGAGGGCGTCCTTTGGAATGCTGTTTGCAAGCGAAGCTTCCCCCGTTGCGACTTGGAAAGCTGCCGTTGAACACCCGGTGCAGCCACCCCTGGCGCGGGCGGCATCATGCTTGTTCTCAGGGAGGTAAGGGAGTCGGAGGGGTTCTTGGTCTCAAAAGCCGATACGGCCTGAGATACTGGTACATTTTGATGACCGGTGTGGTTCATCTCCTGGATGAGATACTGTAGTTGGTTCTCATCTAGATCGGCCAAGACTTCGTACAAGGAGCCCAGTGAGGAGGATGAGTTGTGCCCCTTGCGATGAGACGGGGCGGCGACGGTGGTGACCGCAGGGCGGCGTTCTTCAAGTTCCATGATGGCTGGGTGGGTTGACAATGCCCGTCAAGAGAAGTGTCTTGTTGGTCGCGCTGGTGATGAATTCCAATCTCTATATCGTCTCCCAATACGCTCCTGGCGGATGAGTGTACATGAACCCGATCGTGAGACGGCAGTCAAGCCAAAATGTAACCTTGCGCGCGCGCAGCGGGTGGCACGGATTTCTTCGCACTTTGAACGAGCCCTGCTCGACAAGGCTTATGTGGGAGTGGATGCCACCGGCAAAAGACTAGATCCGTTTCCTGACGAGTGGAGAAGAAACGTTGAACGTCCTTTTTTATTTTTTCGAAAGAATAAGTAATAAGGAATCGCTGCTTTGGTCACAAAAAAAAAAAATCCAGAGATACTGCGGTGTCGTCGGGTATCGCGTTCCCATGCCTTTACCCCTTTAAAAAAGTTGCGCCAAATCATAAACCGAAATGATGAGTAATTTAGCACACTGGGGCGGCATCTACTCGTTGGCAGGGGTACTGTGGCGCGTTACTAAACTCAATGTACCTGGCCCGTGCAGGGACATGGGGATCTTCAAAGATGTGAAAGAGAACAAAAACCATCACGAGGTTGCGCCATTGCTTTGGGGAGAGGTTTAGTTTTTTCTACTAAACGAAGTGTTTTTCTTGGGAGCTTCTTTAAAAAATTATTACGTTTGGGATCTCTTTGATGGAAAGCGTTAGAAGTTCTTGGTTTTCACTCTGGGTTTCTGTATTGGCTCATTTGATGGTATTAAGCTCCATCACCTCATAATCACCACTTGGCTGTGGAAACTAGCATATTCAGCTTGTCTCAGCAATTACGACGCATAGCTTACCATTATGTAGTCAGTATTTTATAGCTGATGAATTCTTGTAAGAATGAAGAAATCATATTCTACAAGCATCGGCGACAACACCCAATATTAGGATTTCAGGCACGTCATATATGAGGCCATCTGAGAAGTCAACAGATGGCCGATATACTACGTACGTGACACTTTGGAAACATTTTCTAGACCAGACGGAAGAAACACATGCTCTATTAATTGGTGCACGTTGAACTACACTGGCGTGACTGCCCGGTGGCTTGGCGAGGGACTTTGAAGAATGCATTTCAGCTCTTCGACTCAGTTTCAAACTAGCGGTTTTAGGTCACGACCTACCAATGACATGTAGCGCTACAGGAATGTATACTGGGGAGCTTTAACAAAACAGTTGACACCAAAATGACTAGGCTGATGGCCCATCCAATGATCACTCCACAGTTTGTCATTCACATTCATTGTTGATGCTAAACTGCTAAAAACGGCCAAAGACAACAAACGCATCGTGTTTTGCCGCAACATTATAACGTAAACGACCGTAGCCGTCAGGCAGTATCGATAATCAAAGTGAGCTATGCCGCTTTCCTTTATTCCAACTCCATCAAAATAGAATGAGAAGGAGAGCAAATGTGAGAGACAGTCTTGAATCTATATTGTTTTCAAGTTTGAGGTGGTAAATTTCGAAAGATTCCGTCAAGTGCAGAGGAAGAATGTTCTCAGGTTTGAATGAGAGTCAACAACAAATTCTGAACGACACCTTTCATAGCATACCCCCACGTACGATCTCACACTAGCGATGCCATATCCAGAGAAGATAAGTTCGTGATTGAAATAAGACTAGGCAATGGCCAACATCCATTCAATATGATATAATCATTATTGAAATTTCGATAAAGCCAATTCCGTGTCTGTTTACTTTTTATGGAATCGACGATTGATTACTGTATTTTTCGAGATGGTATAGTTTTAGTTCGTCTCAACACCTTCATCCGATGTAACCTTTGCACCTTGGGATAACAATAACACCATCTATACATTCAAATCGGCTGCTTCAAGTTCATCTTCACCCTCGGCAAAGCCATTATGATTTTATTATCCCAACGCCCTTTCCATGATCCCGCTACTCAACACCTATGTAACATTAAATCTCAACTACATAACAGACCGCCAAACTTCGTCTAGCTGGCAGGTCCCCGCCTTCTCATGGAGAAGGAGTCATCCGCCCGGTAGACCTCCTGGATGAATCGGTCCGCGTCACCTATCATTCGAATGCTCTGATCCACACTCGGCGAGGTCGGCTCCCCCATTACAGCTTGCCAGCCTTGTAGCAGCTGCTTTAGATGATCTCCAGTCCTGAGGACCTCGGGCCCAATCATGTCCTTCAAAGCCGAAATACGACACGCCGCAAGCAGAACGAGCATTGCGCCGGCCATTCTGTTGTCACACCATCTGGGTTAGTAAGTCTTTCATGAAATAAGGTAGGATGTGAGGTAAACTCACGAGAGCGAGCAGATCCACGTATCGACCAGAACCGTCTGTCCGAAACCCCTCAAGTTCAAAATATGCAAGAGGCACGCATCCAGACAAGCCTTGCAGTTCTTGAGCGCATCCTTGTTGACCAGGAGCTCGGAGCTCGCCCCGTTCCCGCCAGCCATGCCGCTCAGCATCCACATCAGATACGGACGGTAGATTACGCTCCTGCACGTGAGATACCTCTGCCGCAGGAACCCGCCGTGCTCCGTGGCCGTGCTCTGCCCTCCGATATCGCCAAAGCCGACCCTGAAGGCGAAGGCGGGGGGTAGGACCTCGCGCCATTCGTCGAGCTGGTGGTTGAGCTCGGCGACGACGTAGGGGAAGCGTGCGTGGTCCATGGCGGCGCCGGTGCTGCGTGCGTAGAGGAGCTGATGCACGCGATTGAGTAGGCGACGCATGGAAATGCAGGCCAGGAAGTACATTGACGACTGCTCTTCGACTTGGGGGTCTTGGTGGGTGTTGTATTCTCCTGGCAGAGGCGTCGAAGATTCGATGCGGGCTACACCGGACTGCGGGAGACCGGAGAGCTCCGCGAGGTAGTCGCTACAAGTCATTAGCGAACGACGGTGACTGAAAGGTAAAGGGAAAAAAAAGAGTGTGTGGCGGTACCTCTCCAGAATGTAGCACGACCAGAATATCCTACGGATTCGTTCTTGGTCTTCCGCAGACTCGGATTCCGGCGTGTAAGACAGCAGCAAAAGGCACTTTGCAGACGCAGCGTTGATGTACTCCCACGCTTGCAGCGGCCGGCGAAGGAAGGCAAAGTACAATCTGAGATTCCGCATATCACGTCAGCACGTAAAATAGCGGGTTCGGGGAGCATGTGTGTGTGTGTGTGTAGCATACGCTGTGAAGAATAGGCAATGGGTCGCAGTGCTGCCGACGTTGGTGTGCACGACATGCAGCTTTTTCAGCACGCTGTCAAAGTACATGTCACCCATGGCCCTCCTCGCCGCCCTTCGCTTCTTCTCCTCGTCGGTCATCGTCGTCCCGGCAGCCAGACCGGCGGTGACTTGGCTGGCGCAGCCCAATGCCATTGTCAAAAGCGACAAGCATGCGAGGATGCTATCTTCCTCGGGAATACCCTCGGAAATCAAGCTACGCACTTGGGAAAGTTGGCCACGAGACATGGTCGGGTACCAAAAGTTGATGGTGTGTTCAAACGACTCGATGATACCGTCAATGTCCTCGGCCGTCACGTACGGATACATGGTTGTCGCCCGCGCCTTGACTGCCGGCCTCGACTGCTCGAGGTGAAAGATGGAGACGTAACCATCTCGCATGCTGGAAAAGACGTCAAAATGGGGCCATTGCAGTATGGACTCGGTGGTGCTCGTGTGCATGGAGTCCAGCACGGCGTTCTCAAAGTTGTTCTGCTGGTACTGGGTCTCGGAGATCGGGGTGCGCTGCGGGTGATGGATCTCGTTCAGGGGCGAGCCGGAAAAGGAACCCCGGGAGGCGGATCGGAGGGCCGGCGAGACCACGGCAGGACGGTATTCGGAGAAGGGCGGCGCTCCCTTGAAACCACCCCCATCATGAGAAGCGTTCGGTGAAAAGTGGAACGGGGAAGCGGGACTAACGATGGTGGCCTTCATCTCATGGAGAAACTTCTCCACCCTCAATACACCCTCCAGGATGAGATCGCTCTTCCCGCGCCTGATTGCCACACAAAGCGGTTGAATGGTCAGACCTTGGTATTTCCTTCTTCGTATACGAGTGTATTGATTCGCCGGGGATGACGGCGCCGGTGGCCGGGGGCGGGACTTACGAGTTAGCCTCGGATCCATAAGTGCAGTCCTGCTGCGATGCAGCACAGGAGGCGCATGGCGTGTTGCCATTGCATCTAAGCAAGAGGATCGTTAATCTTCCAGACGGAACCGAGGGCTTGGGACGACCAGGGATCTGGCCGTGTGGTTCTGGTCATGCGTACCTGATCTTCCTGGCGCGGCATGTATCGCACTGCAGGATGTGACGTCGGTCAGCCTCATGTTCATATGGTCAAAAAAAGTATTATAAAGTTCTTCCCAGCAAGGTGCCATTGTGGTTGGTAGTCCGATGGGGTGTTCTCCACTGTATAAGTTTTCATTAAGGAAAATGAGGTTGAATATTAAAAAGCGGTCGAACACGTTCCATTGTGAGTGGAAACGCAAACATTATGAAAGGCACACTTTTGATCATCTCAAGTCCGAGACGGGTGGTGAGGATCATCATCCTTCATTCAGTCTGGTGGCTTTGGTGGCCTGATGAGCCATAACCAAAGAGGAACAAGGCCGCAACTAGCGGAAGAGAGAGAATAACAAAAGACGCCCCATAACTCACCGCATGGCTCGTCCTCAGCCTCTTCCTGGCAGGTTCAGAAATCGACTCATTATCTAAAGAGTCCATCGCAGCAGTCGCAAAGGTTGGGTGGCATGGTGTTGCAGCCAGTTCCGCAGTGAGGAGGGAGCTTCGATCCGAAGCGGGCCGAAGGTAAAAAGAGTGCGCGCTACTAGTGTACTACTACTGCTGACTGAGTAGACCACACTACGTATGAGCAACAACAGGATGGGAAAAAAAAAAAGACTGGATTGCGCAAGGGGGTCCGAACGAAGAATCCTGGCAGAGGGGAAGGAAATGCATTGGATATACATATGCAAACCCACGTGTGGTGCGGGGGAGACACGGTGTGGAGAAGGGGGTGGGTAAGAGAATTGGAGAAAATTTGACAGGTACCAGGTATTCTGCTTAGTATATACTATTTAGTATAGCTTAGGAAGGGAAACCCTGAGGGGGGGATGAGGCCGATTACTACTAGTATGCAGAAAAAGGTAGTGTGCTTCGCTCCGCAATGCCCCGGCACTATTCTGCTGGCCCCCCCTCTCTCTCTCTCTCAACTCCTGCTAGTACGTATGTAATAGCCTGTTACATAGTATGTATGTGTGAGGCGGGTGGAGTTCTTTGTCCATGGATGCCGCTGTCACTGGAGAAATTGCCGGGGATATGTCCGTGAAGGGTAAATTGTGAGTTGGATGGGGTTGGAGATTGCACATGTGATGTACACAACCGACCCCTTAACTAAAGTACTCGGTTGATATATAGGATCAGATGTTCTCCCACCTACCGTACTGGTACCGACTTTCAGTTTCGATCTCGGTTGAGGGAACACCATCTGCTTCAGTTGGTCATGATGGTGCTGCTGTAGGATCTGGTCACTCTTGCAGGAGAAACGGTACCGCTCCAATCATGTAATCCCGGCAATGCTGGTGCGGTAGCAGTCAACCAACACTACCCCAACCCCCTCCAATCGCCTCCTCATCCTCAAGCGAACCCAAAAAAACCTCGGCTGACTTTCCACACTGTATCAGTAATTAAGTGACACTATTATAGTTTCTCTATTTGAGTCTTATTAAACGATATTGTTTATTATTTGTGGCTTTCCACGCGCTTAAGAGTATTATATTTCGGTAGGTGAAGCAGGGGGCTGCTGAGTGACCTCCGGGCCTAGACCGGCGTGTGAGCCGATATTACCCCACACAACCCGCCAAACCCGGTCCGAGTGGACCTTTAGACAGTGTCGACCAACTTCTCGTCCAACTTCATGGTGTTCAGCACAGTCTGCGCTGACCGCTTCTCCAGACTCTTATTGACAGGGTTGGGGGCAGCGAAAACCTCACTCAGTTCCTCCAGAGTACGGCCCTTGGTTTCGGGGAAGAAGAAATACTGAAAAGCCAATGGTCAGCAAACACATTTCCATAAAAATTGAGGCTAGAAAACTTTGTTACTTACGATGAAGGCGGCCTCAAACAGGTCCCAGAAAATAAACACAATGTAAAAGTAGTACTTGATGTTGAGGAACGCCGGTCCACTGGAGTACTGGATGATGGTGCTGGCGACAGCACTGGCGAAGTTGCCGATAGCAGTTCCCTTGGCACGCGTAGCCGTGTCGAGAGTTTCGGCAATATACATACTCTGGAGAGGTGTCCAGCCGAAGCTGAAAACGATACCAAAGATGAAGATGAAGGCAATAGTTGCGTGAGATGCAGCAGCGTTGCCATCGCCGTCCGTAGACAGCTTGGAAGTGCCAGTGATGATGGCGAAGCAGAAGGAACAGAAGATGATGGAGTAGATCAGGAGCGGCCGGCGGCCGACAACATCCGTCATGCGAGCTCCAGCGAGAGAAGCGATGAAGCAGAGGATGGGGTTGACTGCGTTCAGGGCCAGGACGCGCTTCTCGTCATCGATGCCGGCGTTCTTCAAAAGCGCAGTCATGTAGTAGCTGCTGAGTGAGTTACCGCTCACCTGTCCGAAAACGGCCATGCCGAGGACGCAGATGAGTCTGCGGCGAGCAGAGTGAGTGTTCCAAAGCTCGCTGTAGTCCCACCACTTCTTGTCCGAAGCGTCGGTCCTGATCTGCTGGGCCATCTCCTGGAGTTGAAGCTGTACGATGGGGTGGTCGACGGAGCCTTCGCCGTGGTAGGTTGCCAAAACCTTGGCCGCCTCTTCGTGCTTATCGTTGGCAATGAGCCATCGAGGAGATTCTGGGATGAAGAAAACTCCGATGCAGATGATTCCAGAAGTAACCTATTGGTTTTTCTTGTTAGCAAGAAAGAATGAACTGTGATTGGACCACTGCTTACCATCTGGATCCAAATCGGGATACGCCAACCGTTCTCACCCGTGATGTAGGAGCAACCGTAGACGACCCAAGAGGCGATAATTGAGCCTACGTACCAGGTACCTTTTGTGCTACGGATTAGTTGGAATCTTGAAATATTCAGGCCAAGTGTCTCTCACAGTTGTAGACGCCGGTAATGGTACCTCTCCAAGCTGGATGAGCCATCTCAGATACCTGCGATATGTCAGTAGCTATTCCAAATTACGTATGGAAATACCAGCAAATACTCACATATGTCGGAGCGGAAACGCAAACGAAACTGACGCCAAATCCAAGGACAAAACGGCCGGCAAGAAACTGGCCCGCACTATCCATTATTAGCAACCCGTTTAGCAGTCGTGTCGCGGTGACTTCTTACGTCTTTGTCGGAGCCTGAACGCAAGTGCCAATGATGACAATTGCGCTGCCGATGAACATGCCCCATCGACGTCCGAGGTAATCGTTCGTTGGTCCAGTGAAGAAAACAGCCGCCACACTGCCGATGTTGTACCTGGTTCGGACATGTTAGATTGTGTCCAGAGGCTCGGCTTTAAGACGGCTTTAGATCCCACTTACATGGCAAAAATAATACCGGTGCTCTCGTCAACAGTTTCCCTGTTGTCGTTTTGTTAGCTAGCCCCCCCACCTCTCAGTTTCCGTCAAAGGTTTGCTCACTTGTTGAAGTATGCCATGTAAGATTTCAGTCCGTTAAGACCTCCCATCTTTTCAAGGTTTTAGCTTCACCTCGCCATATTCGTTCACGGTTGCTACTTACGAGGGATCCATCGTAGCCGTTGAGGGCACCACCGAGGTACGCTGGGGAACAAATTAGCACATTATTCAGTGTTTGCTGGAGCATCTGGATCTTTTACCGATGATGAGAACGCCGTACAGGCGAAACATGGACTTTGTCCATGGCGAGTACTGGCCCTCCTGGGTCTCGTGGGCGATCTGAACCGCCGAGTCAACGTGGATTTCCGGCGACAGTTTGGGCTTCTCGGCGTTGCCACCGGCCGCCAGGTCGGACTTCTCGTCGGACATGGTGGATCAGACTACGAGATACCAAGCACACGGGCTCAAACTAAGTGGACCGAGTGGTCAGGAACAGTGGAGAGGCGTGGAGAGCAGGTCTGGGATGGGTTCCATCAAGAGAAAAGAAAGATGGAGAGAGCGATACTGCGGCCCTCTTAAATGCTGCGGTCATAGACCCCCCGGCCTTTCGAGAATCGAGCTCTCCCCCGCATTCGGGGCCATCAGGTCATTCATATTGAACCTTTTGGAAAACCTGGGGGAGAAGGTCACGGCCGACCATCAGCGAAACGCAACACGAGCGCTTGCAGCTCCAACCCACATTAGCCGGGGGGGGTCTAGACAAAAAAATTCGATCCGGGGTAGAATGCGTGAACTTGCCGCTTGTTGGAGAAGAGCCGCCAAGGAACATGGTCCGCCGAATGAAAGCAAGGAAATCCTATGGTAGGGATGGCAGACGTTGCAACGGTCTTAGCATCCCCCCCAGGGGTGGTGCATGACCGGCCCCGAGTTCCCCGGACCCAATCAGAACCAACACCGGCCGGGGAGACTATGCTGCTTACGGCGACTTCGTGCGGAGATTCTGTACGATGGACGGCGAGGACGGGGGAAAGAAAAAAAGAAAAGAAAAAGAAAACAGGGATAGCCTTTGGAGTAGGCCTACACAACTGGCCTGCACAGTCAACAATGCCACATGACTCGAAGCTACCCCGAATCGACAGGTTGGTCAATTCGTTGCCCCACGTTCGGTCGTCATATGGCGGGACAACAGGAGCTTCACGAGACGGAGCTTGCAGATGGGAATTTTGGCCCAGTTCCCCGTTTTGCGCCAAACGGATACACTCGCGTGGAGCATTGAGCTCGAATAAATAACTCCTAGACTTTGGGCAAGCCGTCTGCCCACTCGTCCTGGCCTTTTTTTTTTCCCCCTTTCACTTTCATTTCCCTCCAATCCGTGTCTTAGCCCATCGTTAACCCCTCCAGTAAACCGTCACGATGGCCCCTCAGAGTTTGCCCCTCCAAGCAGAGGAGGGAGTTCACGATTATGAGAACCCCGCCGTCTTCCGACGCAACACTCTTCCTCCTAGAGCATACTTCATTCCCGAGACATCGCTGCTGCTCAACGGCGTCTGGGACTTCCACTACGCCGGCACTCCTGGTGAGGCCCCGTTGCCGGAAGACAAGGACGACAAGTGGGAGACCATCAACGTCCCCGGACACTGGCAGCTCCAGGGCCACGACTACCCGTGGTACACAAACACTCAGTTCCCCATCCCCGTCAACCCGCCGTACGTTCCCAGCGAGAACCCCACGGGCACATACAGACGTACATTCTACGTGCCCTCGACCTGGGATGAGAAGTCTCAGCTGCGTCTGAGATTCGACGGAGTCGACAGCGCATACCACATCTGGGTCAATGGCACTCTCATTGGCTTTGCCCAGGGCTCGCGCAATGCGTCCGAGTTCGACGTCACAAGCATTCTCAAGCGGGACGGCCCCAACGAGGTGTTCGTGAGAGTCTACCAGTGGTCCGATGCGACCTACATTGAGGACCAGGACCAATGGTGGTTGTCTGGTAAGTGAATTGAATGTTTTGAGCGTTTAACAAAGTAGTAGTTCTGACCGATTCGGGTGTAGGTATCTTCCGCGACGTTACCCTTTTGGCTGTGCCTGAGCCTACCAGAATCGAGGACTGGTTCCTCCGCACCGACCTTGACGAGAAGTACGAGAACGCCACCCTTCTTGCAACTGTCGATGTCAAGACGGCCGAGAAGGGAACTCTAAAGCTTACTCTGAGCGAGCTTGGCAAGAACGGCGGCGCCGTCGTTGTCACCAAGGAGGTCGAGGTCGACCCCAGCAACCCCAAGGTCGAGCTCAGCATTCCCGTCACCAACCCCAACAAGTGGACTGCCGAGACTCCCTACCTCTACCGCGCCGAGCTCACCCTCGGCTCCCACACCGTCTTCCAGAACATTGGCTTCCGCAAGGTCGAGCTCAAGAACGGTCTGATCAGCGTCAACGGCGTGCCCATCCGCATCCGCGGTGTCAACCGCCACGAGCACCACGCCCACTTTGGCCGCGCCGTGCCCCTCGACTACATCAAGCGCGACCTCCTCATCATGAAGAACCACAACATCAACTCCCTGCGATGCTCGCACTACCCGCCTCACCCGAGGCTCTTCGAGCTCGCCGACGAGCTCGGTCTGTGGGTCATGGACGAGGCCGACCTTGAGTGCCACGGCTTCTACGACGCCATCGCCAGGCCCCAGGACGTCCAAGAGGAGGCCGACTACGAGGAGCGCAAGGCCGTCACATTCCCCAAGGCCGGCAAGTACACCAGCGAGAACCCCGTGTGGCGCGAAGCCTACCTCGACCGCATGGTCCAGCTGGTCCACCGCGACAAGAACCACACCAGCATCATCATGTGGTCTCTCGGTAACGAGGCCTTCTACGGCGAGAACCACAAGGCCATGTACAAGTACGCCAGGGAGTTCGACCCCAGCCGCCCCATCCACTACGAGGGCGATGTCAAGGCCGAGACTGCCGACATGTACTCTTACATGTACCCTCCCATTGACCGTCTGACGCGCCTCGTCACCACCGAGGGCGTCAAGGAAGATGGAAGCTTCGACAAGCCCGTCATCCTGTGCGAGTACGGCCACGCCATGGGCAACGGCCCCGGTGGCCTGGACGACTACATTGAGACCTTTGAGAAGTTCCCTCGTCTCCAGGGCGGTTACATCTGGGAGTGGGCAAACCACGGCATCTGGAAGGAAGACCCCGATGGCAAGAAGTACTACGCTTACGGAGGAGACTTTGGCGAGCGCCCCCACGACGGCACGTTCGTCATGGACGGCCTCCTCCACAGCACCCACGACCCTACCCCTGGCTTGATCGAGCTCAAGAAGGCCTACCAGCCTTTGGCGCTCTCCGTCGAGGAGAACAAGCTGGTCATCTGGAACAAGTACGACTTCGTCGGCGTTGAGCACCTCTCCGCTACCTACAAGGTCGAGGAGCTGGGCGAGAAGTGAGTACAAACATCCCATCTAAGCCCCAACCCCCCCAAACAAAGCGGGCAGATAAAACTAACAAAATAATCCAAACACAGATCCTCTCTCCTCGCCTCTGGCAGCCTCGAGGTCCCCAAGGTCGCTGCCGGCGAGACCGTCAAGGTCGACCTGCCCGCGTCGCTGGCCAACATCAAGTCCGATAAGGAGGTCTACATCACCGTCACTTTCGGTCTGAAGGACTCCACCAACTGGGCCGAGCCCGCACACGAGATCGCCTGGGTCCAGCACAAGCTGTCCGGTGTGGCCTCCGTCCCTAAGCTCGCCCACTCCACCCTCAGCTCCAAGCTGGAGGTCAAGCAGGTCCGCTCCACCGTCACCATCTCGGGCTCCGACTTCGCCTTCACCTTCGACACGGCCCGCGGCTACCTCACCTCTTGGACCGCCGCCGGCGTGCCCCTCCTCGAGAAGGACGACTCCACCAAGGCGGCCATCGCCCACAACTTCTGGCGCCCCCCCACGGACAACGACAAGCCCAACGACGTGCCCTACTGGGTCCGCTACGGCGTCAACGCCTTCGACAGCACGCTCAGCTCCCTCAAGATCAACGAGTCCGCCGACAAGGTCGAGATCGTCGCCACGACCTACCTCAGCCCGCGCATCCTGGACTGGGGCTGGAACAACGTCACGACCTACACCATCGACGCCACCGGCCGCCTCACCATCGCCGTCGACCTCAAGTCGAGAGGCATCAAGCCCACCCACATCCCGCGCGTCGGTCTCAACCTGCGCCTGCCCAAGGCCCTCAACAACGTCAAGTACCTCGCCCTCGGCCCCGGCGAGTCCTACCCGGACAAGAAGAGCAGCCAGCGCCTCGGCGTCTTCAACGCCACGGTGCCGGAGCTGCACCAGCACTACGACGTGCCCCAGGAGGGCGGGAACCACTTGGAGACCCGCTACGTCGCGCTCACCGAGAGCCACGGCCGCGGCATCCGCGCCACGCCCGCCGACGCCGCCGTCTGGTCCGAGGAGGAGTGGCGCAACTTCAGCTTCCAGGTCAGCCACTACTCCACCAAGACGGTCGAGACGGCCGCGCACCCCTGCGACCTCGTCGAGGACGACGCCACGCTGCTGCGTCTCGATGCCCGCGTCGCCGGCGTCGGTTCCGCCGCCTGCGGTCCCAACGTCCGCGAGGATCTGAAGATTCACGTCGGAGACTTCAAGTTCGGATTCGTGCTTGAGCGTGTTGGGTTTTAAAAACTTTGGAATGAGGAGCTGGTCACGATTGAGATGAGAATGATGTATTGGGTTTAGAAAGTTATTTTCCCCGCTGCTTTAGGAGCAGAATACTACCTATGAATTGTTATGAATGCTGGCATTTTTCCTGATTGTCTTGTTGAATTGATAGCCATTGCTGCTCTAGATGGCGTGAACTGCTAATGAAAAGGAGGAGAATTGATGAAACTAAGAGAAGGAGTTGTTGGTAATGATTAACACGACGACTTGGTCTGTTGGTCTAAAATACCTAATTCGTGGGCTGTGATAGAGTGGGTAGAAACCGAAGCGATTCATTCAGCAACGCGCCAACTAACTTAGTGCAAAGTTGCCGCCCCGCTCACCACAGTCGGGTACAAGAAGTACTTCCGCAACTGGCCGGTTGGCCCAATGGCAAGGCGTCTGACTACGATTCCATCGTGCAATCAGGAGATTCTGGGTTCGACCCCCAGGCTGGTCATATTTTTTGCATTTTTGCCAATTTCTCGACGGTATTGAATTGTTTCACTTTGCTGCTGGAATAAGATCTCGGATGGGAGTCTTTAACTGCATTTTTTCTATCTCACATTTGCACCCAGCTGTGGTAGCGAAAGGTCCACTTACATCCTGTCTTGGACTTTTCCTGATGGAAACCATCAAAGGAACCAAACCAGGAGGCCATTTCCGGACATTACAATGATGCTTACTTATGTCGAGATTTGTATGTAGCGGTAATTCTGACAGAAGTAGGAGTTGATGACCGTCTAATGCGGCGTCTTTCTCTCCCAACCTTCGTAAGGGAGACAACTTGGCCACATAAATAATATATTTGGCGTGCAATGAAACGAAACTGGACCGATCAATATGCATGGAATGATCCAGAATCCTGGTTGATGCAAACAACATAGTGACCAGTTCAACACATTCTAGGAGACCAAGAGGCTCTGGTGGAGTGATGATGAAAAGGTGCTTGATTCTAGGTTTACTTTCAGGTATCAACAAACGACTTCTTGTCTAGAATACACCCGCCACAACAAGCATCTCGGCCAAGCTTATACCAGTAGCAAGGGAAAGAAAGCCATGCCCAGTTGGGAAGAAATCACGTCAGCAAGCCAAACCAAATGGCCTGTGACAGCCACCATGACTTCCCATCTCTCCCCCAGAGCACCTGTGAGCCCTCTACCCATGAAGCTGATCCTGAATTGACTTTCCGAATACCTGAAGATTGACTTTGTCTTGTTGTTCGTGACTACGGCCAGGATTTCCCCGCCATCACTGCTTGAGCCAAAGTCTCGCACCTTTCGTTTACCACCGGCATCTGGTTTGAAGCTTGTCGTCTGGACCAGTTTGAATCCAGCTTTGCATGAGTTAGCGTGTCTAGTCTCATTGCCTCTTGAGCGTCTCCACTCAAAGGTTTCAGTGATTCCGTTGACATCCACATGGAAGGCAATGGTCTTGAAGGTTCCATCGATGTGGTTATCTTTACTTTCGAGCGTCTGCTGGTATTCCGGTAAGCCATCCACGGGAGGAAGAGTCACAGTGACCAAATTGCCAGAGAATCCGTATGCAACGCGAAGCTTTCCAGTGACTGTTGCCAACATACGACCAGATGAGTATGGGCCGTCATGAAGCTGGAATTCAAATCCACTTGAGAACCATCGGAGTATGCTTCCCGAATCTTTGTAAGAGATGCTGAACGATCTGCTATTCTCCTCGTCTGGTGGACTGAGATCGAAGTAGTATGTGCTGGGAAAGAGCTTGCGTCTTGTGTCTTTGCCACGAAATGTTGGGGGAAACTTGGCCATTGTGCCAATCGCGTCTGTGGAGTGATTCGAAGTGGTTGTCTGCCCATCAAGGGCGATAAAGTCATGACCGTTGGGCGACTTGTGGTAGTCATTAGCGGGAGGTTGCTCACGTGGGTTTGTTCGGGCGTCGGCAGTCTGAGCAATCGCTTCCTTGTAGTCGGCCATGATTGTGTCGTGTGGAACAGCTTAGGTAAGAATAGGTCGGTTGAATAGGAGACAGTACTGAAGGAAGCGAATGAATAACAAAGAGCTGCGAATTAAACGGGACAGAAGATAAATATCTGAATGAAAGGTTGTGGTGGTTGTTGATGGGCAGAATGATGATGCGTGGTGGTTTGATGGGTGGAAATGATAAAGGAATTTGGATCTCAATCTTGGGGTAGTTGACTGTGGAATTTGCCTTTCTCTTCTTGGACGTGGTTTCCGTTCTCTCCGTTCTAAGTGGGAATGATGTAATGCGAAAATAGTTGACCTAAAGTGGAAAGACAAGAACGATGGCTGCCGTGAGAAGTTTGGCAAGCACCTGAAAGAAGGACCCAGTCCATTGCCACTTGCCTATTGAAAGAGGGAAAGAAGAAAAGGAAGGAAAAGCATGGAGAATGGCTCCTGCCATGAGAGCAGTTTCATGTATTAACCTGCCTTCCCGGACAAAAGTGAGAAAGCACATCCACAATATGGCAACTTCCTGGCTAGATCATCGTACCCTTTCAAAGAGGAAAGACGAGAACAGTAATTTCTGTCATAAAGGACCTGCGTCGCATGATATCGTAGGCCAGAGAGCGAACTACTTTTCGATAAATAAAAGGCGGCAGCTACCCCTGGAGGATGAGGTACGCTACAGAAGGGCGCAGTTGTAGGTTCAGCCGAGACTTGAACATTTTCTGGAGCAGCCTTCCACAGAGAATACAGAAGATAGATTTACCTATAATACGAAATAGAGCAACACATGGGAATCTCTTGATGATCCCTCAGAAACCCAAGTAGGCTGCTGACGCGCATCAATAAAGAACAAGATTGTCGCAAGTTAGCATTAACCGCCGCATTCAAGTCTGAATGAATTCCTAAATATGCTCAAGTCTAACTAAAACTCTCAGACATAACATCTTTGCTAAAGTAAATACATCCAGTGCCATCCAGTCATTCAAGAGTCGTAAAAGGTGTTCACTTCCATCCAGTCATGACTATGTAAAAGTCTTGGAAATGCCAGAATTCATGAAAGTAGCTTTCGTTTTATAACGATAATATTGGCCGATCAACATGTTTACTGCATTCAGCCTTAAATCTATGCCGATGATTGTTTCCATTGCTGCTTAAAGGTCTTAATATCTTCCGTAACAAGCTCGGCATCGGCAGGCCAATGCTTGGCGCTAGCCGCCGAATTAACGGGGTGGGGTCAGCAGGGGCCGAGGCCGACCCCGAACTTTTACCAATCGTGACTACAACAGCAATACTACTTTTCAGTTCTAAAATTGCTACGCAACCCCATTTCCCTTGGATATCGTACTGTTTTCGTGTCATTTACCATTTCCTCTTCAAATTAGGTACCCGTATAACTGCCCTCATGGAATCGCCAAACCTGGCTCGAAGAGACCGATCCCATGCCTGCGGCCCATGTTATCGGCGCAAGGTAGCATGCGACCGTGCTGGTCCAGTCTGTGGGAGCTGTAGTAGAAGAAGAAAGCCAAGAGATACCTGCGAGTATGATTCGGTGGCTCGCCTTTCCTCAACATCCAGACTTCGGCGCCGTGAAAAGTCGGCACCGAGTCTCAACTCGGATTCTTCAACAAGCATCGAACCCCGGCCGTGCCGCTCCTTCCATCTTCCAGACAGCTTATTACGACAGTATGATAGTCATTCTGATCCAATCGATTCTAGCGACACGCCCTCGTGCGGCTATCTCGGTTTCACTTCTTTTCTCGCCATATATGAGGAAACTTGCGATGCTCTTTCTCCCCACCAGCCTCAGCTTGACTTCGGCTCATCTAAGCGCGATCAGCCTGTGAAAGATAGTGAACCTAAGACACCCAACCTCTCAGATGCATCACTGCAAGCGGGTCTCGATGTGCTTCAGTGTATTCCACGGCGGCAAGAGGCAGTGGCCCTCCTAGACTACCATTTCAATGCCTACGATGCTTGGATCCATCCTCTCGCGCGACTCATGCTCGATTCTTTGTACGACACATTCGGCCACATCTTCGAACCACCTGAGTGTAGTAAAGATCTCTTGACAGGTTTGGCATTGGTATTGGGTAAAAACACTTCCAAAGTCTTCTGCGAAGATGAACCAGATAGCCGACGCTGGATCAGTCAGTTTGTGGGTGCAAACATTCGCTGGGAAACTCTGGGGGTACTTTTCACCTACTGGGAGTTTGGTGCGCGCAGTATCAATACGCGGAGTGGCACTAGCGACATCCAGAAAACAAGTTTGAAACCTGCTGCAGTTTTCAGGAAGTCGATCGAGAGCTGTTTATCTCTTGCTAGGGCAGGAACGAAGACGGGTAACACTATGCTGGTGTATATCTACTATAAACGAGGGATCATTGACTCTGTCATTTCTGGTGATGCCAGTGAGTATTGGCATATTCTCAAAGGCTATGGTTTACACTCTACTAATGTTGAGAAGGTCTGTCATACTGGCAGAATCATGCCGAAACAGTTGCAATTCTGTCATTTCTTGGGCTACACATTGCTACCTTGAGCCCGGAACAACCTTACAAACCAACCCTCTCATCTGAAATACGGAGGAGAATCTTCTGCCATGTATTTATCTCCGACAAGGGAGCATCTTCTTTTACTGGACGACCGCCTCTCTTATCTGGAAAATACACGTCAACACCTCTACCACTCGACTTGCGGGGCGAATATCTCCTTTCGGATGAGGCCATGCTTGCAAGAGAAGTTGCAACGCTCGATGAGCAAGGCTGGAGCAAAAGCAACAACGTCAATTCTATAAGCAGTCTTCGAGCTCGTTTCTGCTTCTCAGTCATTTGTGACGAGATATTTGAGATTGCTCTGGCTGTTAGAAAGGTTACGCCACAGCAAACCATACTGTAGGTCTCGAAGCAGAAAATAGACCTGCACGCGAATTCGCTGACAGGATTCAAGTGATTTAAAGACACGTCAAATCGAAATACATAGTAGACTCCCACTCCGATTACATTTCGATCTTGAAGACATCAGAGACCCAACATACATTCCGAGACCCTGTACATAAGGCTACTCATACAACTTGAGCACCTTCAGAACCTGTTCTTCATTGAAAGACTTCTATGCCGCAGTGGCCACACACCAGTAGAGGATGGAAACCTTCTGCAAGTTAGTTTTGATATGGTTTCAACTGCAGTCTTGTTTTGGACCAACATGAATCGCTTTCCTTCAATTCACTTAGACTTTACGTGGTTGGTGAGTGATTTTCCTCATTTTCAAGAACTTGAAAACAACTACAGTTAATAATCGATTCTGACGAAACATCTAGGTCATGGCATTTGCCGTTCCAGGCGGCGGTGTTCTTTGCCTCGAGCTTCTCAAGCCCACGGATTCTCACATCTCGAACCCCGACAGAGACCCCAGACCATCTCGCTCTGCCATCATTCAACAACTGAGTCTGCTGGTTGGGTTTCTATCCTGGGTCAAGCCTTCAGCTTCAAACGGAGACCTCTGCGCTGACTGCAAGGTGGTAATCCAGCACGTGCTTAACCGCGCCTTGAACGACCCAGCTGGAGTCCACACCGGGGCCATTGATGTATCTGACTGGAACATTTCCACACGAATAGGTTATGAGTTTGACCTTCTGGATACTTTTGACTGGCTGCGGGCAGATCTTTCCTGAGTGCCAGGATCTTCCAAGTACAGGGGTTCTGACATCGGAAGAGTCTACGGGAGTGCCCCCACATCCCTGCTGGAGTGTATTCTTTTGGTCAGTCTTGGTACCGGCTACTTGGAAAAGAAAGCTGGTCCTTGAGAAAACCTTGGCGGTAAACAATCAACAATAATATATTAAATCAATTTTGTACTTGTAAACGTCCCTAACACATCGCCCGGACAGTGCTGGAAACCAATTGCCCACATCCAAAGCCATGTCTCAATTTTTGAATTGTCCGCCCTTACAAGAATGGGCCGAATTTCCCAGTACAAGGTCATAAGATGGCAAGAGAGGTGAAATAGGCATTTTCTACTCAAAGACGGAGACAGTTTCGACGATAAACTTGATACGTCCGTCCTCGGCAATTTCAGCGAACTGAAGCGTCTCAGTCCGTACAACTTTGCCTTCGGGCCCCTTGCCCTGCGCCGTGTGACGCTCGGCGAGCTGCGACCCGTCGCGCAGAAACTGGACAATCTTGAAGTCCACAATGCCGAGGTCAAGCGTGCGAAGCATCTTGACGTGCTCGACCCAAGCTGCGTAGTCCCGCACTTTTCCGAGTCCATCGTTGCGTGTGTCACGAATAGTGAAGTCTGGAGTGAAGAGCTTTTCGAGGTCGGACTCTGTATCTTCGAGCTTGCCCCGGAACAGGCTGAGGAGCGCCGCGGCGTAGGTGTCGGCGTTGTCGGTAAAGTTGGTCTTGGACATCTTGTTATTTTATAATTTTGTGTTTATAATTTACAAAACTTAAGAACGAAGACAGTTGATTGAACTTTGTCTTGCTTTGAACAATGAAACGTATTTGATCAGGCTTTCTTGAGTTGAGATTATTTATGCTTCGCGATTGCGCCCCTACTTTTATATCGAAAGATGTGGCTGCAAAAGGCTGCAGGCAGCCACAAAATGAAACAATGAAACTTGTTCATCACTACGATGTGGACGTTGTCGCTTACGCAAACACAATTGTTAGTTGTGAAACATTCTCCTGCGACGGCCCTGCGTATGCTGTGAGTGCTTAGACTCGCTTACTATTAGTAACAGGCATTGACTTGAGATCCTATCTATTGCTGCCTGAAGGCAGACGCAATGGATTTCAGACCATCGATTTTTGTAAAAGGCCTTGAGTGTGTGTTATTTTCTACTGTACACTAGGCAACGACCATGGGAATCAATCGGCATTAGCGATGCATGTACCGGTGCGGAGTCTGTCTTTCAAGAAACTCTCAGCAAATTACTCATTGCTGTGTTGGTATGTGCGCCAACGTAAGAGCCTATTAAGCTCTCGTTCAAGCCATCCCGGCGTAGTCACGCTATGGTTGCTACAAACAGCAACTTTAACACCTTCGGGTTAGGCTTATTCCATGCTTGCCATGAGGGAATGGTGTGTTCGACATGGCCCAGTGATTTGATTGTGTAGATCCCTGACTCGCTCCACAACCATCATATGAAACCCCTGATTGGACGCTGTTCAACGTGAACTTCTTGAGCAAAGTTGACGCGTCAAGCCCCCGCAAAAAGGGGACGTCAAACTTTACAGATCAGAAACTGCATCGTATGGAACAGTATTTCTGGTGTAACTTCCCGAGAAGGACGGAAGACAAAGCCGTCTTTGCGTTCAATTTCTTGATTCTTTTTCTCATCTTTTCTTCTCCTTCTTGATTAACTAAATCGTCCATCTCGGAGGGAGCTTGCCTTCATTCTCTACATCATGATAAAACTGTTGCGATAGTTGGAATACGGAGTCGTGTGGCACTTCCAGCCACACGCCCGCCAGGCTGAGAGGCCCAAGCCTCCCAGACCCACGTGACAGGCCAAGGGGGAATATCCCCACCTTCTAGTCAACAACACCACTTTCAACTATCATGAACCATCGATTAGAACCAATTTACTGTTATTTGTTATTGACGAACGGAATTCCGTTTCACCCCCTGTTTCACCCCCTGTGAAACCTACACTGATCAGTGGTAAACCTCACAGTTGCCATTAATTTGGTTAACTTCACAATTACCACTCTGCTACGGACAAACCGCAGATCAGCAAGGTCAACACCAGAAGAGACGACTTCTTGAACTGGATACCCAAGCCCAGGTAAAAGTAGGGATTTCGTGCTAACGAGAGAAGAAGCGAGAGTAACTGGGATCTACGGAAACCAGCAGAAGAAAGCTTCTTTTCCTCGAATCTACCAGCAATCCGATTATTCGAGTAACCTAGGGACTGCTACGCTCACCCTAGGCGGGATAAGGTTAATCGCAGCCAATTATCGCTGGCAAGAGCGTTCCATCACGCGTTTTCAATCACCAGAAGAAGAGACCTACCGAATCGACGGTCTTCCAACCTCTTCACGCCACAAGGGCGAAGATTCACGAATCCCACAAGGGACAACAACTTCCCCAACTACAACTATCCCCCACGCGCGGTGCCAATCACGAGGCGCCCGCTAGTTTCTCAATAAATCCCCAGACGAGGTGCCAACCGCGAGGCGCCTGCCACAAGAGACCTCCCCACTAGAAGAAGAACACGCCGAAAGATTCTAAACTTCTTAATAGTAAGGAGCGAAGCCCGAAGCGAGAAAGAGAGATTCACGAGAGAATCTACGAAGTAATCCTTTTATACTGTCAGAATGGAGCGAAATTCACGAGAAGGATCGCCCGCGAGCGGCGTCACTGCCAAAAGCCAATCAACAGTCCCCATCCCACAGAGAATCGAAAGTATGATCGATCCAGCAGTATGGGGCAACTGGGCAATCGACCTTACAAACGCTAGCCCACAGCAACTGGGTTCCTATATGGGTTTCCTACTTGAGACCTATGAGAAGAGGAATCTCACGGGCCTCGAGCTATGGAACGAAGTTTCTCCCGATTTCGCCGACTGGTCAGAAGAAGACTTCCAGAACGTACCTCCCCCAATCCTACGATTCTTCAGAGACCATTTAATCGGTAACGGCGTCTACGTCGAAATGGATGGCAAGAAAATCTCGAAAAACGTGGCATTAGCCCTCAAAAAGGAAGAATTCCACTACTGGTCACCCCAAGAACTCGAACAAGGCGTCAAGAGATATCGCAACCTGAAGGCTCTGATAAAAGACCCCGAATTCCACGAAGAGATCACGAGACCGGCAACAGTAGCCAACAGCACAGGAGGAAGAGTCGAACCAACCCTACAGCCACCTCCTCCACAAGAACAACAACAGTGGCAACTACCGTACCGACCGCCACATCCCACGGTCTCTCCGTTAACAGACTTCCAACCATACGAGTCAACAGACCGTATCGGAAAGCAATTAACAGAATTCGCGAAACTATACCCCGACGATATGAAATACAGCGGCGATATGTACGATGTACGCGAAAAGAAGGGCTGGACCGGACCGTTTACTTTAGCAGCCATAAACGGCGAAACCTGTACTGTCGATACGCCACGTGGTCCGAAGACCTTCCGGTCTACCGTAGTCAAACCATACTACGAAGATCCCGATCAACCACCTAATTCCATCGCCGCGCCAGAAGAAGAAGAACCCGAAGCTAAGATACCGCAGCAGGAAGTAGTACGCGACGAAATTATCGTCGCCGGCGGAGGCAGTGAACCGGACGAACCGCAAGAGGCACCGGAGCCACCGAGAAGACGCCCGGGCAGACCCCGGAAGAGACCACTGCCAATCGCCCACTTCACAGAGGAATTCAACGATGACCCGGATTATCAACAAATATTCCTATCGATTAAGGAGCAAGCAGACGAAGAATTGGCAATCAAACTACGACGAGAAGGTGTTATTACTACACCAGGCGAACCGTTCGAACAGTCAACTAAACAAGAGATCAACAGCCTCATCGCTAGAGGAGTGTTCAAATTCACCCAGTTCAATAAGAGAAGGCACCAGAACGTACGAATCTTCCGATCTCGTATCGTCAACGAAGTCAAGGGTAAAACAACCGAACCCTACGAGAAATCGAGACTTGTAATACAGGGTTACGCCGACGATAGCAAGAAGGCTATATTGACCCAATCGCCAACGATTCAACGGGCGAGTCAACGGCTAATTCTGTCAATTACCCCGTCACTCCTACGAGAAGGGAAACAACTATGGCTTCGAGATATCACACAAGCCTACGTTCAATCCTCCACAAGGCTCAATCGTACTATTCTCGCCTACCCACCGAAGCAAATTCAAGACCAGTACCCAAAAGGGACCATTATGGAGGTTGTGAAGCCTCTGTACGGAATCGCAGAAGCTGGAACCCACTGGTGGGCAACGTATCACAAGCATCACAGAGAGAATCTCCAGATGGTTACTTCTTCGTACGATCCATGCCTATTGATCTCATCTACCGAAAATCCACACTTTGGCTGTATCGGCATGCAAACCGACGATACCCTCGGTTTGTCAGACAAGGCGTTCTCACAATTAGAAGACGAACAGTTAGAAAAAGCGGCTTTTACGGCAAAAGCGAAGAATATCCTCACAATTGACGAACCCCTCCAATTCAACGGAGGGATAATCGCGCTGTCAACCGACAATTCGATCAATTTGAGGCAAAAGGGACAAGCCAAGAAGTTACGATGTATTGAGACTACTAAACCCAACCCAAAACAGCAATATGTCGAACAACGCGCCAGAGGGGCGTACATCGCGTCAATTTGCCAACCCGAGGCCTGTTTCGATTTATCCACTGCTGCCCAACACCAAGACCCCTCGCCAGAAGCGATAAAAGCACTGAATCAACGGATTCGATGGCAAATAGAATCGCCTAACCGAGGAATAACGTTTATCCCACTCGACCTTACAACAGCCAAGCTATTCGTTTTCGTTGACGGGTCGTTCGCTAATAACCACGACCTCTCCTCCCAATTAGGGTTTCTGATCATCCTAGCCAACGACACTTCCTCTGACAGCAACAACGGAGAATTCACGATTCACGGTAACCTCGTTCATTACAGCTCTACGAAGAGTAAACGAGTCACCCGCAGCGTATTAGCGTCAGAGATCTACGGGATGGTCGCTGGCGTCGATATGGCCTACGCCCTCGCCACAACCCTGGCGACAATCACTGACCACCTCAACCTACCAACGATTCAGACAGTTGTCTGTACCGATTCCTATTCGCTGTACGAGTGTCTCGTGAAGCTGGGCACTACCAAAGAAAAGCGACTCATGATCGATATCATGGCGTTGAGACAATCGTACGAAAGACGAGAACTACAAGAAATTCGTTGGATTAACGGCGAAGACAACCCTGCTGATGCCCTCACGAAGAGCAAACCAAATCGAGCCCTCGAGAGATTCGTTGATAGCAACACGATAACGATACGTATGGAGGGATGGGTAACAAGACCGTAACTACGGGAGAAAGTAGGGATAGGAGGCCGAATTGACGAGGAGACGGAACTGTATAGGGACAACGTATTCCAACCGCTTCAACACCATAAAAAGAGAGTTTCCAGTGTTGCGATAGTTGGAATACGGAGTCGTGTGGCACTTCCAGCCACACGCCCGCCAGGCTGAGAGGCCCAAGCCTCCCAGACCCACGTGACAGGCCAAGGGGGAATATCCCCACCTTCTAGTCAACAACACCACTTTCAACTATCATGAACCATCGATTAGAACCAATTTACTGTTATTTGTTATTGACGAACGGAATTCCGTTTCACCCCCTGTTTCACCCCCTGTGAAACCTACAAAAACCTTGCGATGAGACGCACGCAGTTTCTCTAGCGGAGAAGATACTAAAAGAGGAGTCGACAGAAACAACAGCCACGAGCTCGACAAGTGTCCAAACTATTGTTAGAGGGGACTCGCAACAGCTTAAAACCGATGGCCAAGTCGAATTGGAGCAGAAAGATGAAGAACGTGGACCTCTTCAACATATTCTCAGTACCCGTCAATTGGTAGTCTTGTTTGCCGTGTACGTGACCCCACCCTCCAGACCCCGAAATTGAGCTTCGACTAACCTAAAGAAGTGTCTGGGGGTTCAGTTTCGCCTTGGCCCTTTCGTTTGGCGTCTTCAATGTCCTAACCCCTTACGTCACAAGTGATTTTGGGAAGCACGCCCTCACCGCAACGACGTCGGTTGTGGCCAGCGTCACAAGTGGCATAGCCAAGCTGCCATATGCGAAGCTTTTAGATGTGTGGGGAAGACCCTGGTGTATGACAGCCATGGTTTTGTCCATGACAATAGGCTCCGTCATGATGGCCGCCTGCCAAAATGTTGAGACCTACTGCGCGGCGCAAGTCTTTTATTTCGTTGGCTTCTTCGGTATTCAGTTCAGCTTTACGATCCTTATTGCGGACGCCTTGCCCCTCCGTCACCGAACATTTGTCATGGGTGTAACTTCGACTCCATCCATCTTGTCAGTTTGGGCTTCTGGCCCAGCCGCGCAACATATCCTGGAAACCATAGGGTATAGATGGGGTTTCGGATGCTGGTCCATTGTTGTCCCAATATGTTCTACACCTCTTTTGTTCTTGATGTTCAAGTACGACAAGCAAGCACGGAAAGCTGGTTTGATTAAAATGCCTGCAGCCAACAAGACAATGCGTGAATCAGCCCTTTATCATTGTAAAGAGTTTGATGTCATTGGGCTGACTATGCTCGGCTCTGGCCTTTGCCTTGTTCTTCTAGCCATCAGCATCTACTCATATCAGCCCGGCGGCTGGAAATCACCCTTGATAATTTCCTTTATTGCGGTTGGCTTTCTCTTGCTTGCCGGCTTTTTGACTTATGAGAAGTATCTTGCTCCGGCAACATTCCTCCCATGGCAGCTTATTAAGGAGCCGACTGTCGTCTTCACCAACTTGGCAACAGCTTCATTTTATATCTCAAGTTCTCTGGGCTCGGCATACATATATTCAATGCTCATCGTCAGCTTCAACCAATCCGTAACAAATGCTACCTACATCAACAACATCGACATGGTCGGAGCCTCTATCGCAAATGTTTTGCTTGGGGTGGCCGTTCAATATAACTGTGGGCGAAACCAGCACAGAACGCTCAGAATGGGAAAAGTGGTGTTGTTGGTTGGAAGAACTAACTAACTGGCTAGAGGGCTGTGGAGGCTGGCTAAGACCAGTGGTGGCGGCCGTCAGCCCACGTGACGGGCCGGCGAGGCCTGCCACCCACAATGGCTGTATCGCACGCTCATACACCGGCCTTGCTCGCAGTGAAAAAACATCAACAACAGCGAGAACGAAATTTTTGAAAATCGGAGCAAAAACGGCCCCAAATACGCGTGCTCGCGGCCACAGAGCCCCCTTCGATGCAATGCCATCCTCGGCCTTGATTCTACGTCCCAAAGGGGCCCAAGATGGCCGCAGAGCACGCCCCGACTACAATGAAAAACTTGAGAGCAAGCCGCAAAATACGACATATCAATAGACAACACTGTTACCACCACCACAGGCGAGCCACAAGCCGCTACACGAAGCACTAAGACTGCGCCCAAACAATCAACTTCAACACAACAGCCGCCGACAGGTTTTGGGTCACCTGTCACCCCCGACAAAGTTTGCAACGTCCCACAACGACGAAGATGAGTCCGACAGAACAGTATCACCTTCCGCACGGAGAAAGCACCAGGCATTAGGCATGCTACGATCGATGCCACACAATACTACAGACCACAGACAGACTGGTCCCCTGTCGCCCCTTTTGCGAAGAAGGATTGGTGTCCCTTCAACGCGCGACAATGTCTGCGGAATCTGTGCGGGAGCTCTCATACCCAGTAATCGAACATGTCGGAGTCAGTGGAGCATTGTGCTTCGTGGAAGACCCTTGGGCCAATGTGGTGGAGGGCAATAGTGGTCAACAGGCAAGAAACAAGAGGCCACATAGGAACCCGGCAGGAGGCAACAAAGAATTTACAGATGCAACTGAGAAAACGGCATATACAAGTCCGGGAGGATACGGACAAAACAAAGAGACAAAGCTGAGCGCTGGGGGGAGACTGTAGGTACAAAGAACCAGATACGGTGCTACCAGCACCAACTGAACCGAAGCAGGAGGACGCAAAACAAGCATTCTAGAGAGCAACACAAAAGCGAGAAAGCAGACAGGAGAGCAACACACTTCTTCAACAGAGGGCACAAACACACAGAATAGAGAACATAGTGGGGAGCTTGGGGATAGCTGGCCCTGATGCAACATCAGGGCGAAGTGGGGCGTCGCTGTTCATTGTCGACGCTTCGGCTACCTGCCAAACCCCGCTTTCCGGGCATAGCTGCTGGCATAAGAGCGGCTTCATAACCGAGTAGGAATAAATCAATCAATCAATCAAGCCTTGCTCGCAGTGGAGACCACTTTTGTTGCTTGTGGGGACGGCACCGGTGCTGCAATTGCAACTGCGATATGGACCTGGATGTTCCGACAGAAACTAGCTGCCTACTTGCCAGCATCTGAGATGGCAAATCTGGACATTATCTATGAAGATATACAAGCTCAGTCTTCATATGTGGTTGGAAGTAGCGCCAGAACAGCCATCGATCGCGCTTATGGGGAAACACAGCGTGTCATTTTCATTACCGCTACTTCGATTCTTGCCGTCACCTGGATCTCCGTTTTTTTCTGGCGGGATATCGATGTAAGAAAACAAAGTGGCCGGGGTGTAAAAGTAAGGGGTTCGAATGCATGACGAAAAGAACCACTACGTAACCATACGTTGGCGTGCTGTTGCAGCGCCAAGATCTTAAGAATGGACCAGTCTTCTTCGTTAAATGCAGTGTAGTGAAACATTTGATTGGTATCACTGCATACCTTAACCCCCCTGAATACGGGTGACTTTTAAAGACCGAGCTCCCATCTCGGGAGTCGGGCAATTTCCCCGCCCCGAAACGATCTTGAGATTGCCGCAGCTTAGAAATCGTATATAGCCCATCTCGCTGCACCATACCGCACTCAGTTCCAGCAACATTAAACATCTAACTCAGAACTAACATGCTGTATACATTTGAAATCTTATCTCTGTTGGCCATTCTGGTAGGTGTTGTAACAGCCATGCAAAGAAAAAGATACTGACAATCTCCTCATTAAGCTTGTTGTCTATGGCGCAGCAACGGTCATCTACAACCTTTTCTTCCATCCACTGCGTCGATATCCAGGGCCAAAATTATGGGCAGCCTCGCCACTGCCCTTATTTTTCAGCGTTCTCCAAGGCAAGTCCTACGTCAACATCTTGGAGTTGCACAAGCGATATGGCGATGTCGTCCGGATCGACCCAAATAAGTTAGCTTTCGCACACAATGATGCCTGGAAAGAAATCTACGGGCATCTAAAGCGCGACCAAGAAGAGAATGGAAAGGACCCCAAGTATGTGAACAGCGATGTTGACTCGAGCCTCATCGCTGCCTCTCGCGAGAGGCACGGACAAATGCGCCGCGTCTTGTCGCATGCTTTCTCGGCGCGAGCAATGGCTGATCAGCAGCCACTGATTAACAAGTACATTGATCTTGCCATAGAAAGATTCCGTCAGCATGGAGAGGGCGGACTGAAGCCAATAGACGCCTCCAAGTGGTTTGAGTGGACAACTTTCGATATCATTGGGGACCTGGCCTTTGGCGAACCTTTTGGATGCCTCCAAAACTCTTCCTCTCATCCATGGGTGGAATGTTTCTTCGATTCACTGAGGTGTTTACAAACCATGCAAATTATGACCGACTTGCCCTTCTTCAGCCTCCTAAAGCCCCTCTATTTCATGCTTTTTGTACCCAAGGACACATTCAGAAAGTTTCAGGACACGCGGATGTTTGCTGAAGAAAGCTTGAAAAAGAGACTCGGTCTCGGCGCTGAGCGACCAGATTTCGTGGATGCTATGATAAGAGGCATCAAAGACCATGTCAGTGCCTCCCCGGTGCTGCTGTAACCTTACCTTCAGCTTCTATGAGCAGCTCTTTCAGCAACTTCGCTTTCTTTACCCAAAGACCAAGGCTAATGTAAATTCATCGCAGTCATTGTCTCGGCTCGAAATGAAGGACAATAGTGTTCTTCTCACGACAGCTGGCTCCGAGACCACCGCAACAACGCTTGCTGCAACGACTTATTATCTCTGTAACCATCCCAAGGTCCTTGCCAAGCTGAACGCAGAAGTCCGCTCGTCTTTCCAGAGCGAGAGCGACATCAATGTGAACAGCGTCCAAAGTCTACCATACATGCTTGCTGTGCTTAAGGAGTCCATGAGAATATACCCTCCCGTGGCCGTGGCGTTGCAGCGCCAGACGCCACCTGGCGGAGCAGAAATAGCCGGGGAATACGTACCCGGAGGGGTAAGTCTGAAGACGGATGATTTTGTCTGTTCTCGCATTCCTCTAACGCCCTGTGTTTACAGACGTCTCTGGGTATCTGGCAATATGCGGTATATCATAATCCCGCTAAATTTCAGCATCCCGACTCCTTCATCCCGGAGCGCTGGCTGGACGATGAACGCTTTGAAAATGATCAAAAGCAACTACATCAGCCGTTTTCTTACGGTCCGCGCAACTGCTTAGGCATGAATCTTGCCTACGCCGAGATGCGACTTATCCTCGCCCGTATCATCTGGAACTTTGACCTGCAGCTGGCACCGGAGAGCCTTGGCTGGGGGGTGAACCAGAAGGTCTTCTTTTTCTGGGATAAGCCTCCTCTCTGGGTACATTTCAAGGCAAGACAGATGTGAGAAGCGGAAAACAGGGGTTTTGTTGTGTCATTTGGACTTGGAAAATTTGTGCGGATTCTTTTGTGCACGGATAGTTACTCTGGACTGGAAAAGAAAGCATTGTATATCCAAAGTGTAGATATAGAGCGTCATTCCCCCGGCGTTTCCGTATTCTTGAACTCTTCAAGACTTTTCAGAATCCGTTTAAGTCCCTCGTCCAAGTAACCCTGATCATGAGCGAAAGTTATACGAAACCAACCGGCCTCCTCGGTCCTGAATGTGCTGCCGGCGGCCAAAAACACCTTGTTGGAAAGCAGAGTGGCATTCAGTCGCTCCTCCAAAGCCCACTGATGCTCCGCAGCTTCACCCAAAGCCTCATCCGCCTTCGTCCTGGATCCCAGTCGTGGAGACCAGAAGGTGAAGAGGTCAGCCCACACAAAGAAACCTGCGTTGCTGGGTTTTTGTGATATTCCGTGATGCCCGAGGAAGTCAATAGTTTTTTTGTACTTCGCAGCTAGCAAGGCCTGGTTGGAGTTGAGGTAGCTGTTCACAAAATCGGTATTTGAGAGGATGGAAGCGGTGACACGGTCAGAAAGAGACGACGGACAAGTAAATATCCTTTCAGGTATCCAGTTAACTCTCTGATCTTTTGGCTGCATTTCAAATATGTAAGCACTTACGAGTTGGTCTCCAAGGCCTGAAGAAAATCCTTATTGTGTTGACTGACCACACAGCCCAACCTCAGGCCGTTTGCCCCAAAGTCCTAGGAAACAATTGGCTAAGGCTAGAGAAAGGCTTGACGAACGACTTACCTTACTCATGCCCCATAAGACATGTACAAGGGCGGGGTTGATCAGACCAGTGGGGTCAATAGACAAGACAGAATGGAAAGTTGGAGCATGGGGAATCTCTGGGTTTTCCCAAACTGAAAGGCCGTAAATCTCATCACTGATTAGATGGAGGTTGTACTTTTGACAAAATCGCATGTACTCCTGCAAGAGTTCGCGGGAAGCGCAGCGACCTGTGCTTTTGTTAGGATCCATTATCTGATAAGATGAACGGCTTACCTGAAGGGTTATGTTGCGATAGTTGGAATACGGAGTCGTGTGGCACTTCCAGCCACACGCCCGCCAGGCTGAGAGGCCCAAGCCTCCCAGACCCACGTGACAGGCCAAGGGGGAATATCCCCACCTTCTAGTCAACAACACCACTTTCAACAATCATGAACCATCGATTAGAACCAATTTACTGTTATTTGTTATTGACGAACGGAATTCCGTTTCACCCCCTGTGAAACCTACAGGTTATGTGGGTTGCAGAGCAAGAGCGCTTTGACTGGGACGCCCTTTTCGCGTGACTCCAGTAGCGCTCGCTCATAAGCGGCGATGCCATCTATCGTGATATGGTCGTCTCCGTTGAATGAAACTGGGACGTGGCGCACTCTAAGAATAAGACTTAGATACTGTTGTTAGGTTTACTGGAAGGAATCTCACCCTGCTCGATTTAAAAGGTTGTATGGGAAAGCTTTGTAGAAAGGCCGGGCTAGTAGCACACCATCACCCTGGTCGCAGAGAGAAAATGCACAAGCCTCAATAGCTGCGCTCACGCCGGATGTGACAATTAAATGATTTGGGCGGATAGGGGCGTGTGGCTTGAAAAAGGAAGTCAAAAAGTTGGCCAGGACTTCTCGGAGTCGATGGCTTCCAAAGAAGCTGTCGCCGTAACCTAGACCATGGCTATCTATGGTGAACTTTGAGTTTCTAGTGTTAGTTGAATTGTATGTGAAGCAAACCAACTTCCTCAACAACTCGAAACGAAGGAAATTGAAACTAAGCCTTTAGAGGTTGGCTTACGGTTGAGATGATATAATTGATAAGCTCTTTGTGCATGAGTGTCTATGATCAGCACAGTTAGCTGTCGTGTTTTGTCGCTTGAATTGTCTTAAGATGCTGGTAGGCTAACATTTTCAGCAACACCTAGGCTCAAAAAGCCCGAGGGATTCTGAACCGGATGCCATGCATCTCGCAGCATGTCAAGGAGGTGATTCTTGTTAATTGGCAGGGCATAGTTCGCCCCGCGATCCGAAAGGTTGCTATCATAAAGCCTCATTTTTGGCGATTGGGCTCAGGCGTACCAGGATTGTGATAAGGATGTGATGAATGCGAAGTCCAACAATGAAACACTTTGAACCCCAAGAGTTGTGCCTTTTGTACGCGACGTACGTTCTTCATTCCACCAAAACCGACTTCAACTAATTTGGCGGCCGAGCTTGACTAGACCACCGACTTCGGTAGGCCGAAACCCCAGAAAATGGGGCCGATGCCGATGCCGAGTTTTGGTGGCTCAGTCGTCAAATTCCGCCGACTTTTGGCCCAAAGCGGAATGATTCAACAAAAGAATAAGGAAAAATGACTGAAATGAAATTCTGCTACTGTTTAAGTTTATGTCTTCCCTTTAAACGTACAGTTTAAACTACTTGCGATACCACATCCTTGTGATCTTTGTTCTCCTCATTTTAGCCTGCAGCGTAAAAACACCCTGCAGTAAAGCCTCAGGGGTCGGCGGGCAGCCTGGCACATATACGTCCACCGGGATGATTCTATCGACTCCTCTGACGACGGAATAGCTGTAATGATAGTATCCGCCGCCGTTCGCACAACTGCCCATGCTAATCACCCATCTCGGCTCCGGCATCTGGTCGTAGCACTGTCGGACAGCAGGGGCCATCTTGTTCGTTACGGTGCCGGCGACGATCATGACGTCTGCCTGGCGAGGAGAAGCGCGGAAGATGATGCCCAGACGGTCCTGGTCGTAGCGTGGCATTGAGACGTGCATCATTTCGACACCGCAGCAAGCCAGGCCAAAGGTCAAGGGCCAGAGCGAGCTCTGGCGAGCCCAGTTGGCGATGGCGTCGAGAGTAGTGCTGCGCAGGGAGTCAGAGGGCCACACCATGTCTGAGAAGTTTACGGAGCTTACAGCGCGTATTCAACGGCATTTGATTTTTCTTTCTTGGCTAATGCCGTCGATTTGGGAAAACCCTTGATAGATGTTGCAGCTTTGGCTGTCGTATCGGTGTGATTTTGCCTGCGAGTGTTCCTCGGCGGTGCTGTTAAACACAGCACTGAAGCCACGGGAATAGCTGGAGAGCTAATCCTTGGCGAGAGGCTTCGGAGTCCATTCTGAATGATGGCTATGAAGAGTACCAGCCCGGTATTAGTGAACCATTTTTGCAGTGTACTTTTATCTCAGAAACAGACTAGTCGTACTTACACTTTGGTACAGTCGATCCGTACATCCGGTCTTCCCCTGAGTGGAAAAGAAGTGGTTACGAAGGTGATATACTTATATAAGAGAATGCGAAAGTATTTAATACAATTGATACCAAGACTTATGAGGCTTTACTCGAATACGTGTCAAAGGGACGCGGCAAATCAGTTGTTTGGACCCAATGACCAGTCTCGAATCACCACGCTGGAAGATTGTTTCTCAGGAGACAAAAAAGAAAAAAAGAAAGAAAGAGAGAATCAGACAAGAGGGAGTAACACGCTCTAGGAACGCAAAGGCGGACTCAGCCGCACTTGAAAAGTTCCCGAGCACCGTTGAGGCGGCTTCTCGCGACTTACAAAAGGCGGCTTATCCTTCCGTATCGGGCTTAACGTGATTGAGGTCCGTCCCCAGGTGCATACTCCACTGTATTTTAGGTGATAACCCACCGGCGAAAGGCGCTTGACGTCCCGGTAGTGGGGTTTCTCCGATGCCATGTTTGAGGTTTCACTGGGAGGTGGAGCCTTCTAACGCCGTTTCCCCGATTACTTTCCTACGTATCACGGACAAAACCCACCTCCCTCACTCTTTTCCATCTCTCGTCACCTACACCCCCATGTTTCATACCCACCAACTCAAGACCGTCCGAATCTATTGGATTAACAATTGATCCTTCCTTCGAACCTCTGTGCCGCCGGTGCGGGACCCCGACATGCCGGAATCTGTGGTTGGGACCCGCGGGTACTCATGCGCAACCTGCGGGAAGCAGTATCAGCGGAGCGCCCATTTGCGGCGGCATGAATCCACTCGTAAGCCACCTAGTCTAGCTTCATTTTGTTTCTTACTTTTGGTTTCAAAGGCGAGTTCTTGTTCTTGGGGTTCAGTTTGTATCATCCTTTTCAAAAGTTGAGACTTGATGGGCCCTGAATTTCTCGGCTAGAGCAGGCTAATGTTACCTGGCCAAATCTAACCTATTCTGGGAGAACCCCTACAATTCCGTCCTCTTGAGTTTTTATCCATCACTTTGATTTTCATGCGGAAGTCTCGGCTTTTCTAGTATTAAATTCGACGGTTCATCTCATCCAACTTTACGCCGCTGACATAACTTAGACACCCAAGGCACAAGCTTCAACTGCCCTTATTGCGAAAAAGCATTCGCCAGACGGTATGTTGTCTCACCCCTTGCCCATGATACTACACCCCCTGGTTAGATTTCCCGTGACTCACTTACAACAGCGACGTCTGCCGGAAGCATGCCGTTCACTGCCCAAACAAGACGGACCGTGAAGCCATTCCCATCTTGAGGCGTGGCCAGAAGCCTCGCGCATGCGACGCCTGCTTTCACAGCAAACAGTCATGCGATACTTCAGAGCCATGCGAGCGCTGCGTCGCACGTAAGCTGTCATGCACATATCACAGACTGGAGGACACTTCACAATCCGCTACCTCGTCCTCCTCCCTAGCCACAACAGCCGTGGGGTCCCCTGCTAATAACAGCAATAACCACAACAACAATGACAAAGACCGCACGAAAATCACCGTGGCCTTCCTCCTAGGGCTAACAAACCCGAACTCAGACAACATTCTCGAGTTCCTCGCCAGCGAGGCCGCTGCCCGGACCGAAGGTGACGGGCTCGATTCCGGCACAAAGTCCACCAGCGCCACCACCCAGTTCCCCTCAGGCATACCGACGGACCAGGACTTCGCCGCATTCCTACCCGTCAACTTCTACTCCGGCTTTGGGCCTGACTCGGTCGACTTTTTGTACGCCATCGGAGGGATTATGGAAAGCGCAACGGCGGCTACTTCTGCCTCCCCTTTCAGCCCCGAGGCCATCGAAGGCCGCGCCGCCGCCCTGCTCTACGAGCTGCAGGAACTACACAACGCCCTCAAGGTATGCGAGCCCTGGTACGACGGCGAATTCGATCTCGCCATCGCGAGTTCGGTATTCTCGGCACACAGTCTGTGCCAGTTCGCAGCGACTTACTTCCGCGTGAGCCATCTTGACTTTCCCATCCTGCACCGGCCGTTCTTCGGCACCGAGCGCACAACCAAGACGCTGTTATTGGCGGTCGGCGTCGCCGGGGCACTGAGGTCGCCTCCGAGCGACGATGCGCTCGCCGCGCGCGGCTTCCTCGGCCTCGTTGAGGAGTACATCTTCCGCACGCTCCACAGGCAAATGCCGTACGGATCTACGCCCGAGTACACCGACGAGCTGGAGGAGAGCCTGCAGGCGGCGTTGATGATCCACAGCGTGCAGTTTTTCAGGAACGACACGGCGACGCGGCGGAAGAACCGGACGCTGAGGCTGCCCACGCTGGTGTCGGCTGTGCGGTGTCTTGGGCTGGCGCAGACGAGGCACAAGCCCGTTTTCGAGTACGAGGACTTTGTAAGGAACGAGACCCGTATACGGTGGGTATCTTCCCGACGGTTTTCCTCCTTGATCCAGACTTTTGTTAACGTGTTTGTTCAGGTTGGCGACGTGGTTGGCTCTCGCCGACTGGCAGCAATGCGGCATGTCCAACGCGCCGCCGACGATGACGCCCGCGGAGATGACGTGCGACCTCCCGTGTCCGCTGGAGCTCTTCGACGCCAAGGACGCAGACGAGTACTTTGAAGTGGCGCAGACCAAGGGCCTCGATCCCTCGAGGAGGATAGTCTCAGTCAGGCACTGCGTGGACGCGTTGATGAGCGACAGTTGGAAGGGGATGGAGAGCTTCCCTTTCGAAGACATTACTGCGACGGATCTGCAGATTCTGATATTCGGTACGTGGTGGTGACCCTGCAAAGCACACACTCAAACTCCATAGGGCTGACGCGTAACAAAAGGTATAAACGCCATGGTGGCGTCCGCGAATCTCATGGGCATCTTGTCCTCCAGCTCGCACAACATCCTCCGTGCGGTTTCCAGGTGGGAGGACATGTGGGATACCGTCCGCGAGCGCATGGGGCCGGCCAAGTTCGAGAAGAGCGGCATGGTCAGGTACAACACCGAGCTGTGCTGGGCGGCCAAGGTGATTGTCAAGATTGCCATTGCTGGGGACCGGAGCTCGGCGTATATGCAAAAGGTGGGACACGATTCGCTTGTCGAGCTCCACGAGTTCGTGCGCCAGTATCGTGACTTTTGAAGGGCGTGTTTTTGTTATCCCCTCCTTTATAAAGTTTTGAGAACCTGACAGATGTCTGGTTGACGGACCTGTAACTATACTAGACGACTTCTTTACTAAGATTTACAAATGTGGCTGGAGGCATATACGGCGTTGGGCTAGATGGGGGGACTACATGAAGGGCATTTGGTAGAATATGCATCTAGAGCGCGGATACTAGCTATAGGATTTACTAGTCACTCTCTCCTGGATGATTTGAATCAATTAATCCGCAATCATAGTGAACGAGAGAACTCGTAGCTGTAATAAAAGATGTTGTGGGAAATCATAGTATAACAGAATATTTGTGCAGAGTGTATGGTTCCGTGGCGAATAAACCATCCATTATGGGTCATCTTGTTATTTTGTTGTCAAATTGTATTCATTCAACAGAAAACCGATATCCACATGTGTCAGCCGCTCGTTGAGTCGGCATCCACATTGCCCTCTCTGTGAAACCCCATGCTACCTAGTATAAATACCACTTCTTCTTAAGGGTTCAAAAGTGACAACCAAAGGTACTTGTCTTGATAGTTTCAGACACCCGATCGACTGCGGGATACGCGGCTGAGTCTCCTTAAAGTGGACCCAGTGTGTCCTCTTGGCGCCATGTCTTTACACTATTGCTGGGTATTGATTGCACTGCTTAATAAATCCTCTTGAAGGGAAATGGGACCAGGCCAATGATTTTGTTTACTTTATTCAACATCAAGTGGTAGATAGTGATGGCTGTGCGTCACTTGTGAAGTGGAAAGTGACTTAAAATAAGGAGGATGGAGATGGTATGCGCACTAGTAGCACGATTCCTCCGTATTCCATCCTTAACCGCCGGTAATTCGGTTTTAAATGCGCCGATACGCCTCGTGGAGATTACTTTTAGTCATTTGCCGTCAGGTGTCACAACGCACTATCTGCTCTTATTCGCAAGTAGACCGCAACCGGCGGAGCTCCAAATGCCGTTTAGACCCGCAAAATAACAGCTCGCTCTCCTCTCGGCCAAGGTTTCAAGAAAACCCCAAACACAACAATCTGGCTGGAACCGACTGGGCGGCGCAACGGAGACTGGCAGCAGCCCAAAGCATGCGGCGGAAGACCGGATAGGGAAAGGCAGCGGCAGACGAGACCGGGCCGTGTAGAGACACTGGGTTCCAAGTCATGTGATGTTTTTTGCGGCGGGGGTCAAAGCAAACGAAGTGTTGCCATTTCATTCCCATGTGTCGGAGACATTGGACGGAGAACCGAAGACGTAATAGAAGCCAACAGGAAAGGGAAATCCTTGTATCTTTACCCAGCGCGCCAAACTCGGCAACTACTGAAAATAAAGTCAAGGTTGGGGAGTACCGTGCCATGAATTATGTCGTATTGGTACGGCAGATGTCAATAGGGGGGGGGGAGAGACACCGTACTACGTAGTACAGTGAGAGGAAGAAATTCGTTTGATGACTCAAAGTGTTAGTACCTAGTAGTCGTAGCACGGCTTGGGCGGTTAATGCACCCCGGATTCTGCAATAACGTGCAACGGGTACTTGTGGGGCCGCGCCAGGGCTTTCGATGACGGAGTGTGATTAAATGCGAATGGTTCGATTAACTCCAGGCGAGGAGGCTCTAAACTCAGACGAGGGGGGTCTTTTTCCCACACGCGATAGCTGGGAATGGTGCATGCTAACCGAAGCTGGAGCGCATGAACCTCGGGGGAAATAGGGTTTCGTTGGTTCGTGTGCGTAGTTGTATGTGGCATGAAGTCACGGTTGAGATGACAGCCGCTGTTTGGTGGGGAAGAATGAGGGGGGTATTCAAGATGAGGAAAGAAATGTCCGGCGACACAGTATGATCAGGGTAGTGGACGATGGGAGTGGTGGTGGAAGAGGGGTGATGCATGTCGGATGACGTCGTCACGATGCAGAAAGAGGGAGAGAACGCTAAATGTCAAGAATGGAGGAATCCCAGGGGAACGACATGGGATTGCCAACGGATTGGGTGGTTGGATGGAAGCAGAGGGACACGAGGGAGAGAGGTGGTGTGTTTTTCTTTTCTTTTCTTTAGCGCTTGACGATGTGCAAACACTCCATTCTTCATCGGGCTGACGGTTGACATTGACATTGACAGGTATTCGTACATGAACGAGAGAGATTTCCACCAGCTGAGGTCAGGCCAGGTTAGGCTGAGGAAGCCGAGCTTAGTGGAGCTGAGTTAAGCTGAGCTGAGCTGAGCTGTGCTGTGCTGTGCTGTGTAGTGTAGTGTACTTTAGGTGCTGCTGTGTTGTTTGCTTTGCTGTTTGAGGACTGGACGAAATTAGAACAGAAAGTGGAGGCAAGGGAAGACGAGCCGCCGAAAGTGAATCAAGGCCGTGGCGCAGTGAGAGTCAAGGGTAAATTGCGGTGGTGTGGTGTATGCCTCGAGTGCTTGAGTAGGTATCCCGTAATAAACGATGGACAAGTCATGTACCTTGAAGAGTATAGGGAGGGATGGATGGAGGTGAGGTGAGCAGAGCATATCGAAAACAGAGAGCATTGCAGATCTGGTATAAAGGCCCTTTTTTTTTTTTTTTTTTTTTTTTTTTTTGCTTTGTATTTCTTCTGGCAGCCCCCGACACAGCGCTAAGATAATTAATAGGTAGGCAGGCACGGCAGGAAGGACTCAAAGTCACCTACAGTCCTACCTGCTCGGTGGCTGCTGTAGACGATCGCGATCCAGGGCAGTAGGCACCAATGAAAGAAGGAGCCACAGTGACGGAGGGTGTACTGTGGCACAGGGTCCACACCTAGGCTGTCCCTTCCCTTCCAGTGGCCGTCCAATCCGGACCCCCCGATCTATAACACGGAGGAAGTACCCGGTACCTATGTCGGACCGGATCCCTCCTCTGACAGAGACGCCCGCCAGTTGCCGACCATTCGGTACGTAGAGGCCATTGCGCCCTACGGCTACCTGCCCGAACTGCCTAAGCAAGCCCAACCACCCACTAGGGAGCTGTTGTAGTCGAAACAGGCAACAAGATAATCATGTCCGCCCTGCCTAATTCATGGTCCTCACCTCAAGGTACCTAAGGTAAGGTAAGGTAAGGTGGGAGAAGACCAAGGCTACTGCAGTGACACCCGACGTCAGTCACTATCATTTATTAGCGGACGCCGTCCAATTTGAAGGGGTAACTTTGGCAGCAAAATTCAGGTTATTCACGTAATCTAGTATCCCAACATCCCGGCATCCCAGCCTCCCCAACTCCATTTCCACTTCCATTTCCATCCCCAATCCCGAATACCCAATCCCCACCCATCTACAGACACACATACTGTAGTAGTGTAGTAGACACACAAGGCACAGGCCAGCAACAAGTAACAAGATCCTCCCCTGCTTCACCCGACAACACCAAACCAAAGCAAAGTAGACAGAAAAGAAAAAAAAAAAAAAAAAAAGCAAGGCAGACCCAAGAAGATATCGCGCATGCACCAGTAACCTGACGGACAGGGTCATCCCACTTATCACGAGCTGCTACGACCACCTGCTTCTTGCGTCTGCATCACCATCTGCAATCGCATGCTGGTATAAGACAAGCCCAACAGCTTTCAAAAGCCTCACCTGCCCGCCCTGTCACCTACTACGTATCTACTTGCCCCCCTCCCTATTCTACCACACACCGCTGCATCTAGTATATTCCTCCGCCCTTTTTTTCCCTCTCTTTCTTCTTCCTCTTCTTCTTTTTTGCTTTTCCCCCAATCTCCTGAATCATCCCGTCACAACGCCATCACACACATCCGCATCCTCTCTCTATCCTGTTCTCCTGTTTCACAAACATCACGAGCCCTTTTTTGCTGGTCCCCTCCACCCCTGGCTCGCCGCATCCACCACCGCACCACACCCGCACCAGACCTAGGTGCTAGCCCACCGCTGCTGCAGGTCACGAACCACCCACCCACCCCCATTACGCCTTGTCGGCTTCCTGAGGCCCCCTCGACAAAATCAACGACTTCGTCACCAGATTTCTGAACCCCGCTATTTTTCCTCCCCCCCCTCTACCTTCAACCCACAACTTTGACTGCTACATCTCCGCCTTTACACCTTTATCTGGATTGGTCCTGACCTACACTACATTACACATACCTCACGAGGCTCGCATCACGTCCCGAGCTTCTTGTCGCCTTGTTGTCTTTCTTGCCTCTAGCAACTACGCCAAACCACCACCAACCTAGCTTGTTCAGCCTAGCTCAGCTCTCGCGAACTTCTTCAAAATGGCAGCCGTCGTCGAACGCAGCCCCCCGTCGCATTCTCCTCCTGGTCCTCAAGCGAAGCGACCCAGGGGTAAGTTGCCGAACCCATCGTCGTTCTCATCGGAACGAAATCCACTGACCGAGAACTTCTGCAGGAATCCTTAAGAACTCATTCCAAAAGTCTCCTCCAACCTCGCCCAACAGCGAACATCCTCTCACCGAGAAGGAACTCACCATCGTCAACACCCAATACAACGCCGGCCACCGCCGTTCTTCATCTGCCGCCCGACCCTCGGGCTCCCGCCGCCAGTCCAGCCGCACCCCCTCCGCCCAGGGCGACGACGAGCAGGATCTGGAGTCGTCTCAGCGCCTCAAGTGGGACGAGGCCAACCTCTACCTTACCGAGCAGGAGCGCACCTCGACAATGAAGATTGACGAGCCCAAGACGCCCTATGCGAAGCACTATGACCCCACCGAAGACCCCTCCGACGACGACGAAGAAATGGAAGACCCCAACGTTGAGAGGAAGCCTCGCACGGCTCGTACTGGTCCTGGCGTGGAAGATGATATCCCTGTCATGTCGCTTGGCGAGCCGGAAGAGGCGGTCCCGGAGAGCGAGTCGTCGAAAGAAAAAGCCCTCAAAGCCGTCCACGTCGACGACACCGGCAGCTCTCATGGTGGCGACGAAGCCGACCTGGCCGGTCTCTCGCCCGAAGAGAAGGAGAAGCACCGACGTTTCGAGCAGTTGCGCAAGAAGCACTACGAAATGAAGGATGTGGCCCACTTGTTGGGCCACCCCGAGGAAGTACCAGAAGAAGAGGATGATGAGGACAGCACCAACCCGCCTCCTGTCCCACCTCTTCCCAGACCCAGTCAGGCCACCAACGGCCAGGCCTGAGCCCCGACGATATTTTAGCCGTGGTGGAATGAGATACGGCAGGTTCGCTCCGCTGGGGAGAAACCCGTCGTGGGAGACGTTTGACGAGCATTTTAACGGACTGTTTGCGTGTTTTGGGGTCGAGGTTGAGATCAGCATCCGGCAACGGCGTGGTGGCACACGAAGGAGTTCTGGGTGGTTATCACGAATGGTTTTTGCGGCGTTCCGGGGCCTTCGTGTCGGTAGTAGTCGCGATTCATCGTCACTGCAACGTGTATCCCGTCTTGGTGCGGAAACGGCAACGGTAACGGCAACAACACCGATGCCGACGCCGCCGCCAGACAGGAGCTTATCAGCACGAGTAGGTAGGCTTTTTGCTTCCGCCAGCAAATGGCATATTCAATAGAGTCTCCATTGCCTAATAACTCCGTTTTCCCCTTCTCGTGAAATACATTTGTGTGTATGTGTGTCTTCTCAGTTGACCCCTTCTTGGGACCCTGTGTCATGGTATCCTGCGCCTTTGATGCTTTTTTTGCTACGTTCAAACACTCCTCAAACTCTGTCTCCCTTAATCCAGTCCATCAAGTCTACCCTCCAATCGCCCCAGTTCGGTCCCCATTACAACAAGCCCTTACGCGCGAGCTCGACCTTTCTCGCAGCCTCACCAGCAGAGAAACCACCCCGTGACACACAGATCCGGTTGCCCTCGGCGAGCTCAAACTTGTCTTGGTTTGCGGGCCAGGGGCAGGGGCAGTGGTGCGGGAAGTGGACGCAGGCGAGTGTGTCAGGGCAAAGATAGTGTTCGCAGTAGGCTGCGAGGAGTCAGTCATCTTGTCCAAACATTTCCAAAGCACTAGCAGATAGTCTACTCACATCCTTCGTATCGTTGCTGGTATTGCGAGGGGTCGCTGGGGACGTTCTGGGGTTGCTGCTGTTGCTGTTGGCCACCGAACATTTGCTCGAAGAAGCCAAATTGGGCTTGCGTCGAGCTGATCAGGGAGAGAAGGACCAGCGGGAGAGAGGCGAAGAAACGCATTTTGAGCGATTTTCTAAGGGTACACTTATAGGTCGATCTGGCTAGTATCGTAGTAGCTTTTAGAGAATAAACGAGGTTGATGCACTTGCTTGTCGCCGCCGTCGTCGTCCGTTCTGTTCCTTGCGTCGCCAATGCGCCTAGCTGTCCTAAAGACACATGCACCACTGTAAGGTACCCACCCCCAATAGTTTCCTTATCGTTATCGCAACCTGCTGACTCAGCCGGAAAAATATCCTCAGGTCATCTCCCTGGCCGGCCCAAACTCGAAGCTCCATCGAAAACGCGATCGCCCAGGGCGAAAATCGAGCAATTCCATCCGACGAATGGGCACGCCGTCCTCGAAGCACACCTCATGCGTTTATTCCAATTGCAGCAGCCCTTGAGGGCTGCCGCCGGTCTCCTCCGGCCGACGACGACCCCGACCCCGACCCAGCCCGGCGTCGTAGCAGCCGCGAATGCCCTCGTTGCCGGACGACGATACGCCTCCGTCAAGTCGCAGGGTGCTTACAAGCTGGCGCCCAAGAGGACGATACCGAAGAAGTTGGGAGCGAAGCGTACTGGTGGTATGTCGGCGGCCGTCCCCCGGTGTTGTGTGCCCCTGCGGGGGCCTCATCAATTGAGCTTTGGGAGCTTTGGATGGGCAGCAGCTTGGATGCTAACGTAACAATCCCGCGCCAGACCAGTATGTCATTCCCGGCAACATCCTCTACAAGCAGCGCGGCTCTCTCTGGTGGCCCGGCGAGAACTGCATCATGGGCCGTGACCACACCATTCACGCCATGGCCTCTGGCTACGTCAAGTACTACCGCGATCCCGCACGCCACCCTGACCGCAAGTACATCGGAGTCGTCTTCAACAAGGACGACGTGCTCCCTTACCCACAACACGCCGAGCGCAAGCGCAAGCTCAACATGTCTGCGCACCCAATCTCCAAGCCCGTCGAGACCCCCGCCGTCTCGGCGTCCGGCATCCCGACCCAGATCATCCGCCCCGCCCCGCGCACCGCCAAGGGCGCGCCCACGCAGCCCGCCCGCGTCCTCAAGCTGCGCGACGACTACTCGTACCGTGAGGACAACTGGCGTGTCGGAAGACTCGTCAAGCTTCGCATTGGCGGCATGAGCCGCAAGGCCAAGATGAGGCAGAGGAGATACGCCAAGGAGCGTACTATTGCCGGACAGAAGGAGGCGGAGGCCAAGTTTGCCGACATGGAGGTTGACGAGTGGACAATTGCCGCCAGCAAGAGGCTGCAGGAGCAGAGGAACGCTGCTGCCCGCGCTAAGAATGTCAAGGCGAAGAACAAGGCGGCCAAGAAGGCTGCAAAGGCCGGCAAGGCGACGAAGCAGAAGCGGTAATCCTTTGGTGTGTGTGTTGTAGAGGAGAGGAGAGACAGGAAAAAAAAGAGAGACATGAAGGGGATGTGTATTATGGCTTGAGATCTAGCTGTCTTGGGCTTCTAGAGTGTAGAATATCTTGTACAAATCATACTGGCCATTCACGATTTTTGTTCAGTATACTGAGTGAGTCTAGACTATAGTGAGTGAGTGAGTGAGTGAGTGACATTTAAAAGATGCTGGAACTCATTCAGATGAAGTTCTTTCCTTTCTTGCATCTCATTCTCATAAGAAAACTGGCTTGAATAAGGGGTCATAAATGGCTCAGGACTTATGCTTTCTTTTTCTTTTTCCAGTTGCGTGAACATCCACTTCATGTACTCACCCGCCAAATCAGTGTGGGCAGGTACATCTCCCGGTTCTAGCCACTTTAGTCGCGTGTCGCGTCTCTCATGCCAAAACGTCCATCTTGCATTAATCCTTCATCTGTCACCAACACCATAATTCAACATCTTAAATCACCACCAGAGTGCTCAAACTCACCAATTTCAAAGCAAACATTATCTATCTTGTTTGCAATCCATCTCAGCTGCATTCATCGACTGCTGATGAATTGCTCCGCTCACACAACAGGAACCCCGCCAGCCCCTGTATGCCCCCAAACTTCAATGCTTCATGCCTCACTGCATTAGCGAGCATCTCATCCTCGACGACAAACAAACCCGATGACCATCCCTAACCCTAGCGCATCATCCATCCCTGGGCATGTGCAATCTCTGCAGACTCCCAAACCACAGCCACACCACGTCTCCCAGCACTCATTGAGCACAGCAACCGCAGACAACCGTCATGTCTCACCCTCTTCAGCTTCCGCCTCCAGCGCCGGGGAGGCTTCCGGAAGGAAAATGAAGCGTACCGCGGCCAAAGTGAACGTCAAGCCGAGCGCTTATCTGCAGGCACCGTCATGGGCCACTTCTCTCTTGAAATCAAAACCTTCAACCAGCCCAGCAGCCTCTCCTTCTGCTCACGGCAACTCTCTCTCGGCGCAAGAACTGCCCAACCTCCCACCGCCATCTGAGAGCCCTCTTGTCGAGAGCCCCGAGCCTGTTCGCATTACCAGCGACATACCTTTGCCACAGGTTGGGAGCAAGGCCAACTCATCGCCGAAGCCATCGGACGACGACATGGGGAAGACGTCTCTCGCGCAGAATGCCAGGATCCAAGCACTACAGCAATCATGGATGGCAACGAACTCGGGCCCGGCTGTTGGAGGTACGACTGGCAACGTTAGCTCACCTGCGGAAAGTGTAGACGGACCCAAAGATTGGCTTGGTGGTGGTGAGTGCCCCGGAGCTTAGTGGCTTTTTTCTCACCACAATGAGGTCAACCCTGAGACCCGCTGGTCACTGAAAGGGGCTTCATTTGGAAGATTTGTGGCGTAGATTTTGAACTAACTGTCCACCAGCATTGAGGAAACGTACTCTCGAGGCCTCGGAGGGCGGTGACGCAAAGCGCAGGAATACCAATAGCACCGGTAAACAGGATGCTCCCAAGTCATCCTCTACTAGTTCAGTGGCTAAAGACCCGCCATCATCCGAAGCTGATCAGCCGAGCGCTGCCTCGATTGGCAAATCCAGACGTTCTCAGTCTCGAGTCTCTAGAGCAACAGCGGCGGAGACCATCCCAGGATTCATCCCCATTAAGAGGACGACGGAAGTCGTTCAGTCTTCCGATGAGGCTACCGATGACGTGAGCTCTGATGACGCAGAAGAAGATTCGACAGAAGAAGATGAACTAGCCCCCGACGAACCGCAAAGCGTCTATATCAGCAAGCAGCGGGAAGCTCCACGCGGTATACTTGTCAGTGCTCTCTTCGTTTCGTAAGTATTTTACGTGAATGCTGACGTTGCTTCAGACGAGGGGAATTCCTGATCACTTTCATACCGCCAAGGACAGCTCTCGGCTATACTCCCAGCACAACTCGCTTGAAAATGGCACTGAGCCCGCATGCGGCGCTCTCGTGCCCACTGGCTACAAACGCTGGACAGACCCTGACTACCCTTATATTTGTCCCGCTCGTCATTGCCGTCTCACATTTCAGACTATTCACGGCCTTGGCACACATTTCGCGGTAGGTGGCACTCGTCATTTTACCTTCTACTCAGCATCTTTTTCGCCGTAGGCGTCATGCTAACAGACTATACAGATGAAACACAACAACACCAAGTTCAACGATAATCTAAACGGGACATTAACTGTTGTTGGCTATTATGAAGTTCCAGGCCAAAAAAGATCCCCTGCTATCGTCGTCTCCAGAAACCCTCCCACCGGGAATGAGCCGCCGATGCCAGAACCGGAACCCGCTGGTTATAAGCTTGCTGGCCAAACCCTTTCTCGGACGTCATCAACACCCAAATCTCGAGTAGTCACTCTGAGCATGCCTCGCTCACACAGCAATCCGTCTCCTCCGGTCTCAGGCGCTGAGGGCGACTCTGACTACAACGCCGTACTAAAGAGGGAGCTTTCCTTGCTCAGAAGAAATCGGGAGCCGCCTGCTCCGAAAGACACCCCTCTCATGACATATCTAGTTGCACATTTGCCAGCCAACTATAGGCTTGCAACAGAGCGGCCTGATTTTAGGGTTCTTCTGAAGCTGCCAATGAAGCGTTCATTTCCAGATTCCTGGGGGTTGAGAAACAGGGTGTCACTAACCATACCGCCCCTAGCTGGCCTCTCTCTCCTGATGTTTCTTACCGGCGACCTCGCCCCTACGCCTTGCTCGACATGCGCAAATGAACCAACCGCCAGCGGCTCCGACACAATTCTTCGACCATGTGTTGTAATGTCTGCCGCCGTGCCCTCGTGGCTGAAGGAAACCACCAACCAAGCCTGCGCCTGTTGTCAATGGCGCTCAAGCGCCAAACGGTGCAAGAATACGTGCAACTTTTTAACAGCTCCTAAAGCCGCCCCGGGCACCAGCTCCCTGCCTGCTCCAGTCACGTCTGCTGCTGAATCTCCCATAGAGTCACCCGTCCCTCTTCCCCGTGCAGCGTATCCCAGCCGTCCGTCCATCAAGGAAGCTACTGGCGATTCACGGCCAAGCAGTCCGCCACGACGGATCACGAGGCATACGCAAGTTGCTTCGAAGGCTAGCGTTGAGTCTGATGTGCCTGCTGTGGCATCAGTTCCCGTATCATCCACACCTGACCAGACGATGCCGGCAGAAATGCTGGAGATGGAAGACTGGGAGGTTGCACCAGGCCGGGTGCGGGATGAGCAGAGTGAGATACCGACGAGTAAGTCAGCAAATCCCATGTTATCAGGCAGGATGTCTCTGACTTGTCCATAGATGTTGCTTTCTCAAATGCATACCTCACATCGAATCAAGCCGTCACCGTGTCCGAGGATATTGCCTTTAACGTCCTCGTGATTAAGCCGGGGGCGTCCCACCAGTGGACGGAGGAAGAGGACAAGGTCCGCATTTGCTCGTTGGCCGTGGGCAAGGTCAACGTGAACCTGGGCAAGACAGAGCCGTTCCAGATCGGGCCGAACGGTATGTTCAAGCTGAAGCCCGGCGTGGCCTGTTTGATTGAAAACCGGATGTACATCGACGCCGTCGTCCACGTCACGTCCGTCATGCGATATTAGACCGTGGTTAATGTAGCGTAATGTTAAGCGGTATGGTGTAAGATATTTCGGAAGTTGCCTCGGATGACCGACTTTCAGATACCTCGAGGCCATTTAGAGGCCCTTGCTAATGGATTATTAGCGATGCAATCTACCTCATCATTGGGACTTTTACAAGGGTTTAAAGGTTCACTGTCTTGCTGTGCATACGATTCTTCATTGTTTTTTTACTGAGTAAGCTGTTTTTTATACCTTTGTCGCCGCCTTTTCGCTGATTTTCTCAGCGTCCACACCAGTTGCGTTCTCAGGCATGGGAACAGCCATAATCACATCTCCCTCGCCCTCCTCCTCAGGGCGAACGTAATCCCTCGGCTCGATCCACCGCTCCTCCATGATCGGCGGCGGCCAGATCTTGCAAGCCGCCCAGAACGTGAATCCCGACAGCGCCAACCCAACCCAGTACGCGAAGAAGTAGAACCTCGTGATGCCGACGGGCGCGGCCACGCCCATGTTGTTCAGGAACCCGTAAAAGTTGGGAAGGATGCCGACGACGTAAGCGACGTAGGCCCGCACGTTCCAGCCGTGGGTGTAGTAGTACGCTCCCGTCTTCATCGAGGTGAAGGCGTCGGGGATGTGGATTCGTCCGCGGCCGACGATGTAGTAGTTCACCAGGAGCACGCCGGTGATGGCGGAGAGGAAGGTTTGATAGGAGGACAGGAACGATACGAAGACGGAGGCGGACCCCTGGTGTTTTGTAAGTGAGGGCTTCCTAAAAGGATTTCGAGGCCGGGTAGGGGGGGAGGGGGACTTACCAAGAGGAACCAGGGGTTGATGGCAAAGGAAATGACGGCGCACACGAAAAAGCCCCGTCTTACTGTGAGATACTTTGGAAACAAGGCGGCAATGTCGTTGCCCGCCGGCAGAGAGTTCTCAAAAATGGAGCTGAAGATGCAGCAATACGCAAAACAACCCGCGATGAAGAAACACCCGGCGCGGTTGGCGGCCGTATACTCGGCCGTCTGGAGGGTGTCCAACAACGTGATGGGGTTCCAGATGAGCTCGCCAAAGATCAGCTTGCTCGAGGCGCAGACCAAGTTCCCCACGGCGGCAACGATGAGGTTTGCGACGGGGAACCCAAAGATGTTTCCGATGATGACGTCGTTCTTCTTCTTCGCATACCGCTGGAAGTCGGCGGCGTTGCTCGCAAACGTGGCACAGTTAGCCGCACCCAGCATGAAGAACTGCACAATCAGCCATGCCCTCTTGGACCCCGTCGCCGTGCCGCCCCTCCTTACTACGGGGCCCAGACCGCCTGCCTTGGTGGCAGTCCACGCGAGCATCGCGACGGCGGAGACGACGAAGACGACGAGCTTGGCGTACACCAGACCCTTCATCCTGGGGACGGGGATGACGAGGAAGGCGCAGGTGATGAGCCAGAAGATGACGAAGCCAATCATGCCCGCCGTCGTCAGCGCGCTGCCGTCGCCCATGGTGTTTGGGATGTCGGCGATGCCGGGGATGATGGCGTGCAGCATGACGTAGATGCACTGGCCGCCCTGGACGGCGTTGACGCCGTTCCACACGATGGCCATGACGGCGCGGTTGAATGTCGGCCACCACGCGCCGTAGATGCCGAAGGCCGTGCGGCAGAACACGGGGAACCCGACGTGGTACGTCGCGCCGGGCCGGCCGTTGAGCGTGATGATGACGGCGATGAGGCACTGCCCGCCGAACGCGCAGCCGAGGGATTCCCACATGGAGAGCCCCAGCGCCTGCGCCGTCGACGAGGCGTACCAGTTCGATACGGTGGCCACGGCGGAGAACCAGAAGGTGAAGTAGGTCCATTGCGTCCAGGTCCTGTCGGCGAGTTTGAGAGGGCGGATGTCGTCGTTGTCTAGGAGGGCATCGCGGCCTTGGAGGTCGGAGGTGCCAGCTGCGACGGGCACGCGTAGGCGGTTTAGGAGACCCATGGCGGGGGGTCTTTGAGATGGTTGCTTACGGATGAGGCTCGACTTGAGATGATTCTTGCTCAGTGAGAGACGTGGAGAGTGTTAGAGAATACCGCCAGCCCTGGCGAAGCTGCTTGAGGATGGGATGGGTAGTCACGAGTATATGAACGCATCTTTGGACTGGGTTATACTGATTCATGTCTATTGTAGTTCTACTCCTTTTGGTTTCTAGATCTGCAGAGTGATAACTCAAGATATCGGAGGAGTAGATGGTGTGGGGGAGATAAGAACGGCAGGGATGATCCGCGATCAGCGCGACCTCGCAGCGGGCGCCCCTGAAGATTTTTGATATTCCTCGTAATGATTAAGGTGCTTGCCATTATTTTGAAGTCCATAAGTGATAGTGGGATCTAGATCTATTCTTCCGTCAAAAGCTGTCGGTCAACTTACTACTTCCACCTTCGCCCAAGCCCAAGAACGATCGTAAATCGGCCGCGGAAAAAGCCCCGAGATACCCCTGACGCTCCGACGTACGGGGATTAGCCCCGTACCCCACACGGCCGCTGTCGGCCCAGACCCGACCGATAAGGGATCCGTCGGCGCCCACGAACCGTATCGCACGCCATTATCTGTTCCTATCGTGCAATCTCCCGCCAGCTGCATTTAGGCGAAGTCCGGTGATGGCGATAACGTCCCCCAATTGAGCCTCATTCTCATCCGTTCAGTTGATCCGGGCACTGCGTTGTCGGAGTTCAGTTTGGTCCGGAGTTATTTATCCGTTCAATCGACCCTTCTGAACCTTATCGCTACTTATGCCAGTCACTGTAAGAACGGACCCTCCATACGCCATCTTAGAGTAAACCCACAAAAGACTTCATCACCACACATCTCGTATTGGATTAAGTCAAGTCCGGGATCACAGCCACAATGTCAACGACAGTAACAGAAACCGCTCCGGAGAGCTACAAGCTCGAGCTGATGTCCGCATATGGTCCCGTCTACCGCGACGTCCTACGCACGCCGCCCCGGGATTGCGACGCCTCCGAGGTTCCCGTCATCGATCTCTCCAATATCCGCGGTAATGAAGCGGACCGCAAAGCCCTAGCCGCAATAATTCGTGATGCAGCAGAGAACACGGGCTTCTTCTACATCAAAAACCATGGTATCCCCGAGGCCACTATTAATGCCGCGTTCAAGCAGGCGCGGGCCTTCTTCTCCCAGCCCAACGAGAAAAAGGCGCTTGCCTCGCAGAAGCAATCTAAATTCTTCAACGGCTGGAGTGAAAAGCGCGCGGCGCAGATCTCGCCCACGGAAACCAAGGACCATCGCGAGGGGTTCAGCTTCCGGTATGATCCGCGCAACGACCCCGAACCCAAAGACCCGGAAGCGATCCCTGAGGATGTGAAGCCGTGGATGAAGCATGAGGATTTTGTGTGGGAGGGCACAAAACACTTGCCGCAATTCAAGGACGACATGGTCACGTATTGGCAGAGCTGCCTCACCCTCGCGCGGAGCATGATCAGAATCTTCGCGCTGGCTCTTGACGTGCCAGAGAACTACTTTGACGACGTCATCACGTACCCCGGCAGCGACAGCGTCTGCAACTTTTACCCGCGGAACACGGAGCCGCAGGACGCAACCATCGACGTCGGCCTCGGCGCCCATACTGACCTGCAGTGCTTTACGCTCTTATGGCAGGACGCCGTCGGCGGTCTGCAGGTACTCACCAAAGGTGGCCAGTGGATCAAGGTGCCCCCCGTGCCCGGTACCTTTGTCATCAACATTGGGGATTTCCTGCAGAGGTTGTCGAACGACCGGTTCAAGTCGACCGTGCACCGCGTGTATAACCACGCGCCGGAGGATCGCTACTCGATGCCGTTCTTTTTTGGGTTTAATCACAATGAGCAGTGCGCGGTTCTGTCCACTTGTACGGATGAGGCGAATCCACCCAAGTACGAGCCTATCAGCTGCGGAGAGGTAAGTTATATCGGAAGATTGGTGAAATCAGTGCTGATTATGTGATAGTGGTGTCGTTTGCGGTTTGAGAGGACTTTTGAATTCACCAGGCGGAAAAATGAGGCGGAGGGTATTCAGAATGCGGCGCCGTACTAAGGTTGCGAGAGCGTTGATTCTATTATAACTGCCAAGTATATTTGCCCACGACGGGAAGCAAAGCTCGACGCATTTTAAAATTTATGGCACATTGCCTCACATTAGCAGAGCCTCCAGCTTTTAAAGATGGGCGAGGCTGATCTTGGGAACTTGGTTGGCTTCTCAGCGAGTCGACGGATCCGATCATGAAATGTGACCAACATTGGGACACTCCTCCCACGATCACTCGCTATTGCTAACCGAGGAAACTGGATGAAAGTCTGCTTCCATTAGGGACTCTAGGCGCAACCAAAAGGTTTCTCAATGACTCAGACAAGCTCTCGGCCAGCGGCTTTAATAAAAAGGCTGCAAAAGCCAGTCTGAATTAGTCGTCGTCGACATTAGTTTTTCCAGAAAACATCAGCAGATCACTTTATTTTCTCCCTGTTCTACTTTCTGTGTTGTGTGTCTTCTTTATGATCATATTTTTCTCCCGACCATTCTGATCTCTACGAAGCTCTCTGACTTTAATCCCCTTTTTACATGACCATTCACAGCTTTAGTTTGCGGAGGCAGTAGCTAGGTCATGTCCTCCACAATAAGGGTTGGAGTAGACTCTTCTTATTTTTTAGTTATAGTTGATTTTAAAAGCATAAAATGAGCGTAGAAATAGTGCATATCAGGATTGATAAAGTGGTGGAGATACATCCGTCTCCAAATTTCCAGTACACGTAAACATTAGAAACCCCGTCACAGTCCAGTCTGGCGATCACAACTTCTTTGATAATTCAGTACTGTATCTCATATGGCCGGTAACAGCGGCAGTACGCTTACGGACTTCCCAAACGTCCAAGCCGTGGGGTCTTCTCTATTTACACTTGCGGAAGCGCAAATGGTAGATCTGAGTGACCTTCAAGTCGTTTGAGTCAACCTGCAGTGCAGCGGTCAGAAAGTTGAACGGTCGACAGAACTCGTAACGTGAACTAACGGTCATGAGGGCATGCTTTTGTGAGCCCAGGGGCCGGATCTCAATGGCGCTCTTGATATTGAGCATGCTTTGAGCGCCGCAGCGGGACCACACGAGAGACTCGAGCCCCAGGTAGTCGGTCCTAACGTAATCCTTATCGATCTTTCCCTTAAAATCGATGGATCGAGAGACCTGATGAGCATTTGTAGTGAGTAAGTGTACCAGGTAAATGAGACGTGTTTTGAGAACATACGGTGCGAGCGTCTCCCGATTGGTAGTAGGTGGTCTTGAGAGAGGCCTCCACTTTCTCTGGCAAGCTGATAGAACCGCGGTAATCGGACTGGACGACGGAAACTCTATCAAATACTTCTTTAGTAATCATGTCATTCAAGACATTTAGCCATCGCACAACTTACTGATAGCCCTGAGGAAGGTCGATTTTGATGTTGAGCTGACAAGCTGCACGGTTCTTGCTGGCCTCGATGCCTGGGCCAGACTGAGCCACGTATTTGTCGAACAAGAGAGTCACAACGTCTCTTTCCTTGCTTAAAATGTCAGTCACACTACCCTTGGGGCAGCCGGAACCGCCATAGTTGACGTCGACGATCTTCACTTGGTCGGCGGGAGGGCGATCTTTGTCGTCATTTCCCGTGGGAATGGCGGCGGCAAGGCCCAGAACGAAGGGTACGATGGCAACTGCACGCATTTTAACGGCTGATATTGGGTAAGAACGAGGGTGTTGATGCTGGTGATGAATGAATGCGATGAGGCAATTTGGACAGTCCAGATTCGGGACGCAGCTAGTGTTTATATAGGCTCAACCTTTAATGCATCCCGTGGAACTGTACGTGAGAGAAGACTCCACTCAAGAGTAATCATTCTCGATGCACCCCTTGATATCAGAAGCCTGATCATTAGGGGTTCCTAGACTATCAGAACGTACGTTAATTCAACCAACCTACCCATCGCCAACGAACAGTTGTGGTACATGGACAACTCATACGGGAACGGTAAGAATTGGCAATTACCTTAGGACGCATTAGCACCCCTGTAAAGCTGAAATCTCTTGCATAAAGCTGCTCGAGAGGCTGATGAAGGGTTGTCCTACAGGTGGCGAATATGTCTTCGAACAGAGTGAGACCATATTGTAACCCATAAAAACACTGTATACTGATCAAACTAGCCGAACTGCACACTCAAAAGAACACCATAGCACTTCCGTGAGAACCTGCTGTTTGAAGGATGAGTAGATCGGGAATGTGTATCTTCTAAGCATTCAGATAGCATTGTTCAGCACATGTAAGCTTCTCGCACTGAGACCCTAATACAGTAGACTACAACCTCTCAGTACCTGGGCAGCTGCTTGGCATCGCCTTTGAAGATTACGGGTCTCTTCCTGGTGGTTCAATGCATGCACAATGTAGCCTTTACAAGACCAAACACGATGTAGCACGATTGAGCATATAAATAAGGCATGGTACGCTTATTTCAGAGTGACCGTCGGTTGGGGATGTCACTGTGCTGAGACTCAAGAGTAAAGGTGCGTTCAGGCTGAGATATTGAAAGCATCCATTACCACCACCGCATAGCGGCTTACAGTACTTGTTCACGTATAAAAGGCCCTTATTTCTTTTAAAGCAGCTGAAATTCTATGCGCTGGCGATTGTCTTAGTCCAAAAGTTCCACGACGTGGAACCATTTAAAGCACGTGTCCCAAGCAAAAAACGCATCTTTTAGCGAGCCATGACAGAACACTTGTTGCGGCTGATTCTAGCTCGTATTTTATGTACTTATCATGACATGGAGTTATTGAGCTGGCAAGACTTATCAATCTCAGTAGAAGTCTGACATCAGCAAAGTCGGAACTTTTTACAGAAAAGTACTGTCATGTTCCACATCAGCTTACACTTCGTGATTCGGATAGTGACTCGCAGCGTGATCTGTGGGCACAAACAGCCGCAAAGCTCTAATATAGCCATATTGGTTCGCCCAAACATGTTCTTACTGGGATAGTGCATTGGAAAAGTGATCCATTCTATGTAACCCCGGACTGAGCCATGACAGCCCAAAGCCGAGGCACAACATCATGATGGGAACATCAAGATGTGGGTTTAAAACTAGACTCACAATTAGATAGATCTTTGAGTCAAGTCTACAAATATGCCGACATTCAATGCTATAAACTTCAACCAGGAAGGCAATTAATTATTCAGGCTTCAGCCATTCTGGGTCTAAAAAACTTCGTTATCAGTCTAAGCAGGTTGTTTTCATAGTTTATGGGATTTTTATCCACCATCTACTTAGGATAAAATGATTATACTTAAAATTATTGAAACCGCATTTCATTTCACGCCGTCCTCAACAAAGCCGTCGTGTAGAACTCATGGTGACATGTAAGAAACCGTGAAGTATAGAAGTAGAAGCAGTCGTGTGGAGCTCATGGGTAAGGTGAACTCGGAAGTGGGTCACCCAAACACAGTAAAAGAACACCAAAACCTTTTTCGCACACGGTGCTGCCAGCTGGAAAAAATTTGGTCCTTCAAGACGGTGTGAAAAATCAAAGCAGATTTACAAGACGCTTACAAACAACGACAATCAAGGATCTCAAACTCATTCGCCTCACTTAAATCTTATTTTAACCCTTCAAAAGAACAACGTTGATTTTTAAACTCTCGATACAGTAACACCATGGGTGACGAATTTCAGACTAAGTCTCAGAGCTTCCTGGCCTGGTTTAAATCCCTGCCCGGAGCCACCTTCCATGATGACATTCAGATTGTTGACCTGAGAGGCCAGAACGCTGGCAGAGGAATTAGTGAGTGCCATTCAAATTGCTACTCTTTCTCGTTATTAACAACTTCTTAGTCGCCACTAAGGACATCCCAGCGGAAACAGTTCTCTTCACGATTCCCAGGAAAAACATCATCAACGTCGAGACATCTGAGCTTCCCAAGAAGCTTCCTCAAGTCTTCACCGGAAACGATGGGGATGATGAGGACATGGAAAACGAACCTCTCGATTCCTGGGGCTCGTTGATCCTGGTCATGATTTACGAGTACCTCCGAGGCTCTTCGTCACCCTGGAAGCCGTACTTTGACGTCCTTCCCGAGAAGTTTGACACTCTTATGTTTTGGGAGTCTTCTGAACTCGATCATCTGAAGGGAAGCGCAGTTCTGTCAAAAATTGGAAAAGAGGAGGCCGATGAGATGTTCCGCTCTCGAATTCTGTCAATTGTTGCTGCCAACCCGTCTATTTTCTTCCCCGAGGGGATCTCGCCACCGAGTGAGGCAGAGCTGTTGCAGCTGGCTCACCGCATGGGTAGCATCATCATGGCATATGCTTTCGACTTGGAAAACGAGGAAGAGCAGGAGGAGAACGAGGAAGATGGTTGGATTGAGGACCAAGACGGCAAGACGATGCTAGGCATGGTTCCCATGGCCGACATTTTGAACGCCGATGCCGAGTTCAATGTGAGTGGTCCTTGATGCTATCCCCCTTGGGGCAATTGCTGACATATTCTAGGCTCACGTTAACCACGGAGATGACGACCTCTCGGTCACCGCCCTTCGCCCCATCAGTGCAGGAGAGGAGATCTTGAACTACTATGGTCCTCACCCGAACTCGGAACTTCTTCGAAGATACGGTTATGTTACTCCGAAGCACTCTCGGTACGACGTGGTCGAGATCCCGTGGGATCACGTGCAGGCCAGCATTAATGAGCATCTTGGCCTTTCTGATGATTTTTGGACGCAAGTTGTAAGTTCCCCAGGATGACGAGGGGGGATAAAACAATGCTGACCCTTGAATAGGCGGAACAGGTGGACCCCGAAGACCTCGAAGATGTCTTTGTTCTCGAGCGCGACTCCGGAGAGCCCGATTCAGAAGGCCGATTGAACACTCCGGCGGTTGTCCGTGAGATTTCCGCCGAGCTTGAGGAACAGCTTAAGGCTATTTTGAAGGTCATCAAGAAAATTAAGGGTGATCTTATCCCCGACAAGCGGAAGAGAGACGAAGTGTACCAGGCAGTCATTATCTCAACGCTGCAAAAGATCTTGGGACAGTACCCTACATCCATTCAAGAAGATGAGGCATTTCTCGCCTCGGGCAATTTGACCTCAAGACAAAAGATGGCTGTTGAGGTGCGTCTAGGCGAGAAGCGGCTCCTACAGGAGGCTCTGGCGCTTGTTGGATCTACAAAAACCGCGGCGGCAGAGGAGGAAGAGCCTGAAAGATCAGCCAAGAAGGCAAGAACAAACTAAGGGGTTTCTTGTCTCTTTTTTTTTTTTTTCTACTAGAAAAATTTTGAATGAATATAAACAAAGTCATGGTTGTTAAATCAAAAGTCAATCTTGCATCAATGTAAGAAATGGAAAGCTGTGGGGATTATGCGGAATCCGCAAATCAGATGGTGGGAAGCTAAGCAGCGCTAAACACTGCCAAATTCAACATCATACAAACCCATGGCGTCAGTTACGACATCTTTCAAACATGATCTATCTTTTAATCCACTCCGAGAAATATTTTTTAAATTGCGCCGATACTAAAAGCAGACATTTTTCGACTGTTGGGTAGCCCAAAAACCTTCGGGCTCTTCGAAGTACCCGATACACACCCTCCCAAAGGTGCCACACTCGCCCCGGGCCGTTCCAACGTGTGTTGGTCCAACGTCTGTTGGCCGAGGCTATCAGTTGCCCAGTACCATCTTGTTGGCTGCTGTCTCAAGCGAACCCCGCACCTGATTCCTTCAGTCCAATCGCCACCGAACATACCATTAACGGGTTTTTGTTCTCCAGCCATCAGCCGGCTGTAGACCACCGTTCATCGATGACGGGGAATACGGGGCTGTCTAGGTCTTTTCACAGGCCATACCCAACCCATAAATACTCACCGACTCTTCAATCTTGTGTTGCAAGTGGTTATTGGCTGCTCGTCTTCGAGAAGCGCCGGAAACACCAGAAGCGTGCTTGACGTGCTCAACCAGCGACAGCCTTACTCATCGGATTACGGTGGTTTTGTTGGCACCAACCCCGCCTAAGGCACTACTTATTAAGACCCCTAGATGATTGATCATGTACCTGTTGAGCTTCTCGGTTGAGCAGACACTGTTCTGCCCGATCAATCGTACAAAAGTGTCCAATCCAACCGGGAGCTGAGATACAATTTTCAGTAACGTCCCACACCCACTTCTGGGCACCCCCCACATTTGGGCACCCCATTTACACCAAAAACGCCGTTTTTCGAAATTCTATATTAAACTAAATACTTTACTTATTAAAGAGAATAAATATATGTTAAATAGATTAAGACTTAATTATAATACTTAAGTAGCTATATACTAGTATTATTGATAATAAGTATTATAAATTCAAGGTTTAACATTTATAATACTAATTTACCTAGCCTATATCTTAATATATAAAATAGGTAGAGATATTTAACTAATATGATTAGAATTTTTAAGTAAGATATAGTAGATTTATATATTCTTATACTTAGTAAAAAATTCTTTAAGCTTAGAATAATATTTTAAAATTTCCCTTAAGAAAAGTTTCTATTATAGAATTTTAACCCTTAATTATACTATATTTACTAAAGTAATACTTTTAAATCTCTTTTAGATATAATTATATACTTTTAATAAGTATAAATATTAATTTCCTAGATTTTTTAAATAAGTATATATAAGCGAAAATATATTTTTCTAATGTTAAGGAATACTAGTAAGTTACTAGTATCTACTAACATTTTAAAGCTTTTAGTTTTAAACTTCTATATTATAACTATTATTATATTTAAACCTTTATAAAAAATTAGATGGCTATAATTATACTTAACATAGTTTATATATATTTTCTTTTCTTAGTAAGTATAGTAGTTAGTTTAATATAGAATTTCGAAAAACGGCGTTTTTGGTGTAAATGGGGTGCCCAAATGTGGGGGGTGCCCAGAAGTGGGTATGGGACGTTAGTAAAATGCCTGATCGCTTGGAGTGATCCGCTTGTTTAAGGCATTGAGCATCAGAAGAATCAGGCGTGACTCTTGCGCTAGCAGTGTTTCCCGTAGGGCTCACCGAGCTACCATGCTGCATGGGTACCTTGTAGCGCGACATTTAACTCAACTCGTTAAGCTCATTGTCTCATGATAGAAGCCCAATTCTATAGGGCCCCGGATCTCGTAAGGCTTTGAGCGTGGGGAAGCGTCACACAGGTTTGCTAATAACGTTTTCAAAGCCTGGTCTTTCGAAACAGTCACCTATCTAGTGCGAGACACCTGTTGATCGATACGTCATTGGGCAGTCACCAAGAGATATGCTATTGAGCCTGCCAGTCATATCATCCGCGATCTAATGCTCCATTTCCCACCAAAACAGTACCACCAATTTTCGGTCGTACCGAGCTCTGGCGGCTTGAAGCAACGCCTATCCGAGCTCCCGAGCTCGCATCACCTTGGAACCGACAGGCGGCTAAGTGGGCATGTCAAGAATAAGAGCCAGCGCATGGGTGTGGGTTAACTACATCCATTGGCTCCCTCTAATGCGAGTCATCCATCCTTCAGCCCTAATAGAGAAAAGACCCACGCACTCTGTGCAGAGTCGAAGCCGGCATATCCCAGTCGGACAGTTGAAGCTCCTGCAATCATTCTCAACCACGCCGTAACGGTGATGCCCTCCCCGCCAGACGTGGAGGCGCCGAAGCTGCAATTTAACCCGATAGCGCAAAGCATGCCGCACTCGCACAATCCATCATAATGGAAAGGACCACAGAAGCTGTCAAACCCTTGCCATTCGTTGGGTTCCAACGGCATAAAGAGCACGCAAAGCCGAGCTACAATGTCAACCCAACGGGCGGAGATCCTCTCTCTCAACCCCGGAATAGAGTCAAGACTCCTACAATGCATGATATGCAATCATTTATCAGCGGCAAAATGTGGCCGCATGCAGGCCACCTAAGAAAGATATGATCACGAGATCGCAGCCTCCGCCCTTTCATCGGAAACAAGGAGCAAAAGTCCGACCCCAAACTGACGGGCCTACCACCAAATAAGAAACGAAAGCAGGGCAGCAATGCTGAAGAGTTGGGCTCGGGTAGTTTTGGTCTCGCAGGAGCCGCCCACACCCCAAATATGACGAGATGCTGTCGAAACGGCGAGTGACACGTCGTTTGAGGCTCTTCTGAACGATGAACATTAGGCCACGGCATGGGCTAGTTCGTCGTGATTCATAGCCTAAAACGCGCCAGATTTACAAAAGGCAACACCTGTCGTTGTACGTCTGTCATTTCTGACGAGATCAGCAGCCAACCTTTCTGCGCGTGACGCTGGCGACAATCTGACGGCCGGATCTAGCTTCCGGATTCACACCACACTGAATTATTCGACAACCCAAAAAAAAAAAAAAAACATTGGAACATGTCTTTTTTCTCACCAGTAGTATACGACCTCCCCCACTGGCTTTTCGAACCCGATAACTAACAACACCAGCGAGGCCACAGGTCAAGCAAAAAAAGAGAGAAGAGGCCCAGGGATCCTAAGCAAAAGGAGGGCAGCAGCAGTAAACAGGAGCAGTCGACATCTTCTGCACCCTTCAGCTTCCTTTTCGTAGTCAACGAATTCAAAATCCTCGGCGAGGAACATGGCTTCAGACCGCTCAGCGATAGGTGGGGAAGCCCGCAGCCACCTCCTACTTCCGAAGGTTATGGCAATGAGGTTCCTGGGCGAGTATGGCGATACCAGGACGGCGTCGTCAACCTGGCTCCAGAGTTCACCTGGTTCAGGGGAGATCGAGGTCTACAAGGACGTGTCGAAATGAATTTCAACACCGTCAACGAGTACGGGGAGGTCGAGTCGAGCTGTGAGGTCGCGGAGGTATACAGCACCCACAGCGTCTTCAACTGCTGGCGCTTCCTCCCATGCATCTACACAGATGCAGATGTTTCTGCGATCGGGGAAATGGAAATCAACCACCGATGGAGTCCTCTGGAGTTTGACCACGATAAGCATGAACGTGGAATGACTTGGGTTTGTGGCGATTCGGAACGACATGTCGCTGGTAGAGGGGCATCGTGGATGCCGAGTCTCTTGCCCGAGACCTACGCGGCACCTACAAGCCACGCAGAACCAGCGCCACCATCAAAGGGACTCGGTGGCACTTTGGGAGTCATCATCGGACTCATGGCGTTAAGCCGGAAACCTGGGCACGCCGACGACGTCTTCACGCACAACATGTGGAGGAACAATCGTTGGTATGGCCACCCACGACACCATCGCGCGGGTAAGCAACAATTCCTGTTTGAAAAGTAGCGAAAAGAGAAACAGGAAAAAAAACCAGCTAACACTTTCGCGTGTCCGCAGACCCCGGTTCGAAAGGCCCGCCTCGAGGAGTAATGGTGCAGATATGCTACGATTCCTACAACCCCGAGGGGTCAAACTATGAGAGCATTCTCGACTTTGAGCAGACTCACAAGGCACTTATTGGATGACTTTGAAAAAAGGGGGAGGACCAACAAGGGGAGACAATGTGGACGGAGACGGCACCGGCTTGTCACTCAGGTCACTCAGGCACCCCCCCGGACCCCTCCTGGTTTCTCTCCATGATTTGATTGTCATCCATTTTGACGTGTCCTACAACGTTCAAATGATTTTCCTTCCTTTTTCTTTCCTTGTCTTGGATTGAATTGTCACCACCACGCGCTCATGCGAGCCCGAACGTGCAGCAACAGTATTGTAACACGAGCAAGCTGCGCCTCTCAGGGAGGCACCACGTTTGCTCGAAAGCTTTTGTTCAAAGTACTTGATATATTTCATGGCTCCAACATCATGCGTCCGTCTCCTGTTCTATTGACTCCATACTCATTCGGTACCCGCTTGATCCTAGAGGTCCTTGCGCGGAGCTTTTGACGTGTCTACTATCATCGCCCATCGCTTGAAGATGTATGGCTCCCATTTCACTCTTCGTTCGTGACGAAAACGGGTGAATCAAGGCCCCCTTTTTTGAAACTACAAACATATAAACGCCCCACGGCAATGCCTTAAACCGCGTCGGGCAGTCTCACGGCTATGTCTCCTGACTGGGTGATGTATCTGACCCACGGCAACGACGGATATTGCAGCTGCGATAGTTAGCATCAAAACCCCAGTTGTTGGCGCAAGAATCGAGAAGACTTTACCTTTGGCTCTGTAATCTTGAGGTACCGCACTTGGATACCACTTGTCGTGAAATAAGGAATCTCGAACTTGACCTGGATCGGCCTCTTGGCGCCCTTGCCCGGTGCGCCGACACCGCCCATACTACCGCCGAAACCACCCGTCATACCACCACCGTGCTCGTCATCACCTCTGACGGACGGGAGACCCAGCTCCGCCCTCATCATGAACTCCTTGTTGCCGCCGAACTGCTTAATCTTCCATACGATGGCGCTCTGCTCGGGGGCGTAGTGAACGGCACCAATGTTGGTCCTGAATCTCGGGGTGTCGGCGTCGTCGGGGACGGGGACGATGATCTCGACGTTGTTTGCCGTACTTCTTCGCTTGAATTGGGCCCTGGCCTTGAGCATGTACTCGATACGCGACCCACTGTGGCTCTCAACAACACACTCGACCCAGATGAGGGGCTTGACCTGGGTGTTGAGACGGTAGCTCATGAGCTCGAACTCGCCATCGGGTGGGATGAAGGAGATTGTCCTGTCGCTCTCGAAGCGCGAAAGACGCACGCACTGGTGGAACTTGACATCCTCCATCTCGATGGCCTTGCCGCGCGTCGTGCGGCCTGTCGTCTCGAACATGACCTTGTCGTTGAGACCGAGACGCAGCTCGGGCATACCGGAAAGATAACACTTCATCTTGATGGCACCAAGAATCTCGGAGCGGAGCACGTTGCCGTTAGCGCTGACGAGGAGATTAAGGCTCTCGACGACATCGAGGAAGACCTCGTTCTTGCGGTAACGGATACCCTCAGAACGCCAGGAGACGGCGTTGGTAACGGCGATGGGCGGGCGCGCCTGGATCTCGAGCTTGTGCGACTCTTGGGTGATGTACTCCTGCAGGATCTTGGACTCGGTGGTCTGCGGGTAGCCAAAGTCCATCATCTCGTCGAGGAGCTCGTAGATGATGACGAAGTTGTCGCGGATAGACTCCTCCTCGAGGGCCTTGAAGTATTCTGTAAAGACTTCGACAATCTTGTGGAGGAAGAGTAGGATCTCGGCGGCGTTGGTGTTTCGTTTTGTCAGTGCGAGGAGGTAGAGGTTGTTGTGGCGGATGTAGAGGTACTAATGCGGTGCGTGGCCGGTCAGTCAAGCTTGAGCCGAGCAAGCTGAATGGTCCTAGTACGTACGTTGATACCTTCGTGGGAAAAGCATGGAGGCACAGCAGATGACTCTTCTTCTGCTTCACTGAGGAGGATGGGGAACTTCTCGACAGCTGACATGGGAATGTCACCGCGATAGTTTCGGGCAAGGAGGGTCTATCGCAACACGTCATCAGCATTTCCAGTTTCCCACACCATGCTTGAGATCATCGCCATTCGCACCTTGCCCTTCAAGTCGAGGAAAAAGACGGCGGAAGCCATGGTGGATGTGTGTTGCCAAGGCGGGGGGGAACGATCGAGGGGCAGTCGGCGAAGGAAGAAAGGCGGTAGAAGTCAATTGGCACGCTGGCCAGACGAATTACGGCAGTAGAAGAGACGGGATCATGCAATTTGTGCGACCAAGCAGCTCGGCAGAATGTCAAAACGTTGAGAAAGGCAGCGGTTGGCAAGGTGTCATTAATTCGCGGGTCTTGTCGTGGTGACCGCGCGAAGGCAGCTGGCGATATTGAAACCACGATGTCTCCTTGGTTGTCCAGAGAGCACGGGCCATCGAAATGACAGCCTTACGTCTTGGGGGCCTTTGAGGAGAGGCGCGGAGAGAGCTGTGGCGCTACCTGACAGCTATTGTGGCTGAGCTTACTTTTGATAATCACCTCAGGGACTCAGGGACTTCTTAGTAAGCACAGCAGATGTGGGGAAAGGTCATCAAGTGAGATAGCACGTGATTTGACCGCACAGCTGTGGGGCATGCGGCTGACCTACATCATGCCGAAATTTTCCCCAATGCTTTCTACTTTTCCTTCCTTTCCTCTTCACCGCGTCCATTAGACAGTGCAGCGCATTATCCAACCACATTTGGACTGGCATTCTGCTGGATCCATCGTGTTGTCGTTGATGTGAACTGCGATTTCGAGACGCGCAGAGGAAACCCATTATGGTGCCATAAGAGCTGCCCGCGTATAGCTTTCTTTGCTTTCGAGTGAGAAATGCCTTCCGTTGCTTGGGCAGCGTCAGAGGAACCGAACATACTGTGCCGCAAAAGTACTTTTCTTTTAATCGTATTCGGTCAACCACCGAATCGCTGTGATTTCATTCGCGAGAGGCTAAAGTCCGGAGTGGTCAGGGTCTGCAAACCCCTTCCCAGCTGGCAGCTGAACGGCCGTTTCTGGAAGCATAGTCCAGCAAGTCTTCACTCTGTCACAAGCGTCCATGGAATGCTAGGTCTTCCTCGACGTCGAGTTCCTGGCGCGCCGAGGTTCAGTGAACGAAACAGCTCCCTCCTGACAGGCGCCCTGCGCGCCTCGTTTGAAGTTAGCGTCAAGGGTCCTGCCTGAGTTTGCGGTTTCTCGTCCTGCTGACAGTCACAAGCAAGGGACAGGCTGCGATGCGTGACGCCCGGCCCGTGGGTAGATAGATCTAAGCTACTGGCCAGATGCTAAGTAGATTGCCAGATGGACGAGGGAGTGCCAACCATCGGCCAGCGTGAGTTCACTTCCCCGAGTAATCGAGCCAATCTGCATGTTTTATGTCATGGAAAAGGCGAAGACGCAGGGAGGTGAGGCGAATGGTAGCTTGTGCTTGGATGAGAAACGCGGACGATCCACTTGCCCGGGTCTGAGATGTCATCACATGGCCAATATTGGTGCCGGAAAACTAGTCAAGAAGAGCGGGTAGCAGACGTGCCTGAGTCGCGCAGTCGAGGCGAGGGAGAAAGGAACAAGGCCGTTGAAAAATGGGGTTTTGTTTCCCAAACGCACGCAATACTAAGGAAAACTTGGCAAGTAAGCAAGTTTGCCCTCTCCGAGTTCCCGAGTCTGGTCGGCTTTGTGGTTGCGTGTATATGTGTGGCCTTATCTTTTTGTGTTTGTATGTGTCTGGATATGCATGTGCGGGCGAGTGTTACTGATATCATTTGTCGATCTCGGGGTCTTCATCGGGTTACGCCAGGGTAATCAGCCAACTCCACAGTTTGATCTGGCATGGGAATTGGAAAGTCAGACTCTATGTGCAAAGGAAGACAACAGATGGTCAACGCAAGTGACAAGCAAGCATCAACACAGGAACAAACTCAAAGGCCCGCGGTGGATGGATGGAGGGCTGAAGTATCCGTACCGCTACCGACATCAGTTATTACTACGTAGTACGTATGTACACTAGGAAAGTAGAGGGGGCAGGGCGGAAGTCGGCGGAGTGTGCTACATTGGCGAGGCATGGAAAACCCATGGAAAAGCGCGATAGCGAGGAACGTCAGCGGGAACAAACTGGACCCTTGGGCGGATCTCGAAAAATTGCATGGGTCATTTGATGGTCATCTGGCCCCTTCTGTCACTGTTCCCCACATCTCCAACGGCTGATAATTAGCACGTGATTTTTGGTGTTGATATTGCGATATCGGGTTCTGGGAAGGGACAGACGGGAAACAAGGGAATGGGGGGTGGGTGAAACGAAAAGGTTGAAGACAAGAAAAATCAGCAAGGAAGAGATAAAAAAAAAAAAAAAAAAAGGCACTATGTAATCCCGAGTCTCAACCAAACGAGGGTGTCCCGACTTCCGAACGGCCCTTCCCTCCGATTTTTTCGCTTTCACATGGAAAGAAGGAGTCCGTGTCAGGGGTGACGTAGCGAGAAGCGAGCCTCGAACCAACCAGAAGTCGTGTGGGTGACGCTCATGCGTGGGGCCGAATGCCGGCTAGGCGACTGACCGTTGGTGCACCGAGACCACTGTGAGCTGTATTCGTTAGTGAGCAACCGCACAACTTCAGCTTGTGTACTAACAGCACCAGCTATGCACATGCTAAGATACTTGTTCATCCCGTCCGTCCACTCAGATGCATGTGATGACGGCCCAAAAAAGTCTGACACGTGCTTCCCCAACTTTTGGCCCTGACCTTCCTTAATCCCCTTTAGGCCACTCTGGGGCGGATCTCCCTCCAAAGTGAGAAACGAGGTGTGTCCCTGCCGGGCGCCTAACCAGCTGGGAAAACGGGCGGACTTACAGCAAGCCTCTGAGGCGATCGGCAGTGAATTGGCATCATCATTATTGAATTTTCCCAGCGCACGTGCTTGGAGCGGCCCCCTCCCATTCCAAACAGGTTCCCATCCAAGAAAACAGAAAAGGGAATAAAAAAAAAGGAATTTTGTTCCCTGTGGCGGCTGGACCAGCACACATAAAGATGCGGTTTAGCAAAGAGGTGTGTGTGTGTATGTGTGTGTGTCAGATAGGTCAGGGGGCGGCGGCATCGTGAGACCTTTTTGGAGGCATGTTGGGCCACTTACAACAGCGCAGTAGAGGAGAAACACATGTCTGGCCATAGCAAGCTGTAACCCTATTATCACCAAGGTTTGGGGGAGGGACTGTGTGCTGACTGCCGAGCATGATCTTTTTTCGTCTTTTACTGTAACCGACTGCCACCTTCATCGACGTCGGCTAATTCATCTCCTCGGGCGAAGCAGTCCACATTTGGTCAACAAGAAGCAATAAGCGAGCAGGGTACAAAGTATGCGTAGTAGGTACACCATCTGCTGTAGCATAGAGGCATCTAGCATCTTTCAACAGTGAGCCAGTGCCTCGGACCCTGCAGACTTCCCAACAAGACGGACTGAGTGACCGTTTGTTGCTGCTTCCGCTGCTGCTGCTGCTGCTGCCAATGCTACTGCTGGCGGTACTCCGGAGGCCAGCCTGCAGATAGGATGGGCGGCTGACCTGTCCCGATGGGGAAACGTGGACGGGGATTAAGGTGGTGATTGGGTCGGACTATTGGGCGGCTTGGGGCGAGAGAGCGCTGCAAGCCCAGGAATGTGGGCGGAAATAAAACGATCTGCTCACTACAGTTACTGATGTCTCTGATGTTGAAGCATGTTTGCCGGTGTGGTCTCGGTGCTTGATGGTGGTGGTGGTGGTGTAGGAGGTGGGTGGTGACCCCCCACGGAACGAATCAAGCAGCCTGGGCAGACAGGACGAGACGAAATGGCGGGCAGAAAACTTGAGTGAGGTATGCATGTACTCCATACTCGGCACCGCAAGTAGAGATCATCGAGAAGAATTGCACGTGTTTTTTTCTCCCCCCGTCTCGTTAGAATCGACAATGCCGAAACATGGCAATCCAGGTCTTTCGGAGTACTCCCCCCTGGGAGTGCACAGGAGGAGGAGCTCAGACTGTCTGTAGCCGTTCATGACCACTAAATTAGCCGCCGTAAAGCCTATCATGTCATGTCCCGGCTGGACGGACTCTCGTAGTATTCCGCCTTATCGGTTTTTTTTTCCCTCCTGCTTTTTCTTCGGTTGGCTTCTGACTGCCCTTTCTGTCTGTGCCAATGTGCCTTCCCTTCCCTCGCTTCCCATTGTGCCATCCTTCCCCCCAACCAACTTGCGGCTGGCTGTAGTGGGCCATTCCCAATATGGTTCCTGCCCCCCCATCCATCGTCTGGAACCTTGGAACCTTGGGACCACCGGGTACCTGCTGTCCCCGCCCGTGATACCTTCTTGTGTGTGCCTGTTGTGGAGGTGGTCTTTCTTCTTAAGAAGGCAGGGCAGGGCAGGGCAGGAAGGGCAGAAAGGTATCTGAAGCAAGGCAGCTACTTGTAGACCGAATGCTCTTGCCCTTGTGTGGCATGGCAAGCGCACACGGGGTGTATCCATCGCGATTGCCGTCACAACCACTGGTATCATGGCCCATCCCCCATCGTGCCTGCCTTGTCTGAAGATGTAAAATGCCCATGTAGTACGTATACAGATATGTAGTATGTAATGATTAGTCCACACTTAGCATATACCTTGCCTATGCATATGCTTGCTTGTGCTTTTGATTTTTTTGGTCCTGTTGTTGTTGTTACTGTTTTTGTTGATGCTTTTGCTGGCGAATACCACCTCTTGCCTCTGCATCCAAGTATCTACCTGCCCCATATCCGTATCCGCTGACCTAGTGCGGCTGTCGCCCCCTCCCCTTCCCACATACACACACCCCCGTCCGTCATCTCAGAGCCCATCAATCACCAGCCCAGTCAGGCCAGGCCAGGTCAGTCAATCAAATCAATTAGCCATCAATCATCAAGTCAATCCCGTCATCCCTCCCTCTCCCTACCCATCCCCCATCGCTTTTGGCTTCAGCCAGCATGGTACCTTGTTTCCCGTCCGGCGCACACACCTCCAGACACGGACGGACAGATACATCCGTCATCCCCCATCTCGTCTGAAAGAAAGAAGAAAAAAGCGTCAACACACACCCAAGGCCCAAACCAACACCACCACTAAATTAATTACCCATCCTCTATTGTGGTATCGTCAGGAGGACCTATTCGACGGACAGACTCATCCTCCAAAACCACCACTCTCCATCCCATACATCTTTCTATACGAGCAAACCGACCGACTATTCATTCACTCACTCATTCATTCCATCCAGTCTACGGTTCCCCCCGTCGGAAAGTAGGGTGGGCAAAAAAAAAAAATAACAGCCACTTCAGTCAGACGGTTGTACCCCGAAACTCGTCTCCTCTTACCTCCCTTGTCCGCTGGGTTTGTTCCGTCGTCGTGTTAATTATCGTTCGCCACTTTACCCAAACTATACTACATGAACCTCGCTCGCGCCGCCCGCAGCCACCCTAAATCCTTCTTCTCCTCTCCCTCAGCTCCTAATCTGATTCATCCTACCTGCGCGTGTTTGCACACACGCCTTGCTTTGGAGCATTAACTGCACGCTCACGCACACGCCTACATCTAAGTCTATACTCGTCGCAAAACTTCCAGGGGAAAACACGCGAGGAGGAAAAATTTCAACGTTCCTCAACCGCCTCAATCAAACCAAACGGCCTTTGGTGACTGGCGAGTCATATCTCCACTCATGCCAGCCCGGAGTTGATCGCTGAGACACCCGCGCGCCGGTCTCGCTCCTGGTCCTCATTCTGCTCGCCCTGGTCATTGCTGGTGGCCCTCCTTGTATCGAGTCCTCCCTCCCGGAACTGATTCCTGGGGAACCTGAGCCAGACTCTTCCTCCGCCGACCCCCTCCCCGCCAGGAAGGGAAAAAATAAAAAAATTTCGAGGCGCCGTCGGAATATACTTTGTCAAATGGACCTGAGCCTGAGCCAGAGCATGAGCCAAAATCACATGCTGCACGGGCCTGCGTCTGGCGACCGCCAGCTGCCGCCATCTTCCTCGTCCGCCGCTCCCACCACTCATACCCGCCCTCACACTACTCTTCTTCCCGCTACTACTTCTATTACTACTCACACCACCACCGCCGCCGCCGCCACTACTTTTGGTGCTACTGGTCCTTCATCAACTACCACCGCCTCCTCATCTTCCTTTCCGTCGTCCAAGAACAAGCACGTCCTTTCCCACACTCGCTTCGACCCGACACACATCTCGTCCCAGCTGCCTTCATATGCTCCCCCGAGCTATGCGCATGCACAGTCCCACGATCCCAACTTACTAAGATTTCCCGACGCCCCGACTACCGAACTTGCACCTATCCTTCCTGCCGCCAAACATAATGATAACGTTGGTCACAACCTGCCATCTCTCTCTTCTGTGACAGGTCCTCCTCCGCCCCCGCGCTTTGCTCCTCCACCATTGTCACAGCCGATCGAACCACAACCAAAACCCCAACGTCATCAACCACCACCACCACCACTACCACCTCAACAACAACAAAAACAACAGCAACAACTACCAGTCCTGACCCGCGCCTCGACGAATACTGTTCCTCTGACCCACTGGCCGAGCCTCAACCCCTTCACCACGTATTATACACCTAGTCATGCTCAGCCTGCCGACTCGCCTGCGAGAATGGACCTCGACGTAATCAGCAATAGCGCCATGAGCGCGGCATCCCCAGACCGTTTCTACGAAGGACGAGCCGCGAGTGTTAGCCTCGACGATCCAGATGTGCGAATGGCAGCCGAAGCCCTTGGTGACCTGCGAGCTGGTACGTTACCAGTTGTTTACCTGCCCGGCAGTGACAAAATGACTAACATGATATACTAGACTTCATCAACTCACCCCCAGCTCGTCACACTCCTCTCCCTAGAGGCTCGCCTGCAGTATCCGTCACTTCAAATCCGCAACCGAAACCTCAGACTCCCGCCGAAGAGCCCCTTCTCTCCCTCCTGACGACCTCTCATCCCATCATCGCCAACACCATTGAGAATGCCACTTCGGCCTACAACAACTCCAAGAACTTCTCTCCTCGTTTCAAGTCTAGTGCCGAGTATGTGGAAGGATATCTGACGCCAATTGCCAATACTGTGGGTACTGTTGGCCGTAAGACGGGTGTTGAGGGTGGTGTTCGCTGGTTCTTGGGTGCTGGTCGACGGCATCAGTCGACTGACTTGGAAGCTGCCGACGGAGGGTCCCATAAGCGCCGAAAGGTCGATACCGGAGAGGATTTGGCTCGGCTTATGGCCGACTCACAGACCAACGTCATGCCTGACGTCGACTCCCCACGGGATCCTTATGTCTTCAAGCACGACCGCCGTCTGTCAAGGGCAAGCACCATCGACACCTTGCCTGCGTATGATGATTACCGTTCCCCGGCCTATACTGAAAATGAGAAGGCAGAAAGACCCACTGGCTCATCAAATGCCGCTTGGCAATCCCGGCTGATCATGTCTACCTCGGGCCTCAGCGTTGCAATGAGTGATGAGAGCCTTCGGAGCCTAAAGTACTGTTTGCGGTGGTTGCGGTGGGCTAACGAACATCTTGGTGGCGTCATTAATAATCTCAAGACCGCCCTTGAACAATATGAGAAGGCTGGCCAACCAGCGGAGCAGTCTGATTCTAACAGTGACGGCGATCACATGATGGTTGACAGTCAACCTGACCCGGCGGAGCAGCAGAAACGCAACCAACTGGCAGGTCAAATCACTCGCTTCAAGGGTGACATTCTGAGAACTTTGAAAACATGCATTGACACAGTCTCCAAGTACGCCGGCGGTGCTTTGCCCGAGAATGCACGCGTTCTCGTTCGTCGTCACCTCACTACCCTGCCGCAGCGATTCCGCTATGCCAGCGCCGTCGAGCAGCAGCAGGGTGACAAGACTGGCGATAAGGCGCAGGAAGAAGCGATGCGCGAAGGTGCTCACCGCGTCCTTGTCCTCGCCAAGGAAGGACTCGACATGATGGCACAAGTCAGCGGTGTTGTTGACGGAACCATCGTTAGCGCCGAAGAATGGTGCGAACGGCTGGGCAAGAAGAAGAGAGACCATGGCGATACAGTCCTACCTCAGTCGCAACCCTACGAAGGCGACGTCAAGATTGCACCGGCCTGAATGAGCAACGAATTATTTTATATGCGACTAGGATTCTCCAGATGATAGGGCGGCCGGTTCCTTTACTTTTCTTACCAAAACCAAGTGGGACTTTGAACGGCGCAGAAACGGCAAACGGAAAAATAAAAAACAAAGACAAAACCACCGGACAAAATTCTGCTGTAGCAGACGCAAGAACACAAACAATGATACCATCCCGGGGGGCATCCTCACTCCCTTTTCACTTCGAATATACCATATCATCATACTTACACAAACACCACCAACCCCTACGGACATTTCCCTCACCTGTCAAGTACGCTTCTGTTTCTCTTTTTGGCAGTTATTCATTCTTGCCTAGTTTCTGCTTTTTGGTTTTCTTGTGTCAAGTTTTTAATGGACGGGTCTACAAAGGTACTGGGGCGTCCCCGAACCCGAGCTCACTCGAGCTAGATTGGTTCATTGTGTATAGAGCTCAACACACGTCTTTGTACAAAGCAAAGCTGACATATGTTTCACAATAACTGAACATTTCGCCCAAGTTTAGCCTGCCTCGTTTGCCTCTTCACTTTTCAGTTCCTCGTGACCGGATTTGAGTTACCTTGACCCACGAGTGGATTGAAAGTCAAGCTCAGACCAATAAGTACCATTGCAAAAGCAAGACTCACAATCCAATCTCTGTCGGGACGCTTCGTGCCGCCCATTTGTTTCCTATTGCAAGGTGGTCAAACATCGTCCGAAAAAAAGAAAAAAAAACCGCACGCACGCACGTATCCCGCATGTGCGGCAAGCTCAAGGCGGTTATTCGAGCGAATCTACGTCCTGGGAATCCGAATACGGGAGTGACCCTCCGGGCCGATCAGTTCCACTGGTTTAGCGGCCCGACTCACAATCTCGGAACTTGGACTCGGGGCCTGGATTCGAATTACCCAGATGGTGGCATTCAACAAAGGACCCGCCACTCCGGAAGCTTTGGCCCTTTGAAGCCCGTGCAGGAAGTGGGACTGAGCGGTTATTTCCTTAGTTCCAGTCTCGTCTGAAATGTGGTTGCTTCTTTTACAAAGTGGTATTGTGAACATATTTCCTCTTTGTCATCTAGTCTGTCTTTGAACCTACGAAGCCGGGGTTCAACGCTTGTTTCTAGACTTGTCTTGTTACAAGTCTGTTGGTGTCACTGATGACCGACGAGGCACACTAGCAGGTTGAAGCACATGTACGATACTTGTGCCATTATTAGTCAAAGGATTAACATCTACTCTTTGAGACATTGTAAGTGCTTGTCATGGCCGGGGGTGCCCATGGCTTTTCAAAGTAAGGGTACGTCGCTCGCACTTACTGACCTGATTGGTCGATGCTACGCTGATTTATACTTTGACGGCCATTGGCACGAGCTTCGAGCTTCTGAACGGATGGCCCGTTCCTTTTTGGTGATGTGAGACACCACTTGATGATTGACCATAGTTTGAGACTCAGTATATCTAAATCTGTAGTGTTACACTGGTGGCAGTCGACGGTGCTAACGGCTTGTGACCGTTAGTATTTACAGGTAGCAAAGATTGAATTGGTTTATTGTCCATGTAGCATGGGACCGAAGTAACTCCGGAACTTTAAGATTCTACGAGAAGCCTGGGATTTTTCTCAGGGCTAAGGTCGCTTATACACATGGCTTGTAGTCAGGTTGTCATTGTCCAGTTATATAAAGAGTTAGTTACTGAATCGTTATACAAGCAATAGTGAATTTATCAAAGATGCTGTCCCGACTCAGACCCGGCAATAAATAGTAGGATCAAGCATGTGAGAACTGCTACGTTCCCCGCATAAATCTAACCCACATCCATGTTACCAAGGATATGGTAGTATCCCGGCCGCTAAAGAGAGTTCATTCCCCGCGTCGTCAACGCAACAAGTCGGGATATTCGGTAAACAAGTTTGTCACGTAGAACCGCGCTGTGAAGATGAAAGTAACGATGAGCATATAAATAAACAACAGACTCAAATAAGCATCAAGCCGTCAGCTCCTACTCCAGCAACACATCGTCATGCCTTTAATACTCCTGAGAGCCGCCGACACCATGGCATCGTTAGCTGGATTAGCATTCGGCGTCCTCGTAGCATGGTTTGCTTCCTACGTCATATACCAGAGATACCTCCACCCGTTGGCCGCTTTCCCCAGTCCGTTTCTCGCGTCACTCACGGATCTGTGGCAGGTCCAGCAAGTTCTCTCCCTGAAGGAACCGTACAATTTGACCGATCTCCATGCCAAGTATGGAGAGTTCGTACGTTACGGGCCCGACAAACTCAGCGTCACGGCCGAAGACGCCGTTCCTCTGGTCTACGTGAAGGGTGGGCGGAAGCTGCCCAAGACAAAGTACTACGAGGCGTTTGGCTCCCATGTTCCAAACGTCTTTTCGATGAGAGATGTCGATGTAGGACCCTCAAGTGATCTTCCCGCGGTACCTACTGATGGTATTAACATGTATTCCGCAGCTCCACTCTGTCCGCCGACGACACATGTCCAACAGCTTCTCGCTCTCCAGCGCAAAGGGGATGGAGCGCTATCTCGACGAAAACATCAGGATCCTCCGTGGCAAGATTGCAAAGTACGCCAAGGAGGGAAAGGCATTTGACCTCAGAAAACTGGTGCAGTTCTACGTTGTTGACGTCCTGGGCGAATTGGCGTTCAGCCGCTCTTTCGGGGTCCAGATTTCAGGCGACGAATCGCTTGTTCCCCCGGTCTTCCAGCACACGTTGCTCGGCACGACGGTCGGGTCGTGGCCTGCAATGCTGCACACGCTCAAGAAATGGCTCCCCAAGGTCCCGCACAAGGGATTACAGGCTCTCATTGCGGGGAGAATGAAATGTGTGCGGCTGGCGTCTGAGTGTGTCCAGCGACGGGTCGACGAGGTGGAGAAGGAGGGTGCTGGCGGAAAAGGCCGGAGGACGGACCTCTTGACGACGCTGATCCTCGCGAGACACCCTGATACCGGGGAGAAGCTGAAGAGGGTCGAACTCGAGACGGAAGCTTTTGGGTTCATGTAAGTTGAGAGTTTTCCTTCCCACTTTTTTTTGCTAGGGTGGACTGCGGGTTGCTGACTTGGATAGTATCGCGGGGACGCACACGACGAGCGCAACGATAAACTTGTTGTTTTGGAACTTGCTGCATAACCCCGAACATCTACAGAAATGCGTTTTAGAAATCGACGAGAAGCTGGACCCGTTGGGCGACGACAAGGAAGCTTATTCGATCACGGAAGCTGAAGGCTCTCTGCCTTTTCTCCGGGCGTGTATGAGGGAGAATTTCCGTATCACGCCCGTATTCACGATGCCGTTGCCACGTCGTGTGGCGGCTCCGGAGGGGATCACCATTGCGGGACGCCATATCAAGCAAGGTGTAAGACTTCCGTGCATGGTATCATGGGCTATAGCCAAGAAGAATCTGACAATCTGTTTGTTTTTAGACGTCAGTTGCAGTCTGCAACCACGCCTTCCACCATAACCCGGCAGTTTGGGGCGATGATCACGACACATTCGACCCCTTTCGGTGGGAGGAGGCGGAAACGGCAGAGCGCGCGCGGTATCTGATGCATTTCGGCCTGGGCAGTCGGCAGTGCCTCGGCAAAACGATGGCGCAGAGCAACATTTACAAGGTTACAAGTACGCTGCTTCGCGAGTTTGAGTTTCAGCTTGCGGATCCGAAAGAAAGGGAGGAAGTGTCTGAGGGGAAGTTTAAGGGGGTGCTGCCAGAGTTGATTAGTGTGGGTGTGAGTGCTCTGAGGGATCCATTGATGGTGGTTGCGAAAATCAGGGACACTGCCTAGAAGAAACCAGTGATCTTTGATTGTGGCTGGGGGACATATTCGGTCACAAGGCGAGGCCATGGTGGTGGGAGAGACGCACAGAGACCGATATACGGGCCAAGAAACCATTATTCATATTTCTCTACGATCGCTACGTCTAGAAATCAAGACTGAAGGTGGTCATGGCAGCAGCAATCACCCAACACTTCCAATTCATCATTTCATCTCTCATCCCCTATGTACATCATTCTGACCCGGGGTCCATAAACTAGTTTCGCTGCAAAGCAACGCTTAACCTACGTACTTGACGGTAACGGAGCTGCCGCTAACAGAGGCCTGAGCAAGGACGGTAGAGCCGCGGTTGGGCAAGATATCAATAATGTCGGCACCAGCGGGAGTAGTTTTGCCAGAGGAACCAGAGGCCGAAGCATCGGTGAAAGTAACGGTGCCGAAGTCGGCCAACGTAACCTGGCTGCCGTTCTCCTGGAACGCCTCGACGATCCATTCGGCATTCGTCTCGCAGAGGGAAGACGGCGGGTTGGTGAAGGTGTGCGTGACCTTTTGACCACTCGTCAGGTTCTCCAGCGTGGCGACGCCCTTGGTCTTGGACGACGCGTCAACGCTGATGCGGATCTTGTCGCCGACGCTGACGTCAAAGTTGTTGAAGTTGTAGGCGTAGTCTGGGATCCACTCGTACCAGGCGTCGAACGTGCCGTCGGCATAGAAGGAAATGCCCGTCTGCAGGATGGCCGTCTGGCAAGTGTCGCCGTCGATGCCGACCCAGGCGGAGGCGGCAGATCCGCGAGCACCGCTGACGTCCGGAACGATGATGGTTCCGGTTACTTGGTTGTAGCCGGTGCCAATCTTGACGGCGCCGGCCCAGTTGGACGAGTACTGGACGTTCTTATCAGTGGTGACTGAGTCGAGGGAGAAGACGTCAAGGCGCTGGTTGGGGGAAGAACTGTATCTGGCCCGGCGTTCAGAGCGAGGGACCAAAGGAGAGTAGTTGCGCTGAGTTAGCTTGGCGCCGGGGGCGGCGGAGATGATGCCGGCTGAGACAGCGGCGAGAAAGAGAGAGAACTTCATCTTGAAGGAGAAGGAATAGGTTTTGACTGGAAGACTGAGGTTTGAAAGACTGGCTTCTTGCTTAAGCTGCTGGTGCTGATTTCAATTCACTTTTTCTCAATAATTGATGGAATCTTTATACTTATTCGCGATGGCTTCATCACCAGACCTCGGCAGTACTCATCGCGGTGTTTCCATAGGCGCTATCCTCCATACCGCAGGTGAGTAAATATCACGATGCCGGTTTCCCGAAACCGTTGTCCTGTACGGGAAGCACTTGACAAGTGTATCCATCCAAGATGAAGCTCCTCCCTATTTGGGCGGTATCGCGAAACCCTGTGTGCTGAAGTCGCATCAAGCTTCATTCCCATCGGCGGCGGGGCGGCAACACGGCAGTACGGCATGTGGAGACCCACATCGGCCCCGGAGAACGCCAAGGCGGGAGTTGATGATTGGAGGGATACCCTGCTTCACAATATCGCGCTCCCCATACATTATCAGCTCCCGTCCAGCTGTAGTGTGTAAAGCGATTACCACTTTCCTCTTTTGATCGGCGTCCTGGGATGGCGCCATAACTTATAAGCATAAAATGCCGAGAAGGTTTAATGGTTATGGGTACTCCGCCGGCGGACGAGCCATATGTTAATCGTTCAGTGGAGCAACCTCTTTGCGAAGACGGCATCCATTGGGAGATTGCGATTGCAGTCGTTCTAGCTGGCGTTCTGTTGCTTTGAATCCGCGGACAAAGACACGTTTTTAGCATAGTCTGATGTGTATTTGAATACGGGAATCACGAGATAGCATGGGAATATGATGCGTGAGTGCGGGTGGAATTTTGGGTCATGCTGGATTGTTCTGATCGCAAGTCCGATTGTCTCAGCAAAACTCTTTGGCATTGTTGGACTCTTGGGCATGAAACAAATAGCAAGCATTGAGACTACATGGCTCCTGACTAAGTAGCCACCTCATGAGGCACATCGCTGGCCCTCGAACAGGTAGGCCTCGGTTCAATTGTGTAGTCAAATCTCTGCAAGCAAAGCAAAGTTTTACTTCAGGCGACTGTACTGAACGAGGCATTCTTTATTATTATTTTTTTCTTTATTTAAGACTGGGAGGCAAGCCATGATCCCTGCCCGTGATCTTACTTTGCTATTAGCATTTATGTACCAATGGATAGTTGGAGATATTCATGCGCGACTTGTGACAAGAGAACATAACAACATTCATGTCAGAAGACGGGGAGTCAAAATCATAGTGTGGAGCAGCGAGGAGAACTTCGTATAAACATGTTGCTGATCGGTTGCATTCTCTGAGGTAGACACCGTGACCATCATTCATTTTTCAACTCTCAGAGCATTGATAAATCCTTGGACAGTTTTCACACGTACTCTTGAATCTGTGGATCCAATTTCCCTAATACGTCCAAGATCGCATTCTTTTATCCCTTGACGCAATACTCTGCCCAACCCCTTTCTCAATTAAGGCTTTCCCAGATCTAGCATGGCGGGCTTTCCCAAATCTATCAATACTGCTACCTATGAGCTCAAAACCAAATATAACCAAAAAAATTCACCTCTCTAGTCTTCATCAAAAATTTCGTAGCACTTCTGTATAATTGTGTCGACAACCTTAACCTGCCATCCCGCGTCTTCGATGCTCGTGCTTGGGTTGGCACCCATCAGAATGGGACCAAAGATAACGGCGAGATTGTGCGAGTTCATTCGGTTGACATGGGAATTCTCCATAACGCGATGGAGGTGCAGTATGACCGAACGTATTGTTGCGTAATGGGTATCTGGCAGACCATTAATAATGGCATGGATGGAATCACGGCGTACGATGTCGTCTGTATGTTCTAAAAAGGGTTAATATGCATATTTCTTACAAAATTTAGCTAAAACTATAACTTACTAGCTGCATTTATCAAATCGCTGTAGAATTCCTGAACAAGTAGTGGATTAGGAAGATCCTTTAGAAATCGTTTCAACAAGCCCGCAGCAATGTGAACGTCGTAATCGAAGTTTTCCGGCATTCTAAAATCCAATGCTGGGTTCAATGAATCGAGATTATACATGTTTCTGAGTTTTTCGATGATGGCTGGGGAGCCTGACTGACGGTAGATACCTTCGACACCGAGTCCGTAAAGATCTACCGCCTGGATGCACTGATGGACGACCACAGGTACAGGGAGACCGTCACGCTCATACAAGCGATCAAGACTCACCCCAAATACGAGTTTTGGAGTAGCCTTTTCAACGGAGTCATCTACTCTAGGTCTTTCCCAGGACGTTGTCTTAGTGTTGTGGTCGACATAGTACGTTTGGCCCAATTCGGTTTCCCTACGCTCCCAGCCCGCCGGCAGCCGACCGAGTGCGTCTTCAATACTCGAGTCTTCTTTGGTTTGGTGAGTAACACCGCTGGCCATTGCATTTGTAGAGGCAGATTTTGAGGTATTTGAAAGGCGGTCAGAAGCGTCCGATTCCCGATCCACTGGCCAAAATGGGCTGAGAAGCAACCTGCCCTTGACGGCTTTGCTTCCATATTTTACTGACTCCTTGAGGTCATGAGTTAAAATATTAACTACAGTTGTTCGTCAGCATTGGCTCGAAAAACTTTGCTGCCTTAAAGATGCAATGGCACGTAATTTATAGCCGACCTACTTTTTGCAGTGGGAGAAAGATTTAACATGTCACCGACCAGTAGGTCAATGACACCAAGGAAACCTCGATCATCCTTCTTATCATATTGCTTTTTGTCAAATATATGGATAGAAAGTAAATCATTCTCAGTTGCGAGACTGTCAAGTGAGACATTTCATCAGTAAAAGCACAATGGTTGGTTCCTGGGCTGTCATATACACCCAGCAAATGTGAAATAAGAGTGTACAACAGAAGTCAGTCTTTTCTCTTACAAGTCAAAGTCCTCGTTCCAGTACGGATTGATAGTTCTCTTTTTGGTAGTAGTCGTTTTTGTCTGGCCATCGTTGATAGATAGAATAGCGAATGGATCAGGAAGCCTCACACCTAGAGCACGTATTTAGGTCGCTGCGCCACTGGAACACAAGGATGTTGAGCTAGTCAGACTTACGAAATATGTCTCGATTGATAAGCTCTTCAGCCGAAATAACTGTAATTATAGGCGTCAAAACCTGCAATCATTCTCTCACAAAAAGGCTGAACGGAATCAAGAGACCACGAACTGGTAATGCGGATTTTGCGGGAGGCGAGGTTATGAGGCTGTGGGGGGCCTCTTTCGGGATCTTTTGCTGGATTTCTTTTTACAACTTCTCTTAGCCAATGCTTTTACGATTGGAATGAAAGGTGTTGGCGGCGGTTCACTCACCTCGCTGGCTGCGTATCCACCGCGTTCACGCTACCAGCTTTGATCGGTTCAATTGGAGGGCCTCGGGGAATATTAGTTGCGCTCAATGTCGAACGATGACTCGAAGTATAAGTCTCATAGGAAGAGAGTGAAGACAAATCATCCGTGTCCTGGTCCGGATCGATGACGTCGTCCGGGCGAGATTGGTCATCGGACCCTTGGTCAAAATAATTGTCGGCATCGAAATAGTCGTCGCCCACATCACCCTCCTCGTCTCCAATGACGTCCATTGCCCATGGAAGAGACCGCAGAGAAAATGCGTGTAAATGCTCTGCAATGTGATCTAACAGTTCTGGTGCATCAGGAGGGCCAGTAGAGTCGCAGAGCGGACAGCTACTGATCCCTGGTGGTACAGGCCGAGTTCCGTTGATAACCAGAGTTGAATACTGGCTTTCACTGATTGTAGAGCCGTGTTCCTGACGCAGATGGCTGAGGAGGCCGTCGACAGACGGAAAAACGAGCGGCGGCCTGTCTGGGACTGTGCATGGCGAACACTGCCAGCATTGCTGGTGCTCTTGCTCAACGTGTCTTGTCCACTCTTTCCGCGTGACGTATAACATGTCTGGCTTTGGACAATCATCAAGGATGCACATGTAGGGACATATATCTGCCATAAGATGTTTTCTGGGCACAGCAAGCATCAGATCCAACCTAAAAGCGAGGTTGACTACAGGAAGCTTAGAAACCGGTACGAGACTCACTTCCACATCGTTTGTCCCCGGTAAAACTCTGGGAGTGTTTGGGCACAACAAGGACACTTAAAATACCGCAGGAGACCATTCTGCTTAGGAGGTCTGGGGTAAAGGACCTTGGACGCGGTGGAGGTAATATTTGTTTTCGCTATTCGTGAAGCTGTCGGAGGGTGCTGTGGGACAAATTCGATGGTTTGAGCCACCTTCGAAGCCGAGGTTGCTGTCAGAACTGCATCATAGGAAGGCAACCTATTGCTATCTTGAGCAATTCTCTCCATTGTTGCAGCTGTAAGTTGTTCTTTTGTTTCTGGCGCTGCGTCTGTTGGCTTTTGTTCGGGAAGAGCATGGAGAATGACCCCAGTTGGTAGAAGTTCCCGATGGTGAAGGTTGGAAGTATCAGCTGCCAGCTTCCTTGCATGTCTCTGTGCGTACAAATACCTGTTTCTCCGCTTCAAGTTTGCGCGAATCAGACGTTCCTGTATGGGAGTCAGGGAACTTGCGTCGACAGAGTACGCCTGGCGCCCATCTTCACTTCCTTTGGCCAGGATGATCAGCTCGAGGTGATTTCGTAGTTTTTTATGACTTTCCGGTTTGAATGACTTGTCAGCCTTATGCAGTCTAGAACTATTTCCTGATTTTCGTATCGCAAGGGCTAGCCGTGTTAGATGGTCAAGGATCTGATCTACCTCGCCTTTTGCCTCTGAAAGCTGAGAGTGTCGACTGGGGTTTTGTTTGGCATTTGGCACAGATTCTGTATCCGAAGAAGAGTCGTCGGACCATGGCGAAAAGCCCCGTGGAATGTTTTCCGCAGAGTCTTGAATCTGTCTCGGCTCCGTAACTTTAGGGTTACCCTCCAACCCAGTGTCGTCGTCTTCTTCCCTGTCAAGAACGAGAGCTGTGAAATACGTCAGATTTCGCTCCATACCCAAGGTGGTTGATTAAAAAAGCACCACTACTTGCCGGATTGTTCACACTTATTAAGGCACCCTAACATCAAGACAAGAATTCCAATGACCAAGTTTCTCACCTCACTTTCCAAAGCCAGCCGAGAATCGAGTGAAGCAGTGCCGCCTGCAAACGCCCCCGTCATTGCCGTCCAGAGATTAAACTCAGCAAGTCTATTCTCTGCCCATTCAAGAGTCATCAATTGGGGAATCTCCGTCAATTTCAGCAAATATTCGCGACATTGTCTTGCCGCAAGCTCTATTGAGCCTTGAGCCGTCCGGCCCGTGGGCTGGGCGGCAGGGGAACTGGGCAAGAGAGGGGAATCCATCTGCGGCCGAAGATCGTCGAAGTATGGATATTACCAGCTAATGAACCATAAGCTTTCCGCAAAGAAGGCCTGTCCATTTGTATTTCACATTGTTCTGGACCCAAAGGCGATGCTGTTGGCGATGCGTGGGTAGTGAGGATTGACCTGGCTGTGCAAATCAGGCTGCACTTTACTAGCTGAACATGGAATCTCTTTTCCCCCCGCAATAATGTCATGTGATAAGAAAGAGAAGGAAATTCAAGCGCCCTACAATCGCGATGGATTCAGCGTCCTGATTGGGTCTCTTAAACTTGCATCCATGTCAACGCAGGACAGCGCATGCGAGTTGCCGGAAGAGTTCTGGCATCAAAGGCTTGGGATTTTGTTACCCAATAAACTTCCTGGCATGTCATTTTGCTATCTCAAGCTGTAAGAAGCAGCTATCGGAGAAAGTTTTGGATAGGAGGACTTCCTGGTTCAGGAATTCAGGAATCTTGGAATTTCGTTCCTGGCACTCATCGCATCATAGTAAGCGCTAGGCTGTCCTGGGACTCAAAAAGTGCACAAGGGCAATCATAGGAGCAATCTTCTTTTCTGGTTAACCCACATTGGCCGCATACTTGACAATCACATTCAAAGCAACACAAGAGGGAGAAATGGCGACCAGGACATATATCCTAGCCCCGAATTTTACCTACAAACCTGCAGGCGCAATTCAGATAGGCTCCATCATCGCCGACCCCTTCCGTCCTGCAAAGTCCCTATCTCAGCCTGCTGTCTTGCCAGCTGTGGAAACCGTTGTGCAGTACAACCATGATGCCTCCCGTCAGACAAGTCGTTCAATGAGGCTGTCTCTATGGGCCCGCGCTCTTGAAGCTGCGGGAGCAGAGATTAGCGCTTCGCGTGGTTGGGACACTACCGACTCTCTTTCGATGGAGCGTCTGGAGACGCGCTATCTCGCCCAAGAACCTGGGGACAACGATCCGGAGCTCTTGAAGCGCCTGAAAGAACCCCTTGTTCAGGCAGCTATTAAAGCTGGGATATATGGCCATGCGCCCGTTTACCTTATCTCTGGTGTTAAGATCGCCCGTGGGCTCACGGTTAGATCCGAAACAAGTCGGGTGGTTGGAGGTGGGGTCGGGGTGACCGTTCCTGCGGCTCAGGCTGTAGGTATTGACATCGGGGGAGACGTAGGAGGCGAGAGAGGACGAGGCACGGCAACCTCTTTCACCAGCGATGGTGAGGACATAGTAGTAGCGTATCAGGTGCATGTCATCAAGGCGAAGGGAAGGAAGACTAAGGAAAGGTTGACGGCGGATGTGTTCGAGTCGGACGCGGCATTTCTACATGACGATGAGGAGGATAATGAGGACGACGAGGAAGAACACCGCGTTGAGGCGAAGGTAGCAAGTGTTGAGTCGTTGGCAGACGTCGCTCGCCAGGTTGAAATGGCCGTTGATAGTGAAGAGGCTGATGGGCCAGATGGGAAGACCTTCGTACTTGTGCAGGCCAAGCAACTAATAGGTTGAGTGGCTGTTGATGACAATTGCGACAAATTATGACCATGTTATATTGCGAGTTACCATAGCTTAGCCATGTGTCTATGTTGTCTCGTTCACTCATTATTTTGCCCACTGAATCTGACATATGGCTCTTCTATCGGTGAATATCATTTGCAACGTTCCTCATCGCGCACAAGCATCTGCAATTGCCGCCCAAACTTTCTCCGCCCCCTTGCCTGTGAAAAACCCCACGGGAGATATGTAGTACGACCTGTTGCCCATGTCGAGAGACATTCTCGCCAGAGCATTGCGCATGCCCCGTTTTGTCCACAGCTTCTTGATATCGGGTGGCATTCGGACTGTTGGGTCTCCAATACCGATACCTACAATCATCATAATCATAGCGGCGATGCCCGTCGCAACGGCGGTGGCGACCGAGGATCCGGACTTGGCAATCTCTCCTTCCACACTACTAAGCCATGCTGATGGCACTTCGCGCCCCAAGGTGCCAAGCACAGCCGGTCCGTCCGGGTCGACTGGGGGGTTAGTGTCCGAGAAGGCGCCACGAGTATTGGTTTCACGAATTGATATAACATGATCGAGGTTTGCCGGAAACATCTCTCGGCGATTTCCGCCTGAGTTGGAAGCCGCAGCAAAGAAGATTATATTGCCCTGTCGCTCAAGCATCGCTTTAGTAATGGCGTGGGTGATGATGGGGACTTCGTCTTGGAAACCGAAAGACATGGAAACGATGTCCGCTTTGACTTCGTTTGCCGCCCAGTCGATGGCCTATACGGCAGCTAATTGTCAGACCTTTGTACTCTGGAGTTCTCTGGCAGTTGCCCTCACCTCTGCAATTGCATGTGTCGAATTCCTCAGGCTTCCCCTGTTCTTGGCTATCCTAGCTACATAAATTGTAGCCTGAGGAGCAATTTTCATTATAATAGCGGTGCAATGGCTTCCGTGGCCATTCTCATCTGTGGGAACTTCGGAATTGGCGACGTAATCTTTCCAGCCCTTGATCTTTTGCCGACGCCCAGGCGCAGTGAAGAATACTCCCTCCTCGTCGAAGCCCGTATCCAAAATAGCTACCCGTGGTGACTGGACTGGCGTAAGGGTCTGCCTTTTTTGGAAATATTGGTTTATGACACTAAGGTCATCGAGCCATCGCGATGCTTGATCAGCGTCGCGGTTGTGCATCGGCATCGCTGGCACAGCTGGGATGTCAGCGACATGATTTGGACCATTGGAAGCGTCAATAGGATCCATGATGTTCAGGTCACCAGCGAAACCTAGCTCGTTAAGAAGTTTTTCCAAGGGTCTGACAACAGCATTATGAATTGCAGCCTTTCGAACAAATACATCTGCTTCTACGGTCGCACCCTCCTGCTCCGACGACTTGTAGTGAAGACAACTGAGGATTGCCTGGCGGTAGTGTGGGTAATCAAAGTCACCCCAGGTTCTGTTCTTGCTTGTGAGTCGTTTGGCTAATGTCCAAGTTGCATTCAGATTGGCCTCAACTGAGCCAAGGTCCTCGGTGCTTAGGCTCTGACCTCTTCCTATCTCGAGGAGGATGATGCAAAGTGCAAGCAGTCGGGGATATCGAAAAATGACGCCAAAATTGTTGCAGTATTCGACCGATTCACCAGCAGACTGCTCAAACTGAACCGCAAAATAAGGCTTTGAGGCGTAAATTGCCACGTTTGGCTGGATATCATTTTCACCTTCGACTAACAGTTCAGGGAGGAAATGGATCGATTCGCTTGACCAGGGTGAATCCATCCAAGGAGAGTCATAGTATTGCCAGAAGGACCGGGCGACAATATATGCAAGTACTAGCTTCATCCGGTTGGACAGCCGTCCTATCTCTAGAACCCTCCTGAGCGAGACGCTAGGGCCGGAATCGATGTGGTCAATAACAGGGAGACCGTCATAAAGCTGATGAAGCTCCGAGTCCTGGACACGGCAACAAATCCTAGAGCCCAGCCTTGTCTTTACTAGACGGCAGAACTCATCTGGTCTGACTAACCTCGTCTTCTTCGCGCCGCGTTTGATGCAGCCACCCGACGTTTTGAAAGAATCGGAGTCATCGCCAAATTTGACTGCTTTAGCAGCTTTCTTCCTCATAGATACATGTAGCTGAAGATCCTGCCAGTGGTCCCACGCTGTAGGAGACGTTGAGAAGAGCATGTCGAAAGCGACTTGTCCATCAACTTTCAATATGTCATTTCGTAGTCGTAGCCTCGCTTGGTGTCGCGGATGTCCACGTCCGTGACGGGCAATGCAGGTGCAGAGCGAATGAGACTTCAGGACAGCATAGAGGTCGGCATTGACATGTGCGGGATACTCTTCGGTGATGTCTTTGGCCCGCTGATTCACATTACCACTATTCATGCCGACGTCATCCAGGAGCACCACTTGCTGCGAGAATCGCTCGAGCTTTTTCAGATATTGTTCGACGACGTACGGCGAAGACTTTGCAAAGTTCAGGATACCCTGTCGCACGCGTTCATCGATTCCCTTTCCTTTCGAGCCGATCAAGGACCGGAAGGTTGCATTATAAGGCTCGGGAGGATCTGGCCACTGCGCGACATGTCAGTTTGTGTCGCACCCCGCACAGATGTGAAGCTTCGGGGCCACATTCAGGAAAGCGAATATGACTTACTGCACACACACGATCCAGGTCCTTGAGGAGTTTTGGAACCCGTCGTTGAAGTTTGGGTAAATGCGCGATGTCCGTCGAGTCCAAGGCCTTCCTGGCAATTAGCAACTCGGCAGCAAGGCAGCCTGCAAAGCATAGCTTCTTGCGGGCGCCAAGGTCGACCGCGATCTGCGAGACATGCGACAGAACCTCTTTGGCGAAGTCAAAAGAACCGATGACATCGGCGCCGGCGCCAAAACTGTCCGTGAATTCGTCACTCATGAGGGCAACAAATGGGCCGAAGCAGTAGCCACAGGAAATACCATTGCAGAGGTGAATTGGAGGAAAAGTGACGAGGCTGCGACCCAGTAATCGCAGCTGACCTGAAGCAGGTTGGTGACCAATGATAGAAGCCGATAAACCTCTGAACTATGCACGCGAGAGGCGTAGACTATCTCGAGATTTTAGACCGCCTGTACAAACATGCGCAAGTTTTTTTTAGAAGTAGTACTCTAATAAACGGTGGTAAGCTCGGGCATTCGTTATAAAATAAGACTGTTGTGATAATCTCATTGATGACCGTACGATGCAAGTTAGAGAGCAAACCGGTGTTAAGATTTCGGTGATAACATAACCGCCAGGACACGGCACTCTACCCCGCATAACAGACCTAGAGATAGACATGCTGACTATCATGCGAAGTCTGATGATGGTTTAGACAAGAATAAGGATAAAGGTGAATCATTGCGAAAGCATGAACCGTACATAACAGTACACGCCTATTATTCAGGACCTGAACCAGAATGGCAGAGGCCGTTCAACAAAGGCTATGTTAAGGGCGTTCTGTCTTAAGTCAGCCTTGGTTAGCGGGTCTCCCGCGCCCCGTTTCGCCTGGGATGACTGCCGATCGGGGGCTGTGCCACGCGCATGGTAAGTTATTGATGGCTTGACAGACGCCATTTTGAGAATGAGGGTCGAAGAGCTTCAGGTTTACCAATGAGCTCCGGTGGACACCCTCCATGTTTACGCCACCCAATGCCATGTCCAGTCGAGAGATCTGCCCAACTACTCGCCACATTGAGGCTGTCCTATTCCTGACATGTTTGGCTCCTTTTCGACCCCCCTACTTAATTACTTCAAGCCGCAATAGAACCCTTCATCACCAATTCAATTGCTAAAGTCCACCTCATTCTCTAAAAATACAATGTCGGAAAATACACCTTTTTATTCGAGCAATGTCTACGACGAGAAGACGATGGCAACTTCGTCAGAGCTCGGCTACAGGCAGACTTACATCAAGAATCTCATCGATGAAATCCCATCTGAACTAGGCTCGGTCGACGACACCCGCACCTTTGTACAAAGTCTTCTGCAGTATCGCCGGGTATTTCCCGGGACTGTGATGAAGGTCAACGAGCAGTTGCTGTGGACTGGCGAGGAGCTTCACAGGACCAATAAGGAGAACTTGATTAATGAAATGAAAGAGTATGGGTTCACGCCCTCGCAGGCAGGGCAGATTGCCAAGGACCTTCTTGAGGTCCGTGATGTAAGCTCTTTCATCCCAGGCTGCCAAAGTCATTTTCAAACTGCGTCGTCAGAATCTAACACTCCACGGAACAGCATTACAAGGAGATGAAGAAGGCAAGGGACAAGAACCCTAACGCCACGGTCGTTTTCAAGCCTAAGACAGTCCCTGAAGCCCCCCCGGGCGCCATAGTTTTTGCAGGATTATTCATGATGCTTGGTCTGTTTATTGTTCATAAGATTCTAAGGTTTATTATATCATAATCTCGACTGGTTTTCTTTCCACGTCTCTCGCATACTAGCTGCTGTTTTTTGACACTGGATCAAGGTGTTTACAACTATATTATATCCGGTATCAGTCATTTAGCATTTAATAAGAACTCTGTCCAATATAGATCAAGAGCTTGCAATTGGAAGACAGGATTAGCGCCAGGTACTTGGTCGGGCAAATCGCCAACAATAGAATCGTTCTGTCACTTGTGAGAAGTTACGCAATAAGGCAGTGAAGTACGGCACTCAGTGATAAGTAACACAAGTTGGTGTGTGGAAGCTCTGTTCTTTCGACGCCACAACTCGAGCACCTCAATGGTATTTGGCATCATGAATGCTTTGAATGACGTCTAATGAATTGTTTCGCATCTCACAATCAGGGGTGACTGTATCGCAACTGTAACTCTTCTTTTGTTGGAAATAGATCTGTGCTACAGACTTTGGCTTGAATTATTCAATTATTTTCTTGATAACTATAACTAGGTAACACGAGGGAGTACTGAAGGTTAAGGGATCAAATGCTTGAATGTTGCCGTCTCTGTTATAGTTTACTACTAAATTAGTGACAATAGGTGCAAACTAACTAATATCAGAAAGGGAAATAGTCAAAGCGTGAATATTCACGACCTACCTTGCTCAAAACTAAACTCACTTACCAACAGGATGGTTCTAGTTGTCTGAACAGAAATCTAGCAGATGGCTCAACTGGTGACCAGGTGGCTATGGGGTACGCAACAACTCAACCATAGAGCTTTAATCACCTTGCGAAAGTGATCTAACCTATTAAGGAAGATACTTAGAGGAAACCAAGTGGTATAGAACTAGACTCGAGAAACTTTAAGAGTTACCGGCTCAGGTGCAAAAGCGAGGCGAGGTCCATCTTCCATCCCAGGACATAATTGATCACGCTTATCAACTTGGTTGACGACCTTGATGTTGACAAAATGTCTGCCCTGCCCATTGAACGAATCAGACCCACTTGTGCCATTTGTGAAGCCAGGGTCGATGTTGTTTTGGAGTTATTTTACTCCTTACGCATTACGTCGAGCTTATCCCTTTCTCCACAGCCGTCGATGAAATGGGCTATAAGCCTACAAAATCCACCGTCAATCTCACTTTTTTCTTCTAGATCACGATTCATAGCATGTAGCTCGCGTGCTCTCGTGTCTACTAAGTAAAAAGCTTTGTAGACATGGCCCTGACCGAGCTCTTTCTCAGCTTCAATGAGACGAAAGCAAAGATATGGTTGCTTGAACCTCCTTGTCGATGCCTTCAAGATAGGAAATGCCATTCTCCTGTCGCACCCATGCATTTCTTGCTCGCTGGAGGATTCCTGACGAGCCGTCGAGGATATGGATACAAGCGTATACGGCACCTAGGACCTCCTATGCGGGCAATCTTGAGTTTTGATACTCTGCCAGATGAATGAATTAATTTCACAGTTTCACAAAGATCTGAGGTTGTTGAACAGGTGATATTTGAAGGGGGGATTTGATGAAGTCATATAACGGTACAAAGCGGGAGGTTGATGGCAGCCATGTGAAAGGGGAGAAAAGGGAATGACTGTGAGGTTATCTATCCGTATCCATCAGCCACATATGCATCACGACGACAGAAAAAAAAAAGGGAATTCTCTAATCTCGAAGAAATGCCACACAGAGGAGAGCGTCGAGCCATGCAGGTATGCAGCAACACGTTTCAGAACCGATACATCTATCCATGTCTGGACTTGATGAGATCAGCAGCCTTCTCACCAATCATGTACGCAGTGCTCATAGTGTGAGCACCAACAAGCAGGGGAATGATACTAGTGTCAGCGATGCTGAGATGACTGGTGCCGTAGACCTTGAGGTTGGAGTCGACAACACCACCGAGAAGACGGGGCATCATTGAGGCGGTACCACAGCTGTGGCCGTTGGAAGCGTTCAGGTTCTCCTCGTCCACCAGCCACTTCTTCACCTCGGCGTCAGACGTGCGGTCCTTTCCGGGTACGAGCTCGACAGGGCCAAGTGCGGAAAGAGTCTTGGAGGTGGCGAAGTGGTTGCGGATGTACTGCTGCATGCGAATATGGATCTCGAGGTCGATAGGGTTGGACAACAGACGGTAGTCAAAGATTGGGTCCCCGAAGGGGTCCTTGGGGTTGATGTTGACGGAACCACGGGAGAAGGGCTTGAGAAGGATGGACGTTCCACGAGGAGAGCCCTGGAAAGGATGCTCGAAGATGGCGGACTTCTCCGAAAGGAAAGACTTCAGGAGAATCTTGTGCTGGAGAATATAACCGGCAACCAGGGTAGGGTCAAGGCTATCTGGCAGATAGTACTTATGGACAGCCTGGAGACCGAGTTGAAGGCTGAGATTGGCAAAATGGGTACCAGTGAAGCTACGGGCAGGGAGTAAAAGGCCACCAGAAATGGTTGGCGAGGTAAAAGGACCAGTGTTGTGGGCCTTGTACTCGTCAAGGGCTTCGGCGCGGAAAGTCGCGTTGGTATGGATGGTAATCGGCGTCGGCCACACATCCTTGGTGAAGTTGTACAAACTGACAGTGTGGGAGTGATCCTGCAGGTTCCATCCAACGCCAGGGAGATTGATTAGAGACTTGATGCCAGCCTCTTCTACGACCTTCTTCGGGCCGATACCAGAGAGCTGGAGGATGATGGGCGTGCGCGTAGCCGAGGCAGAGAGAATTATCTCCTTCTTGGCCTTAATGTCGAAGGTGGCGCCGTCGCCGAAACGAGGCTTGACTTGAACACTGACAGCCTTCTGGTTCAGATCCTGCTTCTCAAAATTGACCTTGAGACCACGGTGGAGAGGCAGCAGGTGGTAGTTCTGACGAGGTTGAACGTATTGGTAATGCCCCAGACCACCGAAGCTGCGGTTATAGGCCCTGCTGGGGTCGTACGAAGAGGGAATCCATATCAAGCCATAGGCATTACCATTGCCGTGCTCCTTCTGCACCACGATGCCATCGCGTTCAGACCACGCCTTCCATTCGTATTTCTGTCCCGGATACTGGTAACCCGGCATGCTCATGTAGATGGGTGTGCTGTTCCCATAGGCGGATATGTCAAATGTCATACCATAATCGTCCTGGATATGTTGGGGAGGTGGGTTGAAAGAGTGACTCTTCTTGTAATATGGGAAGACGCTGTCCCAGTTCCATCCTGGGTTACCTAGGAGAGCCCAGTTATCGTGATCCTCCTTGCTCCCGCGGAAGAAAATTTGACCATTGACAGCAGCACCGCCGCCGACAACAGCACCGTTGGCAACGGGGAAGACGCGGTTGTTCGCATTGGGTTGCGGCACGCTGGTCAGGTTGTAGAGGAACTCAGCGGCGGGAGTGTTAAACGGCGGCATGAAGGAGTCATCCACGGCAATACGTCCATATTCGATTACCAGCACGGTTTCTGCTTCGGTCAGGACTACGTCGACAGACGTTTATTTGAAAACGCACTCTTGGGGTCCTCCGAGAGGCGGTCAGCCACAGTCAAACCTGCTGTTCCTCCCCCAACTGATGGATATTAGCTCAGGCTTTGCAAGCGGTAGTGGGGAGAGGGACTTGCCAACAATGAAGTCATACTCGGGCAGTAGGTCCTTGCCGCCGGACTTGACGATGGCGGATCGGTACGAAGCGGGGATAGCCTGAGCGACGGCCAAGAGTCCCCATAGGCAGAGCGGGGTTCGTGGCATTTTGAATCAATGTCAGAGTAGCTCTCAACACATGCATCCAGCGAAGGTGAAGATGGGACATCACAGCGGATATCAAAACAAGTTCTGACAGACGGTCAAAATCCCCTCTGTGCTGTAGCCAAGCTCAGGGCTTTTTCGCCTGCCTTATCCGTCAAATCGCCAAAGCTTCCTATTGTTGGGATCTCTTCTTCCAAAGACCCTGCCATGCAGGTTCTAGCGTATCGGCCATAAGCACCTTGAGACTACCATTAGACTTGGCAGGATCTGCATCCGGGCGGCGCAGGCCTATCAACTGGGCCGCCGACCCTTTAATTGGATGGACGGGTCGCCCTGCTACCTTATCAATCAGTCAGGGGGAGGGTGGCGCAATTGCCACTTTATGCTCTTTTGAACGATGGATGACTCGGGTGGGTTTTCATAGATATAAGATGAGAGTCTGCTCAGACAACCCCTTCTCAGCATCCCGAGGTGGGGGCTGTGCCTTTCTTGTAGGAAACGTTACGTAGTACTCGGGTCAGCACGCCGGCTACAATCCGTGCCTGAGAAAATCGCCCAGGGAACCCTATCCAGACAAGATCTGGGGATTAAAATAGTGAGAAAGAACCTTTAGAATACCATTAGCTATAGCCCTGAGATTCAGGATCCTTCTTTGTATAGACTATCCCCCTGCTTACGTATATGCTTCTCTGATTCGATCGACAAGACCTATGAAGACAATGTGACTTCGCTGCCTACCAACACTGGTACAGAGGGTCACTTCTACAAGTATGTAAGATCACTATTGTGCTCTACTTCGATGAGTTACTGGCACGTTAGTTCTTACATCCTAACCAACAGGAACCATGCGTGCAACGCTGGGGGCCATGATTCTGGGTTTGAGACCGCATATTACTTCGACTTGTCCGTCGATCACGCTAAGTACAACAACGCTATCAGCTCTTGGAAATGTTGAAATATCTGATCACACGCTAAAAGTCCCCACGCTTTGTTCATAGTGAGGGGATATGGAGATATCGTTGGATATTTCACTACTAGCTCTGGGTGTGTATTGAGTTTGCTGAGCTGCCCAAATCTCTTCATTTCGTTCTTACTGGGATATAGAGTTGTTCTTCACGGAAGAGAGGGATTGAAAAAGCTTCGTGGCATAACTGCATGTAGCGAGAGGGTCTCAAGAAATGAATATCAATCAGCATAATATCCTTAGGTTTTAGTAGCTCTATTCCTAGACGAGTCTGTGCTTCCTTTCTTCTCATCCCAGTCCCTTAAATAGCACTCGATCAAATCGCAACTCGGAGAGAAGTACATGTGACATCTCTAAGCAACGACGGCTAGCATGGAACATTCCGTGCATATATCAAATCCCCATTATTGCAGCCTAAAAAGTGATGACAACTATCGCCTTTGAATATGATACAGTGACAAATATCACAGAGTTTTCTGAACATCTATGAGGGCTCTTACATGCTTTCAGTCGATATTTCTGGCTGATTTGCTTTCTCTCTCGGTTCTCGCATCCAGAGGTGACTCAAATACTGTTTTACCGCAAATGTTCGCTTTGGATCAATGGCCAGCATCAAGTCGATAAGGTCAAGTGCCCTGTCTTCTATCGGATCCCAATACGGTGATAGGTAGTCGAAGCACCCCAATTTGATCTGTTGTGATAAGCTGAATGGAAACTCTGTGCTGTAGAGCTCATCTGAGAAAGGAGGGAACCCGCACAGGCAGATGTAAAGAATCACCCCGGCAGATAAGATTATGGTTATGAATATGGTAGATGATGGTGGATACAACCACAACCTTTTCTATCTCCCTAACAGGGAGAAGCCAACCCATGATTCTACGGACGATCCAGTCACACTTTCTGCAATCCTCGTAAACAGCCAAGGTCGAAATTCATACCAAAAGATGCGCAACAAGAAAATTTTGCAACTTTCTCGACTCCTTGCGGAAGCTGTACTGAGGTTGGACTTGAGAGACTATGAATCCAGCCCAGAAGACAGTGTTGCTTTATATAGGTCACCTCAGAAAGACCTCGCTCGTTCTTGAAAAGAGTGATAAAAAAGCCGGAGTACCTGTTTCCAGCAATCAAGGATTTTGAAAGTTCGTCTACAGAAGGACTGTCTTGTTGACAAATTTGGGGCAGATCTTATTGCAGTCGTGGCTACTCAACGAAAAGCGCAGTCTCGGTCTTCCCCCTCAAGACCTCAGTAGTCGCAGAACATATATAAGAAGAGGAGCATCAGATGTTTGAACTCATATGGGGCCTGCATATCACATGGTCATTATGTATTGGATGAATCTGTCGATGCTCGGAGACGGATCTCTCTCTCTATAGAACTGTGGACGTTGGCAACTATCAGTAAAGAGGATTAGGGGAATTTATGGCTTTCGTGTCGGTGTAGGTTTTCAACAGCTTGAACGAAGTAGTATCTTTCAAGCGCTATACAGGTAAGAGGGAAGCTATGGACCTGGTCATTACAAATATCTTTTTCGCCTTGAACATAGTGTTTGACAACTAGATATATTCTCGTGAATTTGTTTGTGTCAATACTCTCGTTTATGCCGTTCCAAGAGTGGTTCTTGTCATGGAGGCAATTATCGGCTTTCTGCAGTTTTAGATCAGTCGAAAGTCTAGTTTTGATGGAATTTAGCCATACAATTCTGCTAGTTAGGTAGGTTTACATATTTAATTTGAAATTTTGTTCTCAGGTCTGAACACGTTTTACTCCAAATTACCTTTGCAGTTATAAGAGGAAGCATAGGACTTCGTTCTAGTACATAAGGTCTTTTCAGCTACTATTTGATGGTTTATAGTTACTATTACCAATTTTTAGAAGCCTAAAAATCTGTATGTCGTGTTATATCGCATTCTTTTTAAGGTGGTAGGCGATACAGAACAATTTAAACTCAATATCATCATCAGCTTAGTCAAAGTCTAACCTTCCTTATCAGGTGTTTAAACATAAATACCATTGGACCACTTTAAAAATACTACTTAACAAGAGAACTCTGTGAAAGGGTGCAATACAAATTATTTCCGGAAGCGGTATGTCTAGGTAACAATTACCACCCAGAAGTCAGGCAAGTAGAGCTAGCCAGAAAAGAGACGAGCCGAGGCGATGTAGAAATTCTCATCACCAAGAAGCGAATAGTACAGAAATCCTCCATTTCGACAAGTCGAAAAATTTGGATCCTTTCCTCAAATGTTCCGAATAACCATTTAAAACCAGCGTCCATCGTCCTATCGTTCTGTGAAAGCTGGCATAATCACCACTGGCAAGCTCCAGCGCAATGAACGCTGCCACTGTTCTGAGTACCAGAAACGGCCCAGCTCCTCGTGCCGATGAGATAAGAGCCAATCAATCCACCCCAGTCAACACCCTTCTTGCCACGTGGGAAGTTGATGGTGACTCTGCAGGCCAAACCCCGGATGCCAGGGACAGCTTGAGTGTTGAAGGCAGCTTCCTGGCCTCTGCAATTTCCGGAGTAGAGGGAGAAGGTACTGTCGACTGCAACTTTGAAATCGTCGCGATTGACTTTGTCGCAGCTGCCAGGGTGGTCGACAGTCACAGTCCAGCGCTCGCAATGATCGCAAGCTTTGCGCCAGCAGCGGGGTTCCAAATCACCCGTAAGAGAGGGAAGTGCGGCGCTCAGCCCGCAGAAAAGAATAAAAGTAGCGAGAAGGTAGAAGATAGGGCGGCTGAAGTGTGCCATTTTGAAGTTTGTTTGAATTGGCTTTGAAGAAGATTGAGTGGTGGTAGGTAAAGATCCAGAATGTTGATTGTGCTTGCTAGGATGACCTCAACTATAATAAACTGAGGATGTTGAAAGTTTATATAATGATTTGAATGCCAGAATGCTTTTCCCACGTGCTGCTACACCGAACATCATTGAACGGATCATGTTGTACATCATTGATATTGAAAAACCTAAAGAAACCAATAGACGATCGTGTAAAGACTCACGTTTTGCTGGCTCTGTGACAGTAATGGCAGTGTACTCGGTTTCTCAAATGATTTAATCTGCGCTAGTAGTCAAAAAGAAAGACAAAAGATTCACTAATCTATGGTAGCTTTGAAGGTCAAACGTCCTCGTGGGGATGATCTGGTGTCTAAGTGGACGAATGCCAAAACGAAGCCGGTATGTTTCTTGTACAAGATTGCGCAATAGGTCTTTAACGTCTATGGATTTGAAAGCGAGATTTACCTGACCTGTAGTAATTGTAGGCTTGGCCATCGGAATCTGCGTTTGATGTCCTACTCATTATGATTGTGTTTATGGTTCTTTAGTAGCCAAAGTCAATTGTATGAAAACTGGAACCTCTTGCTGTTAGGTTCGGAACTACTGTGCCGAGTCAAGCTATGCCAGCATAGCTTGACTCGTCAAAAGGCCGGACCTCTGGTACTAACAGGGAATTCGGCACCAAAATAGACAGATTCGAATGCGTGCACCTAATCTTAATCTAAATAAGCATTCTGTCAAACTTTACCCATGCATGAATTGTTTATTTGATTGGTAACGAAAGAAGGGTCCAGCAAGTGACAAGATGTCAAATCCTGGGTGCACAACTACTTGAAGGTTTACTGTGTAGGCAGTTAAGCAAAGTGGCCAATAGCATGCTGCATGCCAAGCCCGTGTCAGAGAACTCCTTATGTTGTTGAACATTGAGCTCTAAGGCAAACAACATACGACATGGCAATCAAGTGGAAGCTAATCACGCATCATGTATTGAGAATTTGGCGGACGTTCAATCATATAAATAGATGGCTGCTTTCCCAGTTCTCACAGATCTCTTCTCTTCTGCAGCATCATCCAAAATCACTTCCCCAAACCTTCAGACACACACTCGTTTCAAACGCTCAAAAAGCACTCATTCAAAATGCAGTTCAAGGCTATTTTGACCTTTCTCGCCCTTGCGCCATTGGCGCTGGCTCTGCCTGCCGACGCCCCGGCTGCTAACGAAGGCTCTCTCGTTGTGAAGGCCTCCGAAGACATTGAGCTTCCTGCCGATCTCCCTGAAGATTGGGAGAAGGCTCTGGAAGCCTACTTTAAAGGTATGAAACTCCGAAAGGTTTCAAGGCTTGGAGCAGGCATTCATCAACGTGCCGCTTCTCTCAGTTTCGGTTACATCTAGAACTGCGGCTAATTAATTTGACAGATACCAGTCTCGATAGCAGAGACCTTGACAAGCGCAGCGACGTTCCGTTCCTGCACTGTGGCTGGAGGCGATTCTTCAGTAAGTAATCTTGTTTCAGTTTTTTTTAACAACCCCAGCTTACATGGCTCTAGGCTGCCTCGGCTCTTTGACTCCTGGTGGTGTTACCTGCATGTGGGCAATTGCTGCCCGGGGCTTGGGTATGTATCAACTTTCATTTCCCACATGACAACTCATGAACTAATCATATTACAGATGTGAAGGAAGATTCCAAGTGCAGTGCTGCCATCGTTGCCAGCATTCTTTCGGCTGTAAGTAACCCGCCAATGTCTTTCTTTAGTCTGAGGGAATGCTTACGTGATTAAATAGTCCAACAACTGCAAGTTGTGTGTCAAGGGCCACCTTTAAACTTTCTTTAATTCTAGTAGTGGTTTGCTGGTATTACATGGGATCCCCAGAAATAGTCACTTGGCTGTTTCTGCTGTAGCAGCAACCTACCGTCTTGGTTTGAATAAATTCTTCAATAGTTGCGAACTTGGTCATATAACAATTCGAGTAGTAATCTGAATTACTTCTATCTTGCACTCTGAAACATGCTAAACTCCGAATAACCACTGATTACAAGATATACTACTTGTGTCGGAACCCTCGCGAAACGTAATATCCAGTTGATACCTGAACATGATGTACATGCCAGCACAAGTTTGGAAATTCAAACGAGCCAAAATATATAAAACCAATTTGAAGACTTGATTACGTTGAGACGAATTGTTTTGATTTCAAACTTGCACATTGAATATTTCAAGCAATGACAACGTGGTGGGTAGACTTTGGGAATATATCATGGATAATAGCGATGTCGAGAATGCAGATGATACCCAAACAAGACTCCACGGTGCAGCTTATTATGTAGTGAAAAAGAGCATACACTTTTTCGACTTAAATTTTTTTTGTACATCTCTTTGTTACATGCTGCCTCAAAGGGCTGTTGGACATAGTATTGCTGTGTACAAACACATCATGATGGTACCCCTTTTCGTCTATTCACAGCCGTCAAATAAATCCTGTGACAGGGAATTCAGCCGGCACATTAAAATAAGCCTGTGAATTCGTTGTCATGTGGTTTGTTATAGTAGCATCTTACTGTCTGTTATTGCTACCACACTTTCAGAATTATTTTTGTTGGTGCTTACAGCAAGTAGGTATTTTTTAAATTTATTTTTTAGTCGTCCTGCCCGACTGAACAACCAAAGAGGCATTAGAAATAACACCTCCAGTTGAATCAGAGGCCTGATCTTCTAAGCTGAATGGCACAGCCACCAAATATCCAGCCTATAGTGGTGCTTAATACTTCAAAAACCAGGATTCCATTCCCCATTCTATTTGAAGCCAGGCTCCTACTGGCTTTCGAACCACCCCAGTAGGCTGTACCGAAACGCAACAACGAATAAGGAAAGCCGATGCACATTCAATGTAGCAAATTGCGGCCCCACAGTGGAATTTGGATTGGGTTCCTCAACCTCGTCAGATTTGGAACCAATCTTACGGCAGTCCGCAGGGCGCACTGGGTCAAAATTCAAGGTAGTGATAGGAACACCCCATAAGCGTAAACATATGTAATCTCGCGTAAAACGATTTTTGTTTTTGTACATTTCTAGGTGGGTATTTGCCCTTTTAGGAAATAAGGGTTTACTACATAGAACCACAGCCCCCTACGAGGCTCTACAATAATCCGTCGGAGGTTAGATCTTCCGGTTCCGATTGATTAGGTGCATGGTCTGTGCGCCCAAATCGACAAATAAATAGGAATTCAGTGGGGCCCAGAACTTCTTCCTTTTCCCCACGCCAAGCAGAGTTTAGGTATGTGACCCCTACTGTACAGAAATTTACAGCGCTCTCTACACTGTTTTACAGAGATTCAGTTTTTATCCTTTGTTACACTTCCGTTTTCTTTTATCTTCTCTATTTTTGATTTTTTTTTCCGATTTTTTGAGCTTTTGTACATTTCTGTACAATCATTTGCTAACTGTTAGCTTTTGTACAGATTCGCACATCCCCGGGCGCCAGGCGTCGCCCCCGTCACATTACGTACAGTTTTCCAGCAAAGCTTCACAACATCCTACAACATCCTACAACATCCTACAACATCCTACAACATCCTACAACATCCTACAACATCCTACAACATCCTACAACATCCTTACAATCCCGAACGACACTCGACATCACTTTACACTACCGTACATCATGGCTCAGGACATGGAGCTGGCTGCCGAGCTCGTGCCGGATAAGATCGGAGACATAAAGATTCCTACGGAGTTGCCCGCCGAGCTACCCTCTATGTACACTCATGCTCTCGGAACCGGCTACTACCTCACCCGTATGTACACTTCTGTAATTCCCCTACAATATTGTACTAACTTGTTACAGATGGTATTCCTCATGCCAGCAACACTCTCATTAATAACATTCTGGACAATGAGGAAGCGGAGGTATAGTCTCCTTACACCCCCGTACGTACCTTACTCTTTTGCTTACATATTGTATAGGCCCGTAACTTGATCGATGTTCGCTCTGCGGTCAAGAACGGAAGACGTCAGAAAAAAGCGCTTAAGTACAAGCGTGCGCAGAATGCCAACTCTTTCCTTATGCACGTGTACGGAAATGCGCGCGAGGGTAAGGACCAGTGCAAGAACTGCATCAAGGGCAATGGTCCGTACAACACCTGTGTTGTTCTGGACGGCTATGCTAGCTGCGCCAACTGTACATACAATTCCGGCGCCTCCAACTGCAGCTTCGGTAAGTTTCGTCCCAACCTGTACACAACTAAACATGAATCTGATCTATTCTATACAGCCCCGTCCCCCTCGAAGCGACCTGCCGCAGAGATTTACACTTCCGCCCCGAGCAGTAAGAAGTTGTGCGTCTCCCGTGCGGAGTATGACTTTCTCAACGCGGTCCGTGGCGTTAAGCCCAAGCACATACGACTCATTAGAAATACGTTAGTTTCTGTCGCAGACAAGCTCGCTGATGTTAAGTACGGTACGTTATCGTACATGTCTGGTGCCGTCTGTACATCTTTGCTAACTACAGTTATGTACAGATGAGAACGAAAACATCGAGATCGAGCTTTGTCACGACTAAGCAGGACCTTACAAAATCCTACACGACCGTACAACAACTGGAGATGACGTGAACATGCATTTACACAATGCCACAGATGCCTACCAAGGCGTATGGAATCGGGAATCCGGCGTACAGAAACGATAGGTATACTTACAGGAATGGGGGGATGGATACAGGCGTTTACGGTTGGTAACTTTGGTTTGCGGGTCGGGCACTTCTGTACAGGGTTTGGCACCCCTGTACAGAAGCGTGGGACTGTCCGTACCCTTGCGTTTTTAGGTTTTTTTTAAGATACCCAATTCGTATTTCTTTGCCAACATCTGTATTTTCCCGTTCTCCCTCGTGAATCTCCGTATGGACTATTGCAGCACCTCACCATGGCTGGCCGGCCACGTATCGACCTTACCCCTTTTCAATCTATTATTACTGAAAAGTTCCAGAATAGCTGGACTTATTCTAATATAATTACATATCTTTCCGAATCATTCCAAATTCAGGTCTCTCCGTCAACATTTAAACGTTTCCTACAAAGCTTAAACCTCCGCCGCGAAGTCCGTACAGAATTTTCCAGCGCCTTACTACAACGTATCTTCCAGCTCTTCTTTGATCATAGGCTATCCGATTTAGATATTCTTTTATACTTACGGACGGAAGGCTTCACAGTCTCACAACGTGGCTTAGAAGATATTCGAAAATGCCACAAACTATGGCGCCGTCAAACCCCCGAGCAGCTTCAAGCAGCATTTCACCAAGCTGTAAACTTCCTTGCCTCTACAACAAGTGATGAAGCACGCGTTACACGAGACTTTGGCCGAGAATTCCTCTTTACATATATGCGCCAACGTGGCCATATTATTAGCCGCTCGGTCTTATATGAAGCATATCGTACAGTTTTTCCCGAGGAAGTTGCAAACCGACTGAAAGAGATCCGATACCGGCGGAAAGGTTGGACTACGCCAGGTCCAAACTTTATATGGTCACTCGATGCATATGATAAACTACTTCCGTTTGGGTTTGAGATATATGCTAGCATCGATGCATACTCCCGTTATATTGTGTGGTTTTACGTTGGGTTTTCTGCACATACGGCCCGTTCTGTATTAGCCCAATATCTATCTACACTTCTATCACGGGGTATTATGCCACAAACTATTCGTTCAGACCGTGGTACAGAAACTATCTTAACTGCTGGTAGTCATTGGTATCTATCACAGGACCGTACAAAGAAGGCCCCTTTACAGCCAGGCCAAGACGTTCCTATTCAGTTCCGTAACTGTTGGATCTTTAGTAAAAGTATCCATAATGTTAAGATTGAAAGCTGGTGGAACCAACTTTGTCAAGCACAGTCTGCAACTTGGAGAGTACGTATTATTTACCTTTATATCTATTTATTTACTAATAGTATTAGGCATATTTCTATCGATTACAAGCGTTAGGTTTATTTTATAACCAATCGCTTTCTGACCGTGTTGCCTTATTATTTATCTTTATGCCACTTATCCGTAAAGACTTTACCTCTTTTGTTCAACTCTGGAATAACCATCGCATTCGCTCACAAAAAAGTCGCCCACATGTTGTTTCTGGTCAACCATGGAAACTTTATCATCATCCAGATCATCAAACCGCACAAGACTTTGCTCAGCCAATCGATCACGTAAAGATTCAAAAACTTCAAAACTTACTTGGAAGTAAAGAACTTAATTTGGATCAATTCCTTCCGCACGAAGTCTTTCAAGTTTGTAAAGGTATTATGGAGCCTATACAAACCTTTCCACCAGTTACAAACTTCTGCGGTACACAATATCCACGTATTGAAGCATATAACTTCCTACGGCAACGTCTTGAAGAATATATTGAGGCTAGGATTCAACCAGAACTTCACTTACTACCAAAACAAAATGGAGGTATTGAATGGGTAAAAGAACAGTTCCGTAGCCGCGGGATTAGTATAGATGAACTTTATACATCACTGTCAGGAAGTGATAGTAGTTCAGAAATAGATGAAACTTGAGTATATAGAGTATACCTAAACGATTGTTTCCTCTTGTCGTACTACTATTTCGTCCTCTTCCTTATCTTCCTGGCTACCCCCCTTAAGAGTTATATCCTCCTAAATAACGTCTGTATAGCCCTGCTGCTCAACTTGCGAGTGCGTACGCTTGCGTAACTTTATTCCTTCTCTCTCCTGCTTTATTACTTCTTATGCCTTAAGAGAAGGCTTTCGTTCGGTTCGAGTTTGAATTCGAGTTGGAGGTTTAGGCGTAGGCGCTTTCGTAAACATATTGACAGTAGGTAAAGGTGTTGTACTAGTTGTTACCATGTCAAGCGTATGTTGTTTCAGTCGTAACTTCTTTGATACTTGTGGTTCAGTAACAAGCGGATCTACTTGACTTTCGGAAACAAGTGCGATAGTGTAAACGTCTTTGTCAGGGGTAATTGAGGCTTCGCGAAGAAAGGTAAAAAGGTCTTCAGCCTCGTACGCTACCCCACGAAACTCATGCATATCCGTAGGATTCTTTGGAGTAACGGGCATTGCCTTCCAGTTTCGGTCAAGGAATTGCTTCTCAGACGTAAACTTTACTAAGACCTTACTTATCATATCTGTATGTGAAGTAAACTTAGAAGTTAACAAGAACTGTGACTTCCCAATAAACTTTTTAACAGACTGAACCCGAGTGTATGTTCGAATAGAGATTCCATCTATATCCGTAACATAGAAAGATGCAAGCCATAGGTGAATAATAATATCCACAGTTGGGTTCGGAACTGGTTTCTTCTGGGTTTGCTGGATACTAGCTGTACGCTCCTCTGAGCCCTTAATAAGAGCAGTAAGGAGACTATTGTCTGGCTGTGTATCTGGTATATAAAGTGCTTGTTCGATCGGGTTGGTTGTAGTATTGGAAAGTCGTGTACGTGATGAAATCGTAGCCGTTGGAGTTTCGAAGTCGTCAGTATTGGTAAGGTCGATTTCGTCCGGTTCTTGTACTTGGGATAAATCGATTGAACAAAATGCACACGTCTTCCACTTCCATAGCAGTTTTGCTGAGAAGTGGTCCAGGTTAGCCCGCTTGGGGCACCTTAAAGACATATTCGTACAAAATATGGTAAATATTATTGTTGAGAATTGAGAATACACTCCTGTGCGGCCCCGTAAAACTCTGTACATGCACGTATACGAAACATAGAATTCGCTTAAATTTGTGATAATTACATAGTAAAGATAAGAAGCTTAACTATCTATACGGGTGGTGTATGCTTATCTCGTTTATGCATCCTAATTAGGCAATGTTTGAATTTTGACCCAGTGCGCCCTGCGGACTGCCGTACAATCTCACATTGGCCTGTTCGGATCAGACCCTGGTTGTCCTGCCTAGAACCCTGACTGGGATAGAAGTAGATGCCCCTGCACGCACTGGCTTTCTTCTTCTCCGCCTCAATTGACAGGCTCCGAATGTCTCTTCGACCTTTTTTTAGCCGGATTCTATCTTCCCCCGCTCAGGAAGCATCAAGAGCGCAGGTGGCTTAAGACCTGCGATTCAACTCGTGGCAATTTTGAAGGCTAGTCTTTAGCATTTTCGCAATGACTCGGAAGGGAAGCAAGAAAGCTAGAACAGGATGTATTACTTGCAAGTAGGTGCACCCCAGCCGCCCCCGTCTCATGTTCTGATGTCCTCCCATCGGTCTGCGCTTGAATTGATGATCGCGTCTAACATTATTAGATCTCGCAAGGTCAAGTGCGACGAAACAAAGCCAGCATGTGACCGCTGCAACAGAACTGGCCGGACTTGTCAAGGCTACATACCTGTCAAAGCCAAGCCAGTCAAACCTTCAAGCACAGTTCTTTGCCTACACAAGCCTGAAGCAATTCCAGGGGTTCGTAGTCCCAGCGAAATTCGAGCCCTGCAGTATTTCTGTGAGATAGCGGGTCCGTATCTGTCTGGTGCCATAGACCCCTATTTCATGTCAAAGCTAGTTATGCAATTTACTGGCTATGAGCCAGCTGCTCGGCATTCTGTCATTGCCATCAGTACTCTCTGCGAGCGCCTCAACAGCCGCAGTTCAGATCAATATTCCCGATTGCAGTACGAAACTTTTGCCTTGCGCCACTATAATGCTGCAATTCATGATGTGAGGCAGTTGACCTCCTCTGACAATCAACCTGTGGTGCTGCTTGTCTGCATCCTGTTTATATGTATTGAAACACTGAACTCAAATCGAGCTGCAGTAATCAATCATTGCAAGCATGGTTTCAGTCTTCTCAAGTACACCACATCCGAGTACGCATGGGCACGACAGCATCTCCTGCCTCTCTTTCGGCGACTGTCCATAATGGCTTTTCTTTACAGCGATAATCGAGCGGATTTCCCCGACTTGTATGGACTCGAACATCCCGTACCAAGCAGATTCTCAGACTTTGTCGACGCACAACTGATGCTCGACGATCTGTTCAGTCGCACACTCCGGCTTGTGCGGCGGGGCGATCCGTATCGTATCAACCCACAAAATAGAGGTTTAGCGTCACGCGAACTGGTTCTTGAACAAGAGAATATCAGAATTTCCTTGGACCAATGGCAAAACTTACTTGAAGACTTCGAAGCACGGCCACTCTCGCCACTAGAGGGACATTCGACTGGGATAGAGAACTTAACGAAGACGTTGCGATATCTCCTCCTGACCCGCTTTGCATCTTGCAAAGCATGGCTCAACACGGCTTTAGGAACCGAGCTTTATGACTATGAAAGGGATTTAGACGCCTTTGATTCCATATTTGACGACATAGGCATCACCGACCCCGAGTTTCGAGCTTCTTTTAGGCAATCGCCCAGCTTCATGTGCGATGCTGGGTATCTGCCGACCATTACTTTGACCTCGGCCAGCTGTTTTCACTTAGAATCTCGTCTGGCCGCCTTAAACCTAAAACCTGTCCCAGGCCTTCCACGGGAAACCCTTTGCCTTCAAGCGCATGACACGGGCTGCCCTGGACTTGAAAGCGTCTCAGAAGACTCAAAAGATATCAGTCACTCATCATCAGAATATCGTAAGGGAGCAGCTAAAAGAATAATGATACCGTGATCTCAAACTATAGTGGATAATCTGAATCATGGAGAACTGGAGCGGACACTAGCGAGAATATGGACGACTCTTCGCCTACCAGGTCATGCATTAGTCCTCAACGGTATTGGTTGTTCACTAGTGGCAACTGAAAAGAAGGAATAAACAGAAGCATTCCACGTACCGCGGCTCATCGCTGTGATTCAGCGATGTGATAGGTTAGCCGTGACGTTTCAGGTATTTTCACAGAGGCCAACTCGTCATGGATGTCGAAAAACCGAGTGATTGCACTACGGGATTGTCTTGATCTCAGTACAATATATCTATGCACATTGCCTAAAGCGATATTGGTTGGCGAGCGCTAAGCTATAACCCGGATCGCATACGACATCTCGAATGGATTATATGGCGGGTCAGAGATGCAAGCATATGTTTACAAATGTGTATCAACAAACGCCAATGTATTAGACACCCACAACAGTAGGAATATCTGTCACAACGGAACCTCCCCCTAGTCACTTCCACTATCACTGGGATGCCATGCCTGTTGGGATGATTCAGGGAGCTTGTAGGAACACATTTTGGCATGGATAATGGTTAGCCACGGTGGGTCTGCGCAGTCTACCTCCAGCTAACCGGATGCGGTCCGGTTGTGCCCCGTTCATCCTGGCCCCTACGAGCCGAGGTGGGGCCGAGGGTTGGTTGTTGACCTCCGGTTACTTACCCGAACCTATTTTCGGTTCGGCACAGCTTCTCACCAATGATATAATGATATACATAATTGCCTTCCGACCCGAGGAAGACCATCCGCTTTGAAATTTGGCAGGTCAGGCCAATTAGAAATCAACCCAGAGGGTCTAGTCTTCGAAGCTGAATGTAATGTCAAGGCGCACAGCATTTAGTCCCAACCAGCCCTCTGACTCAAGCAAATGCTTCCGTCGCAAAGTATCATAGAATTATTTCTATGAGTTTTAGAAGCCCATATATCAAAGACTAGTAGAGTCGACGGTTGTGACTTTCACTTCAATAGCCACATGCACACATTTATAACCTCGTTGTCAAGATTGGGACCAAATGAATCGCTTTGAGGATTGTTCTCGTGACACATTCAGCGGCAGGAGAGAATAGCGCAGACTAAGATGCTTTCTGTGAAAGACAATTTTCATTTGCAGCTTTGATGCCCTACTTCCTGTCTTCTCTCTCAGACATGTATGCTCTCCATTTGGGGTTAATGAAATACACAGGGATGCCCAACAGGAAGATAGCGCCAAAGATACCTGCCAGAATTCCAAAAGCCGTTTGATATCCAAATCTTGAAACCATAGGCGTAAGACCGTAAGTAACACCAAATGAGACAACATTCTTAGTTCCGACAACCACAACCAAGGCAGGCCCAGGATGCTTAGGCGCCGCTTCAGAAGCGAATGTCGTTGAGATGATAAGGATAGCCGTGAAAGAGTATTGAAATATTGTCCAGCCCATATACGGACCCCACCAAGTCGTGCTTCCTGATGCAGTATAGCCGTACAGTATCAGCATTGCAACGCCAACCACGGCCGGGGGAGCCATTGTAAGCAGATGATGTTCCGGAAGATGAACGCCTCGGTTGCGGCGGGCTAACCACATAACGAAGGGGTTGCCAACGAATGTGCAGAACAGCATGCCCAAAATAGCGCCGATGACACCGCCAACATTGATGAGGCCTATGTCAGCTGCTTGCCAGTCATAATTCTCCATCAGTACGGTATTATATGTAAGTGACATGCCAACACCGCAGCCGAGGGCTATTGAAGAGGTGAGTACGGCATAAATGATGCCCGGAGAGGAGAAAGACTCGACCATGTGCTTCCAGCTCATCCACATGACTCGAAAGGGTTGCGGATGGGGTGTAGACCAGGGCCGGATGCGTTGGAAGTAAGTCTTACGCTGGACGAGACTAGGGGTGTGGCCAGCGTTGGGAGCTGTTAATCCAGAACCATTCATTGCATCAAGATAAGTTTGAGCCTCTGAGTCTGGTATGATTCGTGTGACACCGAACTCATCAGTTATGACAAGCTGGCCGTCCAAAGATTCGGGAGACCGAGTGAACTGCGTCTCGAAGGCGAAGAAGAAAGCAATGACCAGACCAGTTGCAACCGTAATGACGAAGACCCAATAGTACCATCGCCAGCCCAAGTCATGATTGATGTAGGATGATGCGAGGTTGATCGTGGAGGATATCGCATTCTGAGTCATCCAGTACAAACCAAAAATTCTAGATCTCTCGTGTAGGAAGGTGACTTCGGTAAGCATGAGGGGGAGTAGCGACTCCGATGCACCTGTCGCCAGGCCCTGAACAATACGCGATGCAAGATGTCCATTATAGCTGTTCTGAAGAGCCGCTGAAATGGTTGCTACCAGGAGAATAACCATGAATCCCAGGAAAACGGGACGGCGGCCGTAGGCTAGCGACAGTGGAAGAATGATATAATTGCCTGGTTGCTTAGGTTAGAGAGCTTCGGAACAAACAATTTAGCTGATAAGCTTGAAAGCCTTACCGAGACCAATACATAAAGTTGGCACAGTGATTAGGAGAACTATTTCCTCCGATGAATAACCTTGAGGGGTATACATCTCGAAGAATACGTTCAGTATAGCGCCCAGACCGCTAGCAATTGACAAGCCCATGCTTGAAAACCAGCAACAGCAAAAGACAAGGCAGTATTTTTCCCATCTTCTGAAGTTCAGAGGATCATTCGGATCTGAGGAAGGAACTGGGATTCTTCGAATTTCTCCGCCCCTATTGACCAGAAGCGCATTGCCTTCGACATGGCCATGTTTTTCTTTTGGATCCAGCTTCAAATCTTCAAGGTGCTCCACGTAACCGCCTATCTTGGCATTTTCGGTTGTCGAGGTAGGCGTAGACATCGTGGTCTCTGATATTAAGCCACAGTCAATCAAAAAAATTGAAGCAACTTGAGGGAGACAAATCGATTGGAAATTACAAAGGCAGCGAAAATATAGATTGAAGCAAGTCACGACTGCGATTAACCGTCGCAACTGCAGAAGCGTTGGGCGTCACTAATTCTTGTGTGAGACGCAGAGAAGAAAGAAGAAAAGTTGGAAATCCATGATAGATATATGTCTCGTAACTTCAGGGGACTGAAAAAAGAGGTTTCCCTCCTTTCACCGGGTTCCTGTCGGGAAATGGAGTATACTGATGGCTTCCGTTCCCCGACGTGGGGTTGAGTAGTAGATCTACCCAGGCTCAGCACCAAACAGCTTCGGCTCGGCTGGTGAGAGGCAATTGATCGGTTCGGAATCAGCACAGTGGATATGCCGCCCCTCTAGTACTAAACAAGCTAAGATTGGCAGATGTCGTACCTTGCTCAACTCTTGACAGTCAAACTCTACAAATCAAGTGTGGCAGAACTACGCTATCAAGATCATGAGATTTCCTGCTTTAATTAGCTACAGTCAATGCTTCTCATGGATGCACCAGGAAAGACGGCGATGCAAACACCATGAGTTCATACCCTAGACCCGGACAATAAAAGCTCTGGCTACGATGGGTAACCTTATCCTGATAAGCTTCATAACCCTGGCTGGGTGGGTGATGTAATCCTTGCAACCGCGAAACTGAAACAAACATCTGGGGCACTTGAACTGTTTTAGTAGTACGATCTTTAAAATGCACATGCAGGCTCAGAGTAGGATAAATGCAAAGGATTTATGTGTCATTTGTCTAGCAAGCCTTTTTTTTTTTTTTTTTTCATGCAGAGAGTGGCGACGGCGCCGAATTCCACGAGATTCCCACCATCATTTCACGTGGTAAGTAATTTGCCCCCATTTGGGATCGAAATCCTATGAGCGCTAAATGATCTGCGATACATGAAAGCTAGGAAGTAAATTATATATGGCAAGGGAAATGGCGGTAGGTTATGTTATATGCCTACCTGTATGTAAGTAGATCAGAGCTTAGGTGCTGTGTCGCAAGGCTCCACATGGATAGAGACTTGATCAGAATTCTAAACCATGGAAGAGCTTTCTACAATTGCAACACATCTCCTCCCCTGTTACAAGTATGTATCTGGTTCCTTGGCCATGAATTGCCCGACTAGTAACTCGAGACTCAAGCATCATCTCTTGACATTCTCACTGATGGCATCGTGATCACAAGTTCTGGCCGCATTAGATGTTCTGTACTTGAAGGAGACATCTATCACGAAGTCTAGTTTAAAGTGTCCTTGGCCAGCAAAGTATGATTCATAATGAATCACTTCCGTGAGAGAACTAGTCCCTGTTTAGCGAGCTCTCGATCTGAACCATCCGGCGAAGCAGTAACACTATTCTTGACTGTTGTTCCATTGACAACACCTGGCAGTGGCTTGGTAAGTTCATTTAAGAAATATTCCTGATTCAAAAGTTCACAACGTGACGTGAATTATAATTAGCCCACTAAGCCCATTTGATACTCTCGCGGAAGTCAAAAAGCTTAGCCTCTTTGGTGTGGCTGATGCTTGAACCAACGAGTGTTGCATCAAGTACAGTATTTCCGATACAATCCAAAACGATGCTAGCTTGAGAATCACACCAGTTGCTTAAAAAAAATATGAGCACACAGATCAAATTTACTGACAAATATATTTAAAATGGCAACTTTTACGCACAGGATCTATTTAAATGTCCGGCATTTGTAATCAGTGCCCACACCAATCAATTCAGCCACCATTCCGGGGAAGGCCTGGTCAGCAAATCCTGAGAGTTTCTCAAGGAACAGAAAAGATGCAGGCAATTACTGGAGCTAAAATTTAAGCGTAAGAGGCGTTATGCATGATGAGGAATCGTGAGGTGGCCTTAGGTTGTGTACACCCAAATGTGAAGGCTGTGTCTTTGAGCGGCGCAACTTCATCCTTCTGGCAAGAAAAAATGGGGCCTGTACCACATGGTTAAGCACATGGTAAGATCCCTCTATCCATGGGGTCTAATCTCTTCTGCAACCTGATGACATCCCGAAAGTTGACGTTGCATGAATATCACAGTTTAAAAAAGCTGGATCCTCAAAATTTGAGTTTCTGAATGGTCGCAAATGGAAGGAGATGACAGCTGACGTTAGGAAGAACTGCATCGAATGAATTGGGAATACGTGGGCAAAGATCAGGTTAGGATGGCAAGCGACGATGCGTACACCTGGCTTTTAAGTATATCTATTAAATCCATACTTCGGATAAACCAAACCACTCTAGTTTGGCACAAAGCCTTTGCATTAGGGTGATGACCTGCTGATACTTGTCAGGGGGGTTTGCACACAAACGCATTAGGAACCCACGTAAGATCTGTAGTATGCTCACCGCAGAAGCAATCTGTCTCGGACTAACTTGAATAGGTTAGAAAGACCCTTTTCCAGTTTCTTAAATGAAGGATGAAGATGGCCTCCCTGAAGCCAGTTATTTCCGTTGACCTGTAAGCCAATAAACTAATACGCGATCAGATATGAAGCATCAAATGCACTACAAAGTTACGTGTGCAGCACCACCAGAGTAGGCATGTCACTGTAAAATGCTCTAGAAGCATACCGACTAGCACTCATCTGCGAGGCTATAGCCGCGAAATACGTATGGTTTAAACCCCTCCTTGTAACATGGATTTTTTGGGGTCTTCAAATGCTGGATTCACGAGCTGAAGACTAGACTTTTCAGCCCATGATTGAGGATGTAAAACCGCAGGACAAGGAATCACAGCAACGAAGAACCTCAGGCTTTCATTGAAAGTTTCTGGATTGCTAGGTGGGCTGTCACGCTGTATAGGCCCCAATTCTTGAACACGATCTGTCTTTGCCCGAGGATTCACGATTCAGACTAGGCCCAGTGGTATTAGACGCGTCATAGCTGATATAACCAGTGTTTCTGAAGCAGGTATTCCTAAAGCAGATCATGGAATTTATAAAGAGTGTCTTTTCCTGTGTTATTTACACTCTGTGGGATAGATAAGAATCCTTTCGAGGAAATCCGGCTTGGTCATTGGACGTAGCGTGAATGGAACGTTGTATCTGGTTTTTGCCTTGGCAGCTCTCGCCCGGAGTGTTGAATTGCTCCTTGTTTAAGTGGGCACGGCCCGAGGTTGAGTCGTTGGGTTTATTTAGTGTGGAAGGGGATCCGTATACTTGATGAGGTGATTCGTTTCCTTGACCAATCAGATGGTCTTCAAAATGGCCATAGGGCTGAATGCCGCTTTCCAACGGTTAAAAGAAGCGAAGTAATGCGTTGTCGACTCATCAAACAGACATAAGCGAGCATGGGGCGGAATAGGCAGCGCAGCGAGGAGGGGGTAAGTCGGATGACTTCGCGGATAGGCCCGTTTAGCCCTTCTACCGAGGTTTTAGTGTACCTTAGCTTCTTCTCACATAGCCCCAGGGGAAAAACGCCCACGCCCCGCTGGATTGAATGCTGTCTCGCTTGTCCTGGACTTAAACAGTTGCTGCGCCCTAGGCTTTTCAGCGGTTCAGGGATCTTTCAACTAGCAGAACGGAAGGGGTATGGGTTTCGTGCGGGCGGTTCCCACACCTCCCCTTGCGTGCATATCTCCTCGGTATCTGTCACCAATTGACGTTAGAACAATCCGATATACTCGGTTTCTTAAGACCGCTAACGCAAAGTAACAGTTAATAGGCGGAGAATGAAACTGGTTTTTGTGCTCGATCAGAGACACCATGACGGGAACAGCAAGTGTAGCAGTCGACATAGGGAGGCACCGGTGCGTAGGTACTATCATCCCACGCAACAAAGAGTTTGGATAAGGATACCCGGAACAGACACCATTGAATGCGATATGTCAATAACAGGAAGAAACAATAGAGGCAGGCTTGTGCATATTGACGCTCCGTGCCGTGATGAATGGTAGGGTGAAGGGCGGTGTTGATTTGTCCCTAACCGAGCTTATACCCAATTACAGCCATTGGCCCTCTTGATGAATGGTGGCTCATCTTGTATGTATACGTGGGCAAAATTGGCTTGGAAGCGGAGATACAAGGATAAAATCCTTCGGAGTTTCTGAGTGCTCCGATGACTTTGAGCCAATCAGCCGCCTTTTCTACAGGGTGTCCTGATGCCAAGTAATACTGGACTGCGTGCAGTTAGGGTACTGGAGCTACAAAAGAGTCCCCTGTTATGCTAGGTGATTTGTCGGCTGTCAAGACGACGGCCCCCGAGTATCGTAGTGTCTCTAGCGTGACTGCATATCTGTTAGGGCTGATGGGAGATGGATCGGCGGTTGCACATCATGCACTCAAGACGGCGGAATCGCCCTTGAGAAGTAGGTATCTCAGGACACCCGAAATTGCTAACCCGTTTAGGGTAACAATCTGGCCAAGCGGAACGCTAAGAAAGGCACCCCTTCCGGGGTTGTGCAATGTGGCAAGCAACCAGGCGTTCCTCAGGCGCCAGAGAGCAGCCGTTATAAGTATGCCCAAGCCGAAGCGGACCAAGAACAGAACCCTCCACATTCAGTCTTAACCTGTCTTGGATTGTGACTTTGAATTGCTTGATAAGGAAACAACAGTGCGCCACCTGTTACCAAAGTGGAGGTTTTCTGCGTGTTGCTCTGGACGTATTCGAAGACGTATTCGAAGACCAAACTCGCATCGACTCCATGTCTGCCCAAGCGTTAGGACCGTCGTCAACGTCCTCGTCTACTACCTCCTCCGAGTCTCCAGAGGTCCCCGAAAGACGCCGTTGTTGGGAGTGTCTCCGACGCCGTTTAGTCTGCGATGCGACCAAGCCCGTGTGCAACAAATGCCGGGCTTCCGGTATTGTATGTCCGGGGTATGACGACAAAAAACCACTCACTTGGCTCGCCCCTGGCAAGGTAACTTGTCGCACAAGGCGCAAGAATCGTGCTCTGGAGACCGAGGGCACTAACGACGATAATGTTAAGAAGCCAGTAAAGGAAAAGAAAAGGGAGAGGCGGGTGGTGGTGATTGAGAAGGGGAAAGACATTCATAACGGTGTAGAATGCCTGTTTCACACACCTCTCCGAACTGACGTCTGTGATGTGTACGACGCCGTCCAGTACTGTGAGTGAAAAATGCCCCTGTTCCGTAGACATGATGATCTCTTGCAAGCGATCAAAGTAAATATATATTGAATCGCGAGAAGAGTCGCAACTGACACTGGCCAGATAACGCTGTCTTCTACCCACACACCAGCTCCGGCCACAAGCCAGATGCATCCAACGTCTTTGTGGACCAAATTCCTCTAAAAATCGTTCGGTTCCTACCAACAGCAATTGCTCACAACCTGGTGTCGATCGTTTTCCAACACCGAATGTGCGTCCAGACGCAATGGAAAATCGACTGTCCTTCGGCTAAACACGCGCAAGCGCGTTTGCATCATCATCGCGGAATCGCTATTCGAGCTTTGAACGACGACATTGCCAATGAAAGAACACAGAGCAATGACATTGTCCTCACAGGCGTCATCCTACTTCTTCACTCGGAGGTAAATCTAAAGTTTTATTCCGAATAGAAATTACCCACGCTGACATTTGCATATACAGATTCAATCATGCATCTCGCCCAACTGGAGACACCACGTTAACGGCCTTTTGGCTATGCTTTCATGTCGTGGAGGTGCTGTGGGATGGGCAAGAGAGGTTCCCCCGCTAAAGGGGATCCTCCTATCATTTTTAATGTATGTTTTAAGGGATGCTGCAACTGCATCATCAAAAAGTCGCTTTGATTTCTTGGACATTAAGCACTAACCCCGTCCAGATGTGCGGTCTTCGCCAACACGACCAGTCCCCCCCACGACCATGTGAGAATAGCGTCCCACGAAGACCTGTTAAATTTGACAATGGATTTGTATCCACTCGGTCTACATCCTAATATCCCGTGTCCGATGCCACTTTTCATGGAAATCATACGAATCAATCACATTCGAGACGAGGTTTCCAACGGATTTATGGACCACGAGACGGCAAGAATCATGGCCGAGGAGATCTTGGACCGAATCGAAGCCTTTGACGTCAACGGTTGCGACGGGTTCTACGAGGATCAGAACTACAATGAGCTGATAGGCCTCCTGTTTCAGTCCGCAGTGGCCGTGTTCTGCATTTCTTCCCTCCAGAGCCTGTTCATACTGCCCTCTTCGAAACAATTCGCAGTGCGCCGTTTGATACACAGCGATCGACTTTACCTTCTCTTGGAGGAGACGAATAAATCCACAATCCTCCAAAAATCAACGCAATGGCCGCTTATCGTCGCTGGAGTAGAGGCTGGAGCTAGGGTGGATAAACGACAGCTGGTGGGGGAGTTGTTCTTGTACCAGAGCAAAGACGTCGGCACACCGCTGCCGATGTATGCTAAAGGCGTTTTGCGGGCATTTTGGGACGGCGACAAGACGGAATGGGATGCTTGTTTTGATCAGCCATATGCTTTTATATCATAGATTCTCATTCAAAGAGGAAACACTGCCAAATTTTAGACTACATCTCAATTCTTTATCGGAACTTTCGCAAGATTATTCGCGGTTCCATGCTCACCACCCCACCCGCACCCTTTTTTGCGTTCTCTTTTTCCCATCAACCTCCTCGATTTGGGATCCTTCTCGTCGTATTTCAAATCATATGACACAAGAAATTGAATTGAGGGGATAGCATACTCGTCAAATCTTGGCTTTTGCGTCAACATGATGTCATTCGTTGCGGCCCTCTTTCGTTTCTTTATTGGTCTCACATGCAGCTCATCGTTTTCAGTAAGAAGGTGAGGGCAGTGCCAGAACTAAGAGGCGACGCAAATAACTGTCCAGTAATCTCCCTTGAGAATGCCAAGGCACTTCTGAGTAGCACAAGTGCAACAAGCTCTCGTCCTTCTGTGACCTCGGGCAATTTCATGTAATATTTATTTGATGTGAGAGTTGCGATATACGTATTTATGTTATTAAGGGAGACAAGCTGATTCTATTAACATGAAGAACTTGTTACAATCTAAGCCACGGTGGCTCTGGTCTCAATATCAGACGCGTATTCAGGGATTGGAGTCGAAACCGATCTGTGGCAACAATGCCTTCCACGCCTCATCTGTATCGGTAAAGTTCTGGAAAGGAACGACGTCTGTCTTGCAAACTGTACCTGGCTCCGGGAGTACCCCTTCATCAAAGTACTTCTGGATCGCCTTCGTCGCACAGACCGAAGGATGGGCTCTCCATCCATGCTGACCATATCGGTTAGTCAAATGTGCATAGTAACCAAGGGCGGCCATCGAGAAGCAAGAAAGTCTCAAAACTTACCCCATAACCGTCGGTTTGTAGCAGCACGCTGCCTTCGAACCCAGCGGTAGCGTTCTTGGCCCCCACGATTGAAGTCGCTGGGTCTAAACTGTGACTGAAAACTAGAAGCGGGTTCTTGGTCTTGATGTTGTTAAAACCGCCCTCGTAACGTTCCCTGGGCTTGATTTTCCACTGTGAGCATGCTGCCTCAATGTTCCACATGATGTTGCCGACCGTCCGACTGGCTTCATCTATTTCGTCGACAATGGGTAAGAAGTCGTCCAAATCATTGATTCGTGGGCCCTTGTCGGCACATTGAATTCCCCATGGTGATTGATCCCCATTACCTTCAGTATGCAAACTGGGTGTGCGTTCGAGGAGTGCCAGAGCCGCTTCGCCAAACAACGTAGCATTGCCTGTATACAGTCCATGCAGCCAGACGGAAAGTAACGGCCAACGTGTCGGGTCGTATAGAGCAGGTCTAACAGTTGAAGCTATGGTTGACTGATCAATCACACTGGGTCCTACGGCAATTGGACGTAGCTGCCTTTGCCCCAAGTAGGACCAAAACTGCTCGCTCAAGGACTGGGCCGTCTCATTCCCCTTGGCAAGGACACAGTTGGGTGCATCAAGACATGTCTGAAAGAATGCAGTGAGAGTCTCATCTGCGCTCAACAGCCATTCTATGTTACTAGAGATGAAAAAAAACATTAGTACTTAAGCGGACTATACGGATTTGACCATGTTGCACATACAATCCAGAGTACCACTCATGCGGGTTTGCTGCTGAATCAAGCAGAACCCTGCCAACTCGGTCAGGGAACATAGCGGCCACTGTGGCGCCTAGCACAGTTCCGTACGAAGTACCTAAGATTGATTGCATTAGCCCTGTCCTGAGTGTCGCATCCCTTACAAGGAGCTTACCCCAGTATCTTAGCAGCCCGTCTTCCTCGACGGCGTCCACAATCTTCATCATGTCTCTTGCTGTATATGCCGTACTGATCAGACTCCCCGTCTTATTGGATTCGGGCTTTTCGTAGCAATAATCTGCGATAACTCCCATGCCGGCCCAGGCCCTTGCAACTGATGCTGGGTTTGAATTGTTGCCAAGAGTCTTGGGCAGAGCTGCCGAATAGATGGCCTGTTCCTCTTCGGTAGAGAAGCAAGTGAATGTGGTGGTGTTGCCTGTGCCTCTACAAGATTGAATGTTGTTAGGTGCTGCGCAACACTTAGGGTATTTTGACCGAGATCAAGGGTCATGGGAGGGAAAACTTCTTACCTTGGATCCCAGCCGATAAGATCATGATTTCCGCCCGTCGCTCTAGATACTAGTTAACTTGTGTTTTCCATGGGGCCGAGATTTTCAAGCTGCACGTACGCTTGAAGCAGATAGCCTCGCGTGGCCAACGAACCCCGGGCCGGGCCCCCAGGTCCGCCGAAGTTGAAAAGAATGCTTCCCTTAGAGGGTCCTTTGAGTGCAGGAACTTTAAGAAGCTCGATTTCAAGAGTTTCTGTTGAATCGGGATCGGCGTAGTCCAGTGGTACCGTTATATTACCGCACTGGATAGGAACTGGACCAGTGAACCAATCTGCACACGGCCCCCATTCGATACTTTCCGTGCGAGCGTGCTTCACGTTGACAGCTACGGCAGCAGCCGCGAAAACTCCAAGAATTGTATAGACCGAAGTCATGTTGCAATCTTCTAAACTTGAGAAGAGGAATAGAAAATGATTTTTTTGATACAGACAACAACAACAATAACTAAAGGGATACTCGTGGGCGTGCAGCCGATTTATGGAGAATTCTAGCACCTTGTTACTAGGCCCGGACAGACAGCCAGAGAATGCCAGTATGCGGTCACTGGTGCTCAGATATGCCTAATAATAATTTAGTTTGTTTCTATTGCATAGGAAGATCATACAAAAGTTATTGTTGATCATGGCTGTGTAAAGACAAGGCAGCAGTTGGATGCTCAGCTACGACGGCCAATGTCTTAGATGCTCATTGCCACGCGTCGATACTCCCAATTGCCATTTTGGGAAAGACTGGAAAATTAGCCCTCTAATTCGTTGAGGTGGTTAACGCCAAGCTCCTAACTGTTCATTTCATCGTCACTGAGTAAGAAAAGCCTGCTTGCAAGGCATAAACAAGCACTATGGAAAGTAAGCTTACGTATCTAGGGATTTCAACTAGTTGTTTGCATTCATCCTTCAAACAGCCCTTTAACCTCGGATTTCGACCAATGTGAACTCTGGAAGTGATGCTACCGTGCATTTGCAATCATTGTCTACGATGAAAGGTATTGATGCAGATTTCATTTCGTATTCGGGCGTTGACTTCATAGCGAAGAGCAATTTCTGTGTGGAATGTGATAGTACCACACCTTTGTTTTTGCCAAAGCCAAATCTCACTATTAGCTGTTAAGACATGTTGCCAATGTTTAGCTGAGCAAGATGTTTACCCAGGGTTCATGAAGTTTATCAGCGCAAGCTAATTGCAAGGACTTTAATAGCACCTCAAAGGGTTGTTAAATGAATAATAGAAATCACTCGGCAGAAGAAAACCAGTAGGCAAATATTGTGTGTTTCATCGTTGCAAGTCCTAGAAACAATGTTTCCCTGAATAGATATTATTTGTATTATTCTACTCAACAATCTGGTGTGGTGAGAACTGGTGCCTAGGGCGCTCAAATTCTCTCGATTAGCACTACACGACTGTCGTAATCCCCTTCAAATGCGTACTGCACACCAGTATTCATCAAGGTCGCGCCAGAGTAGGTTCCATTATCCAATTTGTAGGTTGCTGTTGGATCCAAACCTTGTAGGCGGAGTCGCGGCAAGGCATGGTTGTACAGGGCGCGAACCTGGAAGTAGAAGAGAACGGCCTGCGATCCGTCCTCGGAAATGATCATGGCTGCCGGCCAGTTCGACTCGCCCGGCAGATTCAAGCGCCAGAGGTCACCTTGGATGACAATAGGGTTGACCAACTCGCCGAGAGCCAGCAGCTCCGGAATCTGCACCTTGTCCTCCTCGGTGATCTCAGCGGGGTTCAGCTCGAGACCAAAAGATCCACCCATCATGGCAACATGTGCGCGGAACTTCATAGGGATTGTACGGCCCGTGATATGATTAGGCACAGTCGAGACGTGAGCCCCCATGGCTGATGGCGGATAAGCCAACGACGTCCCGAACTGGATGAAAAGACGGTCCAGAGCGTCCGTGTTGTCTGATGTCCAAATTTGAGGAAAGTAGTGGAGAACGCCGGGATCAAAACGGCCTCCACCAGATGCGCAACCCTCCCAGAGGACGTCCGGAAATCGGGATGTGAGGACCTCGAAGACGTGGTACATGCCCAGCATATAAGCGTGGCTGATACCAGGAACAGGAGTTTCGTGAAACCCTCTGTTGTTATCCCATTTAACGTAAGAAATTGAAGCGCTCGAGAGAATCTGCGAGACTGATTCTATGATGAACTCCTGGACTTCTGGAAGCGCCACGTTGAGCACGAGCTGGTTCCTCCTAATCGTTCGTGGATAGTTGCCTGCGTGGAGAACCCAGTCAGGGTGCTCATGATAGAGAGTCGAGTTGGGATTGACCATTTCCGGTTCAAACCAGAGCCCGAAAAGCAATTTTTCTGAAGAATTTGCGGGCTGAAGGTTAGTGATTCTATCGACCACAGCGGGTAGGCCATCGGGAAAGCGGTCTGGGTTGACCTTCCAGTCGCCAAGACCTGCAGTGTCATTCAGACGAGGATATTCTTCGCCGAACCAGCCATCGTCTAGCACGAAGAGCTTGATTCCGAGCTGCGCAGCTTCCTGAGCTAGATCAAAGACCGTACTCTCGTTGTAATCGAAATAGAGACCCTCCCAGCTGTTAAGCAATGCGGGGCGAGTCTGGTTGACGAATTGACCTCTCATGAGGTGGTTGCGATACAGACGGTGAAATTTCCGTGACAAGCCGCCAATTCCGGAATCCGAGTACACAGCAACAACCTCTGGAGTTGTGAGAGTTTCACCCGGACCAAGCGGCCAAGAAAGCTGGTATGGGTTGAAACCGAGCATGGCACGAGTGAAGCCCTGGGATCCTTTCTCGACGTCGACAGAAAAGGAACCGGTGTAGACTAGGGAGAATCCCCAGGCCTCACCCTGCGATTCGGTCGTATCCGGAGACACAAGAGCCAGGAATGGGTTGTGCAGATGAGACGAATACCCAGTTGTGCTTCCAAATCTAAAGATAGTTAGAATAAGTTGAGGGCTTTTCAGACATTCTTGGGCATTCGTTTAGCACTCACCCCTGCGTGCCATAGCCGACCTTTCGTCGCTCTCTCATGGCTTCGCGAGCCCAATCTCCCCTCAGCTCTATCAACTCCAGATCTACAAACGGTAAGTCGACACTGAGACTGGCAGCTTTCTCAACCGTGATGTTGCCCTGGCCCTCGTTGGTGATATTGACGCTCCTGACAATGGCGTCATATCGAGGAAAGATGGAGTATGACAGATCAACAGCAATAGAGCTATAGTTGTCGTACAGCGAAACGATCAGAGTCGATACGTCGTTGTCGGCCCCGAAGGTTGATGGGAGACCCGGTAAGCCAGGCTTTCCTGCGGTAACTCTGTGGGATCGATATTGGAGATCGCTGACAGTGTATCCCTCAGACTGGCGGATTTGAATCGCAGGAACTCTAAAGTCACCGCGGCCTAGGTCGGGATACTCTCGCCTGACCCTACCAAGCATATCTACCCAGCCGTTGATCTCTGGAGAGAGCATTTCTATGCTCTCCGTTGCTGAGCCACCAAAGTGGTCAGAATAGAGTTCACCAGTCAATTCATCCACATGGAAGCGATAGGAAGAATGATCTCCGTTAAGGGCAAATGAAGTGCCATCTACGACGATGCCTACAAGATGTTAGTTTTACAGTTTCTTCAATTTGTATGGAGTTGCTTACCGTTCACGGAAGAATCATTCTGAGCCAGCACACTGCCGGTAAGGACCGATGCAGTGGTCGCTAAGGCAATGTGCCTTAACCTGGAGCTTGAAAGCATTTTCAAGAGGATTGACTCCCGCTCGCAATTAGGGACGAATTGAAATTGGCTGCTTGAGCCCAGATGCTTTCAGATGTCCTGGCAAGCCATCAAGCTTATCACAGTCTGGGAACCTGGCTGCCCTTTTATATCACCTCGTCGTGAGGGGTCATCGGCGGTGTTTGCTAGCATGCAATGACGGAGCCACTTTTACACCACCAACTCCAACTTTTGAGTGCAGTTTCTTTAGATTTCACCCCGATTTCATGATGCGGCCGTTTAGCTAACAGGCCACAAAGTACAGGTTCGTCAAAATTATCGGCGGTTCCCCCATAGATCATCAGGCCGAGAGATCCACTTTCAGTTGGCTACCCGGAAGCTAAAAGAGCAACGATCGTCCACCCGACGAATTCTCCGCAAGTTTTCCGCCGCTTAACTGCTGCGTAAACACACCGGATGCAACGTTGGGTCGAATAGCAATATGATTTAGCTAACGGACATGATCCTGTTCATCCGGCCAACCCCATAGAATGTTGTAGATGAGGGGTAATAGGCTGACTTTAGGTAGTAACGAAGTGGAGCATTCTCTGGGGATCGGGGAATACTGGTTAAGCCCCCAACCTGGAAGCACCATGCTGACGCTGTATAGTACACTTGACTCGAAGTTTTGCTGTTTTTCATTTCGTTTTAGTTTTTGAGGCTTTTGATATACATAGTATGGTTAGAGTCATGGAATATCTCAGAGGGGCACAACGGCTGGCATCCCGATACCGAGTCAAAATACACACGACGGGTTACCTGTTGTCAATTTGCACAATGCAATGGGCCTATTTTCACGTAGACATGCGGTTGGTTCTTCTGCCTCTGCACAGTACCGACATCGCCAAGGCACCTACTGCTCTGATCCCAATATACAGACGTCATTTTCGGTTGCCCATGTGAGGGGCACTGGGGTACAGTGGGGCTACAAAGAGTTATTTATTTTATGGGTCACGATGGCTTCAATTTACAACGGAGGTTTTTATTCACAACAGTGGGAATTTTACACGTATAATAGATGCCTTACACCCATTACCTCATGCCACAGTTGTTATAATAACCGAAACTCATCTAGAGGGCACCACTTATCATCTTTGCATATAATAACAAAACCCATGCCACCATCTAGTTTCAAGAATCATGAAGCAAGTGCAAACGAAGTAAATAACGTCCCACACCCACTTCTGGGCACCCCCCACATTTGGGCACCCCATTTACACCAAAAACGCCGTTTTTCGAAATTCTATATTAAACTAAATACTTTACTTATTAAAGAGAATAAATATATGTTAAATAGATTAAGACTTAATTATAATACTTAAGTAGCTATATACTAGTATTATTGATAATAAGTATTATAAATTCAAGGTTTAACATTTATAATACTAATTTACCTAGCCTATATCTTAATATATAAAATAGGTAGAGATATTTAACTAATATGATTAGAATTTTTAAGTAAGATATAGTAGATTTATATATTCTTATACTTAGTAAAAAATTCTTTAAGCTTAGAATAATATTTTAAAATTTCCCTTAAGAAAAGTTTCTATTATAGAATTTTAACCCTTAATTATACTATATTTACTAAAGTAATACTTTTAAATCTCTTTTAGATATAATTATATACTTTTAATAAGTATAAATATTAATTTCCTAGATTTTTTAAATAAGTATATATAAGCGAAAATATATTTTTCTAATGTTAAGGAATACTAGTAAGTGTTGCGATAGTTGGAATACGGAGTCGTGTGGCACTTCCAGCCACACGCCCGCCAGGCTGAGAGGCCCAAGCCTCCCAGACCCACGTGACAGGCCAAGGGGGAATATCCCCACCTTCTAGTCAACAACACCACTTTCAACTATCATGAACCATCGATTAGAACCAATTTACTGTTATTTGTTATTGACGAACGGAATTCCGTTTCACCCCCTGTTTCACCCCCTGTGAAACCTACACTGATCAGTGGTAAACCTCACAGTTGCCATTAATTTGGTTAACTTCACAATTACCACTCTGCTACGGACAAACCGCAGATCAGCAAGGTCAACACCAGAAGAGACGACTTCTTGAACTGGATACCCAAGCCCAGGTAAAAGTAGGGATTTCGTGCTAACGAGAGAAGAAGCGAGAGTAACTGGGATCTACGGAAACCAGCAGAAGAAAGCTTCTTTTCCTCGAATCTACCAGCAATCCGATTATTCGAGTAACCTAGGGACTGCTACGCTCACCCTGGGCGGGATAAGGTTAATCGCAGCCAATTATCGCTGGCAAGAGCGTTCCATCACGCGTTTTCAATCACCAGAAGAAGAGACCTACCGAATCGACGGTCTTCCAACCTCTTCACGCCACAAGGGCGAAGATTCACGAATCCCACAAGGGACAACAACTTCCCCAACTACAACTATCCCCCACGCGCGGTGCCAATCACGAGGCGCCCGCTAGTTTCTCAATAAATCCCCAGACGAGGTGCCAACCGCGAGGCGCCTGCCACAAGAGACCTCCCTACCAGAAGAAGAACACGCCGAAAGGCGAGCGGAGACTACCGGCGGTAATCCGCCTATACAGCTATACGTATACGCCTCCGAGGCTGCGGCTTAGGAGAAACGCACGTGGTTGTGGGCGTCATAAGGCCAACTGTCCGCTAGATTCTAAACTTCCCAACAGTGAGGAGCGAAGCCCGAAGCGAGAAAGAGAGATTCACGAGAGAATCTACGGTAGAACTCTCTCCCTACCAATTCGAGACCTGTGTATACCCTCACACCCCTCGAGAACATCAGCGAGAACGGCGCCGACGGAAACAAACGACGAACCGACGAAAATCCCCGATTTCACGATTCTTTCCCCTTAGAATCGTAATATCCCGAATCGTCTTTTGACTCCCACTTCCAGGCCTGCATCTTGCACCAATCGCAGCTGACGCTGTTGAGGATTAGAATTCAAGATTCTAAACAGAAGTAATCCTTTTATACTGTCAGAATGGAGCGAAATTCACGAGAAGGATCGCCCGCGAGCGGCGTCACTGCCAAAAGCCAATCAACAGTCCCCATCCCACAGAGAATCGAAAGTATGATCGATCCAGCAGTATGGGGCAACTGGGCAATCGACCTTACAAACGCTAGCCCACAGCAACTGGGTTCCTATATGGGTTTCCTACTTGAGACCTATGAGAAGAGGAATCTCACGGGCCTCGAGCTATGGAACGAAGTTTCTCCCGATTTCGCCGACTGGTCAGAAGAAGACTTCCAGAACGTACCTCCCCCAATCCTACGATTCTTCAGAGACCATTTAATCGGTAACGGCGTCTACGTCGAAATGGATGGCAAGAAAATCTCGAAAAACGTGGCATTAGCCCTCAAAAAGGAAGAATTCCACTACTGGTCACCCCAAGAACTCGAACAAGGCGTCAAGAGATATCGCAACCTGAAGGCTCTGATAAAAGACCCCGAATTCCACGAAGAGATCACGAGACCGGCAACAGTAGCCAACAGCACAGGAGGAAGAGTCGAACCAACCCTACAGCCACCTCCTCCACAAGAACAACAACAGTGGCAACTACCGTACCGACCGCCACATCCCACGGTCTCTCCGTTAACAGACTTCCAACCATACGAGTCAACAGACCGTATCGGAAAGCAATTAACAGAATTCGCGAAACTATACCCCGACGATATGAAATACAGCGGCGATATGTACGATGTACGCGAAAAGAAGGGCTGGACCGGACCGTTTACTTTAGCAGCCATAAACGGCGAAACCTGTACTGTCGATACGCCACGTGGTCCGAAGACCTTCCGGTCTACCGTAGTCAAACCATACTACGAAGATCCCGATCAACCACCTAATTCCATCGCCGCGCCAGAAGAAGAAGAACCCGAAGCTGAGATACCGCAGCAGGAAGTAGTACGCGACGAAATTATCGTCGCCGGCGGAGGCAGTGAACCGGACGAACCGCAAGAGGCACCGGAGCCACCGAGAAGACGCCCGGGCAGACCCCGGAAGAGACCACTGCCAATCGCCCACTTCACAGAGGAATTCAACGATGACCCGGATTATCAACAAATATTCCTATCGATTAAGGAGCAAGCAGACGAAGAATTGGCAATCAAACTACGACGAGAAGGTGTTATTACTACACCAGGCGAACCGTTCGAACAGTCAACTAAACAAGAGATCAACAGCCTCATCGCTAGAGGAGTGTTCAAATTCACCCAGTTCAATAAGAGAAGGCACCAGAACGTACGAATCTTCCGATCTCGTATCGTCAACGAAGTCAAGGGTAAAACAACCGAACCCTACGAGAAATCGAGACTTGTAATACAGGGTTCCGCCGACGATGGCAAGAAGGCTATATTGACCCAATCGCCAACGATTCAGCGGGCGAGTCAACGGCTAATTCTGTCAATTACCCCGTCACTCCTACGAGAAGGGAAACAACTATGGCTTCGAGATATCACACAAGCCTACGTTCAATCCTCCACAAGGCTCAATCGCACTATTCTCGCCTACCCACCGAAGCAAATTCAAGACCAGTACCCAAAAGGGACCATTATGGAGGTTGTGAAGCCTCTGTACGGAATCGCAGAAGCTGGAACCCACTGGTGGGCAACGTATCACAAGCATCACAGAGAGAATCTCCAGATGGTTACTTCTTCGTACGATCCATGCCTATTGATCTCATCTACCGAAAATCCACACTTTGGCTGTATCGGCATGCAAACCGACGATACCCTCGGTTTGTCAGACAAGGCGTTCTCACAATTAGAAGACGAACAGTTAGAAAAAGCGGCTTTTACGGCAAAAGCGAAGAATATCCTCACAATTGACGAACCCCTCCAATTCAACGGAGGGATAGTCGCGCTGTCAACCGACAATTCGATCAATTTGAGGCAAAAGGGACAAGCCAAGAAGTTACGATGTATTGAGACTACTGAACCCAACCCAAAACAGCAATATGTCGAACAACGCGCCAGAGGGGCGT